TCCTCTTAGAGTGTGTGTGCATGACTTCACTGAGCTGTACTACATGTAAGTGTAGGAGATACGCAGCTGAAAGAGACCCTTAACTAAATATTGAATGTTGTTGTAAATACACAAGGGGAGGACACGATTCCTTGACCCAACGCTGGAAATATGTGAAGTGAATCAGATGGATGCAGGAAGAATTCAAGATAAGTTGTTGAAAGAGGAAGAAAAAGGGGGAAAAGGGAAGCATGGAGAAGAGGTGAAGCAGGGGGAAAGGAAAGGAGGGGGACAGCTGGAAGAATGACAGGATGGGAGCGTCATTCCCTCCGCTCTATCCCACGGGTGAAAGTGGGAAAAGTCAGAGTTCAAGAGCTAGGAACGGGAGGTCACACTTTTATGTTGACAAAAGTCTGTGTCTCCAAGGAGAGGCGGCGACAGAGAGAGAGAGAGAAGGGTTAGAAACACTGAGGTTTTCAGTCAGAGAGGAGAGGAGGGGAAATTTGTTTGGGAGAGTGTGTGTTTAACACTTCCACTCGACTCTGACAGCTTTGAAGCTTGTTGAGCGAGTAACCTCAAGGAGAGGTGTCAGTGTTGGATGTCGAGAGGAGAGAAACTGTCAGGAGCACTTTGACTACACAGAGAGTCGATGAAAACCGGACTGAAAATGGCATTTATGTCAATAAAAGCAACAACATACGCAAAAACAGTCGGTCCAGGGAATACATTTATCTGTTTTTCTGCCCGTACAAATGTCTCTCTGTTAAATATTAAGCTACGCTAACTTTGCACAAAGAGCAGACATGTAAGGGAAACAGCCAGTATGTGGTTTGAAGGTATGGACTCAGAGTTTACATACCTATACCATCAGGTAACTAAAGATCACTCCAGATAGCAGGTGTGCTAGGTCTAATTTTTCCTCCATGATATTATCAGAGTTAGAATCACTCGTTTTATAGTTTAGTTGAATTTTTGTCTCTTTCAAGGCTGCAAAGCTAAACAGCTGATATGCACTGAAGGCCGAAGATCATACATGTGCAGTCTGGTCCAAAAAAAAAAAGCAGAGTCAATGCATTAAGATCAAACTGGTGTGCCAATATTTCAGAGATTGGCTCCCATTTTCTGTCTTGATAAAACTTCTATTTGATTAGTAGAACTATTGGCTCAAAATGTGATAAATAGACACATCATTAACATTTATTTCCTTGGTCTGACACTTTGGCGTGGGCACAGAGGCTGGAAATTCTGAGATATCTATCGTATACATCATACCAAACAGTTCCCTGAAAATCCTAGCTCAGGACTGGAAAGACAATGTGACATTTTTGCAGGTTAAAAATATAGATATGATTGGTTCAGTTGCGCAAAACAAAACTAAGCTGGTATTAAAGCTGCTGTAAGGAACTTTTGGTTTGCATTGACACTGGCGCCCCCTGTGGACAAAGTGAAATCTCTTATTTATTACCCCGTACATGTGAAAATAGTGTTTCCCGACAAAAACCTCATCTTGTTGGCATTTAATCATGAAAAGTAGCCCTCGGTGTAAGTATTTGCTAGGGCTGGGACGATATGCTTTTCTCCCGATTCGATTCTTCTACGATTTTTTGGGACGCCGATTGGATTTAAATTACAATTCTACGATACTGTCGATTTTCTTGATTTTTAGTCTGCATTTTTAACACCAGTGAAACAGCTGAATGATGATGATTGTCTACTGACTATACCAGAAACCATATTTCCCCAAAAAATACACATCACATGTAAGTCAGTTTTTAAGATTTACTGTTAAATTTGAAAAAAAAAAAGATTTTTGAACAAAAAAATTGTGAAACTAAAAATCGCAATACTTATGTGAATCGATGTTTCCTCCCACCCCTAGTGTTTGCTATGTAAAAGGTTTTTTTTTTTTTTGATCATCTGGTCTGACACTTACCCCTCCCCCACATCAAAAAGTACTGAGGGGGAACTATAAGACTTGTTGCTGGTGGTTTCCTTTACTTTTTTGAGGTTATAAAGAGGCAGCATGATGAGTTCCAGCCTGTTTCCTAACTATTAAAATACGCCCCATGGTTGCTTTAAACTTCATTCAGAGTTTACAGACAGTTCTCTTAGATCCTGAGCTTATAGGGTACTTGTAGTTGCCCCCGAATCCCAGCGTAGGACTTCCATTTTTCGAGTCTTCTTGTCTTGCTCACAGCATTTCCAAAATTTTGAAAACACTTCTGTAGCTCCACGAAACTGCGTGTTCGTGCTACTGCAAATCTGATAGCGTTCAATGTTCTCAAACCACAGTTATTGATGTGGTCTGGACCTGAGCTGGTCTGTGAACTCTGCCAATAGATTTTAATGTTTCTCTTAGGTGTGTCTTCTCTGTGTGCGCTCACAGGTAGCAGCAGGAAACCTAATCTCAGTTTAAGAGAGTGAGTATTCTGTATTGATTTTAGATTAAGCCCTAGCTGACCAAGCTGTTACCATATCAGGCAAAATCCAATAAAAGTCACCAGGCTCGACTGTTTTCCACGGACTGTAGTGGTGGAAAAAATTCCTCTCATAGCTCTCATGCAGTAAGTTTTCTACACTGGAATTCATATCGCTGATAAACACAGACGCCTCTCTATTTTACGCGCATGTACGGACATCCAGTCCCTATTTTTCCAACACACTGACACATACCACATATTCAGTCCTATTTTAAAACACTGGAGCTTGAATGAGAGATTGTGTAACAGTGAATTAAATATTTACAGCAGTGGCGACAAAGAGAAAGATTGAGAGAGAGGCGGGGGGGCATTATGCCAGGGTGCAGATGAGCTCATTGTTGAAACAGGGATTTCCACATTTCCATGTCAGTGTGCCCCATGCCACGACACGGAGCACGAAAACAAGAGGGGAGAGGAAAGGGGCGATCACACCCAGGCACACACTCACACTCACAATAATCAGAATGACTGTAAAAGCAGACTCAAACGTACCTTTTCACTCTTGCTTTTAACTAAATTTTATATCATTGACTTTAAGTGTTTTAGCATTTATCCTTTTTTCAGTTTTAATAACAGGGTTGTCTTTTATCGAGCTAATTTAGTGCTCTTATTTTAGTTTCTTTTACTGTTGTTTTTATTTCATTTTATTTATTATTTCTTAAATTTTGTTTCCTCAGTGCGCACATACATGTTTCCATGAAATCAAACCCTTTTTAAGTTTATACATTTTAAAACTGTTTCTGTTGCATTTAGATCATGGGGTGGGAATGAGGGGTAAGGTTGGGGTAGATTTGGGTATTCTTCGTTACTTTTATTCCTTTTTCTGTGTAAAGCACTTTGTGCTACATGGTTGTGTATGAAAAGTGCAATATAAATAAAGACTGATTGATTGATTGATTGAAATAGACTGTATATAGAACGGGTGCCGTCTGCCTCCTCGCTGGGTGAAGCTACTCCGAGAACAGCTCCCTCTGGTGACGGGCTGCAGTATAGGTCATAAATCCCGCCTCCTCCGGCAATCCTCATGCAGCTGTGGACAAACTTTAGAAATTTATTACACAGAATATACATTTTTGTCCCCCCTGGTTGCGATGTTGACATGTAGTTACTGTCAGACTAGTTTGTGCTCAAGTCCTCTTTTTTTCTTTACAGCTTAATTTTTTTAAGTTATTGGGGGTTCATGTTTTCTATGATTGACACTTGATACAGCCTATGGGCGTACGGAGATTGCGTAGCTCACCCAGAGGGGATATTTTTTTGTAGGACGATAGGGGAAAGTCCTGCCCTCCTTCACCTCTGATTGGCTAGAAGTGCTGGGCTCCGATTGGTTATTCCTAATGGATGTGAAACTTTGTCGTCTGTAAGGTTAGGGTTAGGGTTATGAGATTCAGAAGTGCGATAATGTTCTGTAATGTTCTGTTCGATGTACAGAGCCAACAGCCTGCATTTGGCTTGAGCGTGTGATGGCATTTCCAGCTTTTCCCAGGGGATACGCTATTTGAGCTGAGCGTCATCACAGCGACTCTCCCGCCAAATGTTTACAACGCTACTGCGCAACGTTGGTTTCAGGAAGTGGAGAAAAAACGCATAATAACTGAGAGCTTTTCGGCTTCATATCCGTATATTGGCAGAAGGCGGAACCAAGTTGTCCATAGTATATACCAGAGGACTTCTTATTTTGAAAGACCCTCACTTTCGCCATCGCCTCATTTTCGCGCTTGACTCTTCGGCTCGTCATTTTCCTGCATCAGCAACACAAGCTAGCCCTCACAAAAATGAGCCTGAAACAGAGTTCACTGCAGAGAGAAAGGGTTGATTCTGCATTACGGTGAGTTGATGTTGAAGTGTAATGAAAAGTGCCTAATATAAAATGTAATTGTCGTATCCAGATTACATACTATATACTGATTAAGGTTTTGTTATTGGAACCTCCACGCCCCTACCCGGTCCTTGGTACAAAGAAGGTTGGGGACCACTGGTACATACAGTCTAAAGGTCAAACACATACATACCACATTAGGAAAATATAGGCCATAGCATATCTCAGCTTGCAGTGAGGCAGTGGAAACTATTTAGCAGGGTCCCTGAACACACATGTGAACACTGGTGCAGTGATTTGGATGGAGTTGAAGCTTTTTTATTATTGTTTCAAACACACACACACACAAGAACATGCACACACATCCGTTATCACAATGCAGTCCCACTACATTTGGCACAATACAGCAACACAGCAGCGAGTGCAGTAAACAAAAGTAGCCTTCACACATATTTTACAAATGCAGCCAGGCATGCACAAAGTGGAATGGTTGTCAGTCACATGAAAACGCACACAAGGAAGAACACACTCCACACACACACACGCACAACAACTCTACCTCTATTCTGTCAATAGGGCTAGGCCTGCCCGGTTTCCACAGCAACCTCGCCCCTCCCTTTGGCTTGCAGGGGAGGTGTTTTGAAAGTTCACAGCGTGTTTGTGCCTGTGAGTGTGTGTGAGTGAGTGTGTGTGGAAAGAGAAAGGGGCGTGGATGCTGGAGCTGAAGTTAAAGAAGTAAAACACTCTGCCTTCACTTCTGAGCTGGAGCGAGTGACAGCAGCGTCAAAAACGCGAGTAGACGCGCGACTTTATCTTTGTTTTTAAAGGTGATTCACCCCACGAGAGAGCGGGACACTTGACCACCTGTGAGCCATGGAAGAAGACGCGACCCGCGCCGAGCCGAGCAGCGTCTCCGGCAGCACCCACACCATCCCGCAGGCGCAGCAGCAGGAGAACACGGAGCTCCTCATCCCGAGCTTCACCCCGTCCTCCGCCCCGTCCTCCCCGACCCCAACCAGCACCCTCTCCCGCATGGGCTTCAAGAGTCTCACCAGCCCGACCTCAGCCGTGCCGGGCAGCCCCGTCGACCGCGGCCAGGTGAGCGCCATCACCGTGGTGGCGCTGCTGGACAAACTGGTGAACATGCTGGAGGCCGTGCAGGAGAACCAGCACCGCATGGAGCAGCGGCAGGCCGACCTGGAGGGCGCGGTGAAAGTCGTGCAGGGCGACGTGACCCGGCTGTCCAAGACCCACGTTAGCACCTCCAACAGCGTCAACAAGCTGCTGGAGCGCTCCCGCAAAGTGAGCGGACACCTGAAGGAAGTGAGGGAGCGCATGGACAAACAGGCGGTCCAGGTGAAGAAGCTGGAGGCCAACCATAACCACCTGCTGAAGAGGAACCACTTTAAAGTGCTCATCTTCCAGGTGAGGGAATGAAGTGTTAGCAGACGATAGAGGAAGCACATTAACTTGTTTAGAGGGCCCTAAAAACCTCTCTAACCCACATGTCTTAACTCATATTTTATCAGGATACAGACCTAGTTTCTCATTCTTACGCCTGATGATTGTTAGCTTGTTATGCTCACTCTGTCCCTCTGCTTTACTAACACACACCTGCTCTTAGCTCTATTATGCCACTTTTTAACCATCAGAAATCAAGAAATACATGAAAACGCTGGATGAGTTGATCAAAAAAGTAACTTTAACCTGCTTTTTTAACTTTTGTCAAGTCTGTTAGCTCAACAATCCTGATAGCAAACTTTTCATAGTTATTGATATCACTTGCAGGGCTTGACACTAACTTTTTTCACAGGTAGCACACAAAGAACTTTAGGGGCACAATGAAAATTGATCAAATAACGTTTGTCTTATTGGTCGACATAAGTACTATTACTATTACTATTACTAGGAAAACAGCCTTTTATGAGAAAGTCAATCAGTAATTAATTGATGGTCCCTTATTCAACACCCGACGTTGACAGCAAGGATGCCGAGTAGATTCAACCGCGCTGCTGTTGCCATTCCCGGTTATGGAGAGTGAGAAGACACCGGTAGATTCGCAGTGAATGTCCATCGGATATCCAACTTAAAACTAACTTCACCGCAGTATTTACATTAAAAAAAACAAACATATATTTTTATCTTTAAAATATCTACCTTTTCAAACTATTTTGACTCCAAATGTAAGTTATGCCCTACTTAGACCTAATGAAAACAGCAGTATAAAGTCTAGAGGCCATTTCCAAAAATAATAAAAAAAACAAAAAGTAAAGGTGTGGTGATGTCTTAGTGATGTCATCCGGTTTACCCAATAGGGTTTAAGCTATAGGCTATATTTGTATCCTGAGTTACAAACTAGAGGAGTGGGGTTTCAAGTATGTTGGCATTTAGCATGCAACTCGATAGCTTCTATTGAAAGACACTATCAGGTTGCATTCTGGGAGATGTATTACCTTTGACTTTTTTGAGCTATCCTTTTGTCGATGAGTAAAGAAATGTCTGATTTGACCAAACTTGATAAAGAGTGATCATGTAAAACTTTTTGCATACATGAATACATTTGCATGTCAAACTCCTCATGTGAACTCATTCTGGTTCGTGTTTGGATGTTCTTGTACGTCATATTTGCATCAATATTTGACTGCAGTAGTGGGTGTGTTTGGATTTGTTCCTGGTTGGCACTGAAAGGCGATATAGCTTTGGGCGAAAAGCACTTTGACATTTTCGGCTCTTAAAACTCGCTGAACAGGACTTACACAACCTGGTGAGCTCGGTTCACCTGCGATTAAATGAGATGTTTGCTGTTTTTCTAACTCATCCAAATACACCTGGAGATACTCACGTTAATGTACAAGCTCATGTCCACTGTGAGTGAGTTGAGTGAGTGAGTGAGTGAGTGTGTGTGAGAGAGAGTAGATGGGTGTGTCTGGGAATGGAGCTATAGAGGATAATAGAGGAGGGCTCAGACACTGACTCTGACTGGATCTGTTTACACCCCACGGTCATGATTCAGGCAGACAGATGGCTTTTAGTTGGATCTCGCACTTCAACCGTCGTATCATACCTGTGAGGGAAAACTTTATACTGGCATTAAAAGAAAAAAGCGATAAACAAACCAATTTCCCCGGGAAATTACGAGTGGAAAATGCACCCTACCTCTCCCTTATTAAAAGGCGTAAATGTGGCGTCGACTTTCATTTCTCATGCGTGTAAAAGACAGAGTGTTAAAGCTGGATTCCCTGCATGCACTGATGACATTTGTCATACGAATATTGTGCAAGATCCACTCTGTCAGTGGCAGATTCATCTCAACCCAGCCATTAAATCGTGATCTCTGCATGAGAGAGTGCAGTTTTTTTTTTCTTTCAGGCTCATATATGTGTCTGTGCGTGGGTGCGTCTGAGCGTGTGCGTACAAGTGTACACCCAGACAGCTAAAGGAGGTGGTGGTGGTGGTGTGTGTGTGTGGGGGGGGGAAAGGGGTGGCATTGTTGACACAGCCTGGGCCGCTGAGAGCTCTTAACCGCCGTTGTTATCTGGTTTCCCAGGTACTGAGGCTCTGTTGTTCAAATGCAACAGGTGCCAAGACCTCGCTGTGTACAAGGTGGCTCTGTGTGTCTGTAGGCGAGGCACAAGGGATCAATCTGATTGAATTGAGTCACTTTTTACAACCTGATGAGTCCTGTTGCTTTAAAACCTTGAATGCATCATCAAGTAAGGTTTTCCCTTTCTGCAAATATAGATTTTGTCTCCTCTTTTTCTTAAAGCAGGTGAATGCATTTATCTAAAGTGTATATCATTAGTTCAGTTCTGTTTAGGCCCCTGTTCAAAGTGCTGACTCGAGTTTCTACCTCTAATTTTGTGGCGAGCTAAGCACGGAGGATTTGTCGAAGGGTGTAGCAGGGCCAGGCCAGGCCAGGCTAGGGCGTGTGTGTGCAGCATGTGCGTGCGTGCAACCTGCCCATTGGATGTTAAGCTGGTGTGTCGGGTCAGGTGTATGCAGTTACTGCGCAGGTAAATGAGACTGCGTGCCTGTGGGTAGCAGGAAATAAAAGAACTAAGAGCATGCCTTGTTCCTTCTCCTCTCTAAGTTTGTGTTGACTTTTCGCGTCTGTTGCTACCTGCCTCACCTCCTCTCTTCTTTTACCTTCAGGATTTTGTCTTTGCTTGATTATCTTCATCTTTTTGGTTTAAACACAAACATCTCACATTTTTTGTTGCTTTCTGCCTTTATCTAAACTCGCATGTGACCTATTTGGATGTGGTCAAGCCACCTGTCTCGATTCCCTGAAACCAGATAAAAGCACACGGCGCCGCTAGCCTCACGCTACTCTTTTGATAACGTGCTTTGCCGCACACCCAAGTGCCTCAAACGCACTTCATAAGCCCTGTAGCTATTGGCAGAGAGGCCCTCCTCTGTCCCTCCCCTCCCATTCTAACTGATCCAGAACACTCATCACCCTGTATGTGCCAGTTGAGGTGGAAAACCTGGGGGTTTGTGGGTAAACTCCCACTATCGCATAGAGCAAGGGGTACGCCAGGTCCAGGCTTTAGCGTCAGTCGGTCCTGAATGACAGTGCTGCCTGCCGCTCCACTGCGTTCCTGTACATAACAAGGACTAATGAGGACTTAATTACCGCTGCTTTGGCCTTGTTTGTTTGTTTTTGTGCACCAGTGCTTTCCTGTCTCCACTCGGCCCCGCCCACTCTTGGCCTTTTCTTCTCCGCTCACACACACAGAGTCAGGACACACACGCTCCCTCGCCATGTGAGATTCCAGCGCGTACAGTAGAGAGGCTGTTGCTGTAATTCAAGATTCGAGATTATTTCCCTTTTATTTATAAGATTAAACTGGAGTTTTCAGATATCAAATAATCACTCTGGAGATCCTCAAACTTATCTTATGTGCCGTACGTGACTTGCATTTCCTGGGTCGAGGTCATTTATGACTAAAGAGATCTCTATCCTCACATCTGCGTTTATTCTCACAACAAGAATCAAGTCGACCACAATGGCAAATTGAATTTCAGCTCTATAAGAATTTCATTTGTTCCCTAGCTTTACACAGAAGAGCCCGAGTCTAAATTGTTTGATACTGCGCAGCGAGAGGGGAGTCCCGGGGTGGGATGGGAAAAGGATGTTTGGTGATTGTCTGTACGTTTGGGAGCTCTAATCGCAAAGTGACAACCGTCAGAGCTCAGGCACACTATCAAAGAATGTTCATATCACACGGCGGGGAAAGAGAAACACGCTCACAGGCCAAACTAAACAAGAGGACTGCAGGCTTGAAATGCAGGTTACTCTTACAAACTTACCTTTTGTTAAATATTATTCATGTATAAACTTTTTTTGTAGTCACTGAAAAGTTAAAACGACTTCAATGTGAGTCTCCAGAGTGTGCAACTCTGCAGCCTCTCACCACACCCGGCCCGACCTGTCGCTCTGTGCAGAAGTTGCTCATGAGGTGATTGCGTTAACTTCAGTCATTGTCACTCGGTTTGCTTTTCTACCAATCATCTTTGTGTTTGCGGATTGACACTTGACCAAAGGTTGTGACTTAATCTTCGCTTTCAGCAGCAGCAGGAAGCGAAGGCTGTTTTTCTACACTGATTGTGCTCTTAAGATGGAAGACAAACTTGTACCTCTGTTCCCAGCCTCGCCCTGAGCTTTTCAATTCAGTTTATGACAACACGCTCAAAACACGGAACGAAAAAGAAGTATTGGCCCCATAAATAAACGAATATCAGTTTTATTATATGTACATGTACTACATGACAAAGTAGAAGCCTTACCCCCACTTAAACTTCTGGAGACACACCCTGCGAAACACAACAGCAAGAGAAACGGCGTGCTTGTATCTGTTGATTGATTTTAATGTAAAGTATTTTCCTATTAGATATATCCGTGCAGAGAAGTAATAAGATATATCAGTGTACTTTCAGTGAAAGATTTGCATGAGTTTAGTGCAGATTATTCCAATATAAAACCAAATCCATCTCCACAGGTTGGAGCAGGCCGCTGGCTGGAGGCTACGGCTCAGATTTGTTGTGTGTGTGTCCCGACCTGATGATATATTGCACCAGTTTATAGCCCAGAGCGGTGCTAGCTGTTTCAGTGCATTCAGAACGACTTGGTTGTAAGCTTTTACTGAGGGATGTGTTTAAAGCAGCAGGGTTTAATTCAAAGAAACAGGCTGATTACTGTCGTTACCAAGAAGCAGATAAACTGATTGTTATCCTAGACACATATTTAGCAGTAACAAGACAGTGGCATCTAAGTAGAGTTTGTCTATCCTGGATGAACACGTTACAACGGAGTATTCGGGCCACATCAAGGAAAAAAAAAAGATTTTGAGATTACAGTTGTAATAAAGTAATTACTTTCGAGTAATAGGTCAGAAAAAAGTCCCTATATTCGAACCTGTTGTGTAAGATGACAGTTGGTGAAATGAGAGCCATGGAGCATTTCGTGAAAATGTGCTTAAAAATAGGTTTCCCAATCAAGGAGATACTTTATTTTTTGGCACATCAGCACCACATTATCATAAGTATCATAATGATTTTATTACGACGTTATTCTTGTTAGTTATTACTTTATTATGACTTTATTCTTGTAAGTAATGATTTTAATACAACTTCATTCTCATAAGTAATTACAATATTACAACTTAATTCTCGTAGGTAATTACTTTTCTACGACCTTATTCTCATAAGTAATTACTGTATTGCGGCTTTATTCTTGTAGGTAAATACTTTGCTACGACTTTATTCTTGTTTTTAATGACTTTATTCTCGTTTATTATTACTTTATTATGACTTAATTCTCATAGGTAATTACTTTTCTACGACCTTATTCTAATAAGTAATTACTTTATTGCGACTTCATTCTTGAAGGTAAATACTTTGCTACGACTTTATTCTTGTTATTAATGACTTTATTCCCGTAAATTAATGACTTTAATCTCAAAGTATTAAATTAATTTTTTTCTTAATCTGGCCCTAATACCCCGTCGTAACACGTACACAAACTCTGCAGGTAAACTTCGTCAAAGAAGTTTGTGAGCATGCACAGTCAGCACCATTGTTTGCCTGAACCATGCGATCTTTAATCTGTCATCTGGGTCTGTTTACATCCAGGTAGTGGAGCATTATCGCACCATAACTGGGGTACAGCTCTGCCTATTGGAGAAAAACTGCACCGACAACATGATCAGCCTACAATACCATCCGAACATTTTATATAGCTAGCTAGAAACTTTCTGTGAAATGTTAACAAGCTTTTGCAAAGTTTGTGATTTTCTGTGTAGTCTAGGCAGCTTCTGTGTGTCTCTAGAAATGCTTATTTGGCTGATTGGTAATGGAGATTAGTGACCTTAAAACGAGTTTCCAGTCTGTAAACAGATGCTGCAGGCCTGTTAAAAATCTCCCTCAGTACTCTTCAGATTGCGTACTTTAAAGCTGAAAAGAAATGCTGCGTTTATGTTTGTTTAGCCCCGTCAGCTCCTTACAGTACAAAAGATGTGATATTCTTACATTTTATCCCTCAGACTCAAAGCTTGGAGTGGAAGTCGAAGCATTTTTATGAGGCTGCTGTTGGATGTAAAGCTCTGAAGGGTAAAATTGGGCTCAGTCAGAGCAGTCTAACCATAGTCTGCAGCCTTTAAGGCATGCTTTACCTCATGAACAATGCTGTTTGTTTACAGCGTGGCTTCTTGCTTTTGTTATCATTCTCTTTCTCCCTGTGGGGTTCATTCTTTAGATAATCCCCATGGGTTTCCAGAGCAGAAAATACAAAGGGAAGAAGAGAGAAAAAGAGAGATAAATATAGAGAGGACAAAGACAAAAGTGCAAAAATCGTCTATTTTTGTCGAGCAGTGATAACAGGCTGTGCTAACACCAACGTGAGTTTGGATAAGAGATTAAAATTAGTTTTGCAAACTCAGAGCGAAAAGCTCGCATGTGGATTAGGAAGAATTAACTGAACTGCTCTCTCTTCTGCCTGATGTCACATTCAGGTTTGACAAGTCCGCTCAACTCTTTCGGTCTCTGAGGCAAGTTTGAAACTGCAGATTCTCCATGTGAAAGGCCAGTTTTAACACATCTCACAGAGGGGTGATCAGAATTCACACAGCCTGAGCCTCCCTTTATCTTTTGTTTTCATGAAATTTCGCTTTTTAATCATCGAGAATCTGTGTTTTATAGATAATTAAAGGTGTCAGTTTGTCAGACGGTCTGTGGCCTGAAAGCATATCCTACATTGCACTGCACTTGTTTTCCTCGGAAATGCCAAGAGCACATTTTAAACGTGTCTTTCATTGTGACGCAGGTATTAATACGATAATAGCATTAAGCTCTTTTGCAGACTTGTACTCACATGTACTTTTTCAATCCAACTTGCACTTTTTCCCATTGAAATTTCTCTTTTCTCTCTCGTAGAGCTCAGAAACAGGATAAAAAGATTGAAAAAGGTGGTGACTTGTTGAAGAAATAAAGTTCTAGATGCAGTTCTGGGAGATAATTGGCTGGTTTTCGGCCAAAAGTGCTCAAAGTTTCATTACACAGCCGCACAAACCGAAACCAGATCTTCTCTTTTGACTCCTCCTGTCATCATTCCTTAATAAGCTCGCTACATATCTGCTCCTTTTGGACTTTTTAAGCCATCCAAACTTAAACCAAGGCCACAACATCCATAGCAGGAAACGGGAAAACAATAGTAATGATGAATCTCTCTCGGGTAAAAACATGACAATAACATGTCCTGAGATAACACGTTGACTGCCTGGCTCCTCTGTGGACACTCATACCCTTTGACCTCTGTGTGGGGTGAACACTGTGACAATTGGTGGTAACCTTATCAAACATGCCTCTGCCTCACGGGCTCGTATTGAACAATGGCTCCCAAACTGTGCCGATTGGATTGCAATGGAGCATTGTGCAAAAGGGGGGATTTCTAGAGATTTGAACAAAATCCCTAAAGGAGATTAGTTTTATCATGAAGCAGGGTAAAACCAGCTGCAAAAACAACTTTTAATGTGCTGGTAATTTTCATAGGGACACTGCTGAAAGCTCATTTATTGCATATGCAGAGGATATGGTGCATGACAAGCAAAGGGAAGTGCAAGTTGAGCGATTTGATTTAGTTAATGTGCGGTAAGTGACAAGAAGTGCAATGGTCCAGTCATCCGTGGGGCCATAATAATGAATACCATGCTGTGTTAGAATTAATTACGAGGTAGCATATGTTGGGTTATGCTAAATGTGTCATCATCCAAAGTGCACAGCCTGCCACCATGTAAATTACGGGTTGGCTGACCACGTTCTTCCAGACGTCCAACATCATCATTTCTGTCATCAGAAATGATCCTCTCTGGATTTCTATGATCTACTTTCCACCAACGCGTCAGCACTATACCGCGCCGCCTCAATCGCTTATTGTGTTGTGTGATTACGCAAGATGGAAGGCCAGTAAACACGTTTACTTTTGGTGAGGCAGATAAGGGAGGGGTGTGAATGAGAATGAATGCCCTAACTTGTTGTGTGTGTTTGGCCAAGAGGTACAAATCACAACGGGCAAGACATTTTCTGATGGAGTACTTTTGCCACTTTTGTGCATAAGTCTTTCTAAGCATGTTGGGAAATAATTTTACCCATTTTTAGAAGAATGCCTCAAATATTTCAAAGTCCATTTGTGAGTCCCAGGGAGTGTATACACTCCCATACTCTGTGTGTGTACAGTACAGTGAGAGTTTATCATGTTATCCAGTCCCATGACAAATAGCAGAATTCCATTTCCTCTCCTCCTTCCTTCCTCAGCCCACAGATGGCTCCTCGTGCGCATTAGGTTAAGGGTGGAAGGTTTGCGATGTTATGTAACAAGACGGGTTGGGGTAATCTTTAAAACAACGCGGCGTGCTTTAAAAGGGAGGATGCAATCAAAACATATGTAGATGAAGGCAAATTTGCACAAGGTTTCACGTGTCTGCAGCTCTCCCTTGAAGAGGTAGAGTGTGTTGTGAATAATGAGAAGAGGAAAAAGGTGGAATATTCAGAGCTGGGGATTTGTCTGCAGCCCTTAGTTAAAAATGAACCCAAAAGTCCTAATTTCAACACCAGCTTTTCTGTGAGCCTTTTGTCTCCTTCATTATGTAACCAAATAAGATTCAGGGGCTTAACTATGGCAAACAGCTGATACCTGAATGTATCTGTGTGCATTAGTAGTGGTGTACCGTCTCTGATGTAGTCCCTTAGAGGCACCTGACTCACTGTGCCAACACACCTGCCCTGACCTCACCTGTTCGAATAAGGAAAACCTTTATTTATCCTTTTAAGACTCAGGAAAACAAACCTTTTAAAACAGCAAACATAAATCTACTTACAGCTGCCTCCCTCCCTCCTGGAAGGACGGCTTCCTATTTTCATTTTTCTTCCTTTTCTGCACATTTCTGGGCACTCTTCCTGAGTCAAACCTACATAAAGAGTGAGGGGAAAGTGCTGACAGAATCAAGCTGGTCTGGAAAAATGTCACGCTATCGTAAAGTAAGCTGCCGACTGATAATGGGAGTGGGATGTACCAGGAGTTTTATGGTACTAGATGATGAAGATCCCTCTATTAAATACACCCACACTAACATATATAGTACATATGTGATAATAAAATGTAATGTATGAGTAGGGCTGGGTTATAAAAATAAACAGTATATCAACCTCCCCATGAGGAAATATGTGGATATAGTCATATTGCACCATAATTTAAACACCAGAGCATTTTTTAATTAAAATATAACAGGGAAGAGTTACTGAGCTTTGCTTTTCATGTATGATGAGTGGGATGCGGCTCTTGTCTGTGCCAGCACTTTGATGTTAGTTTGCGTACACATCAATATAAGGGAAACGGGAATAAGGCCAAGAGACAGTCATTACATGCAGCTCTCTGAAGACGGAGTGCTGTGTTCGGGTTAAATACAGTATATTATATAAAGTAAAATACAAAAGAAGAAGATGTCAAATGAAAATGATGCATCTGTTAAGTTTCCCAGCTGGTTAAATGACTGATTGATATTTTAGATGTTGTGTCCAAGCTGTAGCACAGTTAGCTGGAGTTAATGCCGTGATGCAGTGATAGCTACCCTGCAGATGGCTGATAGTTTTGTCGCACAGCTTTTTAAAGTCCCACTCCAATCGTTTTCTTTTTTTTTACTACTTTAAGTGTTCTCAGTGGTCTGTAAATTGTGATTATGAGGTTTTTAGCCAAAATTGCCTAACCTGTGTCATTAGCTCCAGTAGCTCATTAGCAATTCGCCTCTGAGTCGTGGGCGGAGACAGCGCTGCCCTGCACACTCCTCTTCACGCTAGCTTGTAGCCTGACATTGTCGGTGTAGTAGAAGTAGCAGGTAACATAGGAGCTATTCAGCTCTCGGACACTAATGTCTTTGGGGACATGATGAACGGTAATATCATAAATAGCTTTCTTAGGAGCATTGCAATCTGCTAAGACACATGCTTGTTCCACTATCGTCCTCTCTATTTCTGGCTTGCATAGTGGGGCTCTGGGGGCGGAGCTTGGATTTGCGACATAGGAAATCTCTCTGGGTCTGTGAGAGATTCACAGCGATTTGAATGCAGAAATACTCAGACATGCAATTTCGCACTTATTTTTCATTTTGAACATGTAGACAACAAGAAAAACATGATTTTCATCAGAGTGGGTCTTCAAATCAACAATCATTAGATCCTCAAAGCTTGGAAATAAATCACTGTAACACATCAGGGTCTGTTCTTACCCTTTTTCGTGGGTTTATTTTTGCATAACCACCAGCTAACATTACATTACCCTTTGGTTAAGCTCCTGTGAGGAACTTTCATTTTGTGTTAGCTTTGGCGCCCCTGTGGACAAAGCGGTCTTTGCTTATCTCTTCCTGTAGATGTCTTCTGACAGAGAGATCTCACCCTGCTGATTTTTCACCACTCTTTAAAAACAGATCTGTTTCTACACATGCTCAGTTGACACCTACCCCCTCGCACCAGTTTCAGGCATTAAAAATCACAATATAGAAGTCCACAAAAAACTCCTCACAGGAGCTTTAATATCACGCTGAGGTTGATGAAAGAATAGCAGGTGTTTAGACGCACACCAGAAAGATATTTTGACTTGCTAGTGGCGTTAAGATCAAAAGTCAGGGTATCACCAATGTACGCATTGTCAGACACATAAACAAAGGCAAGAGAACACACGCACATGCTAGAGTATAGAATATCCTGACACATATTGTCTAAAGAGAAACACACACACACGGAGTAACGTGAGCCTGTGTTGAGCTCTTTCAATCAGGAGGGACTCCGGCTCTGCCCCACCCTGATGTCTCTCTGTTTGAAACAAGGAGGACGAGTAGGAAGGGGTTCAGACTTATACAAGCTCTGCCTTGATGACACCTAGCAGGACTTGCAATTAGGCGACAACTCTACCATGCAACTGTTAAATGAGACCACGAACTCATTACATAAGCCTACGAAATATCACTGGAGCATGTGCTATTGAACGTAAAATAAACCTACTGTCACACTACATTAACTTTGTTTTTGCCGTGCTCCTAATGTATTTTAATTTGCTTTCAGCTCGCACTCTTAAGCAGTTTTTTTAAAACAATGGCGTATGTCCAACATTTCTGCACACAAAGACACTCGAGCACACACATGCACACCCGTATTAAACTCTCAGGGACTAATGAGTGCTTGCTTTGAGGATACATTAATTAACGGGGTTCCCAAGAGAAAAGTGCCAGACTGTGTCCACGTACACAGACACTCGCTCTGAGCGGACCCGGGTCAAACGGTATTCAGGAAGATTGCTGTTTGTTGTTGCATGCCTGCCAAGATAGTTAGGGGTTAAACTGGGGACACTCTCATTTTGCATTATTGCACTGATGGGCCGGCCAAACACAAAACTTGCAAAAACAAATAGAAGATTCAAGAAAGTCAAACTGTGGGAAAAGATGTTTTTTTAGTTTCAATTTAAAGGGATTTTTTAAAGCTGAGTAATTGTGCTGCAGGACAGCTCTGTGTTCTCATCAGAGGGTGTTTGAGTTTCATCTCCCGCCTCCCACACACTCCAGTACCCACACTGATTGTATCAAACATGTTTGAGCCTAATCAGAAAGTCTGTGGCATGCCCAGACTGGAGCAGAGGTATCTGAGATTGATTCTTTAGAAACCGGAGCACCACTGATCAGTCAAGAAAGATTAGCGTTTATTATCTGGGGAGCCTCAACTGAGGGTCAGGTGAGGCCGTATTGGCTCTTATTATCTATTCATGACTGGTCAGACTTAGGCGAGCGCTTAATCCTTGAGCTATCTCACCCACTCCATGCTGATCAAGATGACTTGAGGCCAAAGTAGATGTGACAGTAAAGGTAAAAGATATTCCACCAATAAGACAGTCTCCCGGTTTTTCCCTCTATAACGTCTCATGTATTGATTACAAAAGCTGTCACACACGTAGTTCCCGCCTTTTTTCATTTAATGCTGTATGAACACGTCCGGGCGCTCTGTGGGTGTGGTGTGAGTCAGACCTACAGCAAACTGACTGGAGGGATCAACAGAGAGCAAAACTGCGAGGGAGGAATTAGAATCCAGCTAAACTAGAGATAGTGGAAACTGGAGCGCTTTCCCAAGGGGTTACCTTGGTTTTTTCTAGATTTTATGAAACAAACCTGTCCCCTCAGAGCGTTCCTTGGGACGATAACGCCCCTGGTGGTTGTTAGAAATCGATAAAAAAAAATTACAAACTGTCTACATGCAGAGAAAAGCTGATTTATCACCATCAGAAAACCCAGGCAGAAGGGGACAAGCGTATGCGATATATCATACTTAGATAATTCACTTTACAACCCTTTACACCTGACGGCGCGGCCCCGTTCTCAAGCTTGTTGTTTTCTGTTAAAAACATGCTGACAGATTTATTAGCTCTAACCGGGCGATACCACTCATGCTTGGCACACACCTGAACTGTGAATCATGCCGGCATGTTTCAGACCAAGGCAAGAGGTATCAGGTGTCTGCAAGGTGGTAGAAAAGGAGGCTTTTGTGTGGGTTTTTTGGTGCACGGTTAAATTGTTTCATTAAAAGAAGTATGAACTGGATCAGACTGAGGCGAAATAGAAATCAGACATAATCCTCTGTGGTCATTTCAGACCACAAAGATTAGGCGAGCCGGATAAATACAGGGAGTGATGCAAAAGTTCTGAAAGAAGTTTAGGGAAGAAAATATGCTTATGCTTTTGTGATTGGCTGATTCTTGTTAGTATTATATTGACACAGTGGTATCTAGATGCCACAATCACAGCCTCTTAGCCCCATTTACTGCACAATATTGATATGACTATCATAGATTCGATCATCTTGACAGGAGTGGGACAAAAGTGGCGTGACTTGGTTTCACCATGACCTTTCACAGGTATAACCCCAATGTCCTTTTGAGCAAACTCCTTCTAATGAATGAAGGAACCTTCTCGACCATCTGGTTGGCCCAGTCCTTCAGTATGTGTAATGACACCCCAGGAGAGATGCATTGTTGCGCACTCCTTTAACAACCTCAGGCATCCTCAAACTTTATGCAATGCCTCCCGACTGCCGTGCATTCTTTAAAATGCAACCGTGCTTCGTTACAGACTCATTCTTACAGTCATCGTTCACAAAAACACAACCATTGTTTAACGAGTGTCATTCCAACATGATCAGGGGGGTGACTAGTACTTAAACCTGACAAATGCTGAAGTAAAACATCCGAAATATGAGTATCCAAACACTGACATGTGAGTAAGTTGAGTGTAAATTCCACATCCGAGTCACTTTTCAAACATGCTCTTCAACTCTGACCTTATCTCAGTGAAACCGTGAAATGCAACAGTGTGATTCAACTAGGAATTAAACATGTGATGCTGTTCTAACATATAATATATCCTAAAAAGCTAGTGTAAAAAGCTGTGATAGATTTGCACACAGATTTTAATACCTTGTACTGCTGCGTTAACCACGATTTTAAACAGATCAGAATATGAAGACCTTCATTGGTATGTTTCACTGTATCCATGTGTATGCTGCAGATATGTCAGAAAACGATTGATTGATATCTTTATTTCAGTCATGTAAATGAAACTTAAAAACAGTTGAACATACAAGTAAGTGACATTTAGAAAAAACAAAACAAAACATTTTTAAGCCCCTAAGCTTACATGAGTGAGAAGGAGTAGGAAGTATAAACTTGTCAAATCGTCCCCCCTTAAATATTGCTTTACCTCCTAACTCAAACTATAACATCGTCTTAAATTAACCAAAAAGAAACACAATCATACCAATTTTTTCATACCAATCTTTACAAAAGTATTTACCATACCCTGCACAGTCTTTCCTTCAAAAAATCAACAATCATCTGACATCTAGAGGTGATTATTTATCCATGTACCTCTGGAAAATCATTTTAACAGAATTATGCTCGAAATTTTGTTTTAGCTCTTCACTCAATCCATTCCACAATTGAAACCAAAAAGACAGGACCATTATAAAATATGAGTCCCTCTCCAGAACGTATTCTTTCAGATACATAAAAGTGCTTTTGTTGGCCCTAGATTGTATTTTCTTTGGACAAATTAATGCCCCGATATATATATAAAGACAAATATTATAACTTAACAATATGGTGCTTGACACTGTGCTGTATTAAGTGAACTCAAAAACCAAGCTTCTACTGTTTATACCCTGAGCTGTTGCCGGTAGGGGGTCTGTCTTTACAAGAATTTCAAAAGTGTAGTGGAGTATGTCAACCACTGAGGCTGCACCTTCAATCCACTCCTGGGTGTGAAAGGATGGGGGCAACGTGGGGTGTGGACTGTAGGTCATAAATCCCCAGTGGAGTAGAACATTGTATGTGTATGTGCGCTCCTGCATGTGTGTAATCGCCCGACCGTGCACGTATGGACAGGCAACGAGTAAAAGGAGGAGGAGAGTGAGGCGTAACAAAGTGAAACTCCTGATACTGACCCCGGTGATCCCCACTCCCTCTGTTTTCGGTCATCTCTGTGTTCATGGAGGCAGAGGAGATTTAAAAAAAAAAAAAAAAAGAGAGAGAGAGAGAGAGAAAATTGAGAGGAGTGTGCGACTCCTGCAGAGAAACAGATGGAATTCCTCAGATGTCTTGAGGAGAGAACTTGTAAGGCATGCAGGGACTGGTTTCCTCAGTCCTTACCAAGCAGACCAAACCACAATACATTGTGTGAAGAGTGTATTAAATTCATGTCTGAATAAAATTATTCACCGATCCGAGTCAGTTATCAATCTGAGCATTAAAGAGCAGAGTGCACTTGTCAGCAGAACCTTGAACTGTCGCAGCAATTTTTGCTAATTCAGAAAATATTCCGGCGTAAAATTAATTTAGGGTCAAACTAGTGCTGGACGATAATTCGATAACAATATATATCGATCGATAGACGTGTGGTGCGATAGAAAAAAAACGGGTCGATAAAAAGTTCGATAGAAAAACACAGTTTCCCTTTCTTTTTCATCATAGCCTATCATGTAGCTTCTACTACAGTCATTACTTCCTCCCAACCAATCACAAACGCAGACCCAGGTACGCTACGGCACCAAGCCCAGCCCCTATCAAACCACAACAGACAGCACGTGTATTAGAAAAAATGATAGAGCAAGGAGAAGCGGAGGACATTGTCCCGAAAAAAGGTTTCAGTAGTTCACCAGCATGGCAATGTTTTGGTTTTTAGAAGTCTGACAAAAAGCGAACAGCGGTCGTTTGCAAAATTTGCAGAGAATTAGTAAAAACCAAGTCTGGTAACACAACCAACTTGTTTTACCATCTAAACCGATCGCACCCGCAGGAGTACGAGCTGTGTCGGCCGCGCCGCGGCTCCACGTCATCGTCGGAGGAATCCTCTGGAACCGCTGCCAGCACAAAGCATGTGAAGCAGACCAAACTGGACTTCGTTTCTTGCCAAAATACGACAAAGCGTCCGAGCGGCATAAGGACATCACCCATGCAGTAACATGCTCCATAGCGAGGGACATACTGCCAATAACTACCGTTGAAAAGCCTGGCTTCGACCAGCTTCTAGCCACTCTCGACCTGCGATATGAAGTGCCCGGCCGCAAGTATTTCTCAAACACAGCGCTTCAGGCATGAAAATGGGTCAGGGGTTGAAAAGCTGAGAACGGTGCGGAGGAAATACGTTCTGGTGTTGTTCCGTAGAATGCACACATGCATCCCGTCCACTCATTAGCTTCTTAAAGTGGAAGAAGATGAGCTCATATTTTACAAAGACGCGAGTATTTGGATCATGGCTACTAGCAGGGGGTGCATTCGGCAGGGGTGCATTCTACGACACAACACCGGCGTGGATAAATCCTGCTTCTCGTGCTTAGTTTGTGTATTAAGTTAATCACATGATAATTAAAAAAAAATAAATCTCCCGACCCCGGGAGAAATATTTCAGTGTTCAGACACCAGGCTGTGGGCAGTTTCTCACACAGTTAAAACTGGTAGTATGCTATTCCCACCTAAAGCTATTCTGTTTATTTATATATTTGTTTGTTTTGTTTATTTTCATCAAAAGACTATTTAAATATTTATTTATCAGATTTTCTGGTCACTTTAGTCTTTATGTTTGTCAGTATTTACTGACGTCACTCAGGCCACTTAAGTTGATTTCTTTTTTTTTTTAGTTCTTTTTAAAAAAACTTTCAGTTGTGGTAAAATAAAAAAGGTGGTTGAATAAAGGTTTGAATTTGAATTCAGTGCTTGTGTGTTCTTTATTAAAAGTAGGTCATTAAGCAATAGCATAAAACATCCAGGGCTGCAATTAAAATATATGTTAAATAATTATAATAATTATATCGATAATTATCGATATCGATCAATATGATTTATTTTTTATCGATATGCTTTTTTTCTATATCGTCCAGGCCTAGGTCAAACACACCATAACACCGAGTTAGACAGCCCTGAGAGAGATGAATGTTGCAGACCGCTTGCTTCTCTAGTTATACCAACTTTAGTAATGACCGCAGGATAGCAATACACAGCGGCCTATTAAACCATACTCAAACCTCAACCAAAACGCCACTCCATAGCCACAAATAATGCTCAGAACAGCACCTAACCTCATCAAGAGTACATATATTTTATGAAGACCATTTTTCCCAAACTATAGCTTTTGAAAGTTATTCATGTGACTTCACTCTAAACCTCTTTGTTTCTGTCCTCTTCTCCATAGGAAGACAATGAGATCCCTTCCAGCGTGTTGGTCAAAGACTCCCTCAAGACCCCACAACCAAGCCAGTATGATGCAGAATCCATCCAGCCTGCTGCATCTATTGCCGGTTCTGTTGATGGGAGCCGCACCATTGAGGAGGGTCTTCACACCATCAGTCTATCCTCCGATGAGGATGACGACCTTACTCACAAAGAGGGAGAAGAGCTGCTTGAGTGTGAGGAAGGAGTCGGTTTGGGCACCTCCCGCGGATATGAGAGAAGGGCTGACAAATTCAAGCGCTCCAGCCTGAAGAAGGTGGACAGCCTGAAGAAGGCCTTCTCACGCCAGAGCCTTGAGAAGAAAATGAACCAGATCACCACAAAGATCGTTCCACCAGAGAAGCGAGAGAAAATCAAGAAGAGCCTCACCCCTAATCATCCCAAGAGCCCGACTGCCAAGAGTTCTTCCTTCAAAGTCACTCCCATGACCTTCAATGTAAAGAAGGTCCGAGATGGAGAAGTTCCCACACAAGAGGTGGCCTCACTTGAGGAAGAAGCCCATGTGGAAATCCCTGCTATGGAAAGCTTTGATGGAGAGATCCCTCTTGCAGAGGTGCATACCCAAGAAGGCATGGTGGAGGAAATTCAGGAGATGCTCAGACCCTCCACCCCAGATAGCATGAAGGCGGAGTTGGCTATCAACGGAGAGGCGCCAGGCGTTGAGTGTGAGATAAATGGTGATCGCTCTGCAGGATTGGCAATACCCGAAAATGATGAGATTGTTGGGGAAGATGAAGAGGAGGAGGAGGAGGATGAAGAAGGAAAACACAAAAGCCCAGTTGAGATCGCAGTAGATGTTAAGATGCCCACAGCAACAATTACCGTAGACCAAGTGTCTTAATATGTATGATTGTAGCAAGCATCAATTCTAGTTTCCAGATTTTTCTTCCTAAAAGTTCAACATTTTTGGAGACATAGCAGGCCCAATCTGTCATTAACCATCTTGGTTTTTTTTCCCATCACCTATCTTCACCATCTTTACACACCCCTATATATCATAAAGGCCATCGTTGGACCAACATACTCGAGATGCACATCCTTTGATCACCACCAGCCTTGTCTAAAAGCCTTGATAGAGTCTAACCAAGCAAGCTTTGCTACCAGACCTCACAGTGTATCGGAATTCAGTGCAAGTGCTTCCTAAACCCTGTAGAGGAGTCCAAAGAAAGCAACGTTGCGCCAGCACACCATAACTCAATCCAATCAACGGGTGCCCACCTCTTCAATAGCAGCACATCTCCAGGGCGCTGGGCCAAATATCTCCCTCCTGCTCTGTTTGTCTGTCTCTGGAGCCCTCTTCCTCACTGACAAATAGCCTCTTTGTTCTTTGTGTTTTTTGTGAAAAATAGTAAATCTTTGGCAACAGTGACCCTGCCCAAAGCCTGTTGGAGGCAGTGTGTTGCCTGGTTGTGCAAGAGTTGGAATGGGAAGTTTCTGGGCTTAAAAGTAAGAAGATCCTGGGGTGTTTTGTGGTGGACTAGAGGTTGTTTACTGAACTCTTTGGACCTGTGCTGAAAAAGCCCAGATCTTAACTAACACGTGACTTTACTTCGGTTGTCCGAGTGGCCCTGTCTTGTCAGATTACTTCAATTGGGATGTGTACTTTGTCTTTATGATTTAACACCTGACCTAGAACAGTAGACGTTGTATGTGGGAAATCAAAGTATTTTACATTGTGATTGCCAGTTGAGTAACACTGAACCCCTCAGAGGTTAAAAATTAGTTTGCTTATAATTTAAATTTTCTTTTTAGTTGATCCAGACCACCCAAATTATACTTAATAATAAGTAATTATGAATTTATCTCCAAATACTAGTTTGAGTTTAATCACACTGATACAGCTGAAGGACACCAATGCAGAAAGGAAGCCACCTTTTACATCATAGTACATTGGTGACATCAATTAGCCTGCTGATTTTAATAACGATGTTCTAATTATTACTTTTACTGCCCTTTGTCTTGTCTGCAAGGCAACTTTGTATGTTTATGTATGTACAGGAATTATCTTGTTTCTTTATACATAAGGCCTCACTGCTCTCTAGGTAGTCAGAGCATATACTGTACACCTTAGGTTAGTGACTTTATCATAACTGCCTTAAGTTTGTGTACTTTATAAAATTTGTATTTGTGTTTTTTTTTTGGAGTTACATTCTGAAACTTGGGTGTTTGTAGGTTGTCTTTTTTTCTTTTAGGCATCCACAGCTGACATGTGAAGTGTTTTCTCAGTTTCAAATGTTAGAGACGTGAACAGTATCAGGGCGCCATCGTTAAATGACCTCCTCCTCAATGCAAACACATATTTCTACAGTGCCTTTACCATGCACAAGCTGGTATGAGTGGTTGCTCTCCAGAGAGGATGGATTTCTCTCTCATGGTGGATTTGAGAGATAGTAAAGCATGCCTGGATACACGCATGACCCCATACATCTGATTTATTAGGCAGATTCAATACCAGCTACAGAAAAACAAAGTTTGGGCATATTTATCAACAACCAACTTCAGATTCAGACATAGTCCCTGCAAGGCAAAGTTTCCTATCTTGTTGCACATCATTAATGCAATCTCAGCCTTAGTTAGCAATGCCATGACTCCCTAAAAATATTCTAACAAGAGGCACCAGGTGCCAGGTATCGAGATACAAGAGGGGGTCAAAAAGATGGATTAAGGCACAGGACAGCATTCCTAGCTTTGACTGATGACTCCTGCTCGGCCCATTTTTCATGGTCTTGGCCCTCCTTCTTGAGACAGAGCAGAGCCACAGGTGTTCTGCCCCTGTGGAGGCTCCTGGGCATGAGTTTGTGGTTGGAAGGGAGGGGTGAAGTGTGGGTGTTGGAAGTGTGAGGAAGTAATTGGAGAGAATGGTTAAAAAAAAAAAAAAAAAAAAAACTTTGACAAAGTTGCCTAAGGGTAAGGCAAATGCACAGCTTGGCAGAAAAGAAGTTTAAATTGTGAACGTCTGAAGTAAATTGTGGGGGTTTACATACCAGTACCTGGCTCTGCAGGATTCCAGGACCTATACTCCATCACACCCACCATACTTATCCTCAATGGAGCTGGATTACAAGTGAGAGGATTCAAGTACTTTGATTTCATAGCTATGCAATACCACGTTTTACTTTACTGAGGTCTACTCAACAGGAGAAAAGCAGCACACGTGAAATAGCAAAAATATTTCCTCGTAGTTGCTCATTTACTGCCTTTTACATAACATACTTCTTGTCTTACAAAAACTTACCTGCCTGTTTACTTAAAAAGATCTGTAGGGAGAATATATAATTACAAATAACTGATTGTTCAAACTTGTTTCCATGTTAAATGTGCTTAGTCATTCTAAGGCTCTCTTCTTTTGATTCTTCTTTGTGTAAATCATCTCACTGAAAAGGGATCGAACACTAGGCTTATTGTGAACATTACATGTACTTCAGAGGTAAAAATGTGACTGGCTTTGACTTTTTCTTTCTGCCTAATCAAGCAAATCCATTATTTTGGTAATACTTGTCTTCTAATATTAAAAAAATGTATCAAGATTTGTCTAAAAGTATGAATTTATTTGTCTTGAAATGATCCTGTTTAATGTAGGACAAATGTGAAAATTGTTATCTTAGAAACACAACATATCTGCAGGATAACCAGGTAGTGATTGTTTAACATCATCCCTCTTCAATATAAAGTTTCTTCCTTTAGTTAACCCCTTAAACCAAAGAAGTTTCCTTCACAGCTGAAGATTCCCTGCCACTTGAGTGTTAATGTATTCCTCCTGACACTTGTTTTGAGCATCTTTTAAACATGCAGGTATTTCCTTTCAAAATTTTAGTATCGTCGTTATCAATAAAGATTTTATAACATCCACATGTTGCTCGTGATCCTTTCTTTCCGTCAGTGTCTTAAAAGCAGGTGAGTAAATCTCGCACATTTCCACACAAATTCGATTATGGCGTATAATGCCGTGTGTGTAATGCATGTCATAAACTCATGACCCATATAGAATCCAAGAAAACATGCCACTCTGTTTACAAGCAGTTAAAGAGCAAGGTTAGTTTTTTTAACATTGATAATTGTCTTAAAAGAGCTGTCAAGAAATTCAGAAGAAATTGTGGCTGTTATGAAACTGCTATAGGCTGCTATAAAACCACTTTTCTTGTTTAAAACCCTAAGCAAGCTACACATAACCGGCAAGTTTAGATATTACAAAGCTAAGACCTGTTTTGCTTCAAATGGGGGGAATAATCTGCCAATGAGGCTCAAGACAACGCTCAACCTTCTTGGAAATTTAACAAACTAAGAACACATAAAAGTACCTTAAAACACTCAGAAAAAGAAATGGCGCAGGCCCATGTGGCACCAGAAGTTGCATTCATAGTTGTTTATCTTACCTTCTTGGGATAACAAAGTTGGTTTTCCCATTAAAGTGGATTAATTTATGTCTTAATCTGGAAATGCCAAAGCTGATTTTCTTGTGATAAAGAGATTAATCATTCTGGGGCACTTACTAACTTTTCAGCTGATCTCAACAACTAAACAATAAAATGAAAGATAAGTGCCCCTCTAATGAAAATAAAAATTGTGTCCTCTGGAAGCCTTGTAGGTACAAACAACATTAAAAAGTATCCTGTAAATGCCCCTTCAGTGGACGTAATATGAAAATGGCCCTCTAGATGTCCTTACAGGATAAAAAGAAAGAAATAACACAGAAAAGGGGGCACCTAATTGCCCTCACAACATATAAAATGTAAAAGAACTTAAGAAAAATGGGCATTTGGATACCCTTTCTTCCAGATTTAGGTAAACAAGTGTCCTGTGAATGCCTTTCCAGTTTCCAGTGGATATAATGTGATACTTTGACTTTTTGGTGACTTAATACTATGTTGAATCTACATCCAAAATTCAAGAACCAAGTTTAATACACAGTATATAATACTTTCATTTGGTTAATATTTAATAACTCATTTTTCAAGCGAGCATAAAATTTTACAATGACGTGAGGCCCGATGGAGGACGTATGCCTACCATTAATTTTTCTTTTTTTAATTGTGTTTTGCTAATTTTCTGTTTCCTTATAAATTTCCACCACACAATGTTGGACAAATACTCACAAAAGTGCAGTCCCTGTTTTGTCTCGACCGTGTAACACTGAAGCTATTAACAAATTAAAGAGTTAATCTGTTCTGTTGTTCGGTGTTTTTGGCGGTGTTTGTCTCCCTCCAATGACAGGATAGAGACTGCAAGGCAACGTCTTGAATTCCTGTCATTACGTCGTCGTCGTGAATTATGACCAAAAGCACGTTTGCAAGAAGTCTTTGATAAGAGAATTCTCATCCGAGCTGTGTTTAATCATAATTTAGGACTCACGTCAAGACTAACTTTCTCTTTTCTATTACTAAATTGACTTCCGGTTGAGGGGAGGACTGAGCAGTCACGGTGGCCGAGAGGTTAAGGCGTTGGACTCGAAATCCAATGGGGTTTCCCCGCACAGGTTCGAATCCTGTTCGTGACGTTCGTCTTTTGCTTACTACGCCACGCAAACACGAACTCCTCCCGCTCTCCTTATGATGTTTTTCAGATACATACGTGATAGATCGAACGCATTTCGGAACACATAATCGCACAAACAGCACAGGTGTCATACTGTTGGTGTTTCTCATTACGAGCAGCAGGTTAATAATGTATTTATATGGTTCGATTATGACGCTTTGTTTTCATTCCGAACTGAAATCTGTATTATATGGTGGCCGAGAACTGCCACTGCTACAAATAAAAATAGAATGCTGAGAAAAAGAAACCACAACGGAAGTTACTGATGAAAAACAAGAAACAGGCAGATAAAAGAGCCACATACAAAAAAAAAAAAAAAAAAAACACACACACACAAAAAAAAACTTATTTTCGCAATAAGTATTTTTTTTGCGTCATTAACTTCCTTGAGGGTTTTTTTTTTCATTTGCATCCTTTTAATTTCGCAGTAAGTATTTATTTATTTATCTATCTATTTGCATCACCACTTTTCTGTGTGTCATTAACTTCTGTTGTGGCTTTTTTTATTTGCATCCCTGTATTGTCACAGTAAGTACATTTTTTTTGCATCACCACTTTTTTTTGCATCATTAACTTAGGTTGTGGCTTTTTTTTATTTGCATCCTTTTATTTTTGCAGTGAGTAATTATTTATTTATTTATGTATTTATTTTGCATTACCACTTTTTTGCGCCACTAACTTATATCCTGGGTTTTTCGTATTTGAGTCCTTTTATTTGCCGCAGTTATTTATTTATTTCTATTTGCATCACCACTTTTTTTTGCGTCATAAACTTCTGTCGTAGGTTTTTTTTTTAATCTGCACTCTTTTTTTTTGCGTCATTAACTTCCATTGTGGCTTTTTTTATTAGCAACTTTTTTTCTTCTGAGTAAGTAATTTATTTTTATTTAAATAAATTTTTGCGTAATAAACTTCCATTGTGGTTTCTTTTGTCTTTTCTTTTTTTTGCATCTTTTTTTTTTTGCAGCAGTGGCGGTTCTCGGCCACCGTACATATTAACTCTACAGAAACAATAGCATCGTGTGCTGTCTTTTTCTCGCGTTGTTTGAGAACGGAATGTGCTCAGGGCATACCAACTGTTATCTTCAGTGTTGAAAGGAGAGTACATCGATTGCACGTTATTGGAACCAATTCATAATGAAGTGTGAATTAAATAACACATTTACTACGATTAATTTTGGTGATAACTAGGTTGGGTGAACATTAGCGCTAAAATATTTCTCCTTTATGTTCCCCCCCTTTGTCAGGGCGGATGTTGGACCTTCCCGGTACATATAAAGTGGACCGGCACGGTTGGGTGACGTGAATTTGGGGCATTGTTGAATTGGGGTAGAAGCGTGCTGTCAACAGCGTGTACAGGTTTTTATGTAAAAAGTCGATTCGAGGCTTTAATAGTGTTGAGTTTTAACTATGTAGGACACTTAACCGAAAGCTGTTCGAACAAAAGCAGCGAGATAAGGTCCACTTTTAGCTGGAGACACTCGTCTTGTAACAAAGCAGAGTGCGCGGTATAGCCGAGCCTTTTATTTCCTCAAATCCCCAACAGACAGAGGCTCACAAAAGGAAAAAACGACCGATCTGAAAAGATTTAACGACGAAGCGATCAGATTATGTGAAGAATGAGGTTGTCATTATGGCGAAAACCGTGAAAAGGAGGCGCACAGAGACTCGCATCCTGATATGAGAGGACGGGTTAGCTCATGGTTAGCTTCTTCTTAGCGGAGCTGTCTGTTATCAAGTTTGGTCACCCTGCTGATCAGAAGAGACCAGCTGACTTTTACAGTTAATGGGAAAAAGTCGAGATCAGGTATCAGGGTCTGTGCGGGAATCCCTCTAACATTACAGGGTTTAATAAATCCCAACTTGGTGAGCAGCAGGCTAGTTAGTTAGCCAGCCGAGCTAGCGCTGCCCATTACACGGTAACGGATCACATCTGAAGTGATAGGTTATAGATTATTGTTTCTTCAAGGCTAACAATGGCAGCCTCCACAAACGAGGCCTTGTTTTTGATAAAGGATGTGAAGCCCGGGTCCAAAAATTTGAATATCGTGTTCATCGTGTTGGAAATAGGTAAGTAGCTGGACTGTGACTCCAGAACATCAAGTCATGTGTTGTTTTTAATATGATTTATGAGGGTAAATCACTGCCAGAATAAACCTTAGTTACATTTTTATTAACATTTAGGTAATTCAAACCCCCATCTGAGATGTTGACTTGTCAAAAAACTCTCAGATAAAGCTTAGTTTAACAAGAATCACAAGAGGAAAGCTATTTAAGTCCATAAAAGTAGAAATATAACCAAAATAAGTCAGTGAAAAGAATCTTTTTTTTTCTTTTATAGTAACTATATCCTTATAAACCAAATTAGGTAGAGCTGGTGTTAATTTTCAGGTGAGTTTACAAAGCAAGATGAGAAGATAACTGAATAAACATTTATTCAGGCCAAACAGAATTGAATCAGCAGGAGAACAAAAAGCAACACAAGGTCATAAAGATTTAAAACCATAAAAGTTATGAAGCAGATTTATCTAAAATGGCAGAAATACAGAAATAAAACATGAGCATAAAAGTGGAGCAATGAGACGAGTAAGAAATAATAGATAAAACTAATACAAGAGTAGATTCTGGGCACTGTAGGAAGACTAGGACTAATAAATTAATGGAAGTTAAGTAGCTGACATTTCCTCAAGTAGTTTAGAGTTAAGGGACCCCTATAGAAAAAAGCAATCTCCATTAGATTAAACTCATTCATGCTTTCTTCTTGCAGGGCGAGTAACCAAAACAAAAGATGGTCATGAGGTGCGCTCCTGCAAGGTCGCAGACAAAAGTGGGAGCATCGCCATCTCGGTTTGGGATGAACTTGGAAGCCTTATCCAGCCAGGGGACATCATCAAGCTGACCAGAGGGTAGGACTGTTTAAGTCTAGATTACAAAGATGAGAGACACTTTCACGCTTTCATTAATGTATCTTCTGTTTTTTTCATGTTCAGCTATGCATCCATATGGAAAGGCTGCTTGACTCTATACACTGGAAGAGGAGGAGATCTGCAGAAGATTGGAGAGTGAGTAACTTGCCACAGATTTGTTTGGCTGTTTTGTACCCCATATTGAAGACCAGGTTATTTGAAATTTGTCACCAACTTTAAGCAGATACACTTATATAAAAGAGTCTCCAAACTTTCATCCCTTGAAGTCTCAGTCTTCAAATGAGTATTTATCATTTACACTGTTTGTATTTCTCCTTTTAGGTTCTGCATGGTGTATTCAGAAGTTCCCAACTTCAGTGAACCAAACCCAGAGCTGCTAGCCCAAGCAAACCAGCAGAACAAGTCTGTAAGTGCCACACATCCGCTCCACAAATAAGCAGGACTTCACTCTTCAGTTATAGTTGGGACATCTTGCTAATACATTTAAGAGTGTTGCAAAGGAGAGAATCAAGGATATCTGTATTATTTCAGAGGGGGAGGTTGTTTGACAGACAGCAGCATCATCCAAGTTACCAAGCTTTAATACCACTACATTAATTTTAATTCGCCTTTATCTTGAAAGGGAAGTATGCAGTCACATCCTTGTGCGATATGAAAAACTTATTGTAATGATGATTTTTTTTTTATTAAAAAAAAAAGTTTCCACTCTACATTTCAATATCTCATGATAAATGTGGAGTGTAGAAACTTTTTAGCTACTATTAGCTGCTAAATTTTAAGATGTGTTTCCTGTTTAAGAAGATTATGCTTTGAACCAAACCTGTAGGGAGAAATGTAGATGTGGCACATCAACATGGCTGTAAAAGGAAGCTAAATAAACTTCCTCTTTGAACAAACTTTCTCTCTTCCGTTTTTACATGATGTTACGCCCCACCCAAAGGCGGCCTTATGGGGCTAACAACTGTCCTCACCTTTCAACCCATTAAATTAACAAAACACCTTCACAAAATTACTAACTAAACACGAAGAACCCACAACACAAATGAGAGGCAGCAGGGCAGCAAATGCCTCTCATTTGTTAATTTGTTCTTTTGTAAAAATAAATCATCTGATAAATTTTATGAAGGTATTTTGTTAATTTCGTGGGTTGAAAGGTGAGGATAGTTGTTTGCCCAATAGGGCCGCCTTCGGGTGGGGCGTAACAAACACAAACACACAGCCGTAACAGTGACTATAAATCATAACTTGACCTGCTACAGTGTTGAGAACTTGTTAAAGGTTGTAACTTCCTCTACTCGCAGGGCAAACCAGATGGGAATCAGAGAGGAAACTCTCCACCCAATCAGAATTCAGGTACACCTGCACCACCAGGTCAGTATGGTTTCCGTTTTGCAGCAAAAGCAAAAACATTTCATCACAGTTACTTAAAATCAACAGGAAACAACAGTTGCACACTTTGTTACACTCCACCCTGAGTTTACTATATGAGGGGAACGACATTTCAGAGTTGACCCACATAAAGTACAAAGGAGAACTTAAAATGCTGTAAATAGGATTTATTATGAAACACACAAAGAAACTTGACTACAATAACAAATAAAGTGTTTTTAGAGCAAAATGGCTGCCTCCATTACATCATTTTTTAATGATTTATTCAAAGTGACAAAGCTGTTATTTAGCCTTGAGATTTTATCTTTAAAAAAAAATGAAATGGCTTGATACCTGTTCCGAGAATAAGAACACAAAAGGCTCCTTTTGAAAAACACCTTTTCTAAAATTAGTACACTACTGTCAAGTACTGAAACCAAAGCAGTGAAACAGATCCCGTCTTTGTCAGTTTCATTATCAGCACCTGTGATTTCCTCTCAGTGACACGTCAAAGTGATTTATGATAAGAGAGGCCTGTGAAACATCCAAGTGTCGCAATCTAACTTTCTGTGTGTGGGTTTGTTTGTGTTCCTCCACCCTCAGGTAACGGTGCCATGCCCCCTTTTGCCAACAATAACAACAACAATCCGCCATCTGGTGCACCCCGTGACTCTTCGTTCGGGGGCATGGGACGACCCAACGGCCGCTCACCTGGAAATGGAGCCCCTCCTGTAACCGCTGCAGGCCCCCCTACAACAGCAAAGTCTTCAGTTACCATTAGCAACGGCAGGGACCCACGGCGTGCCAAAAGATGAAAACTGGGTTATAGGGGATCGTGGGAAAATTACGGACGTCTCCATGTTGCCCTCCCCCTTTTTTTTTTTTTGATTTTGTTTTTTACAACTCTTGCCCCCTCCACATCCTGGCCTATCTTTGCGTTCAAAAGAATGAATCGAATTAGGGACTCTGCTTCATTTTTCACTTTTTTACAGGCTAACATAATCGGTTGTGTGGTTTTATTATGTGTAGTGCAAGTAGTGCACTCAATAAGCAGCACAATGTGATTGTGATCTACCATTGAATGCACTATCAGGACTCCTTTTATAGTCAAGCCTCGGTGCTTGAGTCGTGGTCTGCCTTCTCAGTCTTGTCCTCTTAATCTCACTGCAAATTGCCAGTTCTGTGCCAGTGTTACCGCCCCCAAAACTCCCTCCCAGTCCCTGCCCTCTTATGTTCTTTCAAACTACACACCCTACTTGAACACTTGATGCACTTTCTTCTCTTAATTTATGTCGGCAAGGTTGCCTGTCAGTTAAATCAGGAAAACCATTTCCACTTTTTAGTGGGAAAGGCCTTAAGTTGGTGAAAATGAGTTCTCTGACTGAATGCACAAGCGACATTTCTCTCTCTCTCTCTTAACCAAACTCTCTGAAGTGGCTCTGTGACAGGAAAGGTGTTAGTTTTGAGTTTTTAATAATGGCTAGATAGATTGATATTAGTCTTTTTTTTTTTTTTTCATAGGACATGTCTCTCATTGCCATCAATTGTACCATAACCGAGGTGGGACCACTTCAATACTGACGGAAACGGTTCACCAAATAAATTTTACAGTAATTCTGCCACAAGTGGTTTCTGTAGTGTAATTTACAGTTGAACACAAGTTACTGTACTGTCAATAAAATGCATTTACTTTTGGTAAAACTGAACTAAGAGATAATTTTAAAAAGTTCTTCTTTGCAAGTTTGAAGCTGATAATTTTTTTATTTATTTTTTGCATCCAAACATTTTCTGGATAAGTCACATGCACAAGTATAAACAGTATCATCACCACCCCCTACAAAACCCTACCAATAAACTGATCCCACACCTGTAAATTAACAATTTAAACCATTTATGTCGTTAAAACCCAGGATTTCTGCCGGTTTCCACTCTAATGCTACTCAACAGCACCACCTGGTGTTAACTTAAATGAACTACATCTACATTTCAAAATACCTTCTTCAGTATTTCAGCTAAGGGTTATTGTAAAGTCACATTGAAGCACAAAATGAGAAGCCATACCAGTTTCTCAATTTTTGTCTGACTGTTATGAGAGCACACGCGTTATAAACCAGAGGTTTTATACAGAAATTTCCTGCTTTAAGAAATACGCTGCACAAGACAAAACTGAATGTTTCTACACATCCTTTGTTGCACCAAGCACCTGAACTTATGGGCCAACCATGTTCATGTTACCCATTTCACTTGTGACGCATTTTACTTTTTGTAAAGTGTTTCCAAACTGGCAAACAAGTCCAGACAGTTGGACCTAAACTGGGATACTTGATAATTAAACTTAAATAAAGTCCAGATAACAGCTATAAACATAATAGATGAGTTTTAAGCGGCCAATTTGGATAAAATCGTGACAAAATAAGAAGTCTTTAAATTGTCCACATTTCTTTTCAAAGCTTAAAATTCCCTGTGATAAAGAAGCTTTCCAAATTTTCCCACAGTACACTGACCTACATGATCAAAACATGTTGATGTAATCCATCTTCCAATTAAAAAGAGGACTTGTGACATTAGGAAGTTGAAACACATGAGAAGTGTGGCAGGAAATGTGATGCTAGTCGCTCATGTGTCAACGCACAGGCATGTCATGAGCCGGGAACTTCCTCAGCAGCAGCGGTCAGTCGGATGTGTGGTCACATTTTGTGGCTTGTGATGTTTATGATGTTTTTACTGCTCGATTAACGTGTTTCCCCTGTCAGGCCCTGCAAGTCCTCTAGAAATACTGAATCCTGATATACACTGAACAAAAATTTAAATGCAACACTTTTGTTTTTGCTCCCATTTTTCATAAGCTGAACTCAAGATCTAAGACTTTTCACAAATATTGTTGTCGAATTCATCCAAATCTGTGTTAGTGAACACTTCTCCTTTGCCGAGATAATCCATCCACTTCACAGGTGTGGCATATCAAGATGCTGATTAGACAGCATGATAATTGCACAGGTGTGCCTTGGACTGGACACTCTAAAAGGAGCAGTTTTATCACACAGCACAATGCCACAGGTGTCAAGTTTTGAGGGAGTGTGCGATTGGCATGCCGACTGCAGAAATGTCCACCAGAGCTGGTGCCTGTGAATTGAATGTTTATTTCTCCACTATAAGCCGTCTCCAGAGGCGTTTCAGAGAATTTGGCAGTACATCCAGCCGGCCTCACAACCCCAGACCATGTGTAACCACACCAGCCCAGGACCTCCACATCCAGCATCTTCACCTCCAAGATCGTCTGAGACCATCGCCAGTTACAGTGCCAAAAGTAATGAAACAAGTATGTGTACTTTTTCCAAATGTTGTAAATCTTAGTTTAATTTAAGGCAATTCATGTCAACAGGTCTGTGCTACCAGCGTTTGTAATGAAGTCAGTGATAGAGGTTGGAAGTGGCATTTCTTTAATATAATAATGTTAAAACAGTGTTTATTTTGAATGTGTTTATCTCACGGTGACAGGTGGTTTCTCTTTCGATTTAAATGCAATGTGACAGCACGTCCCATGACACCACTGACTCAAAATATGGCATGAGTTTGTTGATAGGGAAGTGTTGTGGTTGAGAGAATAACAATGACTCTTCATAATAAGCAGTGATTAGTTTTCGGAGGATTACGAAAAAACAAATTAAAAACCACAAAGGGAGGAAAAAATAGAGATCTTCCTACGTGACAGAATCAAAAATCACGGGGAAAATCAGACAAAATATGACGTCTTAAAGCTGAGTAAACTCACTGACAATATAGCTGATCTTACTATCGAAATAGAAGAACTCAGAGACACAGAAATAAAACACCTGTTGACAGTAAAAACACCTTTTTCTCAGAATCATTATAACCTACATCTGCTGTGACGTGTGAAAACAAGTCTATTTTTTTCATATTGTTGAGAAAAACCGAAATCTCACTCTGAGCAAAACAGGAAAAAAAAGGGTGATGTTCAGAGTCATGGGAGGGGCATGAAGAAGTACAATGTTTGCTCCTTACCTCCTGGTGACAGACTGATTTCCTCCTAGAAGAAGACAGCACGATGACTGGTGAGTACTGACAAACCTGATTTTGAAAATTATTATTATATGTGTGTATCAAGAATAGGCTGCAGCAGGAGTTTTTACCTGTCATTTACCCCTGAGGCATATTTAAACTTATATGTATACTGTAAAATCTAGAGGGTTTTTTTTGTATTTCTTTTAAAAAGTTTAGAAATTATATTTTAAGAGAAGTAGTCCAGGATCAGTCAACAACACCTTCTCCACTTCATTAAAAAAATTGCTGTAAATTGACACATGAAGCTGTGCTGGATTTTTATGAGTATTTTGCATATAGTTAGTCTGTTAAAAAATTGATTTTTAAAGGTTTATGTTAGGTTTGTAAGTTTTTAAGTTCTTATCTTGTTACGTTCGACTAAAGCTCTGTTTCAATTGCTGTCCTCAGATCCAAACACATCTTCCTTTTTCATAGACTTTGGCTCTTTGTATGAAGAACTCAACTTCACCTACAACGACTCTGAGTTCACCCTGAACCCAAACACGCAACCATGCAACCCTTTCACCATCCCAGATGCGCTGACGATTGCGGTCAGCGCATTTTATATCCTCATTTTTGTGTTGGCCATTCCTGGAAACCTGGTGGTGGGACTGGTGATCAGTCGCAGCAAGCAAGCGCTGCCCCCCTCTGACCTCTACCTCCTCCACCTGGCGGTTGCTGACCTCCTGCTGGCCGTTACTCTCCCGTTTTGGGCCATATCTGTCACACAGGGTTGGGTGTTTGGAGACGCCATGTGCAAAATTATCACCATCATCCAAGAGCTGAGCTTCTACTCAAGCATTCTTTTCCTGACCTGTATTAGCATGGACCGCTACATGGTGATCGTGCGAGCTATGGAGGCACGCAGAGCTAACCGACAGCTGGTCAGTTGGGGGATTTGTGCCTCTGTTTGGTGTGTTGGAGCACTTCTGTCTCTACCTGGGCTCTTAAATTCAGCTTATACATCTCAAAGCTCCAGTCATACGGTGTGTGCCGAAAAATATGACCCAAAGAGCGCAGACGTGTGGAGGCTAGTCACCAGAATCCTCCGCCACACTTTGGGCTTCCTGATCCCACTGGCCATCATGCTGCCCTGCTATGGAGTAACCATCAAACGCCTCCTCCACATTCGTGGTGGTTTCCAGCGCCAACGAGCCATGAGGGTGATCGTGTTTGTGGTCGTTGCCTTCCTGCTTTGTTGGACCCCGTACCATGTCACAGTGATGGTGGACACCTTCTTCAGGTCAAAGATTGTGCAGTACAAGTGCCAGGAGAGGATAGCGGTGGACCAGGCCATGTTCGCCACTCAGAGTCTGGGCCTGCTGCACAGCTGTATCAATCCAGTGCTGTATGCGTTTGTGGGGGAGAAGTTCAGGCGTAGATTACAGCAGTTCTTAAAGAAGATGGGAGTCCTGGAGAGGGTCTCTGTGTCGAGATCCAGCAAGTCTTCGCTGTCATCAGAGATCACATCCACATTTATGTGAGAATCCTGCAGGGAAACTGAACTATACACGACTTTATGGTTTCAAGTGCGGCGCGCTAAAGTGAAACTTTTTGATGGAAGCAAAAATGTACAAAACTTGTCTTGAGAAGCCTTGAATATTCTGGCAAACTGATGATTTGTTGTCCTTGTGCCACACTCCGTACCTTCATCCTGATTGAGTTTGCGACGCCTGAATGTTTCACTGAGTTTGTACTTTATTTCTTCTCCTTTTTTTTGAAGATATTAAGCTTGGTTTTGATGTGCTTAACCTTGAATATTTCATCAAAGTTGTGAATATTTTTTCATTCTGTATCTTATTTGACTTGGTTTAGGTTTTACCTTTTTTTTTTTAGTTTGAATTTTTAATTTCCTGTCTGGTTGCCTGTCCTCTTATTTCTTCAGTCATTTAAAGTTCAGAGGAAACAGAAGTGTGGTTACATTTCAACACAGTAATACAATGTCCCCATAAAGATAGAGACTCCGCCTATGAGCAACCTGAAGTATATGTGGCAGCTTTGGAGAGGCTAAAACTGGACTTGGAGCTCAGATGATTCAGCTTTTTTACCTTTTTCTATTCCGGGGGTATAGAAAATAAATTATTATTTCTCACCTGGCTTTTTAAAGCTCAGGGTGTGTGCTATATCAGCATCAGATACAGCAGTAAAAGGGAACTATGCTTACAGTTTTGTTCAACTTTGTATGAAATAATTGTTATATTTTTATAGCTAAGAGTTTCTTTTTTGTGTGTATTTAATCTAAGACAGCTTTTTTCATGTGTTGAGTTTATATTTTCAATCATTTTAATAAATTTACATTTGTACAAAAACGTACTCTGGTCTTCCTTTTGTGATGTACACTCCATAGGTAACTTTTAGGAGGTGGAAGTTGGCTACATACAAAACCAAATCAGAACAAACAGAAGTTTATTTGTTGAATTAAAATAAGCAAAAATATATCACAAGATCAAATTTTATCCACAGAATAATGGAAAATAATCCAATATTGTAAGCAGCCGAATACAACCACAAGCAATGACTACTAAACAATTCCACAACTGTTTCTAACAGTATTTAATCAAAGTTTTATGGTGGTTATAAAGTTATATTGTCCATATCTACATTACATAGCAATGCTCTCTCTAAACCCCTAATAGAAAGCTACCACCCCCTTCAATAACAGTGGGTTAAGCATTGCATAAGGCTGTCTTAACACCTCCAAATGTTTTTTGTCAAACTTTGTCGACTGAACTTTATCCAGGCTTAACTTTTATCCCTTTTTAAGGTAAGTCTTTATTTACTACATTAAATTATGTCATTCCTACTGCTGCTGGACTTAAATGATAAAGGTAACTTCCTCTGGGCACCTAGCTTGTTATGTTCGTATTTTATGTAGTTTTGGCTTCAAGGTTTTATGCTAATTTCGCCTTTTATAGCGTTCTCATGTGATTTTAACAATATTAATGTTAATTTATCTTGAAAGGTTCGTTTTATCCTAACATACAGGTCTCCGTAGATCAAAGTGCCTGTGGTGAGTCTTGCTAGCTTCTATTTTGCTAGTTAATCAAACGGGAGTAAATTTTTCGCGGTTATTTTGTCTTTCTTGATAAATGTGATTTTTTTTTTTAAGTTTAAAAACTAAAATTAAATATCTTATACTCTGTGAACAATATTATTTTTATTTTTAATAAGTTAACAGTAAAACCGAGCTGTGTCAATATAATAACGGTGATGATATTTGTGTTTTAAGCTAATGCAGCTAATTTTTCTCTTGTGGTTGCTATCCATAATTTCCCAATAATCTGCAACAGATGATTTTTCTCAACATTTTAAAAGTTTTATTATTATTATTTTATTATTATTATTATTATTAGTATTATTGGTAGGAACATGCTGGCAGTAAAATTTAATCCAAAATAGTAAGCCAACTCTCTAAAGTCATGACTACTTTTGGCTGCATCCATGTTTGATTCTTTATATCAGTTTACTGCAACACCCCAATGAGGAAAATTTGTCCTAACCTGGTTTTGTCTTTTCCTTTGTACTACAGGTGTTCTGTTCCACACGTGTGCACCATTTTCAACATAAAACCACATCAAGTCTCCAAAACTCAGCTCATTCCTTTGTGTACCCAGTCTAAGATATCACCACTTTATGGTCAGTTATCATATCAGATATTTAAATATCTACCCTATCTGCCACAGCTGCCAATGTGCAATGTTAATACAGTAATAACATTTCGATTTCAATAATATTGGACCACCTCAAAACCCTTGGGAGGCTAACGTCAGCCTCTAACCCCAGCATAGTGCCAAGTGTTGCACCATCTCACATGTTCTACTGACCCCAGGTTGGCTAAAAATGATGATAAGTTACCAGTAAAACTGAGCTGTGTCAATATGATAATGGTGATGATATTTGTGTTTAAAGTTAATACTGCAAATTTTTCTCTTGTGGTTGCTCTCCATAATTTCCCTAATAAACTGCCACAGGCGATTTTTCTCAAATTATTATCCTGTGTTATATAATAGGAGCATACCAGCAGTAAAATTAAATTCCAAATATCAAGCCAACTCTTAAAAATAACGAGGAAATATCTGACTGTATCCAAATTTGTTTACCGCAACACTCTAATTAGAAAAATGCATCCTAACCTGGTTTTGTCTTTTCCCTTGTACTACAGGTGTTTTTCTCTGGACCTGTGCACCACTTTTCTGCAGATAAAACAACATCAACTCTTAAAAAATCAGCTCATTACTTTGTGTACCCAGTTAAAGATATCACCACTTTATGGTAAGTTATCATATCAGATATTTAATATATCTACCCTATCTGCCACAGCTGCCAATTTGCAATGTTAATACAGGAATAACATTTAGATTTCAATGATATTTGACCACCTCCAAACCATTGGGAGGCCAACGTCAGCTTCTACGTTTGACCTACAAATTAAATATCTGTCCCATACCAACTAACCCCAGCATAGTGCCAAGTGTTGCACCATCTCACATGTTCTACTGACCCCAGGTTGGCTAAAAATGACGAGGGGGCGGGAGCCGAGCAGTGAGTGGGCAGACGGATCACCACGCAGCTGTCATTGTGAGGCTTGCCGGGTTGTGACTGTCATTTCCCCCTTCAGACTGACTGGCAGAGGTAGGGGGGAGATCATGAGTGGGGTGGTCTAGCTCATGGGACAAGAAGGGGGGGGGAACCTCTGTGCAACTTGCTGGACATGACTTGCATTCAGAAAGAAGCTAAGAAGAAACAGATATCAAGGCCGCTGGGATTAAAAGGAAACTTTGAAGAAGATTTGCACACCTTGTCCTACAGAGATTTTCCATACATTGGGGAATGGTTACAACAAGCTGACGAGGGAGGAAAAAGAAGGGGAAAAGCAAGGCCGTCACTTCCAAGAGGCAAGTCAAGAGAGCTGTTAATGCAACTTGATCCAGTGGGTCTTGCCCTAAAAATACCTCTGGGTAGGAGAGTGGCAGCTATCTTTATTTGCTGAATTATCTGGTAATCAACTTCTTTTTTCCCCACTGAGGTGAAAGAACAGCAGTTTTAGGAGACTTAATCCATGGCAAATGTGTTTCTAAATGTTATATTTGGTTTTTTCACATCAAATGTAGTTATTGGTCTCAAATTCAAAATGAAAGAACTTTGTTTACTGTAATCTATACTTCATCCTTGTCATAGTATCTGAAAGTCTCCCTAGATTTTGGTTTAGAGAAGTAAGCAAGGGCCCTGTTAGTGTTAGTCAAGAGTCCATTCAAAGACCTGCCAAATCAGTCCAACCATGAGAAAAGCCGAGGTGCAAATGACCCTGAAAAAAGGGGCAGACGAAGCAATGGCACCTCCGAGCCCTGTCATCCCTCCCAAGCGGTCCAAAGCGAGCCTGGAGCAAGTTGTCCCAGAATCTCGAGGACCTGGTCTTCCAACTCCAACTCCTCCTGTTTTTATTCGCAAAATGAGGAATGCTGCCGTGGGGACGGGATGCGACATCCGCCTCAAAGTGACTGTGGCTGGAGACCCCCAGCCCTCCCTGTACTGGTACCACAATGACGACCTCCTCAACATGGAGAACCAGGAGTATGGAGGACTCTGGATTAGGGATTGCAAACCGAGTGATGCTGGACTCTACACCTGCATCGCTAATAATCACCTGGGAGAGGCCCGGAGCAGCGCTGTACTCGCCGTCTTGGATCTGGGTGAAGGTAATCCTAATTCATACATTATAAATGTATCCTCCTGTGTAGTTTGGTCATTTAAGAGTCATTTTCAGCATGAATTATCATGTCTAAATCAAACAGGATATGGATGACAGTGTGCTCAAAATATTCAGAAACTTCTCCACATCATTTCCCAATAACATAAACGTTTTATTTTACCAGCATCCATAAAAATTACCCGCAATACCACAGTTATCCAAAATGCAACCCCCCTGTCTATCAGACTACAATAAATGACATAATTTAGGATTCATTTGAGTTATCACAGGGCTAAATAGTGCCATCTTTCTTTGGCAAAGTAGCACAGATAATTAGCTTTTTGTTGTTACTGCTGCTTCTTAATTGTTCTCAGAATAAAAAGTCCTGCTTTAAATACAGATAAAGAAGTTATTGTCGAGGTTTGGCACTTCTCCAAAAAGAAAGAGGAAACAAAAAAGAGAAATTGGCATGGCATAAATAAATGGTTGGTGATGGCTGTAATTTCACTTCTCTTAGGGAAGAGTCTGTCTGCCTCACCCAGTTACACCTGTCTGAAGACTGACCCTCACAGGTGTTTAACGCTCAGGTGTGATTGCAGCCTTGATGAGTCGAGATAGTCTCTTGTTATCAACCTTTCTTCCATTGTTTTAGTTTTTCCAAAGCCAATTTCTTCTGATTTTTACTCTACGACATATGATGACATTTTGGTCCTACAGTTACAGAAATATAAATGATTTGTTTCATGAACACGAGAAGAAATATTCAGATCTACTGCCATGTGGGAGTCAGTCCATGTACATTATATTTAATATGTAACTGGCAGAGGAGACAAACTGGACTTGATTTAATCATAGCTACACCGGTACAATATGTTTACCTATGAAACAAAACATTAAGACTCATAATTAACACACTAGAATAAACGCAAATCATTGTCTCTTATATATTTTTTAATCGTTAGATGTCTCAGATGAAGTTGTTCCATAAATAACACAAATTTTAAACTGTCATCAAAGCTCTCATATGCAAATCATCACATACAAATCATTATATTTTATTATTCTGCGTGTTTAAACAGCATTTCATCACCAGTATTACAGAGAAGAACTTTTCTGTGTCGACTCTCAGCTCGTATCTCTATTTTACGAATAACTTAGTCAAAAGGTTATTGCAAAGTAACTACGGATGAAGCATCTCTGCACGTCTGAAGTGATGTGTATTTATATTTTACAGACACAGAGGGCTCATTAGATAGTTTAAAACACTCATATTCAGCTCAGTTCTAGTTTTATTTCAGTTCTCGGGGTCGATTATCTTGATACCTTTTATGTATTGTGCTCTAAACTGCAGTTTCTTTGTTTATTCTTGTATTAATGGCAGCATGGGGGTGTTGCTGTTTGAAACGAGCATGTAAGGAGAACTTGATTAGACTTCCACAAAGCTTGCAAGAAACCGTGGAGATGAAAAGTCCTTTGACAGATTAGCTAGAGGGAGCTTTTGAAGTGTGTTTCAGTCCTATTCCTCACTGTCTAAGCAGGGATGCTCTGAAGGCCGACGCCTGTTAACAGCTCTGCCATCTGATCATTAAAACCTGTTTTTATTCATTGTGCGGTCTCCAGCGCTGATCTAAATTCAGCTCACCTGAGTGCTTTGACCACCTCAGCGGCTGTGAAAAATGACATTACCATCGCTACAAATATGCCCTTCATATATCAGCTGGAGTAGTCTGTCATTCTTTGGCAGAGCTCTGCGTGAGCGTGTAGCGGAAACTCACTCTTCAATTTAGATCTGGCTTTTCCTGCTGAGAGAGCACATCGGGCACGCATTTGCATGAACAAAAATGTCAAATCTCATCACCGCTGAACACAGTTCAATCAGCGGAGCAATCAGTTTTGAAGTTTTGGCGAATGATAGCTTTCTCTGGTGATGTAGCATAAAGCCGGGAGTGCTTACATAACATTCCCTGCTGATTTACAGAAATGAGACGCTGCTCTGTGCAAGCTCAAGACAAAAACTGGGAACTAAAGGAGCAGTGATGTCTGCAGCTAAGGCATCGTAATCATAGGAGTCCTTTAAGTTTGGGCTGCATTATGTTTAAATGTTATTATGCTGAGTTAATATGAGTCCAGATAAAACGTGTCTTTAAATTTTAGTGCTCAGAATATAACATTATGGCGCAGTCTGCTCCTTTCCAGAAGATAAGCTGTTAAAAAAACATAGTTGGGTTTCTAGTTCACCTCCTCCCTATAAAAAAAGCGATTAACCACCTCCTCTGAAAGTAATTGTTTTCTACATAATACGGGTCAGCAGGATTGACTTTGCTGTGTATCTATTAAAAGTTGATGTAATTAGAAAAGTCACATATGAACTCTACAATACGGATACAGTTGTTACACCATTTTCCTTTTCAAGTACGAGGCGTTTATGATTCAGTTTAGATCCGGGCTTTTGTAAACTTTAATTGGTGATTTTATCTGCAGCTTTATGGTTACGCTGTCAAACTTATACGGTCTTTTCAGCGTTCAGAGATTTCACAGGGGAGCCGTGGTGTTCGGAAATAAAGTACGACAGTGGGAGAAGATGAAAGTGCTGTTTTATTACACCCTTGTGTGATACAGTATGAAGGCAGTCGTCGTGATAGCCTGGATCACAGGGGACGTCTTTAAAAGAGAGGTTTTATGTGACAGTCGTATAGATTCACGCATGGTTTAGTTTTGTGGCTTTTAGTATCGTGTTTTAAATCTTGTGTTTCTGTTGCCATAGACGATCTTGATATCTGAACCTGTTGTGGATTCTCTGTGCTAATCACAATCCCTGCAGCTTCCCTGAAAAACCTTGAAACAAAGTTCGGGAACAACATCTTGATTCAGGAGTGTTTCTTTGATTCTCCATTTTAACCTTCAGTTCGATTCAGCTCTCTGCTGCTTTGCCATGTGCGTAGTCTACAGCTGTCCCATCACTCAATGGTTCTGCTTGAACCTTTCTCTCTCTCCCTCTCTCTCTCTCTCTCTCTCTCTCTCTCTCCCTCTTTGAAAATGTCTCTCTGTACCGCCCCCCTCATCCACCAACTCTCCCTGGTTATTTATACAGTGGAATGTGCCAGGCCTTAGATTTTTGTGATGTTAGCAGGCCAGCGTCTCTCCTGTTACATAGGAAGACATCACTGCTAATTTTAGCTCCGGCCCTGTGTGACTTTTTTCTCCCCTCTGACAAGGGAAAGGGGCTTATTATGAATCTGCAACATCTACTAAATATGCAGGAGCATAAAGATGTCTGCCGCGCGCTGTGGCATTGTGCATCTTGCATTATCTGAACCCGTGTTACTCCCATAAAGTCTCTATCTTCCTTTGAAATACGAGTGCCGAAAAACTGACAAAGATCACAGTGGTGACATCCACTTCACAGTATTTCCTGTAACAAGGGGCTAAAAGACACGAAAAAGCGACATAGAGCCGATGAAAGTGCAGTTATTTCTTGATAGTGATTTTTTCTTTCCCTGTCAGTCTCAAAGCTTGCAGATGAACTCCACTGTTTGCAGAGACATAGCACTGGCAGCTTTAGATGTCATCCCTGAGTGTGACCATGGCTGCTTTCCAGGGTGTTTGGATAGTTTCCTCTCCATGTTGTCTTCTTCTGATAGCATGAATGTGAGCGAACAGGTGGAGCTGTGGAAATCCCCTACGCTGCCATGTTGCTCCAATTAGTCCAAAAGCACATCAATGAATTAATGTTAGCACAATAAATCCTGCAGGGTTATTATGGGCTTTTATAACAGCTGCTCTTTTCAGGATCAAAGTATCTCTAAATGTTCAAGTGTAAAGACTCGTTTAGGGCCAACATCCCGGCGACGCCACAGTGTTAGCTAGAAGCGAAATAAAGCTGGAGTGACACATGAATCGCCACCACGGGATAGTAGACATCGTAACAAGAGTCTTAAAATGTGTCCTGTTCAAGTAACACTCTGTCCTGGTAAGTCAGTGACCTCATATTCAGAGAGATCAGCATTATCTCCCTCCATTTTTACAAAAACAAGCAAAACAACATGCTAGCTAAAGCTGGTTAGCATGTCTTAAGTATTGTTTCACCCTCAGCTAAGCACTGACCACCATGAAGTCATCATTCATGTGCATTTACATATATGCTGGTTAGACATTTTGGTGCAGTTGGGGTTTCAATCAGTACGTTTACATGACACTCAAGGAAACCAAATTATTGCCTCACTTTGATTAAGACCGGACAACTTAAATGCATGTAAACACCTTTGTCTGATTGGAGTCAGAGAACTCTGATTAAGACACCCAGATAATGCGATTGGAATTCGATTTTCTCTACCATGTAAACAGCGTAGTCAGAGTATGATTGGACAATGCATGTGCGTGTGCGCCATGCCCCTGTAACCCCGGAACGAAACACCAGAGAAGAGGAGTAGCGTGCGTCTTATCTGCAGAAAAAGTAGCGTGAACATCATGTACGACAAAAACAGCGCTGTACTGATGCTCCATCTTCTTGCTCAAAAACGCCCAGCAACAATTGTAGCCACTTCTGATATCTGACAGCACGGACTTAGACTTAGGTCTAGGATTAAGCTGTGCATGTAAACGCACTGACTGTCTTACCCAAGGACAAGCAAAGACTGCTTTGTCCACAGGGGGCGCCAGAACAAATACACAAATGGAAAGTTCCTTACTGGAGCTTTAAGAGAAGGCCGGCTCATCTGCTGAGCCTCCGTCAAATGCAGCTAATGCAAATAGAAAAGGACTAAATGAGGAATCAGTGCTATTGAAATACAGTTCATATATTAAGCCTCTAGTATGTGATGCATTCTGACTGCTGAATAAGATATGTCTTTCAGAAGTCGACAGTATTTTGCAGAATAAAAACTCAGTCAAGGCAACATTGTGCAGAAAGGGTTGAATTGATGCTGTTAACATGCCGTTTGCAGAAAGTTCTTGATAATGGTTGGATTTCAGAGTACTTGCTGCTATGCAGGCTTTAATCTTGGTATTGATTTGCACAGCAGAGTGACGATAATACTCTGTGGGTAACTTATTTTGCATATTTGTAACCTAAAATAAGTATTTAATCTCCGCTGACTCAGACACTGTTTGCACAGGGTAAGTATTACCTGGGGACCTCTAAGAATTAGTGAAATGTCCCCTGATAGAGTCGGCATTGGACTGGAAAGGGAAAAAAAATACAGCCCCAAATAAGTGAGACATGAACAGGATTGATATTGTGAAAAGACCTCTGTGTGCTCCATGTGACTTCAACTTTAAAACTACAGACATAGTGGATCAGCACAGGGTTTTGTTCTTCTGTTCATACAATTTATCAGAGATCCTCAGATAATACTTACCCCGAGCAAAATAAGAATTTAGGATAAACAATATTTACTCTGCAGTGAGGCACTCCAGACTATTTAATCTTTAATTTCAGTGCGAACAACCAGGGACACATCAGACAGAATGGTAGTCTTTGCATTCACAGTGTACCGCCGGCTCTGTTGGTGCGTAATGCTTTGAGAAATATCACTTTGATTTAACATATTACTCTGACAAATCCCTCAAACGAAAAGCATTTATTCTGTGACAGGTTATTACTCCAGAACACGGCCTGTCCTGCAGCTCGCTGCAAGACAGCATGTTGTTATTTTTGACACAAGGCTGAGTATCACGTTGGGTTTCCCTGTTTGTTTAATCAATGTTGAATACATGCATTTAAAAGCAGAAGAGGTCCACGGAAAGTGCAGCTGCCAAGGAAACAAGAAGCTACTCCCCATGACCTGAGATTACATAAGACATAGAGGATGTAATTAAGCCTGTAGGTATGTGCAGTTTATCGAATCATATCTGCTTTTTCCCTCATTGCACAGTTTTGTTAGCTCCGGATTCAGCTGAGGAGAGCGTTTCCTGAGGTGTGTTTTGCAGCGTTATATTGTTCTCAGCTCAGTGCTTGATGTGTGGATTGAAATAAGCGTAGTTATTTCTGTGCAGTGGTTTATTCTTGGTGGTGAAATGAAATGTGTAAGCAGTAATGCCTTTTCCTTTCCCTCAGGGCTGAGAATCCTCACATACTGAGTCATTTCAAATGAAGCACATGGTTATACCAAAGAATACAGAATAATCAAGAAAATAACATCGGCAGCAGCATCCGACTGGGTTTTTTTTGCACAGTAACACCGTAGCTCTTTTCTTTAGCTGTGAGTATATCAATCCCATCTATCACATGCTTTGAAAAAAGCTGTGCTTTGTGTAAGCAGCCAGTAACACATTTTTTTTTTCTGTGAGAGCTAACAGAGCTCCAGCAATGCAGAGGAGTGAGGAGCTCCCTGTAGCTGTTGCAGCGATTCTCCCCTTCTCTGCCGACAACACACCGTCGGTCGGCTCGTTACACCGGTTGAAGAATAAGACACAGACACATGGGGAGGAAGGGAAAAATGAAAAATGTCAACCAATGCTGTAGAACACTGATCTCAAGAGGGCTGGATCACTCCCACTGGTTTTTCTGCCTATCGGTGTGCACTGCCTGTGGGGTGGAACACAGCGGGGGAAGATGCTTACACTGTCGCTGGCTATTGTGTGGACAGGGGGGCTCCCTCAGAGTGGATGATATGCATTCAACAGACGTTTCCACCTGCGGACGGAGGTCTATTCTCTTTGCTTTTCAGAGAGCGATCCTCTCAGAAGAAGTGCCGAGACTCTGAGGTGCAACTTATTATGTAATGGACCAAAGTGCCTTTTTTTCCTCCTTCTTCTTTGATTTTGACTGAGGATCTTTCACCGGCAGACTTTGAGCAGATAGCAAGTTTAATCTTTTCCACCTACTTGCCGATGTCTCCGTAGAAAATTTCTAATTCAGGCGTGTAGTAATGGCTCGGATCCCCCCCGTATTTTGGGGAATACCCTGCTGCTGAATGTAAGCCAAGACAAAATATCTTTCGAGGATATACCTACAGTGGCCATGAACCAAATCCATACCAAAGAAAAAATCAGGCAAGTGCTGTTTTATGGTATCTTTGTCAGTCATTTGTGTTTTTATTTTCCTTTTTCTCTTGCTCCAACCATTTGATCGATACAAGCCTCCAAAATATTCCATGTGTAATCATGAGAAAATGAATTTGTTAATAATGCTGCTGCTCAGCTGGTACACAATGTTTCATATTTGACAGTCAGAGATAAGTGTGAGTGATTAAATGAGAGGAAGGAGCTCTGTACACCTTAAATCGAATAAAAACCTGTGTAATCACATTATCCCGAAGAAACCCTCATTAAAGCTTTGATTAGACACCAAGCTCATGGCACTGCCACAGCTTTGAACTAACTTCAAAGAAGACTTTCAGAGTTTCGCTAGAAAGACGATTTACTGTAATGTTTGTCTGAAAAATTCTGCTTATGTAAGAGGAGGTTTGGAGTTTAACTGGAGGAAAAAAATATACAGAATTCAAAATAAATACAACCTCCTGAAGTGGAAACAATGCCCAACCCTAACATGACAATGTGTGTGTTACATGAGCAGCATTAGGAGGCGATTTAGACAGAGGGGGTAGTTCTTAACATAGTGTAAGTCTTATTTTGGATGCTGTTACTCCAGCTTTGTGGGTTTCTGTCACTGTTGATGATCCACACTCCCCTGGGACTATAGTGGGATATGTACTGTGACACCCCGTGTGCTTACGCTGCCATCAGACCCCTGTAAAGAAAAACTAATTAAGCAGTTCGATGTCTTTAGAATCCTGCTTAGTTCTGTAAATTTGAACTCGATGTCGATTATTAGATTTACAAATATTTTACATGTAGTTGAAACTCAGAGGAAGAGCCTGAGTTTGATGAAGAAAAAGCCCCGCAGATAACCTCATTGTTCACCCGTGTTTCTGCTCAGCCATCTGCTCCGCATGTCATCACCCCGATTGTCTAGTACACTAATTAACAAAACTAATGCAGCGTTCAGATTTAACACTATTAACGAATCTGTATTTTATGCTTTGGTAGCTGCAAGTAAATTGACGAATTGTTTCGTTCTTCTTGTCTGTGATGAGTCTTTTGTAAAGATGAAGTAAACATGGAGAAGCTAATCAGTGCTAATCGACCACCTCTGTTATTGACAGCTCTAAAATTTACTTTACAACATGAACGGGATGCAAAGTCAGGTGTCAAAGCAGGCTATTTCTTTATTTTTTATAACTTGAGTCTGATAACTGCTTCATGATAACTGCTTCATGAGACACATGAGATGAGATTTTAAAAAGGCAAACAGAGTCAATCAGATTAGATAATTTGGCACAATTCTTAGTTTTTTTTGGCTAATGTCTTTTAAATAGAAGCAGAAGTAGTACTATGATACAATATGAAAAAAAATAATACTGGGAATGGGAATCACTAGTGGCCCCACGAAACGATATTATCACGATACTTGGGCCACGATACAATATCATTGTGATTTTTAACATTTTACAATACAGTGAGTATTGCGATACAATATATTGCAATTTATACAAATTTTCAACTGTGCAGCTAATTTAGCATTTGGCTTTCCTTTATGTTTGTCTTATTTACACAGTAATTTATTTTCATGTAGCACATCTTGCAAACCTTATATATATTTATCATGCTAACTTTTTCCTGCTCTATGATGTTTCCTCTGCCGACCTCACTGGACAAACAGTTGATTTTATTTTTCCATTATCATAGATTTGACTTCATATTAGCGATTAGTTTGAAAAATCAATACTTGGTAAATGAGACGATAGGATATATCACTAGACAAAATATTGCGATACTATGCTGTATCGATTTTTTCTCCCACCCCTACTATATAAAATCTATAATATGATAAGAAACAATAAAACAGTATGATATGATAAGATGTGACATTACATAAATTGATAATGCAGTTCTACTCAACACAATATCATAAAATAATAGAATAAGATGCGATACAGTACATGTGGTATAATATGATGCAGTACATTCATTACGTGAAGTAACATTATGTTAAGATATGTTACAGTTCTTCATGTAGATTATTGTTGCACCACATAACATTTTACATTACGTTAAGCTGCGTTATGTTATTTTATGTTTGTTGCATTTGGATATAATGCGACTAAGATATTGTGAGATTTGCTCACAATACGACATGATGTGATTCAGTGCCACACAATGCAATGTAGTGCACTTTTGTTGTTGCCGTAGAGATTTTCGTCTTGGAATAAAAGCAGCAGCAGCACGCCTCAGGTCTGGGTAGTGCTACTGACAGAGTAATCTAGTTTTAAGATTTAAAAAGCTTGAACATTATTTATTCACCAGACTCTTGGAGCACCACATTTAAGATACCGCTACGTTAAATGTCTGAGTTTTCATTTTTTGAAATGCTTTGAGTAATAATATAAACTCCACACGCTCAACAAGTGAATTCTCAACAAGTTTTTCGCTTCAAAGAATAAGACGATGAAAAGCCCTTCAAACATTTGCTCTGCGGCGGCCCTCCGCTGGATTCACACCAGTTTTCATTACAACAAACACCATCCTTATGAATTCTTTTACTGCAACCGAACAACAGATAGCCTCTGTTTATTATAAGCAATAACACCTACTGTGAAGCAAACGCCTCATGAGAGCTGCTGGGATGGCAGTGACTCAATAGTGCTTTCTATTTTGAGTTCTACCAGTGACTGAGTTTGATCTCAGTCAAGGGAGAACAGTCATCTTCAGATGGTTAAAATGGAGCAAATTGGTGGTTTTAAAAAGGTAAAACTGAGAGAATGCCCCACATCTGTTGTTCTGCTCCTTAATTTTCTGCACCCCTTCTCTATACCAGCATGCAAATGTTTATGAGATAATTATGAATATTATAGACTCAGCAACAATACAGCTGCTGCAGATTTTATAACGTTTAGCTTGGCTCTGCTAATTAATTCCTGCGGGGGACATCTTTTAAAGTACAGTAAAGTGACAGTCAAATAGGATACGACATAAAACTAAACTTCCACATCCTTATGTACCCATTAATGTCAATTTGTACTGTAGATTTTTGTCTGTTGTTTACCTTGAAAGGAGTGAACTGAGCAGGAAAAAACGAGGTCTGTTGGTTTTTATAGTAATGTGTGATCTCTCCTTTTCTGCTGCCACCATGGTAACTCTCTCTAAAAATGATTGGAAAAAAAAAACTATTGTTCAGTCCTGCAAACTCTTCTTTTGTCTGTGTAATTTTTTCTTCTCTTTTATTCCTTTTCAGAGTCTGACACAACAGATGATGAAGGTGAAGACCAACTTGAGACCAAAGAAGAGGGTGGGGATGTTGAGGACCAGGCTGTGTACGCAGGTATCAACCAAGAAGATTTTGATTTGGACTTGTTTTTATTTTGGTTGGGCTTTAGTTTTTTTATGTATGTGAAATTTCTCTCTAATTTATATGGAGATTATATGGTGTTTGTTGTAATGAAATATATATTAGATTGAAGTAAATTGTGTAGTGAAAATTTAAAGAGTCTTTATGGTAAATATGACTGCTAGCATGTTGGTAATCTAAAAAAGTGCATGAATATACAAAAATACTCTGTTGTATTTTACACTTTAAGTTAATTCTTTGTTGATTTGTTCGTATTTGGAAACTCATTTGAAACCAAGATATGGAAACCCTTGCTATTCCAGCTTTACACATCAGTTACACGATCAGTGCAGGTACCTGGTTGTTAACCTGTTCAGTGAGTCATATCTCCCATTTACATGTGATGCAGTGAAGGACAGATGTTCAGAAGATGAAAATAGAACACACGGATATGAAGATCACTCAAACACAACCAGGCAAGAAAATGTCAAACATTCCCATGAAGTTGGAAAAACATGTACAAAAGTTCTAAACTTGTAACAACCCACAGATTTTTCCTCAAATTCTCTATTTCAGGAGCCAGCCAGAGAATTTTTCAAGAGAATCTCCCCCTGAAGTCCTCCCACCCCCGTCCCCAAGACTTGTCAAACGTACCTCCACCTCTCCGATGCCAAGCCGCTCTGGTTCAACTACACCTCTCAGCTTACGGAAGAAAACTGTTTTGCCGACTGAGTACCAAGACACGGTGCCTGGGGAGTTTGAAGAAAAGGTAAAGCAGCCAAAATCTACGACACAAAGTAGCACCCAGGATTCCCGGCCTCAGACTCCAGTGAGCGAGTACTCCCGCAAAGAGTTCACTCACAGACCTTCCCCGAAGCTGACCAGAGCTAGCTCAAAGGTTTTCGAGAAGGTCCGTGGCTTAGAAGAGCGAAGGCGAAGCCTTGATATTCCAGAAGGTTCCATTTCAGGAAGATCTTGGGCCGGGTTTAACCGTGCTGGATCCGTGGACTCAGATGATGGAGGAAGCAGATTGGGTATCTCCAGAGAAAGTTCCCGAGAGGATCTGAGGGAAGCATTGAAGGAAGATGCTGCTGAGCGTAGATCTCTGTTTAGACAGAGAGCTGCTTCCCTGGAGGAGAAACCTCGCTACTCCCAAAAGGTTCAGGACATTGAGAACAAGTTCACTGAGGAGCTTCAGCGCATCAAGAAACTTGTGGGTAAACCTCATCTGAAAAAATCCTTTTCAACTGAACAGCTCACTCTGAGGGGCAAGCAGCGCCAGCCTCTGAGGAAAATTGAACCCATTCCTCCACAAGTCCTTCAGAAGCTCCAAGAAAGGGAACGAGCCCAGTGGGCAAAGGAACAGAGAGAAAGGGAACTAAGTCAGCAGCCAATGCAGCAGCAACAATCCCTACCCCAAAGGACAGCCAGCACTGCTATTACAAGCGTGACGGTCAGTAGATTTGGAGAGGTTGCCGGCACTCCCGAGTCCATGCAGTTATCTGACTTACCGGGACAACGACCAGTGAGGGAATTAAGCAGAGTCAGTCCAGTTACAGAGATCGTCCAGAGATCATCATCACCAGCTCTATACCATCAGCAGAGGGAAGGGTCGCCCAGCAGAAATGTTTCTGAGATGACGTTACGTAAGGTTGAACGAAGGCCCCCGAGTCCGCTTGTACAAAGAGTATCCCGAATGCAAGAAACCCAGCACATCCCAGACTCTCAAAAGGACGAGCCTTCCGGGAGAAAGACGCCGATAGAAGTCGTACTAAGAAAGATTGAAAACAGACCTGAAAGTCCACTGGTGCAAAAAAGAGGCATACTCATGCAAGAGCTTCCGTCATCTCAACCTCCTCAGAAACCCCCGAGGATGTCACCACTCAGTCCGACAGAAGAGAAAATGGAAGTGGAGCAGTCTAAACCAGCCTTAAAGATACGAATCCCAGCTATTATCGTTGAAGACGAGAAGATGGAGGAGGATCCTCCTGTGAAGGCGAGTGAGCCTCAGCAGACCACTACCAGCACCACAGAGGGACAGCAGCCAAAGACCAAAGCAAAGAAGCGTCGACCTCGACCCATGTCTCCAGAGCAAGGTCAGATTTCTTTGTGCTTCTGTTCCTTAGCGCTCTCTCTCTGTAGGAGTTGAATTTCCACTCTGCTAAGGCTTTCATCTAAACTCAGACAATCAGCAAGAGAGGGAGAGTTTTTCTTCAATTTTAACCCCTGGAGAAAAATAACTAAAGGCTTTCCTTTTGATGCACTCTGCAGATTCTTCAGATGATTCTTACGTGTCTGCTGGAGAAGACCCAATGGAGGCCCCTGTGTTTGAGTTTTCCCTGCAGGATTCTGTAGCATCTGCTGGTGCAGATGTGCAACTAAAATGTATCATCGCTGGAACCCCTATTCCTGAAGGTATTACGTTACGATGTCATGCATGATCTCTGTATTTTACCCACCAGATTGTGGCAGGTAACGGTGAAATTAACAAATCTGCAAACTTCTCTCTGTATTTTCTCTGTTGAAGTTACCTGGATGAAAGACGACTCTGAAATCACTGGGATTGCACATTACACGGTTAAAGTGGAGGGTGAACGTCACAGCCTGTTCATTAAATCGGCGAGAGTAACCGATGGGGGGAAATACTGTGTAACCGCTGTCAATCAGGTGGGCAAGGCGTCAAGCAGTGCCACCCTTATAGTAAAACCAGGTAAGCTTGGCTGTAAACTGTTTGTAGGATTAGTCTGTATTTTCTAAGATTTATTTATACTTAGGGTGACCATATTCTGACTTACCAAAAAGAGGACATGACTACATGGGGGCGGAGTCACGGAGTCGCACAAAGTTAATTTTGAGAGTTTTTCGGGTCGGATCGAGTGTCTTTAATGCACTTCTAACTCAGTGAGTCCACGTGACACAAACTCGAAACTTCCGTACAAATTCGCAGACATTTGAAGGATTTTGCAAACTTCCCTTGACAAAGCCGGACAGCCCCCCAAAAAGAGGACATGTCCGGGTAAAAGAGGACGTATGGTCACCCTATTCATACTGGAATTTATTTTCTCAAGAAGACGCTCAAAATGTGTGAGAAAATATTCTTCTCTGGTGTTTGACATGACAGACTGATTACACATTACTGCCACCTACAGGCCTGGCATGCCTTTGTACGGATATCTGACTGCTACTGTGTGGACAAACATTCATAACTCTTGTAAAGTGGGCAGGGTTTTTATTTTGTTGTTGTTGTTATGAAAGCACAGAGGAAAAAGCTAATTTTCTGTGTACATGTAGACATGGCATTAAATAAGAGTTCTTGTACCAAGGGAGCGATGAAATATGCTGTTAGCTGTTCATATTATTATTATTTTCCTATTGAATGAATGAAAAAAGGCTCACATATATACAAAAACAGGCTAATGTACCCGACAGCAGCCTTTTATTTTGAAAAGATCTTATCCTCCATGGTATAAAAACACCCTGTGGCCTCTTTCCACACTGGCATTGTGTTTCTGCTGATTTCTCTCCGGCTCCCTTGTCATTATCTCTTTGAGGAAAATGTCTCTGCCATATATTCCAGCTGAACAACCTCACTTATAGTTACCATGGCAACTCAGAGGCAAAAGTGAACCTATAAATTGCCCACTGAGGCTCGCTGGCTCCACCCACTGTGAATCCACTATTGTTTGGATATCACATTTGACATCTCAGATTCTAATTGTATTTTATGGAGGCTTTGTTATTTCTTTATTTATTTCTTTGTTGGAGAATAAACAACCTCCTTGAACCCCTGCACTGTCACAGCTTTGTTCTCTAACAATAAAGCAAGAGTGGGCCGAGGCAAAATGAAAAGGTGTTTTAAGGACTTCTTTGTTTGGAGAATTACATGAAACATAAGACATATCACCCTGCCGCTTTCACAGAGTCTGTGCACGAGCCAAGAGGGAACCTGGGTGTGCCTATGGAGATCAGCAGCCCCATCACATCTGATGAGGAGTATCTCAGTCCCCTGGAGGAAGGCATGGATTTCGGTGGACCCGAGCCAGTGCGAAATATTGACACACGATTTAGAAGTCCTCCGTCATTCCTGGTGAGATCTGCAAGACCTAATTAGATATCTCATTGGCTTTTTTGTATTTAATGTGATGTTTATATGGTAAGCACTGACTGTGTTAAGAAGATGGACATCTATGATATAGAACATAGGCCACGCCTCCTCCACACTGAAAGTACACTGGATAAGGATGAGAGAACATTAACTGATATTAACTTCTATGTGCACAAAACACACTCTACTTTTCTAGAGATGCATCAGTAATGAAATTCTGGGCTGGTACCAATATTTGTCAGCTAAAAGCCAACTCTGATGCTGATGTTCTTTGTGATTATTCATGCTTTTAATGTTTTAGAGTTGTTGCCAGTCGCCCCAACTTCTAAATTGTCATTGGAAGACATTCTGATCTGTCTCCCAGATATTGCAATACTCCCACATAACCAACGTTCTCTCTCACAAAGCAAATCAGATTTCCTGCAGGTGGCTTCCTCCTCCAAATGGAAAACTTCTTTTATAGGCATCAACAAATGTAAATTTTGTACTGATTTGTCGGTGCAGCCCTTTGAAATTGAAGTAAAATCAGATTACTTATTAAAGTAAAACTGTGGAACAGCTTGCCCGATTAACTTACATATTCGTGTGTATATATGTGTATATAGGTATGGTTGTATATATGTTTATATAAGGTCTTTGTTTCAATATTAATGATGTTAGACTTTGGAGTTATGGTTACTTTTTGGCGACTTCAGAAATTCTAAAATTCTAGAGACATGTAAAGGGTCAACGAATAAGAAGGAATGAGGGTAGGTACTAATAAGCTAAACAGCTTCTACCTACTCGTTTTCGAGCTCCAAAGAAATAGAGAATTTCTTGTCTAAAATTATACTGTATGAATATTTGATTGAATAAATAATCTCTAATGTAATGTAAAAATGTAATGTGAAGTGCACACTAAATTTATAAAGTGAAAGAGGTTAGTGCGAGCAAAAACAGGACCTTCTTGTGCTGATATCGGTATATTTTCAGCCTGCCCAACTGCGCTTCACCCCGATGAGTCGATTTTTGGTCAAAAATTTCAGGGTTTTAGTTGACCAAGAATTTCTTTGGTTGATTACAGCCCTAGATGTCAGCGCCCATTATGGTGGTTATATTCACATAACTTTTGTACAAAAGGAGCAGGTGAAGACATGTCCTCCATCTTTCCATGCAGTCAGTGTCATTCATCATCGACGCTTGTTTTTTGTTGTATTTTCTCTGTTTTGTGATGCCAACTTTAGTGTAACTTTATTTTAGCCTCTAACTTGCATTACATTTCAAACAGGTAACCATGAGTGATCAAGCTGTCATTGAAGGACAGGAAGTCACCATGTCTGTCCGAATTAGTGGACAACCCAAACCCATGCTATACTGGTAGGTTCCCCTTCACTGTCTTCGAGTGTCTTCAGGCTTTGCTTGCATAAGTAGAAAAGTCTGTCTCTGCATAACAACCATGAGCTGAGCCTGTATGCTTGGCTGCATAGTTTGTCTTTCAGCATGCTGCTTGATTTCATCTGTTAAAGGAAGTGGAAGCTTAATGTTTACCGCCTAACAATCTCCTGGCTGACAAAAAGAGTCTTAATAGGGGAAAGTGAAGAATAACATGCTCACTGTGTTTACCACGGAGCTGCTCAGTGCCCAGAAACACAAATGTCTGCCTAGACTAATGAGCTCTTAGATAACAATCTGCAGTGCTGAGGCCATCCAAAAAGAGCCTGATATGTTGCCGCTTCCTCACAGAGACAGGTTCTTTAGTGTTGGAGCATCTCTTTTACAGCTTGTTTTATCAGCCAGCGGCTCCGGGCTTCTGTTGAAGTAAGAGCAGCAGCTTCCAGCGGTATACTCTGCAATAATCTATGTTTTTCTTAATGTCAGAAAGCCCTTGAAAGAACCAAGTATAATGTATCACCCTTCCTTCTGCTATAAGGCTCTTTCCTTCGAGTCAAACCCGCATACATCATCCCGCTGCTGTAAATATTCACTGGCGCGCCCCTGGTGGATTTATCTACAGCTGAAAATAGCTTCTAATAAAATACGCTGTTTGCTTTTGTATGAGTAATGTAAGCCGAACACAACAGTGCCCGGGCAATTACAGAGTTCTGTGTAGAAGAAAAACTTTGTAAAAGTGATTTTTTTATAAAGATTGATATTTTCGACTACCTACCATAGGTTCTCTCCCAAATCTAATCACCTCTTAGTCTCTGCTCCAGCACTTTAAAGCATGTAATTCAGGTAATCAGTTTAGTACCTGCGGGTTTTTGCCACGGGGGAGCCTCAGGTCTTAAAACATGAAGGTAATGCCGACAAGTCAAAAGCTGCAGCTCTGTGAGCGCCCTCTAGAGGCTGGCTCCCAAAACCAGGGAAGCCACGTCTATTTATACAGTTTACAGTCTGGTTTAAAATAAAACAACACTCCATTCCTTTACTTCATTTCTGTTTTTAGGACAGCTGTGAAGGCGGATTTATTTTTAGGACTCTTTTAAATTAATTATATCAAGGCTAAAAGTGAAGCAGAATTACGAAGGTGGGGCAGGGACGCTATGGCAACTAATAAGTGATGTCAATGAGACTACCATGCAACATCCTGTTAGATTTTCAAAATAAAGCCCTCAAGTGTAAGATGTAAAATAGTGATTGAGGCTTTACTGCAGAAACAACATGATGAACTATAGGGAGGAAAAAAACAGTTTAGACCTAAATAAGCACTTCAAATTGACATGGACATAGAAAACGTCACATTTTCACCTCACAAATTATACTATTGCAATGATAATTGATAATTTCGTGATGATAATATGACAAAGCCTTCTCTGATTTTCAGAATAATGCATCTTATCGCAGTTTTACAGGGTTTCTATGCAAATATCCAAAGTATGGAAAAAGATTTGATCAATTTCCAGGTGTTAAAAAGTATTGAAAATGAAAAATAAAGTATGGAAAAATATTTATGTTCCCAGACTATTACTACAGTTCTAAAATTCTGTTTTCTAAAACAGAAAAGTAGGTATTCACAAAAATAATCCTAAAACAAAGGGTATGGAAAGGTACGGAAATTCCAGCTGTGTAGGAACCCTGATTTTAGGAAATGCTTTTATTTCTAATTGAAATAGATGAAATGTAATTTCTTCTCCTAATCCATACAGCAGTCTGAATCTCAAATAAAGAGCGTCAGCCCCGGCAGGAAAGATGGAGTGTATCGAGTTATTGACTAACACGTCGTAGGTGTTGGTCTTTTTATGGGATTTGTTGACATTAAGAGAGAGATACAGAATATCGTCAGCCTTATCCTTTAATATAGGAGCCGAGAATAAGCTGAATCACCAAGGCAGGTTCTGTCACTGGAGTTAGTCATGGCTCTCGAGAGACAATAGCAAAGAACAAAGTGCTAAACATAATATTGGCAGCCCTGGATAATGTATCCCACCCCCATTCTCCTTCCTACCAGCCAGAGGAGAGCTCGCAGCAGAAAAATGGTGTGCTTGCTTGGTCATCCCTTATTGCATAAATATGATATTAAAAAATAAACTCTGAGTGGTGCACCAGTGATTCATCACTTGTGTTAAAGCGTTGGAACCGATTCTGCTCTTTTGTAGGCTGAGGGACAGAGTAACGGTGAAATCAGGCCCACGCCACATCGTCCGGGAGACAGAGGAAGGCACTTTTGAAATGACCGTCAAGTCAGCTGTAAGATCAGACTCTGGGATCTACACCTGCAAAATCATTAATGAGTATGGGACAAAGCAGTGTGAGGGGAGGCTGGAAGTCAAAGGTAAGCCTCTTTATTACAAGCGTAAAATCCATATTTGTACCATACACCCATAATGACCTGAAACTAGTTCACAACACGTACGTCCAGGTGTTAGTGATCAGCACTCTTCAGAAAATGTCCTTCATTTCAACTCAGCTCCACCAGTTGAGCCGGGTCTGGCCGTGATCCGCCCGGTCAGGGACATCACAGCCAAGGCCGGAGAGACCGTTCTGTTTGAGTGTCACGTCATCGGACCGAAGGACACTGACGTGGACTGGCTGGCAGATGGGAAACTGATCCAGCCGGCATTGCTCAACTGTAAGATGCACTTTGATGGGAGAAAGTGCCGCCTGCTGCTCAACTCGGTACACGAGGACGACAGCGGGACGTACATGTGCAAGCTGAGCACTGCTAAAGGTACTCCTCGAGAGTGAACAACACATATTAAAGGTGGGGGAGGCAGGATCTGAGGAAGTGCCAGTTTTTGGGAGAAATCTTGAATGTAAACACTAACCCTCCCAACCAGTTTTCCTCCTCTCCCCTCCCTCTCTGCTCCAGAAAGCCCCGCCCACAAACAGACGCTCCTGTTCCAATTAAATTCAGATATAATGCAGATAAATACTTCAGATCATTACAAATGGGGCCCAGTCAATGTGAAAGTAAAAAGCATTGGTGCTACTGTAGATGCCAACAGACTACCAGCAAACACAATGTAGGACTTCTACAACTAGGATAAAGTGACATAGTCCAGGACCCGAGGTCAAGGGTTTAGCGGCGCTACAAGACGCATACAAGAAACACTTCTGTTACAGACACTTGTCTTACTTTGTTAAAGCGGTTTACCTGTCCAGAAGAAAGGTTACAGGGTCTGTAAGATCCCAAAGCATCCCTCATCTTGTTGACCCGGCTTTTTAACTCTTGTCTAGGTGGTCTACCTCCTTTTTAAGCGCCTGTTATTCCACCAGAGTCTCCGGTTTTACTTGGTTTTCTTGCTTGTGTTGGCAGTCGTGGCTAGAAGAGGATTCAGACAATTTTCTGCACTTTCTGGTTGGTTTCTACTGTCTGATATTGTAGCACGCTAACTTTGTTTGGGCTCCTGAACGACACGGGGGAGCAGTGTGTACCTCAGAACCAATCAGGTTGGAGGATGTAAAATGTAAAATGTTGACTACACAGGCATAACAAAACGCACCGATATCATTATATTCCCAAATGTCATCAATAACTAATAACTATTGACTGATATTAAAAGCTTTTTTTGTATAAACACCACAAAAAAAGATGCTTCTTTAACGGATTCCTGCCTACCCCACCTTTAAATGATATTTAAGAATTAAAACAACTTCTTTGTAATTGAGGTTATCGGTCTGTTGTCTGTTTTGACTGAATTTCACTTCTTCCTCTCCAGAGGAGTTGACTTCATGTGGAAAACTCAAAGTCCTTCCTTCACTTGAGCCTCTCTTTACCCGCAAGCTGGACGTTCTCGAGGTGATTGAGGGACGCAACGCTCGATTCGACTGCAAAGTCAGCGGGACACCGGCTCCTAAAGTCATCTGGAGTCACTTTGGTAGGATTTTGCTGTCTACTGGTCTGGAAATACAAACTGTGCGAAAAGAGGATTTCACATTATAAAAGTTTAAAAGTGGTTTCCCAACATGCGGGTTTGGAATGAAGAGGCAGGTGTGTAGGGGGCCTTGAGACTGTAGCCTCGAGAGAAGACAAGTAGTGCTCAGCAAAAGCAGTGTGTGGGATTTTCTCTTCGGAGGGCAGCTTTTAAAATGTTCACCATAACCTGTTCATGACTGGTCAAAGTACTTTCAGTGTTCGACACAGAGCCCAAGTAACCTCAGATTTAGCAGTAAATCACAGTGCTGCAAAATAAAACAGATCAAGTGATTTGATTTCACTCGCTACAGCTCCTCTCCCCTTTAGCAGTGATTATCAGGATTACAGTGTTTGCAGCTCCAGTCCATTTCTCATAAAGACAACTGGGTCATCATCTGACATCAGTTGAAACACACTCTTAGACAGGTAGACCCGCTGTAACAGAGTTGCAGATTCATGCTTTGCTGACACTAAATTTTGGCTCTTCACACTGATGATAAAAAATCACACTTGCTTTGACGTGAGGACGAGGCGGTGTTCAGAGAGTCAGAGAGGAACAGGGAGAAGTCTGGGGTCCAATTTTAGACTCTGTCAGTCAGAAATGACTCTCCTCCCCTGCTTTTTCACCTGCCACTATAGCTGCATCAGAGCACAGGGTGATGTGAAACTGCTACACCATGCAGGTACTAGCGCTCCGAGGCATTATTTGTAAAAGAGTAGGAGGCAAATGAGATGTTTCAAGGATGTTGTTGTAGGAAGAAACAAATCTTAGATACATCCTGAGGCAATTACACCAAACAACGAAAAGGAAATGTCACCGCCACGTTTCTTTGTGTATAAAATTCAGGTTTCAATGCTCTGAATTAATGCAACAACTTCATTTTTGCAACAAAAGTCGAGAAAATCGACTTATGTAGCAGCACTGCAGATGAAATAGAGAGAAACAAAAGCTGGGCCCTCATATTACATTCAGAATAACGAAGAGCGCGTGTTAAAACTCATTATAAAGTCTCTTCAGGCTCTTTGCTCTCTGCAGAAATAGGTCAGCAGTTACATGAAGCCAGTGCACCCCGTGAAGGTTGTTCTTAAGTATTAATGACAGAGATGACCACACGCTGTTCTGAACCACTTTGAGCTCATCTCAAACGAATCTATTTCCCCAACAGAGTGTCATTCACTGAAAAAAGTCTTTTTTTTAAAGAGGGGAATAACTGGAAAAGTTACAGCTTGAAATTTGGTGTGTGACTGAATCTTTAAATCTCCGTAGACCACCCGCTCACGGAGAGTGAGGACGTTCGGATCCTTCAGGAAGGCGGCCGCCACTCTCTCATCATCTCCCATGTGACGAGTGACGATGAGGGTTTTTACACAGTCATCGCCCGTAACCTCCACGGCGAATCAGAGAGCTCTGCAGAACTTTACATCCAGGAACCTCGGCCGGCCATCTCCTCTCAGATGTAAGAGCGTGGTCTTCACTACATATGAGGTGAAGGGGTTATGTATTCATGTTGTCTATCTTCTCTCCTTTTTTAGGGCCAAACTGGAGAAGATGCCATCAATCCCAGAGGAGCCGGAGGTTCCAGAAAACGAGGTGGAGCGGTTCACCATGCCAGACTTCATCAAACCTCTTTACGACCTGGATGTGATCGAGGGGAAGGAAGCCGTGCTCAAATGTAAAGTGGCGGGTTTGCCGTATCCCACCATCGTCTGGTTCCACAACGGCAAAAGGATTGAGAGCACAGAGGACCGAAAGATGACGCAGTGTGAGTGTTACTAAGTGGATTAACATTCGCCCAGTTTTCAGGCTTATTAAAAGTGCTCCAAAACGTACAAAGCAATTAAACTGCAGGCCGAAATGAAAATGACATTTAATTATGTGTGTAAAAAAGGAGACTGTACCCTCAAATTTTGACCATCACATGACCAGTGAGTAATGCGAAACATTCAAACACTAACCCCTGTGACTGCATACCGAGTCTTTTTATGAAATAATCCGTTAAAAATACAAAATCAAAGACAGGTGCTGTTAAAACTCGACATTTTTATCCTGTTTAATCCCTTCAGATGCTGACAGTCTCATCTTCTAACATCCTCTAATCTCTGTTTTTTTTTTGTCTGTAGTTCGTGACGTTCACAGCCTGGTTATCCGCTCTGTGTGCCACGCCCACGGCGGAGTCTATAAGAGCGTCATCTCGAACAAAATCGGCAAAGCCACCTGCTACTCTCATCTCTACGTCACAGGTGACTCATGAACTGCAGCAGCTTTTGCCACGGCTGTTTTAAACTTTATTTCAGCAGTAGTAGGGTCACAAAGTATCTTATTATATCTACTCCAGAAAATACTCGTTTCAAGTGAGTCTCTCATAGCTCTAGTGATACATGATGGACAGCTGTAACCCTGTGATTGCATTATTATTGTCGATAATAGTGGATCTTTTAATCTAGCTGTAACCTCTGATTGCGCTGCCATCATTTTCAGATATCCTCCCAGACCCTCCTGATGGGACTCCAGTAATAGAGTCCATTACTGGTAAAACCATCACCTTAAGCTGGAAGAAACCCAGAAGACTGGACCCTTCAATTGGTATATACGGACCTGTTCACATGAGTTCTAGACCAAACTGTTGTTTTTTGTAGATGGGTGATACCATCTTGGTGTTTCTTTCAGATCCCAGCACCCTGATGTATGCCATCCAACAACAGGCCCTGGGCTCCATCCAGTGGACCATCATAGCCTCCGGTCTGAAGGAGACCACCTTCACCATCACTACCCTCTCCAAAAATGTGCGCTACGCTTTCAGGGTCCTGACCATCACCTCGAAAGCCTTCAGCAAGCCCTCACCTACCACCGAGCCGGTGCAGCTCCTGGATAGAGGTTTATACTTGGATCTTTGAGACCATTTATTCATCCATCCATCTATCAGAGAACCATTACAGTGAACTTCAATGATGTTCTTCTGACAGGTGCCTATCTGCAGGAGGCTCCAGTGATAGTTGATAAACCAGAAATTGTTTATGTGATTGAAAACCAATCGGTCACCATCACTATCACCCTCAATCATGTCAACGCTGCAGTCGTCTGGAAGAGGTATCTGCATCTCTGAAACTTCTATTTCATCATAACTGAACATGCATTAGTGCTTGGATTTAATTAGATTGTTTTATGAAAAATATACGCTCATTTACATTTAATGTATCACAGGTTCAATACTCTGTGAGAGAAAATCAGAGGCTCAAAATCCATTCTACCTCCATTATCTATGAAAACAGTTTGTCGCTGTTCCCACGAAGCAGGGAAGCAGACTTTCAATAAACATGATGCAGAAATGCGTCAGTGTAAATGGTAGGGATGGGCGATATGGGCTAAAAAATTTGTCACGATAAGTTTTGCCAACCTGGCGATAACAATAGAAGTCCCGATAAAAAATCTTATAATTCATGTTCTCTCTTCAGAAACCCACAAACATCGTTCTTGGATGGCACTTACCAGTCGGCATAGTCGAGTATTAAGTTACGGATAAAACTAGTGACATCAAACAAATCTGAAATGTGAAAACACTTTCAACATTTATTCACAACTCTTATTGCACAAAGTGAAGAGCAGCAGCAGATCCACTTCCGATGTCAGGCATACCTGATTTCGCTTGTCGAAGCCCCAATCTTTACCACTTTAGTCATGTTTGTTTGCAGTTCTGTTCTGTGTGGTCTACGGCTGTGAGTCTATCAACTTGTGTTAATAGCATTTATCGTGAGATTGCAAATAATTATCATGGATAAATGCGACTGATAATTTATCGCCCATCCCTAGTAAACGGCTCCACTGTGGTTAACTTACAAATCTGAGAATGTACCATTAATGCTGAACAACATGTACGAGTTTAAAGGCAACATATGGTGCCGTCCAGATGATGCCTTTTTAGAGAAGATCTTGCATATTTCAGTAAGACTCTGTAAAAATCACAACAGCATGGCTCTGTAGAAGAAGAGTCCAGGTGCTAAACTGACCCAGCTGTCATTTGGTGCAGAGGAGACCCTGAACCGTTGATCTGACCGGTCTGGAATTGAGATTATTTTTGTTGTCACATCCTTGTTGGTTGTTATTCTAGCTGAAGTTTATTTACAGCAAACATGCCACCTCATGCACCCATTGTATTACAGGATAACCAGGCAGCATGACAGACAGGCATAAATATGTATGACGGTGCATACAGGCAGCTGTTCGAGACTGAGGGATTATTATAGATTCCAAACCAATGAGGTCAATAACAGTGACCTGAATTACACTCAAGCAGCAGCCAAACAAATACAGTAATAGTCTGCTTCCCCACCTTTTATATATTTATTCGAGTTAAAGATACAAACATTTTTCAACAGGCGAGGAGCGATCCTTTCCAGCAAGCCAGGTATGATTGAAATGACAATGCCAGACGACGACCAGCACACGCTGAAGCTGTTTAAAGTGAAGAGTTCTGATATCGGAGAGATGATGTTTTTGGCCTCCAACAAGCATGGCAGCGACACCTGTACCTTCAACGTGGAACTAGCAGGTAAGCAGTGGGTAAATTCACCCGTCCAGTTTTCTGTCAAAAGCTTCATTTTTTCTGTCCTGAGTTTTTACGACTGTGTCCACAGCTCCACCCACCTTTGAAACAATCATGGAGGACTTGGATGTCAGCTCTGGAGAGACACCTCGCTTTGCTGTGGTTGTGGAGGGCAAACCCGTCCCTGACATCCTCTGGTTTAAGGTGTTTTTCTGTTACAGTAACTTAACTCTGAGTAATTTTTCTAGTGATTTTAGGAGATAATAAAAATGCTGTCATGGTATTTGTTGTAATTAAACCATATCTGCTTTCAGAATGACATCCTGCTGTCAGAAAGCAGTCATTACACATTTGTGTACGATGACAACGAATGCTCCCTGGTGGTCCTGAACGCTCGTCCAGAAGACTCCGGGGTGTACACCTGCACCGCAAGAAACTTAGCAGGATCTGTGTCCTGTAAAGCTGAACTCACCATCCACCAAGGTAAAAAGTCCGTCTCTATAATGCACGAAAAATCCTTCAAAGGGAGGCAAAATTTTATCCCAATCAAGCATGCAGTGGATGAGATGTAGATTTTAATTTGACAATCCGAATCGACTCCTTCAGCTAAAGCTAAAGAGGATCCAGTAGATGATGAACAGACGATTTTAAGGAAAATGCGCAGACTGACTGACTACTACGACATTCACAAAGAAATTGGAAGGTAAGCCGATTATCAGAGCATGTTCGAACCTGATAATCAATGGATAAATCAAGATATCCTCATAGTAGACACTTTGATCTAATGACTTAACTGAATTAAGATTTAAGAGTTTCAATTACCTGCATTAAAATGATGGTTAAAATCTTAATTTCTTGTCTGATTCTTCTCTTCAGAGGTGCATTTTCCTATGTGAAACGTGTAACCCAGAAGGTAGGCAAAATGGAGTATGCTGCAAAGTTTATCTCCACCCGGGCCAAGAAGAAGGCGTCTGCGCTGAGAGAAATGAATCTGCTTTCCAAGCTGGACCACGAGAGAGTCCTTTATTTTCACGACGCCTTTGAGAAAAAGAATGCAGCCATCATCATCACTGAGCTGTATCCTTATTATGCAGCTTAAACACAGAGCTGCCTTATGGAGGCCGGGAAAGACAGCGGAGGGTTATCATATGCAAAATAAAGTATAATATGTCTGCCTTTTGTTCTGTGCATACAAGCAAAAAGCAGTTATTGTGCAGTGAGTCTAATTTCCCAGAGTGTACAACCTTAATTAATCTGTAAAGATGCCATGAGGAGCTTCTTGACAGATTTACGAGGAAATCTACGGTTATGGAGTCAGATGTAAGTCCAGCTGATCTTTTACTTAAAGCTGGGGTAGGCAACTTTGGAGGGACCAGCACGAGTCAGCTGGAGTGCAAAAGTAACCTCTCTTTTAAATTTTTATTTTTATTTATTGATATTAATATTTATTTATTTATTTATTTTTTTGTTATTTGTTTTTTTAAAAAAAAGAATTAAAACATGCCACACATATCTGTGTATAAAAAAAGTAACCTCTTTTTTAATTTTTAATTTTAATTTTTATTAATTTAATTTAATTTATTTTGTATTTATTTTCAATAAAAAAAAAACATGCCACTCATATCTATGTGTATAAAAAAAAGTAACCTCTTTAAACAACATTCAGTCCTTTCCTCTTAAGACAGTCCCCTGAAACCCGAACACTACAGTCACTGCCAAAAAATTCAGCGAATATTTTATAAAAATGTCCCTGAAATAAAGTCCCTACCCCGGCTTTTGTCATTTCCAAATTGATGATCCATTCTCATGGTTAATTCATTTGAGAACTAACAGCCGTACTGATCTGTTTGTGTTTGGGACTAACAGGTGCGCTCATCTATAAGACAGCTGCTGGAGGGACTGGACTATCTTCATCGTCTGAACATCCTCCACCTGGACATTAAGGTAGTTAACACTGATCATTACCCGACCTTTTCATACTCTGAGTATTTTCTTAATTTTCTTATTCCCTCCTCAGCCTGATAATATCCTCATGTCGGACGCCCACGGTGATCAGATCAGAATCTGTGACTTTGGCAACGCAGTGGAAATAACGCCTGATGAGGCTCAGTACTGTAAATACGGCACTCCGGAGTTTGTTGCTCCAGAAATCGTCAATCAGACGCCAGTGTCAAAAGCAACAGACATCTGGTAAAGTATCCCTTGAGTTTAAAAATGGATAAAAACTATTATCATTTGTTTGATTTGTTTTCTAATTCCTCTCTTTATTTGTCCAGGTCAGTTGGAGTTATTGCATATCTGTGGTGAGCACAACTTTCATCTAGTTAAATCAATTTTCAGTCTTGTTTCATATATTCCAGGATGCTGAATGTCTATTTGTGTGACTAAGTATTTGTGTCTCCATCCAGTCTGACAGGAGTTTCTCCATTTGCTGGAGAGAACGACCGCAGCTCCGTCCTGAACATCAGGAACTATAACGTGGCCTTTGAGGAGAACATGTTCGCTGATCTTTGCAGAGAGGCGAAAGGGTTCATCATAAAGTTGCTCGTAGCAGACAGGCTGTGAGTAAACAAACTGGATCTCTTTTTTTGTTATCACAATCAAGTCTGTGTTTTTCAGTAAATTGATTGAACATAAACGCATCTGAAGCTGATTAAATCTCCTGGGAGTCGTGAAACAGACTGAAAGAATCACAGCTGTCTCTTTTTAAGCTTTTAAACAAGCTCATTTCAGGGATTTAGTTTTCTTCATAGCTGTTTAACAGATGGACATGTTGCTCTTTATCTAGAGATTCCTCAATCTCTGTCTGTCAGATGCTTCACTTAAGAGAGCGACGAGCCTGTTTTAGCCAAATAATGGGAAAAAAATTGACAAACTTGAACGGCTAAAATATTCTGTAATCTTTCTTTAGGAGACCTGATACTCAGGAATGTCTCAGACACCCCTGGTTTAAGGTAACACTAAATTTCTGGCTGTGGTTTCTACTTTAAAATACTAATCAAAGTACCATCCTTAATTTCATGTTAACTTTTGTTGTTCAGACATTACATAAAGGGAAGGCCATAAGCACAGACGCATTGAAGAAGTTTGTGTCTCGCAGAAAGTGGCAGGTGAGGATACTTTTATCGTCTTGCTTTAAGCGCCACCTTAAATCTAGATTTGGTGATGTTTCTGTTTTTAACAAATCCTTCATATGTTCTCGATTACAGCGTTCACTGATCAGCTACAAATCCAAAATGGTCATGAGGTCGATACCCGAGTTGCTGAATGATTCCTCGAGTCACATCTCCATTGCGGTTCCCAGGCACCTTAAGGAAGGGTCACCTTTACCGTCATCATCCTCAGATTCTGACGAAGACCTCGACGAACTGCCTTTTATTCCGATGCCGCTCAACATGGAGTTCTCAGGATCCAGGATGTCGCTGAATGACATCCAGACTAACGAGCAGGAAACGGGAAAACAAGATGGCAGCAAAAGGTCTGGGTCTGCTCAAGACCAGGAGGCTATGGAGTGTGAGCCCAAACAAGCGGATAAAGACGGGGTTGACGTAACTGGTAAAGGGCGCCATCGGAAAAGGTCGTCACCTGACAACGATAAGGGCTCCTCAGATGAGGAGGCGCCTGCTGAGTTGCCGCAGAAGTCAGAGCTGAGGAAACCTCTGCGAAGGGGTTCGAGCATGGAGTCGGACAAACCCGAGGGTGGACGGCGAAGAGGGGAGCTGAGACGAGGAGGGTCAGCTGACAGTGCGCTACTGCTCCGGATAACACCTGAAGAGGGCGCTGCGGAAGGAAACCAAGAGGAAGGTAGGAGAGTTTTGAAGAAAGCCGTCTCGATGGAACTACCGAGGAGGAGCACCAGTCCAGGAACCGTAAAGATGAGCCAAGAAGACTATGCTCTGAAACTGGAGCTGATGAGACAGCGTCTGCTTCGCGGTGGATCTGTGGACAACAAGATGAGTGGACTGAGAGGACCTCTGTTGGAAACATTAGGAATGGGTGATGAAAAACGGGCCGTACCCTCAGATCGATACCCTCGTACTGCTCGTTTGGGTCCCGCTCCACTAACGAGAGCTGCTTCCAGCGATTCTGCTCGAGATGATATTTCCAAACCCAAGATTTTGCGCAAAACTGCGTCTTTCAGTCAAGGAGATTCAGAGCCTATAGCGCTGCATCGTCGCTCAGGGGCTCCTTTGGAGATTCCTTTGGCACAGGTAGAAGAAAGACGGCTGAAGGAGGCGATATCGATGTCATCACTCACCGACCAAACCAAGTTTGATTCCCGGCCTGTGACACCCAGGGATCCTTCACCCAAACCACCAACACCAGAATCTGTTCTGCAAGAGAGTCCAACCAAAACCGAAAGTGAGGAATCGTTCATGGAAAAAGAGATGAGGCCTGATGATAGCATGAACGAAAGGATGGACGGGCTGACGACAGATAGCAATTTTGACGAAAGATCGAGCACGAGTGGCTTCTCAGAGAAGGACATGAGCATATCAGAAGAACCGATGATCGAATCAGAGTATACGAGCCAGAGGATGCCCACGCCTCCTCTTGCGGTGGAAAGCTCTAAACTTGAAGACAAAATGGAGGAAGAAAAAATGGAGGAAGGAGAGAAAGGAGAAGAGCAAGAAGAAAAAGATGAGATTATGCAAGAAGAAGAAAGACCTGTTACCACTGCTAAGGAAAATGTAGAAGTTGATGAAGAGAAGGTAGAAGAAGAAGTAAACATGCCTCCACAATCTGATGTGATCATGAGTACGGCGAGACCAACCCAAGAGCCTCTTTTTCCCTCGACAACCGTCGTGTCCACCTTTGTTCCACCCTCGCTTCCGGCTCGCGTCGTTCTCCCAGACGGAAGGACTTCAGCCTACGCCAGCATCATGCAGACCATCATGGTTCCTTCACTTCAGCCCCTGAATGAACAAACCATTGGCCCGTCTTCGCCTGTAGTCCTACCAAACACTTCGCCATCACCAGGGTCAGTTCTACACCCACCTGCACCTACTCCGCTCAAGCCAGTCGTCATCTCAACGACCGAGCACCCCGCTGTGTTCGCACGAGTGGCCTCCCCGGAAATGATCACAAAGGAACCCAGCCCACCGAAGACGATCACACATTCCTCATCACAACAGGAGCTCTCAGCGGGAATGGACTTAGAGGACATTACCTCCGAGGAGGTCTTTGAGGCCCGCTTCAAAAAACGGGAGTCCTCCCTCTCTAGAAGCCTCAAGTTTCTGTCACGGTCCAAGAATGAGGAGAAATTACAAGGAACTTCATCAGACTCCACAGAATCAGGGGAGGAGATTTACAGACCCAGGCCAGTTGGTGCACCGTTGGAATTAGCACCAAGGAGACTTGAGGAGAAGTCAAAGTCAGTCCAGGACCTTCGTGAGGCTCAAAAGGACCAAGGCTTTATGCGAAGACTATCTTTGCGGTTGAAGAGAACGCCATCTACTGAGCGCAAGGAGGAAGCGACCAAAGAGGATGACTCGGCCTCAAGGCGTAGACTCTCCTGGACTCTTGGCCGGAAAGGGTCACAAGAAAGAAGGGAGGTAGAGATGATGCGCATGGACGGTGGAGGTGATTCACTGGAAGACCAAGATGAGAAGGATCTTAAGAAACCTAATCAATCACCAGTTCTGGCGATGCGAAAGAAGATCGAATCAACCGTGGCGGGTATCTCCACGAGGATCCGCAGCTACTCAGAGGAAAGGAAAGCATCAGAAGACAAGGAGTCCAAGAGGACGCCTATCCTTTCCATGCTTCGCCGCGCCACTTCAGAGAGCCGAGCTCCAAAGGTCGTCGGTGTTCCTCAAAACCAGCTGGCAGCTCAGACCAGTAATGGTGCCTCAACAGAGTCTCTGGACTCAATGAAGTCAGACACATTAAAATGTATAAAGAAACAAAAAATGTGAATTCATTCAAGGTTAGAGTTTGTTGATTTAGTCGATGACAGAGTTGGTCTTTCTTCTGTTAAAAGCTGCGGAGGCTGAGCGCAGATCTCGCTGGGATCGATGGGGCCTGACCAGAGGGAGACGAGACAAGACGGTATCACAGCCGGACATACCAACAGCAATCTCCAGAGAAAATAGTTCCCTACGCTCGCGCCAGTACTCCAAACTTGCTTCTGGTAAGTGACCGAGTGACCCTAGTGTCCGTGTGGAGTATTTGACATGAAGCACATTTATTCAGTGTCAGCGGTGTCATTGTGTGGACAGTTTAATCCTTGATCGTCACTACCGTACTGAGAAATTGTTTTAGTGTTCCTGTTCCTCACTTAGCGTCACAGTGAACATGAGCAGTGGTGTGACAGCATAATAATATCAAGTAAAGTTTGTGAAAAATTTACACGTTTTTTTGTGATCAACTTTTTATTTAATTTAACTTAAAAGAGTAGAAAGGTACAAGTCAGTGTTACAGCAATGAATAATAAGATATATATTTGCATATACCCAGACCTATAAATGTATGTAGATACATATAAAAATAAGTAAATAAATAAATGAAACAAGTATATATATATATATAGAAATAAGTAAAATAAGAGTAAAGACAAATATACAAGAGGTGAAATAATAATAAATTACACATGCATGTAACAAGATCAAAGAAAAATAAATAATTAAAAATTAAGTTGACATAAAAGTCCAATTACAGCCAAAAATAGCAGGTACAGTGTCTGTGTAGAACATAAAGACCTAGATGTTTGCTGCTAGAAGTTGATCTATCAGCTCATTGATAATTATTGGCATCACATTGTAGAGCAGTTCCAACTATCAATATATAGTATTGATTCATTCTAAATTTTCTAATGTTTGGTGCAGATTTCCCTCCTGTTTTCCACATCAAACTGAGAGATCATGTCCTGCTGGAAGGAGATCCGGTCACACTCAGCTGTCTGCCAGCAGGCAGCCCCCACCCACAGATCAGCTGGATGAAAGGTAAGGGTCTCAGCATGTCTCACAGATGGATGCTCAGAATTTAAGTGACTTTAAAAACTTATTTTTGTATGTTTTATTTTGTTTCCTCAGATAAGAAGCCCTTGCAGATCGATGCCAGGATGAACATGATCGCCTGCCCTGATGGCAGACAGCTGCTGATGATCATGCAGACCACCAAGAAGGACGCAGGGGTCTATGAATGTGTTGCTGCAAACCCCCTGGCTTCTGTGTCCAGCTCTTGCACAATCTCTCTTGCTCGTGAGACTTTGAATATTTGAATCTTAGTTGAATGTCATACTTAAAACAAAGAAATACAATAATAGATACTGTAAAAGTGTAATGGTGGTAATACAGATACATTTGCGCCTGCAGGTCTGCCCAATCGTCCCGGGACCCCTGAAATACCTCAGAAGTACAACAACACAGCCCTGGTACTGTGGAGGCCCTCGGACACCATGGCTCCTTGCACGTACTCCCTGGAAAGGAAAACAGAGGGTCAGTTCTGTCAACTCTGGTTCAGAGATTAGTCTGTATTCGCCTCGACAAGAGAGGGAAGTCAAGTGCAAAACCGCCCACTGTACCCTGAGGCCTGCAGCAGCGATTGTGGTTGACCTCTCTCACCCCTGACACAGACTCTCTGGTCTGAGAGCCCCCCCCCCCAAAGGCAAGAGGCTGCGGTCCATCAGGGTCAAAACCTCTTGCCACAAAACCAGTTTCTTCTTCTTCTCTGCTGCAGGCCTCATCAATGACGCTCAAGCCTACAAACATGTGCTCACTGTCGTATGGTTCTGTATCATTTTTAACAGGTTCCATATGTTGGTATTCTAGCTGTTGACATGTCCTAGGTTTATTTTAAGTGAGCTTTTCATCCAGCTGCAAAGATTCAGCCTCTGTGTCTGTGGGGGCTAACCTCTTTATCCACGCGCAGGGATGCTCTAATAATGAGGCAGTGCTCTGAATGGCTGCCTGATCTAGACTGAGGGTTTCAGATCAGTCGAGATGTGGTTTAACAACAAATAGCTAAATAGTTAGATAGGTTTTTACTCATGTTTTACCCTTAGATCATCACGCAACACTGATCTTATTTTGTATTTTTGTGCCCCAGGTGAAACCAGCTGGCTGATTGTGGCTACAGGAGTGGCAGACTGTTATTACAATGTGGTTGACTTACCAGCAGGGGGCTCCTTCAGGTTCAGGGTGGCCTGTGTGAATAAAGCTGGCCAAGGCCCCTACAGCAACCTGTCAGAGGTGGTCAGCATGGATGCTTCAGGTCAGTGTGAAATTTGTATTTTGATGCGTTCATGTCTTCAGAAAAGAGGAAGTGTTGTTTTTAGCTCATCGCCCAGTTTTCAGACAAGGTGTACTCCTTATCTAAGAATCTTTTGCTCCTCTTCTTCAGTTCATTCATCAGAACCAGCTAAATCCAGTTCTGCTGTGGTGGTCAAGACTGTCCCGACAACGTCCCCTCCTCCACCTGTGGTGATGATGTCGTCAATGAAAGTGCCTCCCATTAAACCAGCTCCTCCTAAATCCACCACAGCCACAACGACCGCTCCCTCTGTGTCAGCTCCAGCTCCAGCTCCAGCTCCCTCTAAACCCACTACAGCAGCACCACCCGCTCCCTCAGTGCCCACTCCAGCTCCAACTCCAGCTCCAGCTCCTGCTCCAACTCCAACTCCAACTCCAGCTCCACCTGTGGTTAAATCTCCTCCCCCAGTACAGGTAGATGCAAGCCGACCTGTAGTTGCGCCGCCCGTTAGTGCACCATCTCCTGCACCGACCACCGCAGTTCCACCCGCCAAAGCCAAGACCACTCTGAGCATCAGTGTCAGCAAACCTCAAACCAAACTGTCCGCCCCTCCTGTTGTCCCGCCCAAACCCCGCAGTCCTGTGACCTCAAACCCCTCCATCATCAACAAGCCCCCATCCCCTGCACCCGTCATCGGGAAGCCTATTTCATCCATCCCCATGTACGTACCAGCCGCGACCTCTCGTGTCACTCCGCCTTCTCAACCTGCTCCCACTCCAACGACGCCCACCGCCCCTTCAGTCCCTCCTGTGGTCATCTCGCCGCCCGTGGTGGTGGTGCAGAGCTTGACGCCCTTGGTGCTGCAGGGTGGAGACAACAGGGGCACCCCGTCAGGGAGGCTCACACCATCAGGACGGCTCACACCAACAGGACGGGTCACACCTTCAGGACGCAGGACGCCACTGGGCAAGCCAGGAGAGGGATCTCTGCGCCAGGGGGTTCCACAGAAACCTTACACCTTCATGGATGAGAAAGCAAGGTAGTGAAAATATGAAGCATGTTTAACAAAAATACAGCTCCCTCTCTGCTTTTCGCCGCCTCACTTCATTACTCATTCCTTATCACACAGGGGTCGGTTTGGCGTGATCCGAGAATGCCGTGAAAACGCCACAGGAAACCTCTTCATGGCTAAGATCGTTCCGTACGAGGCAGACAGCAAACAGGAGGTGCTGCAGGAGTACGACATCCTCAAGTCCCTCCATCATGACAGGATCATGGCCCTGCATGAGGCTTATGTCACACCCCGCTACCTGGTGCTTATCTCCGAGTACTGCAGCGGGAAGGAGCTGCTCTTCAGCCTCATAGACAGGTGAAGACAAACACCTGCTCCTGATCGATGTTTGTCCTTCACATGTGGAATAGTTTCTCTGTCCTGTTTGTGCTAAATGAGAAGATTTTCTGTCGAAATGCATCAACGAGCCGCTGCTCCAAGCTGTTGTTTGTTTTGCTTCAGGTTCCGTTACTCAGAGGATGACGTGGTGACCTATGTCGTGCAGATCCTCCAGGGTCTGGATTATCTCCACACACGGCGAATCCTCCACCTGGACATCAAGCCAGAGAACATCATCGTCACCTACATGAACGTTATCAAGATCATCGACTTTGGCAGCGCTCAGACATTCAACCCTCTCTTCCTCAAGCAGTTCAGCCCTCCTATCGGAACACTGGAGTATATGTGTAAGTCCAACGCTGCAGGGAAAGTGATAAAAGCAGCATTTAGCCGTATTTTAGAGCAACAATTGATCACAAGGCTGTGCACAGAGAACTATCCACTCTGTAATCTCACCAAATCCAGCCCAACGTAGATCGCAAAGAGATGCAGTCAGCAACAAACAAGCAAGTATTTACATCATGTCTATATATCGATGCTCCTATTTATTATAATCAAAGTAAGTTGAATGAATGTGTTTATTCAGGAGGTCTCATTAGACCAGGATCATGATGACGATTACCGACACAAATGATCATACTTTATTATAAACAAATGGACCAACTATAACTATTACTTTAACTGATTTTTAGTCAGACAGTTCCTGGTTGTTGATCGTGTTTGTCGTCTTGCTTGCAGATATTTTTTTTGCATGTTTATATCCTGTTAAGTGATAATTTATTATTTTTAACCAGCAGAGTCCACAGGTGGATTCTGGGTACTGATGGGCAGTAGTGACATTGACAGAGCAGAAAGAGAGAGGGAGAGGAAATTTTGCAGCTTATATAGACAACCAGATTTGTAGAGAGGCTCGAGGTCTCTGCTAGGACTAGCTCGCAGACTCGGATCCATTTAAGCTGCAGGGGCACATCCAGAGGGATGGCCAGAGGTGGCATCACCCCCCCTGAATGACCACCCCTGGTAGTAGGGCTGGGCGATAAACCGAAAATTTATATTGATTTTAGGCCATATCGCCCAGCCCTTCATGGTATCATGAATAATAACTAGCTATCTGCAGGATTTACCGTAATATCTGGAATAGAAATCAAGGATAAACTATAAATACATAAGGGGTACAGAGGGTGTGATAAAAAGGCGAAGATACTGTAGGTTTTGCAGGATTGAGGTCTTATATGTATTTTGTTTTTTTCAACTAAGTCTAGGGATGAAAGCTCTGGTCTTTCACTCATTTATTCATAATATGAGAACAAAAATTCAGTGGTTTTACAAGTACGTATCAGTCCATTTGTGAATCAGAGTAATAAAAATACAACTTATGAGCCTGCAAATTAGAATAATGTTTCTTTTCGGTACTGAATTATTTGGAAAATGACCAAAAAAAAAAGTCAAAACTTGAAGAAATAGAAATATAAAAGAGTTGAAGCTAAATATTTTACTCTTGTCGGTCTATTGTGTGATGGAGCTCTTCAGTGATTCCCGTTTTTGTGGACAGTTTATATAACGGTTTTGTCAGTGGGCGTGCTCTAGCTGTGAAACCAGGAGAATTCTGAACTTACTAAAACTCTGTATTCACACATTTCTCAAATCTTAACTCCAAATCAACTCAGTCCATGCAGAGAATCACACGCATGAAGTTATGAACTCTGGTTGGAGCGGTTTAAAGGCTTTTTGTCGGTGTAATTGAACTTCTGTGTGGTGTGACGAAGCCTGTGAATTCCCCCTCTCTTCGTCTTGCAGCTCCAGAGATGTTGAAAGGGGATGTTGTGGGCCCTCCAGCTGACATCTGGAGCGTGGGTGTACTGACTTTCATCATGTGAGTACAGTGTTCGCAGCTTCCACCCGGCGGGTCCTCTTTAAAAAGAAATATTCTCTGTGTGTGAAATGAAGCTTGTGGTTTAATATTTGTCCACTGCACGGTCTTAGAGGCGTTAATGACAGAGACATCTTGATGTTCTTTTAATATGTGTTTAAGTCACAACCAACAGTTTGAGCCATTGGGATTTCATAGCGCGTTCTTCAAATGATCTGGACTGTATGACTTTTACGTCTGGACTTGCACTTATTTTCCAGGTTGAGCGGCAGGTCGCCTTTCACCGAAGTTGATCCTCAGGAGACTGAAGCCAGGATCCAGGCGGCGAAGTTTGACCTCTCTAAACTCTACCAGAATGTGTCCCAAAGTGCCTCTCTGTTTCTTAAAAAGATCCTCTGTAGCTACCCTTGGTAAGTTCAGCATCAGACCTGTTTTAAAACCCCAGTTCATCGATATGTATCAATAAAAACTGAGTTTGATGGAGGAAAATAGTACAAAACATGCTCTTCCTCTGATATGACATTGTCTGGATGGTGGTATTACGATGCCCCAAAACCTGTCTGTATTAATCAGCATTACAGAAACGGTGCGTTCCTCGATGTGGAAGCTACCCATACCAGGGGCACTTGTACCCCCTTATACCATCAGGGATTTGGGCTTTTGAGCTCTGCACTGATAATCAGCTTGGTGGTCTCTTTTCTCTTCTGAGCTGGGGATGTTGCATTCATAATTTGCATGTGTATATTTTGTGACCATGCAGTGAGTTCCTCTACAAAGTCGTGTCTGTTTTTATTGCGCTGCCACCTCAGGGCTTTGAAGGATATTCCGGCGTAAAATTTAGTTATGGTCAAACACAACGTAACAGTGAGTTAGACACCACCCGAGGGATGAATGTTGCTGAGTGCTTGCTTCTCTAGTTATACCAACTTTAATTACGACCACAGATAGCAATACACAGTGGTCTGAGGAGCCATAAACTGACCTCAACCAAAATGCCACTCTATAGCCACAAATAATGCTCAGGGGCCTCATTTATAAAGCTTGCTTACGCACAATACCTGGCTAGAAATTGCGTACGCCACTTCTTACGCAAGAGTTGGGATTTATAAAAGAAAAACTAGTGTAGGAATGTGCGCAACTTTAAGCAAACTCCACACCTTGCTTACGCACTTTTTGGAGACAATCGGAGCAAGGTGAGAATAGTCCGGGTGATGCGTTCAGCACAACGGATGACTCGATGCAGCCTTTCTGTCCTGAGAGCTGCAGCTGCCGTACCAGACAGTGATGCTCGCAGAAAGCACAGACCCCACTGTGGCGGTGTAGATAGTTTGCCAATTTGAATTTACAAATGTGCAAAAAAACAAATTCCATTTACATGCATTTGTTTTAAGATTAATATGACTAAATCTTTTTGGTTTACGAACTTTCACCACATAAGCAGCGGTGGATAACGGAGCATTTTTTTTTTTTTTGAACACATGCACGAGTGTCACACGTGCATGTTTTTTTTTATTCTCACCTGTCGCCGCCACGCTCTCATGGTGCAAAGCCACTTTTTTCTTTGCCTCCACCTTTAGATCAGACCACTTCTTCTTGATTTCGGCACAGTTTTGTTTTCGTCTACGTCAGGGGTGTCAAAGTCAAATGGACGGAGGGCCAAATAAAAAATTTAGCTACAAGCCGAGGGCCGGACTGATAGAATGTTCATTGAAAATTTTTTAAATGACGCATATAGTCTAGTGAACCTAACTGAACCTACTGAAAACCTAACAAATATATTCCAATATGATCAGATAAATAAAGCAATATTTTCTTATGGCTCTGTCAGTAATCTTTAATTTTCAACAGACACAAAAGACAAATTTCCTTTATATAAAAATCCCCATAACATGAACATTAAATGAAAGAAACCGGTATTATTCAAGGCACCATCAGTAGCCTATATTTTCTATTTTAGCAAAAGTGGGCTAAATTTACTTCAAAGAAAAAAATAATAATAGCAATTTTCTATCATCCACTCAACTGAAATATTTTTAAAATATAATTGGATTGAAATACAATAAAAACGTGTTTCGTTTCATAATGTCGTCCCAGCAGTGGCGGTTCTAGACCAAATTACTCCCCGGGCGAGCACCCCTCCAAGTGCTCCAAGATCCTGAGGTTCTCTGACGTGTTAAGGTTTACAAAACAGCTGCTATCTCGGCCTCTGTAGTAGATAGAAACAAAATTCAAAAAGTATTGGAGAGCTTAAACATGTGGCTTTCAAGAAAGCTCTCTTTTAGTTTTGCGAACCTTCATCACATCTTTGAAAAAGAACAAACAAACTCAAATGAAATAAGGCGGCTGTATAAATAAAAGTAAAGGCTCTGCACTGGAGAATGACAAATAATTTGCTTTCTGTTAAACAAGTGGCAGTCATGATAAAGTGTCCATTCAATAGAAATGTAAATATAGAAAATAAGGTGTTGAAAGGGTAAACAGCTGCCCCAGTATAGTGCCAGTACAAAAGCAGAACTAAAAACTAAAAAATGAATAAATAAATACGTGGCTGACAGTGTGTTCATCTCTGTTCTCACCCAAAGTCATGCAACACTCAGAGAAAACGCTGATAGTGTGAGCCAAAGCACTCCATATGAAGAGGTTGTTCACACTGCTGGATGTTTCTCCTCTGAAGCTGCTCTCTGTCTCGGTCATTGTTTACTTTACTCATTAAGCTCATCAAGCACGTAGCAAGATCCGAGCATGAACCCGAGCGCTTTATTCGCCTATCAAAGGCAGACGGGTACGGTGATTTCACTCACCGCGACTCCAGAAATGATTAAAAAACTACAAAATGACGTATCCGCTCTCCCGCTGATATGCTGACATGCGTACACAGAGCAGAGCTGTCCCCCCGCGACTCTCTCCCCGCCTCGTCTCCTACAGTCTGTCAGCCTCTGTGCAGCACCTTCGGAGCAAGCAGGGGCGCCTACAGCAACGGGGGGGCGCCAATTTGACAACAAGAGTTAATACAAAACCGCTTTGCGGTTAAGATTTTTTATTATTATCTTTTATTTTATTTTTTTGGAAGTGCTCGTGCCGCCCCCCATGAGTCATGACACAAATGCCGCCCCGGGCGGCTGCCCTGTTCGCCCGTGCCTAGAACCGCTACTGCGTCCCAGATTATACTCTTTCAGTACCGCCACACTTTCTCCACACAGAAGACACACAGGTTTTCCAGCTACCTCCGTGAACATATACTCCGACTCCCACCTTGTTTGAAACCCCCGGTTCTCAGTGTCCACCTTCCGTTTTGCCATTTTTGATGGGTATCTGAAAGTTAATTTTACTGTTATGCTGACGACTGCTGTGCTAATAAATATTGAAATGAAGCAGCCTACTGCTCGGTGCGTCACCGTTGCATTGTGGGAAATGTAGTATTGGTGCGTCTAAAAGATCTGCGGGCTGCCGGCTTGCTGCGGTCTGCGGGCCGGTTCTAATAATAAATCAAGATCATCCCAGGGGCCGTAAAAAACCTTCTCGCGGGCCGGATGTGGCCCGCGGGCCTTGACTCTGACATATGTGGTCTACGTCATCGTCAACGAAAACAAAACTCCACGTGTTTGCGCGCGCGCGTGCGTGTGTGTCTGTGTGTTGGAGGAGCACAGCAGGCTGATGAGAGCTGACAGAAGCTGCTCTTATATGTTTAGCGTTTAACTGACTGAGTTTTGCAACTCTGTTCGTCATTTTCACCCCGCTGTAGTCTGTAATGGACTGGCCTGAGGTCCCGCTACAAACAAGCGACTGCTGGAAGAGAGTAGGTGAGTTGTGTTTAGTCTCTTAGAAATAAGTCAAAGTTAAAAAGATGTTTGGTGGCTAGTGCTGTGGTTGGGACTCTATATGTCCTGTTGATGAAGTTAGGTGCTGTTCTGAGCGTTATTTGTGGCTATAGAGTGGCGTTTTGGTTGAGGTTTGTTTATGGCTCCTCAGACCGCTGTGTATTGCTATCCTGCGGTCGTAACTAAAGTTGGTATAACTGGAGAAGTAAGCGGTCTGCAACATTCATCTCTAGAGGGGGTGTCTAAACTCGGTGTTACGGTGTGTTTGACCCTAAATTAATTTTACGTCGGAATATCCCTTGAAGATCCCAGCAGCATCTATTCAGTGCAGCAATTTCATCATGTTCTCTGTCTTCTCTGAATGATAACATTTACTGAAAATGACGACTCTGCTTTTCTAGAATTCCCTGTTTTAATCCAGTCCAGGTCTGTAGATATCCTTGAGTCCTCACTGTCTTCTCTCGAACAGGGCCCGTCCCTCCATTAAGGACTGCTATAACAACTCCTGGCTTCAGGACGCCTACCTGATGCGCCTTCGTAGGCAGACTCTCACCTTTACAACCACCCGTCTCAAGGAATTCCTGGCCGACCAGCAGCGCAAGCGAGAGCTGGTGGCCACCAAGCACAAAGTTCTCCTGCGGTCCTACCAGAGCTCACCACAAACCCCCACCAGCCCCGCCACGCCGAATGTGCCAACCACACCCATCACTCCCACCACACCTGTCACGCAGTGAAAAACAGGCTTCCACAAAACCCAGTTGGCAGGACTTAAGGACCAGACTCTGGGCCACGAGGCGGGGTTGTCCCTTCAGGTTTGAGATGTTGAGCTTGGTCAGAGGAATCTAGAAGGAGCAGCAGCGACCGTGAGACGAATTTTTCTTTTCTGGTTCTGAAAGAGAATCTAGAAAGACTCTTTTACACTGAAAGGAAACTCTTACAAAGTTACAAGAGCCTGACTACGTTTTATACGGTGGACCTCGTTCTTACAAGGCAGGATGTTGTGCTCAAGTTTGTACCTCAAGGTTTGTAACTTTGCATATTTTTAGATAAAATATTCTATTTCTTACCGTCAACTCTACAGTGACTAGAGCGGACACTGTAGTACTCCACAATGAAAGGCCTAAAACTGCTCAAAGACAGCTTAACAAGAGCGACATCTTGACTTTATCGGTATATCGAGGACTTAAAAAAGACCAGAGGTTCATTCTATGATGTCTAATTCTATGTACCTAATAAACAACAACCCAGAGGGCAAAGTATTACCTTTCTAAACCTTACCATGTTTGAGATAAAGCAGTGTTATCTTTGCTACAGTACCAGAGTTTTTATACTGCTGTAGCATCTTAATGATTGTCAAGATTGTAAGAATGTAGCTGTTCCAGTGTTCGGTTTTTCAAAAGTGTTGTGAGTCGGGAGGACGTATCGAAGGATTCTCTGCAAGGGCTATAAGAAAAAGCACTCCTATAATCAGCAAAAAAAACTCTTACCTTGTGGTTAAAAGTAGGATGATAGAAAAAAATGTATTTTCGTATTCTTAAAAGGTTCATTTATTCTATTTAATTTGTTTTAAAATCATCATTTGAGCCCCGAATGGCCAAACTGTCACCGTGTTGGCAGGCGCTAACGTTCCTACAGCACAAATAAGCTTCCAGGTGAACCGAACTCTTCAGCTGCAGCCCAGATAAGACACAATTACACACTAAGATGAGGTTTACACGTTCATGAGGTCGCAGAAACCCACTGCTGATCCTGGGGTGCATCCAAGTGCCCTTAAAGAGTTAGCATGAGTCAGCATCAAAAAAGAAACCTTTATTCATAGAGTTTGCGTGTATCAGTCCTTATTTTAGCTGAAGTTTTGTTCATCATTACTCAAAAAAACGGTTTGCGTTATTTAGTTTTTATAAATTACAGTCTCTAGATTCAGATTTTAACAATAAAGACAGACTTGAGTTTTAACTTGACATTTCATTGAATTCCCTAGTTTTAGTGTCATAATCCATCTTATAAGAGCTGTTAAGACGCTGTTACTCATGCGAATTTGCTGCCCCTGCAGTCTGTACAAGAGAAACTACAAATACTCAAACACAATCCACAGAGCTCAAGGTGACAATAAAAGAAGTTAGAGACACTTTGCTTTATTGAATGCACCAAATATGAGATCTGTGGAGGTGTTTATAAGAGCACAAGTCTTTTTTAAGCATCAGGAAATGTAAAACACTGAGATGAACCGCTTCTAAACTGGTTGGTTTTCACATCATTACAAAATTAGTAAATTTGGACTTTATTTTTATTTGTTTTGTTTGTTTTAGATCCTTAAATATTTATTTTTCTTGTCAGTTTTCAGTCTGAGGTCAAATCAGTACATTTGTTTTGACTTTGGAGCATTAAAGAGTAAGTCTTTGGCTTATTTATTTTTATCCCTCTTCATCAAAAATGTCAAAGTTGTGTTGCCTTTTTTAGTTGAGAGTTCAATCGCAGACAAGAATGTAAAACATTTGCACAAATGTCCATATATAGATATAAAATACAGATTTGCACACTTAACACACAAGTGTAATTTTAACGACAGACTCTATTCACCTTAAAGAGTGCATTAAAGAATCACAATCAGACACGGATGAGTGTTTTCTGACGCTGCGACACAGATTTAGGGAAAATCAAAGAGTTTATTCTGTGTACTGACTGACGGACTGACAGAGGTTGTTGGTAATTTTATGAAACTGTTTTACTATTTCATTCTGTTCCTATGCTACTGCTAGATAAATACTGCCCTTTTCTGCAGCTCTTTGTCTTTCTTCCTATGCAGAGTTGAAGTTTAATCACAGGAAAAACCGGAATGAAAACATGCAAGATCAGCATGAGAATGCAACGTCTGTGCAATATACAGTATATCATGTTCTTTAATCCTATAAAATGAAACTACAACTATTTAACAGCAGACAACAGGGTTTTGAAGAAGATGTTGAATGCTCCACATTTTGTATTAAAATCCTATGCCGTATTTTGTGGAATGTGTTGCAGTGCCTCGTGACGGATATTAGACCCCACAGAGAAAATAGTTTGATAAACGAATGACAACTTCTTTATTTTGATTATATGGACGTGACTGCTTTGTGTGTGGTTCGCAATTTGTTTATTTATTGAGTGACTGTATTTGTTATAGCTTCTGCTTTTTATTTTGTGAAATCTCTGAATCTGGCATGGAAAAGGCATGACAGCTGTTTAAAAAAAAAAAAAACTATGGAAATAAAGAAATTATGAGACATATGTGAATAAAGGTGGCAGTTTGTTTGATTCAAAACTACACTACAGGCCAAAAGTTTGGAAGCAAGGCCATTACAGGCCGAACAGTTGGGAGTAATTCAAGTTCTTGTTCACAATGCTTTTTTGGGATGTATTTACTCCATGATCAGATGTTGAAATGCACCATTTTACTCCATTTACCTTTAGATATACATTAATGTTAACAGACCATTGTTAAATATATGTCAGCAAAAGATAATAAGGGCTTAGTTTTAAGTAAAGGGCATCAAGAAGAAGGAAAGGTACCACTCCATCCTCCAGCACCATGCTGTTCCATCTGGACTCAGACTTGTGGCTCATAAGTTTGTTTTGCAGCAAGACAATGACCCGAAGCACTCTGCCAAGCTCTGTCAGGGTTACCTAGACAAAAAAGAAGAGGAAGGTGTTCTTCAAAAGATGGTTTGGCCCCCTCAGTCTCCAGACCTTTCTCTAATTGAGCTTGTGCAGGATGAATTGGATCGATCGGTCAGAAAAACATGTCCCACAAATCAGATCTTGCTTCCAAACTTTTGGCCTGTAGTGTGTATGTGATTGTAAATAAACCATGAAGCTGACTGATATTATCTATTCTAGATTAAATTGACATGTATGATGATTTAAATGTCATTTTACAGCTTTTTTGCACTGACTGTACATTCATAAGGACACCGCACCTGCTCGTACCTCTCACATGCTCCCTCTATTCTGAGATATGAAGCCAAAATACCACCTCAGTGAGTGCTGACATGTCGCACCAGCGGGGGCCAAGGAATGCGCAGAGGCCGGTGGTTACGTTACATTTTCCCTCCCGCTGTGTTCCTCCTGTACTCTGTTAATGTGTTAAAGAGCGCTGCAGTGGTCTGTGTGTATGAATAGAGCTGTCAATCATCTTTTTTTATGGCTCAAATAGCTTCTTAGAAAAATCAAACACTTTGACATGAACCAGTATGATAAGACTCGGAGGAAATGAAAGTAACTTTGATTTATGTGTATTTTAATTTTACTATGTCTGTTTTAATGATTAGTTTATATGCAATAATCCCAAATACAGGAGAAGCATTACATAAATAAATACTAATTTAATCTTAACCATACAGAAACTACACTGGTCATATTCAGAATATAAGCCAGGATGGGAGTAATGTGCTCCCTCTTATGTACTCCAGTGAAGACCCAGGAGGCTGCGTTTTGTACTAACTGGAGACGTGAAAGGGATTATATTATATTTACTGAACTTAAGATCAGTTTAAAAAACTTACATGATAAAAATAAAAGTCCTATGAGAGAGGCTGATTAGTGAAGTAACTGCTTGCCTAAATACTGTATGGTGTATTTTATTTTATTTTATTTTTTTACTGAAATGGTGAGCAGGAGCAAATTTCAATGTGCAGTATTAGATATTTTGGGCTGCTTGCACCATTTAGTGGTCACCTGGGGTATTACAGCGTTGGGGTTGCATACTGATTTTGTCACCCAGCTGTATGTGGTGATTTTAAGAAATAACTGATATGATCCAATATGATCTAAACTCACAACACTTGTAAGATGTTTGGCAATGTGCTTGGCGTGAGATAACTACTGAAGAAGTAACATGCAGAGAGGTAAACATTCATAACTGTGCTTTCTGTACATTATGCAAATTAAGAACTTTCCATCTGTCCTTGGAACTGTTCAAAAGTTGCACGTCAGGTTTTAGTGAGTATCTGTTCAACATAATGATTTTATTACGACTTTATTCTCGTTAGTTATGATTTTAATCTTGAAATCTTATTTTTTTTTCCTTGATGTGGCCGTAATACTCCCTCTTCAGTTTTCATCGTGCTCTTCATTTATAAAATGTTAAATATAAACAACAAAATACATAACAAAGTAAATAATAATAATAAATTTATCTTCATTTGCACGGATATCAGGATTTTTTTGCAGTTTATTTAACAAACAGGAGAGTGACTTTGATCGTATGTGTGGGCACTTTAAAGACTGCCCCTTACTTCCGCTTTCTGTTAAACGGTTTCAAGGCTGCCCACGATAAACGTTAACGTTTAAAAAAATAAAACAACGCTAAAAAACACGATTTACACACTCGAAACGACTAAAAAAAATCCCCAAATTAGGTAAAAAAAAACAACAGTAGCGGATGCTTAAAGAAATTTTAGCCACTTGTTCGTTAAAAGCGCTCATATTCGGCGTGTTTACTCGTATAATTATGTTTTTTTGTGTATATTTACAAAAATATTTCCAAGTATTTATCTCAAAACAATACCAATTCGACGATTTAATCGTTAGCACACCTTTAAGTGATATTTTGTGAAAGTTTTTCACATCCTGTATTGTGGCTTTAAGAAGGGGGGCTCCTTGAAACCGTCAAGTTCCATGTTAGCTTGGTGAAATTGATGAACTCCTTCAACGTTATCAACTTTTTAAAATAACTTTTCTCACTTTCTAACTGACGTATCTAAAAAGTCCAGTCCACAGTACTTCTCTGTGTACGCTTTTATGTCGTTTTTAACTTTTACGCCAAGTATGCGCGCTTGCAGAAAGGGAGTGGCGAAATATAAATACATTTTTTGCCATAAATCCTCGAAGTAAGTTCATTCAGCAACAACAACGTCCTTTTTTGCCTCTGAGTGACGGATCTAATGGACCATTCGCCGTCGATAATCACACAAGTAACCAGAGAAGAGGAGGAAAACGCGGCTTGTCGTGAGGAAGGTGAGTTAGAGAAAAAAAAGTTTGTGTGAACTTTTCAGTAAAGCTGCGCATGACAATGTCAGAGAGGGGGCACGAGACAGCCGTGTTTACAGGACGCCACGGTGTCACTAAAGTCAGCCGAGACTCCTGGATCAGGGTCCGGGTCTGACACCAGACTTTAAAGAAGGTTTCTATCCTTGAATGTTACTGTTGGAAAGCTTTGGAGCAGATTGGAGTGAGTTTAAAGCCGGTAGTCTTTGGGTAGGCCAGAACCATGCGCAGCCGCTTAGGAGTCTTAAAAGTACAAAAATAGCAGGAACTGAAGTGTGAATGAGTTCAAAACGCAAAAAACACACGGTTAAACAGGTTTATTACAGTGTTTTCGTGCAGAGTATGGTCATTACTTCACTAAATAAGGTTTCTTTGTAAAGGGGGCGGGGTCATTCTGACAGTTCAGTGTTTTTATTTTGGTCTCTGATGCTGAGCTGCTGCTGCTGCTTCAGATCATCTCCTGTTGGTGTTTTTAATGGCACTAAAAATCACATCTAACCTTCCCAAAAATACGATCACTCATTGGATAGAAAGCATTATTTAACTCCCATAAAGTCTCTACCAAGAACAATAAAGTCCCTGTTATTCAAAATTATAGTCAGAAAAAGGTGCTTCATGGAAAAGCATCAGCGATTGATGATTCAGTATCAACAGTATGAAGATAAAGGCCCAGTATGTACTGTTATGGTTAACATTATATGACTTAATGCATGATGAGAAATTACAAGCCCTTTTCTTCATGTTTATTTTGCAAAAAGAAATGTATTTTACAAACAATTGATGGTGTCTTTATGATTTTCATGTCCTCTTACTTTACCTGGTGCTCTCCTGTATCTTACCTTTCTTTTTATTTAGCTACCTGGTGCAGAAATGAATCCTAAAATATATGAGTAATGATACGCAAGATGTCAAACTTTCTCACTGTAAAAAAAAACAAAAAAACAACTACAAATGCAATAGTTAAGTTTAAAGACTGATAATAGCGCAAATAAGTATATGAATTATTATTAACGAACAGTTCTTAAACAGCTGAACGTTAACAGCCATTTGTCTGTTCATAAATTAACACAAACTAAAAGTTTAATGTCACAATTAACTTTATATTTTACAGCACTTTTTGTAAGCCTGGAGTACTTAAACTCACTTTTTAAACTACCAAACTTTACAGAGACGCTTTACAAAAAAGAGCCGGTCGAGACCATACTCGTTATATTTACAAAGACCTTGTGACAGAATAAGACTGAGTCTGATCCTGTGACTTTAAACAAGCAAGAAAATATAGATTATTTAATAAAATGTAAGACTGAAAAATAAGACGTCTGTCAAAAATAAGAAGTAAGATTATTATATATATATTTACTGCAATCTGATGATTATTGATGTATAATTTACTCTAATAACCTACCAGCACTCTGAAGTTCCTTGTTATTGAGTGAGTCGAACCCTGATGGACTCAGAGTTAACTGTTGGACAATATCTGCCCTTGGAGCTGTAGAGTTACAACTCACCCTCTATGTGAAGGGTCCGTCAATCACTGAAAATGTATTCTAGCCTGTCAGCTCTACATGCACATAAAAACTTGTGTACTTAAGTCACTGACTAGAGTCTTGCTGTCGCTCTGGATACAGATTGACAGACTGTTGTATCTAACTGAAATGAATTTTGTATAATTATTCACCCCAAAACGTCCTCCCATAGGCTCTTATCAAGATTTTGGATTAGATTATTAGATTAAGATGGATCAATAAATAATGAATAAATAACCTCTGATGAGCGGATGATCATTGCAGTGTTTCTGTTGTTTCTGTTTGTGAAACTCAGTCCAATCAGAAGGTGGCAGTACTGTCTAACTGTGCAGGATCCCTAAAGCCTGCTCAGATTTTTACCTCCTGGCTCAGGGGTCAAAAGTCCAAATCATGGCTGCTGTCCAGCTGAGAGGCGCCACAAAGACAGGAAACTGTTTTAAAAGTCTTTACAGGGGATTTCAAAGTTGTAATTTAGTGAATGTCACAGATTTTGAAGTTTCATTCAAGGTTTGGATGTGTATTTATCTAATTTCTCATGCGCAGCTTTAAGTAAATGCATTTTGAGGGACATGATACGACTTCTATTAATCTATATTTACAATTTATGGTCCTGTCAGGGATTTTGTGCTCCAGCGGTCACATTTCCCAACACATCAGAGCGCAACAACCTCGACTGTAGTAATTATAGTGTTTTTTACGACTCTGGACATCAGAAAGACTGTAGGGTGGACACGTTGACATCTTCATACCTGGACCTGACCTGACTTTGGTCCTGCTCGGCCACCATGAACCTGCTGTACCATTTGCTCCGTGGAGGTGTGAAGCGACTTGTCAGATTGTAACAGAATATCGAGTGTCAAAGTTTCGGAAAGTCAGTCGTGGGAGGCCTCATTCTTTCTGCGTCTGGATAGGAATAGAAGCAGCAGAGTTTGAAGGCATGCCTTCACGTAGTCTGAAAGCTCCCCAGATAAGCCCGCTTTTACTAAGTAGGCTAAAACATGCTGTTGTGGCGTGAGGTCGTTGCTGCCCCTCGAAAATGCTGCAACCTCATTATCGGGGTCTGAAACTCTTGGATGGGGAGGTGTGAGGAATGCCGCTGAACTGCTTGCTTCTTGCACATTTCTGCAGCTTAATTAGGAGGAAATTAGTCCAGTTTAAATTAGTTTAAAGCGCAGACGTAGTGTGAAGGAAGAAGTGGTGCTCTGCTCGCCTTTTGGGATGCTGCTGCCCTCTAACATCAGTCTGATCAGATACACCTGTAGTGCTAGCTCCAACTTAGAAACATTTTGTATTTTTTTAGACTTGTCAGCTGAGATTCCTGGGAGTGTTTTGGAAAAGATTGCTGTGGGGTAGGTATTTTTTTGGCTATGGTGTGCCAAAAACCACCTGATCGTGTTGTGATCAGTGAGTTAACACCCGTTGACCTAATTAAAAGAAGACGAATGTGCGCGCAGTCTTCTCAATAAGAGTTTTGAAGCTAAGATCAGCAGCCAAACTCACACCCAAGTTTCTCTTACCCACAAAGTGTCGTAAAGTTTTCAGAAAATCGTTGAAAAATAAAGTGTAACAAGCTTATCTTGAGTGAAAAGTTAGATTGAGTTCTTTGGACCTGTCAGGTTTTGACTGTTTCAGCTCAGCTTGGTCTGCAAACTCTCCTGTGCTCTTTAAAATCTGCTTACACAACTCTGATCGGTATGTGGCCCTTAAAGACTGTTGAAGTGTCTATATTAGAAGTGTATCCCCGGTCCAACATACCATGTATATGAGCCACCTGCAGATCAGGATCCAGCCTGCACATGTTACCGCAGTACTGAATGTCTGTTACAGTTCCGCAGCTCATGAGATCAGATTTACGCCGGCGTACGTTTCACACCGTTTGGTCAATTTTCTTCAAAATGCTCAAACTTGTGTATCTTGTATATCTGTGAATTCTTAGGCTCTTTACTGCTTTAGTTAAGCGCATACTGTCATGTTGAGAAAAATTGGTTCACCCATGTCATGCTCCCCTTTTATTTTTAGCCTCACTTGTGGCGGGGCTCTGGGGATGGCCATGTTAGCGTGCTTATAATTACAAGTAGGGGAACAAACTTGAAAGCATACACCCTCAGCAGGGGTCCTACTTTAATCCCTGCTGAGAAATAACCCAAAACTGTACCCACAAATCCCCTGCTTTACCAAACTTGTTTGATTGAAAATCATGAAATACCATCTGCAGATGCTTTGAGAGAGTAGTGTAACTATTACAGAATTACCTGCTCAGTTTTATATTTATTTAACATCATGTAGAAAACAGTCATAAAGCTGCAAATCAGTCAAAGTGTAACATAATGCAAGTTTATGAAGATATCGGGTCATGACTACAGATGCAAATGTTTGCACTTGTAGGATATCTAACTCACCGGCTTTAGTTTGTGTGGCGCCGAAACTCGACCATAAGAAACCAGTCCACTACTGAGGACTGTTAGTTTTGTTGAGGTGCCAGAAAAGTGTGTCCTGAATACGTTAGCCTTTTCCGGTGCTCTATTTTCAGCCCATGAATGCAGTTAAGCTAAAAGGCATCTTTCTCACCATTGTAAACATCCAGACTACTGTTTAATTTGACGGACGCGCACAGCTGTGGCGAAAGATCTGGACTGAAGTCGGTCCAAAATTCTGGTTTTATGAAAGTAGCTGGAAATCCAAAAACTGTCACTTTGGTGTAAAAGTTAATTTCCAAAAGAGCCGTAAAGTAAAATAAAGTTTATTTTTCTACTTCTGAGGAGCTTTTTGACTCGGCTCTTTATGGACCAATCTGCATTTGCTCGTCTGATGTCTGATATTTTAAGATGATGATAACAATGGCGTTGATGAAGACACTGTCGCACTGTGACATTGTAAAAGCATTGTGCTTTCTTTGAAGTGCCTATCAACAGCATGCCATACATGTTAGCATACTAACATGCTTCACAGAGACGAATAGGTCAGATCTACCTACAGGAGTTATCCTCCTTAGAGTCAGCCGAGGGTACAGCTGTGTAAAAAAACAACATCTGTGAATGAATTCATGAATTAACTTTAAAAAAGAGTGTGTTTTCGACCAACATCTTCACTCTGATACTATGCACTGATGCAGAGGATGTTTTAAAGTAGAAATAAATGGCATTACATGATCAGTCGACTTGAGGATTGAGGCAAAAAAAGGCGGAGCAACACAGTACTTAATAAAACCTCATCAATAAACACAATAACTTTCGTCATCACCTATTTCTAACGATCCTCATCACCAGCCCTGCAACTAAACTTGTTCACGTTACCTCAAAATTGATCGTTTGTCCATCATTATTCTGACTTTTTGTCCGTCTTTAGGTTGCTTTATCTCCCACATGGTTGACCTATTTTGTCTGCTTTTATTTTGAAGTACAAGCTACTTCCTGCCAATGTAAATGAAAACAATTAAAGGAAGGGCTTAAGTGTTTTGTTTTCTTACTTAATGTTTTGTTGTTAAAAGCCAATAAGACTAGGATGTCGGTGAACGGGAGAGTGCTCTGCAACAACTCATCTGAAACGGACACAAATCTGTTTTTAAAAGCGTGATGAAACTATTAAAAATAAGTCAGTTCAAAATATAACTTCGTTTACATCTCGTGACCCTCTTATTTTAGATCATAACACCGTCTAATTGGCGTCTGTGCCACCTGTGTCACCACTGGGATTGTGTTTATGTTGACATGTGTAACACAGACATGGTCATTGGGAAGCTTTGGGAATGACGTGATGCTGCAGTATATACAGCGTAAGTTAAATTTAGCTTGTTTTTTAAGTTTATGCAGAGACGCATTTCGTTTTCCTCTCCTGGCTCCACAACAAAGTTTTATTTTTTGCTCTTCATGGCGTGAGAATAGTATGCAATGATAAATATTGTCACTTCTTATCTCATTATTAACCTCTGTCTGCAGCTGCTCGGACTATTTCGGGGCACTGTGATGTGTAATGTCAAAGGAGGTAATGCACAGAGTTGCGTGATGTTTTTAAACACTTTAGGGAAGGCTTCACCTGCCTGATTCCCTCACACTTGTTTGCACACAAACCTTTCATCCGAGGACCAAGACTGGAATGTCCAAACAAGCACGCCCGCATGTGCCTAATGACAGGTCTCTAGTGGCCTCGTCCACTTTGAGCCTCAGCTGAATGAAGCAGTCAGCACACCAGAGCCATCGCGAACGACACGTGAAAGTGGGTCAGACTTTTTCGGGGATGAAGCTCAGAGTGGGCCAGAGATAAAGGTTATCATGAGGACTCTTTATCGACGGGATTTTGGCTGTTTATGTTTTTTTATTATGGTTTATAGCAAAAATGTCTTTGTCTGCGTTTTTCATTTTATTGCATAGGAAGTGGAAGATTTAAATGACGCGGTTGATTTTTATCCTGATTGGCCAACTTTGATTTGTCCTAGGATAATGTTTCTTTGGTTGATATCTAGCGGTCACATTCAGGTTTTGAAATGTGATGGTGGCCCTTGAGGACAAAAAGCTTGTATGGTGCATGATCAGTGACATCCTCATCTATCAAAATTTAACCATAAAAAAATGTCTTGATGCAGATTATTTGGCACACAACCTCTCTCTTTCTCTACATTTCATTCCACTAAACACTAGTTTGTCCATTATCTGCTACCGTAGAAACGTGCAAGATTGCGGCCTCTATACGTAATACATGAGGCTCATTCTGAAATATGATACGATATGATATTGATATCAGATATCGGTCCGATATCGGCCAAAAAACAAATATCGGATTATATCGGCCTGCATCTATAATCTCCGATGTCAACGCTCCGATACAAGCAGTCCATTCCAGACTCTGCTCACGCACCTTTAGCTAGCAGCGCCAGATCCAGCATGTAGAGCCCACGTGATCACAACAACAGTCAGTACGTTTACATGACACTTGAGAAAAGGGAATTATTGCCTCACTCTAATAAAGACCGGACAATTGAAGTGCGTGTAAACACCTTAGTCTGACTATAATCTGAGTTTGAGAACTCCGATTGGAGTCGGAGAACTCTGATTAAGACATCGATTGGAATTGGATTTTCTCTGCTATGTAACCATCATAGGCAGAGTATGATCGGACAATGCATGTGCGCTGCGCCTCCATAACCCCGGAACAAAAACGCCAGAGAAGAAGTGGCGCTATCATTTCAAGAACTTTCGACGCAGAAGCAACTGCAACATGTTCCACTTCTAGAATGACGAGGAGAGCGCCGCTATGCTTTCCGTTCTGACTGAAATGGACACTTTAAAGTATACGGACGGTCGCAAAATGAGGAACGGAGACTTCTTTAAAAGAGGTCCGGAAACAGCGCCGCTGAAAAGAGCGATATTGCCTCCTTGTTTTGGGGAGGAGGACATGTTCACGTCAATAGTTTGATTTTCTCAGCTGCATGCAAACGCAGACAAGGAGAGAAGTCTGATTCGGTGAAAAAAACGAATTATGAACTTAGTTGGTGACGATATTGGACCAATATCGGTATTGGCCGATACTGAAGGCTACAATATTTGTATCATATTGGAAGTAAAAACGTTGTATTAGGACACCCTTCGCTCAACTCTTTCCTGCTAAAAACCACACAAAAACACAAAAACACCGTCCTCTAGTTTGTCAAAGCTTGTTAAGTTTACTCATCGCCAGGCTGGAGTGATGATAGCAGAAACAGACACACGAGTACTAAGGCAGGTGTGTGTGTCCACTGCTCTGTGTGCAATCCTCACACTTCGACACAAAGCAGACTGACGGGTCAGTGATCGGCCCCACAGAGCAGCAGCAGATTCGCCTTGTCTGAGCGGCAGGCTAATGCTCCAGCTGACAGCTCTGACTGCTCATCTAGCTCACCTAATTTATCACTTTTTTCTTTCCAAACACTGGCGCTCATCACTCCGCCACCAGATGATGAGTTGTTTACTCGTTTGTGCCAAAAGATGCTCGTACACGGCTTAGTAGTAATACAGATCACTTGCCTTTTTTAAGGGTATGAAAAGTATCTGAACGCTGGAAAGATTTAGTGGTGGTTGTGTTTCTTTTAGAGTTTGCAGCAGGAGTAGAAGAAGTACTGACATAGGGTGGTTTGTTAGTCCAAGACACTAAAGTCAACAGAGAGAGAAGTCATTATAATTTAGACAGTGTGAGCTTTTCTTTCAAGCTCTTGTTTGCAAATTTAAAGGAAGTTATTACATCTTTTAGAAAGTAAAATAAAGATTTGTCTGAGAAAACTTCATCTAAGAAGTTAATCTACCTGATTCTTCAACTTTCAGAGTGGATGGTTTGATTTGCAACAGCCTAGATCCAATTCTTCACATACTTATGTGTTGCTTAAAAACATAATTTTGCCACTTGAACGTCTGTTTTTCTCAGTTATAAGGCAAGCACCCCATGAACAGAGACTTCAGTCCTCTGGCCCTAGTTTGTGAATTGATGCTAAACTCTCTCCTCTTATCTCTGTCCTCACAACTATCAAGATCAAGTTCTACCAAATAATATTATTATTTCATGTCAGTAAGAACAGTTAAATATGATTCGAGGCATGCAGGAGAAAGTCTTTTTTTTCCTTGTTTTTAGAAAGTATTCACACTAAGTCAATTTTTACATTTCATAGTATCAAACAGCACCGAGGCCTTTGAAAATCTAAATCCACACTTGTATAGTAACACCCAAGATACAGGAGCAAGAGAGAGAGAGAGAGAGATGTCTTAACATGTCTGTAACTCAAGTCATGTTTCTCCCCTCCTGCTGTGTGTCCGCCGCCTGCTCCGCCCTCTACACCTTCAGCTGCTAGTCCAATCAGTCTTTTTAACAGTTTCCTTTGTGTTTTCCATCAGTCTTGACCTTTAACAGCTTTACAGCACTTAAATATTTCACTACCGTCATCTAAAGGTGGTCTGTCTGAACTAGCGCTGTGTGCAGACTGACAGTCAAAAGTAACAGAATTTATCCATGTTTGGTTGTTTTTTCTTAAGCCACGGTGTCAAAACTGTTTCTTTTGGTTTCATATCAAAGTTCAAAACTCTGCTTTTGTTACAGCTCTTCTACTTTCATATGTGCGGGACTCAGTTGCAAAAAATGTAAGAGGGAAAAACTGGAACAAACAGTTCCTTATTAAGGCTGTCACTTTGATTTTAAGTGCTCTGAAGAAACCGCGGCGTAAAAGTTCATCAGAGAACATAACATGTAAAAATCAAAATGAAATTGTTGATATTTTAACTTGTCTACCATGATCCACGATATGAAGAAGTGGTGTAATGTAGTTTTATTTACTTGAGCAAGTTGTTGATACTAAAACAACAAAGTTTACACCGAAAACAAACTTGGCCCACGATTTCTTCACCTGGCTGCATTTTGGTCCTGAAACATACACCTCGACTTTGTTATGTAATGTCTAATAACCTTTAGCTCCATTGCTAAAATAGGCATGGTCAAGTAATGCATAACATGACAGAAACCAGCAGGAGTCCTGCTGACAGTCCAGACTGATGTGAAGATCAGATGTAGCGGTTCTACGCTGGTGCCAGTACTTACATCACTAAAACGGAGCACATCCTGGCCTCATGTGACCGAAACTCTAAATACAATCTCTCAGAGTCTGATGAAATAGAAGGAGTGCAGGATGATACATCTGGTACAATAAATCAAGCAATTAATGAGGAAGATATTAAATCTAAAAAGAGCGTTAGTGGACAGAAGAATTGAATTAGATGTTAAACGCAGCTGAAACAACACTCATCAGCTGATCTAGCCAGGTTTACAGGTTGATATTAACACATTTACCAGAGTTAGATTGAGGTAATTAATGTCCAATTAACCCTTAAAATTTTACTCAAACAGCTCCGGATAGTTAAGATGTAACCCAAGGGCAGGGCTAGACTCCAGAGAGCTGGCACTCCTCGACTGTTGCAAGTTAAGACCTCTTTTTTAATGGGCAGAAACCTGGAACAAACCCACTCCTTGGTGGTCGTCCATCTTCTGCAAACAGCAGACCTAAATTAGCGAGGATGTGGCAACGTCAGAAAGAGGGAGATAGATGAAGAGACAGTCAGACCGGCAGACGTAAACACGGCAATAAAAATAACAACAGATGTATAATGAGCCGAGCATGAGCATCAAGTTTTATGTTTCATTTCTCGATTTAGGTTCCAGCGATGTTTCCTATGCGAAGAAGCCCCCCAACCGAGGCCTCCTCCACAGTCTCTTCTGCTGTCTGTGTCATCAGGAATCAGAGCCTCCGCCGGTCAAAAATAATGCCCCCCTGTTGGTCGAAGAAAATGGGAGTCTGTCCAAAGTAAGTTCTCCTCTCAGCATCTCTGTCCGGTCCACTCTTCCTTGTGGTATCGGCTTACTCTCACCTTGCCCCTTGACCGTCTTTAAGCAGCATGTGGTCAGCACTGCAAGAAACACATGTAGTCTTGGCGCGGAGGTTTTCGTGTTTACAAGAGCATTTCTCATGGGCTTGGAAGTAATCAACGCCAGTGTTGAAAAGTACGCCGTGTTCGGACATCAATCAGGATGATTGGGCACACGGAGAGGGGCGGGAAAGTCTCAGGGGTGGGTGTCTGATTGGAAGCTGACTGCGTTGCAAAAGCTCAAGGGCAGCTACTGTAGGTGTGCCAGTGAGAGGCACATTGCACAGGCTGCAGTGTGGGAGAGGCCACAGGGTTTAAAACAACTGAGAGATATAAAAAAGTGATTATAAGTGAGGGGTGCTTGGAGTTTAAAGGGGTTTGTTGAGAAGATCTGAAAGCACTAGAGCTTGAGGGAATTGTGTATTTCTATGTAAGGCTTGGTTGAAGGTGCAACACGTGAATGGTGAAGATGCACGCCAAAACAGACTGATAGTCCATCAGAGAGTGACCACAACTCCTTTACATAACCTTTTGGACAATTGACAATTCCGTCTTGGGTTACACCGAGTAGATATTCTTAGAAAACAACATGACTTGTGAGAGTTATGGTCTTCAGATCAAGTGGTCAAAGCGTTCTCAGGTGTCATTTTCAGATTAATGCCTGAGTTCAGCCTTTTATAGAGATTTGATATTCCAGAAGTTATTTGTCACGGCTCCCCAAAGCCCCAAAAATAAATTGCATGGTCTCTGGCAAAGGAAAAAGGGGGGTTGAGTCAAGTGCTAGGCTCAGTTTTGGTTGTGACAACTTGTCATGTCAACTCGCATGCTGCTGCTCCTGTTGCTGTTACTCTCTTGGGCGCGCTGCAGTCTCGGTGCCTCCCCCCACCAGCTGTGTGAATATCCACTCTGAATGGACCCTACAGTCACCTGCCTGTCAGTTGCACTTGGACTCTGCAGGATCCAGACCTGATGCATGGAGTAAAACCCTCGAGCGAACGAATCCAAGACTAAGAAGTAATCACTTATGTATTTGGAAGACTCTGAGAAGAGAAGCAGCTCTGAAGAAGAGGAGTCTTCTGCTGAAGCCATGATCTCTGAGCAATGCCAGGATCCCAAATCAACAGAAGCTGAAGACTCAAGCAGCCCTTCGAAGGAAGGTGCTGAACTCGGCATGAAGGTCCTTGAGGAATATACTGAACGGACTGATAACAGCGCAGTAATGGATTCCTCTCTGCTCTGTGTGGATAACTGTAACTTAACTAAAGATGAAAATGAAAACTTCACATTTTGTAGCGGACACTCTGAGAGTTTCGAGCAATACCCTGAGAGCGAAGGATCTTTCGACCAATCCGTTGATAACTGTGACACTTCAGGGTTAAGCCAACCATTCGACGAATGTGCTCAACACTGTGAGTGTTTTAAACCTTCCAAGTCCTCTGAGCACCGTGCTAATCATAGCTTAGCTCCTGAATGTAGTCCTTGCTGTGAACATTGTGCAGAACACCTCCAGATATGTCAGCAATGCAAGCCCTCTGATCAACAGTTTGAGTCTTTTGACTCCGAGCCAGATCCATTGGCATTAAACTGCGATAGTTTCGAGCAGTGTGAAATGTCTGATTTCATACCTGAATGTGCGGACGACTCGCAGCGGTACGAGTTGTCCGACCAGCAGAGCGAGTGCCTTGACTCTGAGCCAGAGGCATCGGCGGAGGACTGCGAGCAATGCCAATCAGACGGTTTCACGGCTAATGTCTGTGACTCGGTAGACTCATCGGACTTTGGTGCTGACCCTTATGAATATGAGGGCAATGAGGATCAAACTGAATACAGTGAAGAGTATCAAGAGGATGAAGATGAAGAGAGCTGTCGGCCTGAAGAAGAGGACGAGCCGAATGAGACTCAGCCTACTGAAGAAGAGTCCAGCAGTTATCTTTATGACAATGAAGACGTTCCTTTTACAGAGGAGTGTGCTGAAGAAGACTGTGCAGAAGAAATCCCCGCTGACCCCAGTGAAATGTTTGAAACCGATTACCCTGACATGAGCCAAGAGTACGATCCATCTGATCAATGTGCGACTTCAGAGCCGTGCCACTCTTGCAAGACCTCAGGTTTCTGCAGCGAAGAGGACGGCTCCTCGTATTCCTCGTCTTTTGAAACCAAATCCTTCAAAACCTGTCCTCCGTTCAGCATTCCTTGCGATCGCTGCTCTGATACATCTGGAGAGTCTGAAAAAGGAGCTGCGGAGGATGAGGAGGGCGACGAGCAGCTGGGCTGGGACTCTTTTGAGGAGGATGAATACACAGAGCCAAGCAATGTTGACGAAAGTCAGGAGGACACGATGAAAACACCAACCGTGGATATTGTTATCGAGGACTACTTCGATCTCTTCGATAGAGCAGACTATTTTGGACAAAGCTTTAAACAAAAGCGTCAGTACACCTCCTGCTTCGACGGAGGAGATATCGACGCTCACTTATTACATGAAGCGGTCCAATCTGAGGCCAAGAAACTTGTAAAGGATGCTTACAAAGTCATAGATGAGGAAATCAAGACAGAGGAGGAAGAGGAGGAAGAGGAGTCGTGTTTCGATGCCTCTGAAGAAGCATGTGAGGACAATAACGAGGATGGGGAAAGTCCGAGAGATGATACGTCCTGGGGGGAACAACCCGAGGACTGGACAGTAGAATCAGGATCGAGTTTAGAGAAGGAAACAGAAGCGGAGATTAGTGAGGAAGCGGAGGAAGATGATGAGGCGTTTGAGGGACATGTCTCTGAAAGCTCCAATGAAGAGGAGTCAGAGGAAGAGAGTATGTGTGCTCCATGTGCAGAGGACATCGCCGTTGAAGGTGATGCTTACGAAGATGAAATCTCAGGTGTTGTTCAGTCTGAATCTCCTGACGTACCTGAGATCAGTGACTTACCAACAAGCGTCACAGAGAGCGGGGACGAGCTTGAGCCAAATGACATTGAATTTCTGGACTGCTCAGAGATGGAGCCGTATTGGTCTCTTGTAGATCTTGAAGTAGATGGAGAAGTGTTTGAGCCAGGTGTTGAGGAGTATTACCTTTATCAAATGATAAGCATCCAGTTGTACGTTAAACAGGATGGATATGATATCCACGAAACAGCTAGCGAGGACCCTGAATTGACGAGTTTAGCGTTTTACTCTGTTTCTGAGAGAACATCTGACGAAGAGGAATCAGACGAAGACCCCGAATACAACGAAATTTCCAGAGTATTAAAGCTGCCGTCAGATATTATTCATAGTGTTTCGAAAAGCGAGGACGCTAATGTGCTGGCCAAAAGGACTGAGGACAGCGAGGCGTCCGAGCAAAGCACGGATTCAGAAGAGGAGCAGACTGATGAGGAAGTGTCTGAGATCTGTGAATGCGAGTACTGCATCCCACCGATAGAGCAGGTACAGTAACTTCACTCTCAGTTTAGAGGAATATAACGATTAAACTGAGATTATATCTGCATAAAGTTTAAATAACCATGAATAGAGGCAACACTGTCGGTCTATTTTTACACGTTCATCACTTGACCGTACCATCTGCACTCAGTAATGAGCAGGGGGAGAGCTCATCTGCACATCTTGGCAGATTTTCTGTGTCAAACTCCGGGTCTTTCATTATCGTCACATGTCACCTCGCTCCACACATGCTCCAGCATCACTCGCTGACTCTTCGGTCCGGCCAACTTGTTTTTAGCATCAGAATCACATTAACCAACACCGATCCCTGAGCACTTGTGGAAAGACGAAACACAGAGTGGTGATACTTGCATGCTCCGTCAACATGGCAGCAGCTGGAGCATCCCAAGCTTCCTGTAACCCCCTTAACAAGACACCACAGCACAGTTTAGACACCTCACTGACGAGAAATACACACAAATTAGCAAAAAGTCTCACCTGACTAAGTGACCTGGGCCTGTTTTTAAGATAGCATCGTAAATACAGGTTCAAATGTGGACTTGGAAGCTAGAGGGGTTTTTTATTTACATCCAAAGAGCTTTAAATCTAAGTTTCCTCTCATTCTCAGGTTCCAGCTAAACCTCTGCTCCCACGGATGCAATCCAACGATGCGGGGAAGATCTGTGTGGTCATTGATTTGGATGAAACACTAGTGCATAGTTCATTTAAGGTAAGATGGCCCGTCCAGCCTACTGTCCTGCAGTCTCACATTTGTTATACTGTGCTCTGTACTACTGTCATTATTATTAAATTTGGGTATTTCCGCAATATACTACACAAACAAAACTCCAGAGGCTTTGACATACTAGGATTCTGACATAAATCATTATTTTCTTCTACAATTCTACCATTTCATTTCATTTTTTTAAATAAACATCATAATATTTTGACATTTATTGTGGATGTAATCCTCGTGTATCTCTATATTAGTGTCCCGGTTTGTTGACTTCTTGATAGAACATTGGCAGGAAACCCGCATGTTGCTCATTTCATGGCATGGAGCTGTAACTTCCCAGAGATTTGTAATCACAGTGAGATCATCCAAGCAGCAGCTGTCTGTTCACGGAAGTTATCGCTCACATCGAAGAAATCATTGAGCTCATGCTGCTGCTTTTATCTTGGTATTTTGAAACAAAGTCGAAAATATAGAACAACATTTAGCAATATTCTCTTCGTACAGTCTGGCCAAATGTATAAAGAGCTGTGCTCATGCTAGACAAAACTTACAGCATAATATTTATATTATTCTTCAGAACAGAGTCTTGGCACAAAGAAAATTGTGTCTGCCTTAATATTGAACTATGCGTTTCGATGTGAATGTGACTTACGAACTCACATCAATTTTTACTTCAGTTACGAAGTTAAACATACGAATCATACGATCCAAAATAGTCTCTTATACTTAAGAATGCAATGTTGGATTTCTACCCATATCTGATATTTTAATCAATACTGATATTGATTTCCATTTACACTCCCTTTAAGAACAGATAATACCAAATCACTCCTGTGCTTGAGTTTACCTGTTTCTCTTATTGTGGCTTAAAAAACAACATTTTATTTGAGCATGAATGATAAATGTATTCTTTTATTTTAAATGATGACGTTCAAGAAAAAATATTCCCATCAGCCCATCATCGGTGTGCATAAACTGTCATCACATGCCCATAATTGATACACCACAACGTCATCTGCTTCACAGATCTGCACAAAGTTGCGTAGCTGCTTCTGATACTGATAATTGATTTTTTTCAGCTGTTATGTGCTGATACTGGTCATGTTCTGATTACCTTTATCAATAATGATTATAAATAGACTGTTTTATGAATAAACAAACTGAATCAACAGATAAAAAGGACAAAAAGCCTGTAGGAAAATATTGGACCACAGAAAAGAAAGGGGATTTGTTGGTTTTACAGGCAGTTTAAATACGACATTGACCCTGAGACGATGTTAAAGTCTATTTTTGCAGGAATAATCATGAGCTTTATTGACATGTTCACATTTGAGACACAGTTTAGCTTCATAAAATTTGATTTATGTAGAAATTTATGTAAATTTATCTGTTTGGACTCAAATCAAAACTACACAAATGGACTAAAAGTTGAACCTGCAGCGTAGCTACGACTGTTTTTTGCAAATTCGTATTAAAAAATCTGCACTAAATTTTTTTTTTGTTCCGCACACATTTTTTAGATTTCAATCATCATTAAAAAAAATTTAGTGTCCTCATGTGCTTGTTTCATTTAGTCTTCAATTACTTGAAATTTGCAAGTATTCAGAAATAGATCTGACACTGTCATCAAGTGTGACTGTCAAAGAAAACAACCCGCTTGCCAAGCTAAAGTGGGCAAAAATAGCAGTGGGATTTGCACCTCATCATTTTGCATATTTTTAGAGGGGAGATGACTTATTTTTATCTTAAATGACTTGTGTCCACGAGCCACATAAGCATTGACCACTGATTTTATGACCGCTCCAGTTTCATGATGGAAACCCACCTGCACCCAGGTTTCAAAGTCAGGTCCAAAAAAGGACTGGAAGTCTGGGTTTAGAGATGCAAATGTAGGACGAGATGATAATCAGCCGTTAACAGTACAGAATTAAAAGTTCTGAGAGCTTTTTACTAAATTAGGGCTTTTCTTTATTAACACGAATCAAACTTTAGAGTTACAACCTTTAAAAAGAGGGTAAACCAGTCCTCGAGAGCGCACCTCGAATAAAACTTTTAAAGTGAACGTCACGTCCTCCAAACAACCACCGCAAGTTTTTTGATCACTTTTATACCTTTTAAGGAAGCATCCAGTGAACAAAGTAATCAATGCCAAAAGTCAAGGCTCCCATGTCACGACAAATTATGTAATGAATGCCATGTGGTGTTTAGTCCTTCTCAGGTCACAGACTGTCCTAAAGGATGTCACTGGATATTGCCGCAGGCTATGTGTAAACAGGGTCAGACTCTGTGAACTCCATGTTTAACACAAGGTGGATAATAAAACTCATTATTACCGTGACCGACATACCAAAAATAGAGTTAGGTAGGACAGTTTTATGGACAGGCAGGTGCGTCTGGCCTCATTTTCTTTACACTTTTATCAATGAAGGAAATAAGAATCTAAATATATAAAATCAAACAATTAAACAAAAGCACGAAAGCCGTGTGATCTTAAAGGTGTAGAACGGCTGAATATTAACGTTAAACTATTACTCCGATGTCGCTTGGGGGGTTTCTCAGCTGATGAGTTGAGCAAGCTGACATTTTTCAAGAGGTCAAAGGTCAAATTATCCTGATTTAGTCTGCAGAACAAGTAGAACAAATATATCAACACAGTTCAGGTATGTCCTCTTTAAATATCGTGACTGCCACGTAATATTCTGGCCACAAAAAACACAGGATAGAGGCCTGGACTGATGATTTTTTATAGTGATCAAAAAAATTCACAAACTAATGTACTAAATATGTCCAAATAGTGGCATTTTTATTTGATTCTTACTCTACTAAAGTACTAAAGACTGAAATCTGACTGTGTTCTGTTAAATAATATCAATAGAAATATAAATTATTGTCTCATCCTGCCGACTTTTGACAGTGAAATGTCACATCTATTGCAAATTGTTTCTGCTTAAATTATGAACGAACATTAGGGTTTCTACAGCTGCTAGCCTGAAACGTTAAAATCAGGATATAAAACTCGTCAATCTTGTCTCTAATCATCTTAATACATCAGTATAATCATCTTCTCTCCTCACAGGAGCTTTAATAAAGAAATAGAAGTTTTAAATAAACTTTTTATCCCTCTAGGCACCAGAATTTGTTGTTCTTGAAATATTTCTATGCCAATCATATGTTATGTCTAAACTGTCGCACTGGGCTGTGGCTGCAGATAATGGCGACGACCATAAGGCTCTCTTAGCCAAATATAAACAAACAGTGTTAGCAGATGGCAGCTTGTGGCATCGTGCAGTTTAGCAGAAGTTTGATCCAGAAAATTAAGATCAAGTTTTATGTTTGCTGTTTCTAAATAAGCTGGCATATACCCACTCGACCAAAGCGGTGTGTTTACATCCTTGGCATGCAGAAAAGACTAAAAAAATGGTTGTGTTAGCTCGCTGATATTAGCCGGATTTGGTGAATTTTTTTTTTATATTTTTACCCCTGGAGACTCGGTGATCAGCCGTGTTAGAGAGTGTCCTAATTGTTGAGCTGTATGGCAAACGCAACAAAGTCATATTCGCCCCTGAGGAGTGTAGATGTGATAAAAACAGTGAACAAAAGCCAAGAAATAGCAGTCGGATTGATATTTGCCAAGAAGAAAAGCTCACATGGAAACTAAACACCATCTTCTCAGTGATAGATAGGAGAGAGAGCCTGCCGCAGCGAGTAGCAGGCACGGCAAAGAGGCTATGAGCTGGCAATTCAAACCAGAATTAGTAAGTGTGAATACGTGATTTGCATTTGGACCAAAAACTGTTTGAGCTCCTGTTCAGGCTGCTTTGGATTCCAAATTCAATATTTTAAGATATATTTGAAGACGAGCAAGAAAGGAGGAGAAAAGCTGTGACTGCAGATGTATTCAAAGGCAGGATAAAGTCGAGTATCTGCATTTTTCACTTCCTCATCTTGATTGTCGTTAAACTCCCCCTGTCATACTTACATTACCTCATAGTGTACATATTCATACCAGGGTGTAAAGTCTTACAGGCTGGGGGCAAGACTTATACATGAGAAGGGTGTTTGAGGACCAAGACCTGTCTAAAGATATGAGATATTTTGACGAGTGCTGTCACTTTCTGTAATGAGTTACTGAGATGGAAATGACAGGAGACGTATCTTTTTAGTGATGTGTAAAGTTGGCGTCTTCATGTCTGTTTGGTACATTTTGCTTATAATCTGCATAATAAAGAAAAAAGTTTTCTCTGTTTTTAACGCTCGACTTTTCTTCTCAACAGCCAGTGAACAACGCGGATTTTATCATTCCAGTGGAAATTGACGGAACAGTTCACCAGGTAGGAAAATACTGTTTTTGTCTTACAGCGCTTACAGAGTTTGTGTAATGTTGCTAGACTTCCTGCCCAAAGCCCCAAAGATTTATATAGATGCATTCTGAGAGCAGGACTGGCAACACGCCACGAACATATGTCACGCAATAATCAGTCTCACACAAGTCCAAACTTAAAGTTGAAGATGTATAGGATCCAAAAGTAGGGGAGAAATATTAGATACGTCTACTTAGTGAGTCCAGTTTGCATTAGCAGCACAGCGCTAGCAGACTGACAGAGCTGTGGCCCTCTCTGTTGATGGCTCCAAGCAGCAGGTGTCTATTTCCATGGCCTGACGAAATGAGGAAACCCTGGCAGGCTTCTCAGAAATCACTGCCATCAATCTCGCTCCGTGGCGCGTATTATGCACTGCTCATTGGTCCTCTGAAATGGCGGTGACTTTTCACCCCCGCAGGAGTTAAATGGTAACTGTTGTGCTGGGCCTCTCAGAAGACAGAGGAGCTTTGTTGTCCCAAAAGGGCCTGGGTCTGTTTCAAGTAATCCAGGATAGGCTTGTTAAAGTGGGGAAAGCCTATTCGGGACGACTTGGTTCAGAAACAGGGCCGCCAGCATCTCAGTGGAAGTAGAGATTTAGTCAGGGCTTGACACTAACTTTTAGTTGAAGGAACACAAAGAACTTTAGGGGCACAATGAAAATTGATCAAATAATGTCTGTCGTATTGGACGACATAATTATTTTAAAATTATTATTTTAGGTCTTTAGTTCACATGACATGGAAGCTTTTGAAGGAGAACGGCCTGTTTTGAGAACACCAACCGGTAACTTATTGACGGTCCCTTATTCAACACACGATGTTGACAGCGAGGAGTAGATTTAACCGCGCTGCTGTTGCTATTCCTGGTTATCAAGAGTGAGAAGACACCGGTAGATCCGCAGTGAATATCTGTCAAATATCCAACCTAAAACTAACTTCATTTCGACTAATTTTTTTTTGCTCACATGTGCCCCTTAATACATTTCACAATTTGCGCACATCTACTTTTAGTTGCTAATGCGAGTGAAACAGTCGCACTGTCAAGCTTTAATAGTAATAGTAAATAGTTAATAGTTTAATAGTTAATAGTAAACTTAAAAAAACTTAAAAGGCAAAAACTAAAACTAAAAAAATTAAAAGGCAAAAACCAAAACTAAAAAAAAATTAAAAGGCAAAAACTAAAACTAAAAAAAAATTATAAGGCAAAAACTAAAACTAAAAAAACTTAAAAGGCAAAAACTAAAACTTAAAAAAACTTTTTAATCTAATAATCTAATCTAATAAGGCAAAAACTCCTTTCCACGTATCGATTAAAAATGTGTGACATGTGAGATAAGGTCGTCCCTGCCATCATCTTTAACCAGAGTTTTGATCAATCAGAATTAAATGCAAGCTGAGCAAAAAGATGCTAAATCTGTCATTTTTATGTCTCATGAAAATCTTTTTAATTTCACTCAACGATTAGCGCTCACGGCCAGTCGACATGTTTACTACACGGTGCGGGAGAGTACAGGCCAAAGTGGCTTGAAGTTGTTGAAAGCAGGGCAAGAAGTATGCAGTGTGAGCGATTACATGCTCCTCTGAGAGCTCTCTCGACACAGCCTGCACATGTCACAGCCTGCAAAACAGCTCAGCCCTGAGTGCCCTACAACCCAAACTGATCTGCAGCCATGTTAGATTAAGAAACTTGAGAAACTTGAACAAAGCATCATTTAAAACCAAGTATCATGCATTTAAATAATGATGTGATTCACTGTGTCTTCATTCAGGTGTATGTGTTGAAGAGACCCCACGTCGATGAATTCCTCAAGAGGATGGGAGAAATGTTCGAGTGTGTCTTGTTCACTGCGAGCTTATCTAAGGTAAGACCGCTGTTTTTTACTCCGTGTAGATTTTGAAGCGGTTTGCAGATGAGCGCAAACAAACCCGTTGCAGAAACGGACACCTGTTTTTGTCGGGAAACAGTCGGCTCTGAATTACTGGAAGCCCGGTGTTGTGTGATTTACGGCTGACCTTTCACTCACACTTGCCCAAATAAAGATTTATTTATGATAGCTGTCGGTCCACTGCACAGACATCTTAACCTCTAACATTTACTCTAAAGCCTTAACCTCAGCCTTGACTTAGTTTTGTGAAACACTTGGTCAGTTATAACCCGGTGACTCACTCTGTGTTGATTAATGAGATTGTAGTTGCCTTGTTTGTCTGCAGCACGTGACGGTATTAGGAGGATTTGGTGACCTCCTTCTGAAACCAAATGCTGATGATTTGAATGTGAGCGAGCTTCAGCACTGCAGATATGACCCTATAGCTTACATGTACAGTATGGATGTGCTCGAACCCGAGCATTGACATATGATGCAGCTCCTGGTTCGGTAGGTCATAATAGTCAAGTTTTAAAGGCCCACTATTAAACATGATACGCTTTGAACCAGCCTGTAAAGTCCCTCAGTATTTACAGATTAATAGACATTAAACAAGTCAAAGTTTCCAGAAAGAGAAACTTTAACCTGCTGCACAGTCTTCAAAGCAACATAGCGGCACCATATTTAACTCTTACTGGTGGTTTTAAAGAAGAAAAAAACTCATCTAATCTCATTTTACATCCAGTTTTTCATGCTTCTCTCTGCAGCTTCAGAAAAAACAGGATCAGTATCTTCATTTTCGAGTCTTTCATTAGCCATGTTTACATGTGCAAAATTCTTGATTTTATTAAAAATGGACAGATCGGATAATCTGAATCCACTGTTAATATAGGTGCGAAATCAAATAATCTGATCATGACGTGCGTATTCATACACCAAGTGGAACGCGCCATCAGAGGAACCATCAGCACCTCTGATGGCGCCGCTGAAGAGTTGTTTTTACGCCTGTGCTGTCAACAAACTATCAAACGCTGTAGTGGCTCATTCCATCCAGTTCAGGAGTTTCCCTCCTGTTAAATCTTGTCACCAGACGGCGCCCTTGCGTACTTATTTTACTGTTCTGTCAAAGGTTGCACTGTGTGTGCAGATGTGACATTATTACGATGAATAGATGCCTTGTTATGATATCGGAGGAGGTTATGATATCGAACTGCTATTGTGTTCTGCTTGTGTCAAGAAGAAGGCAACATAGAAATAAGTCAAATTTGAGCTACAATGCATATTAGGTCATAAAAAAGCAGAGTATTGGTCTTATACAAGAAGGACAGAACAGAGTCTTTCATAAAAGATTGTTTTTGCATGTAGAAGCATTGAAATGATTCAAATAGACAAAGAAATTACAGAGTTTGTTGGACTTTAAAGTTCTCAGATTTTCCATCCCACCTTCAACCACATGAGTGAAACACTTTGCAGCATTTAGGAGGTTTCAGTGGAGAGAAACACTTCCTTTAACAGGCAGAACCAGACTCATGTAGGACAGTCATTCAGCATAGACTACATTTCCCATGAGCATTATCACCCAGTTGTAAAGATGCATCTATTAAAGGCAGCTCTTTGATTACACTCAGCTTTGCAACTTTTAATGAGTTTTAATGTACGACTCTGGTCCCTTGTGTTTTCTCAGTATGCAGATCCTGTATCAGACCTGTTAGACAAATGGGGGGCTTTCCGCAGCCGTCTCTTCAGGGAGTCGTGTGTTTTCCACAAAGGGAACTACGTAAAAGACCTGAGCCGCTTAGGAAGAGACCTCAACAAGGTCATCATCATCGACAACTCTCCGGCCTCCTACATCTTCCATCCCGACAATGCAGTATGTCCTCCAGATTCCCCTTTACATTACAAAACATGTGATTTAGGACACTTGGATGTTTGTCTCTAAATCTCACTTTTACTCGTCATTTACGAACTCTTCCACTTCTCTCTCAATCTCCAGGTTCCTGTCGCGTCCTGGTTTGACGACATGTCCGACACAGAGCTCCTCGATCTCATCCCCTTCTTTGAGAGACTTAGTAAAGTAGACGACATCTATGATATTCTCCAGCAGCAGCAGAGGACTTCAAGTTAACACAGGCAGGATACTAGGATGAAAGAAATCCCCAGCAGCTGTCGTCACGGGGCCACGGAGGCCGGTGGGCGGAAAAGCTCCACGCTGCTTCCAACTACAAGGACCACACTGCAAAAAATGCACGTCATTGAATCTCATATTCATCCTGTTTATTGCACAAAAAGGCAGAAGAAATCTTTGGTGAGTCTGATACTTTTAACGACGAGGAGTCCGCCAACTACAACACCTGATCCCAGTTTTAGACTTTCCTTTATTTTATTGCTCGTTTAACGCTGAATATGAGATTCAATGACTCCCGTAAATGCCTTTTGCAGTGCAGCTAGTGTGTTGTTGTCGTAATATGACAACAGTGACCTTTGTAAGTGTGCTGTAAGCCTAGAGTGTGTGAACAGTTGTTCAATGCCATTTTACAAATGAACCACATCAGTCATTTTCATGTCAGTATCATGTAGCATTCGTAATAGACGCTCGGACAGAAAACACAAGGAGACATTTATAACCGCCCGTTTTAACACCACGGACTCATTTTAGCCCAAAGAGGCTGAACATGTGTGTGTAGTAAAAGACAATCATTGACTGTAGAAGATATTTTGGACGATTTTATTACACGATGAACATGGTTGATCTGCACTTAAACATGTTTCAGAAAGTTTTGATTTGGAGGGATCAGACTCCAAAACAAAACGACTTTTTTCCTCTAAATTGAAAAGAAACTGGAACATTAATCATGAGAAGCCATATCTACTTGATTTTGGTCTTTTCTCACTACATTACAGATGATTAACAACATCTAATCGCTAAACTCTATATTACTGGAATCTAATTACCTTTTATATTTGTTGTCCTGTTTTCAGTTTAGTCACGAAACTTCATAATCTTGTTTTCTGTACATGAAATGAAACTTGATTTTTCTTCACTGGTCTGACATTTCACAGACACACACAGACTCGCCCGAGCACAAGTTGTCGTATTTTCTTTTGTACATATTGATTTTAGCAATCGTTCTGTTTTGGTTTTATTGTTATATGTTGATTAATTTTATTTTTATCTCTGAGTTTTTATTTGAATCAGCCGCAAAAGTGAGCGGTGTATCAGAAATTGAGTTCTGATTAAGGTGTGTGCAGAGGAGGCTGTAACGTCCATGGCAACTTGAAGGGGGATTTCAGTATTTTTAAACCCTGGTTCTACTATTTTTTACCTTCTTTGGGAAACACTTTATATCCTAAATAAGTCATTTAATATGTATTTTAGCTGTATTGGCTGCTATGTAAGATTTCAAGCAAAAGCACCTGATTTAAAGACAATCACCAAATGTGACTACCCACAAAAACAGACATCAAACCACCTTACTGTGAAAAAACTGTGATTTTTCCCTCGTGTAACACAAAGATTAGAGGTCCACTGCTTTACTGCTTAGTGTGTGCGTGCAGTAGGATTAATATAGGTGTGTCCTATCATCCTGCGTGTCATCCCCCTAGCTGCTCCCTGCAAACATGGTCCAAATATGATCTTCATGGTGCTCAGTGGTTGAATTGCACGCCCCCATGTGTAGAGGCATCAGTCCTGAGAGAGCCCTTCTTCGCTGTGTGTCATTCCTCTTAATGTCCGCCCTGTTTCTGCCCTTTTCTCTTTGAATAGCAGTACCGCATTTTCTGCAGCCATCCTCTTTATATCTGCTCCCAAACTTCTTTCAGTTTCTTAACCCACTTGATAAAAATAACAAGGGCCTGCTTTTAAAACTGCTGAAATCCCCCTGCTCTAAGTCTGCTGTTTGATTTCGAAGCACACTTTAACGTAAACTTTCAGTCAAAGTTGAAGTTTTTTTGTTCAGAGCAGCACAGGATTCAAGTCTAACAGCATTATCGACCTGTTGAACTTGAACCGGATGCGTTTTTTTGCCCTGATTGATTTCGCCTCAGTCCGGAGCGAGTGTGCGCATCTTCGTATGTGTGCGTGTGGGTTTCAGTGTGATTGTGCCCGTGTGAGTATTGACATTGTTTTAAGATTTTAAGAAAAGAAACTTTGGCGATATGTGAAAACTATAACCTGTCTTTGGATAATGATTTAACTTTTTTACTGTATGCATCAAGAGTATTAACGTTAAGTAAAGAAACTGGTTAAAATAAGTGAGTTTTTAAAATTGCTGCTGATTAATGTTAAGATTGGAAAAAAAACACAACTAGAGATATTTTTACCTTGCATCAATAAAGCATGTTTTATTGAAACAGGCCATATGACACCACAGTTGTATTTTTTTATACCTAACGCTCAACACAACATGGCAGAGGTGGAAACAAATGGAAATATGGAATATGGAACAAGTTTCATATGAAAACATCTAAAACTCGCTGTTAGATTCAAACATAAAACCCACACAAATTAAAAGCTAGCCCGCCCTGATGATCAATCAGGGCGATCAAGTCGTTTTTAGACTAATTCATCTCTAGATTCCCCCCATGTTTGGCCCAATATATTTACAATACAAGCCCCTCACAAGAAAAAACTTTCTCCATTCGAACTTGAACTTTCAGTTTCATTAAAACATGAGAAAAAAACAGACAAGGGATAAACTAAAAACTGTAAATAGATGATTCATTGCAAAGCGTGAAGCTAAATTTGAATTTAAGATGCATAATGGCGATAGAAACCTTTCCACACTGATGCTAACGTCTGAGTATCTTCACTGTCACACAAAAACCATACTCTCATTGGGGTATGTTAAATTCAGCAAAGGGAATCTCACATTTACACAGTTTGCTTGTCTGATAATACCGTGTCAAAAGTACTTAACGCTGACAAAATTAATGCTTTTTAATCAGACATTAAGAGAAACTCTGCAGAGGAGTTATACGCAGTGAAAATCTGACCAGTTTTCCAACAACACAATCCATAAGAGTTGAGGTGCTGTGTAAAAATTTCCTAAAAACAGAATTTTATGTTTTTTTTTAATTGACAATAGTGCAAAGACAACATAATAAACAAAATCTATGGTTGTTATGAATTTGATTTTAGCAATATGTTTGGCTAGGGACATGAAAACATTGAAAAAAGTTGACTAATGCTGAAAAAACACATGGTGGAGCATCTCCTGCTAATTAACTTGACTTGGTATAAAAATGAGCACTCCAGAGAGGCCGGGTGTCTCAGAGGGAAAGAGATTCACCACTTTGTGAATGATATACAGTATATGAGTTTTGCCAAACCACATTCTGCACATATTACAACAGCATGGCTCAGGAGTAAAAGAGCCCAGGTGTTGAAATGTCCTGTCTGCAGAACCTACTTGTCATCTATTAGAAATATGTGGTGTAACGTGACACAAAAATGATGACAAAGAAGAACCTGAGCAGCTGTGAGTTGGTATCAGGCAAGACAGGGACAGTATTTCCATATTTGAAACTCCACTAAATACAGTTTAAATGTTTTGCAAACTTTAAAATTCTGTTTTTATTAAACCTTTTACACAGCATCCCAATTTTGTTGGATTGGGGTTGTATTATTATTATTATTTTTTTGGAAAATATTAACAACATTAGCAGCTTCTGTGCCTTGAATTTAATACAACATCTCTATAAAGGTCTTTAAAGGTAATATTTCTGAGTCTGTTCTGCTCTTTTTGGACACTATTTTTCCAGTTGTTTACATATGCTACAGTTCGTCAAACTCATAATCGCCACTTTATTGTTGTCAATGAATCTTTTCGTAACCCCTTTATTTCTTCACAATATTCAAATCAATTATTTATTGTCACAAATAAACATTCAGCATAAACCTCCAGAGCACAGTTACAGTCCGATCACTTACACACAGAACATTATTTACATCCAAACTGCATTTTGCATTACAATTAAGAAATGGTTAAAAACACCTTCACACTCCAACAATGACACAAAACAGATATGTTTCCTTCATTAGATGTAAAGAAAAGAAAATCTACTCCCTCAGTTAACTGAACTGCATGAAAATCCATCTCGACCCTGTTTAAACCTCTTTTATAGACATATTGTTTGTAGATATAGAAGCAGAGTCAATGTCACAACTTAAAAGCATCAATCAGTGTCAATTAGGCGATGACAGGTAGAAGATGTCGCTCAGGGCTCACCTGAAATTCGAGCAGAGAAAAATTAGACTGACAACTACACAGTACCAGTCAACAGGTTTGACCCTATTCTGTCAAAATGTGGAGCTGTCACGTGCAAATGTCAATAATACAACTTTTGTCAACTCTAAAATTGAAAAAAGGACCTTTGCAAATAATAGTTTGACTCTTAGACTTCATGACTTAGAAATACTGTGTTCATTCAAGACCTGTGAGATTGTTAAAAAGGACAGATTTCAAGGCTGGGAATGTTTAAAGTAATTTTATATTTGATGAAGTGAAAGGATATTGAAAAAAGTGAGTTCTTTTGATCGATGAGAATATTATGGTTTAAATCATGATGTATTAAAGGTTCAGGAGATCATCCATCAGTTTAGAAAAGGCTGAGCAAACCAACATTTTCAAACATTTTATCTGCCTGTGTCGAACGAAGCCCCAAGATTTTATAATAAAGCCATGATCAAACTTTTTAAAAAGTAGCAGCAACAGTAAAAAGTCCTGAAAAGTAGATTATGAAATGGAAATACTCAAATATAAAACACCTCAAAACCGCAGCGCTTAAAAAATTGTTTGATTCACATTCCCCTCCTTGTTTTTCTGGGCCAAACGTGACTTCTTGACCTGATCTCCCCTCCTGACATCTCATCAGCTCTTCAACTGGTCACCACCAAAGTCATATACTCGAACATAATACTCTTTCTTTAAAAGCCCACATGATAAAAACTCTAAAAATAGTTTACTCCCCTGCACTTTTAGGAAGCCAAAGAAGGTTTTGTAGGTCTGTGTGCCCTGTACTGGCTGACCTACATCGCTGATAGGACCATTAACACCTATAATAGTCTCGGTGCACATGTAGCCAGAATATTCGCTGTAATTATTACTATGTGCCTCATGTGCAGCGCCAAGTCATGCAACATAGTTAACACATTATGTTGCCAACTTGAAACCAGGCTGCAGATTTATGCACTGATTGGATACGGATCAATATGTTTATTCATTTTTTGTGGTTTTAAGTGTGCAAATATTTCCTTTTTTTGCTGAAGAGTTTGATAACTTAACAGTTATCTCTCTGGTACACGTTTTTCTTTTATTACCTGAGATTATATCAATTCATGACCTAGACTGTAAATGGTGCATCCCGTGCTGTAAGGGCTAACTCAAGCCTATGTTTGTGCTGCCATCTAGTGGTTAGTTTTTGAATTACACCACTGGGTTACAAACTTATTGCTCCACCTGCTGGTCAGCTTTATACTTGTACAGAGCCACCTCCATAGATGAATTGCACCCACCTCCAGCTAATAACTACAGCTAGTCACCATTCGGCATCAGTTTATTAAAGGGATATTCCGGTCATTTCATGATCATTACTTTATCATTTCCTTGAAGTTATAAGTGGCTGCTGGAAGAAAGTAGGTGAGTTGTGTTTAGTCTCTTTGCTAAAGAAATTAGGCAAAGTTAAAAAGATGTTTGGTGGCTAGTACTATGGCTAGAACCCTATATGTACTGTTGATGAAGTTAGGTGCTGTTCTGAGCATTATTTGTTGCTGTAGAGTGGCGCTTTGGTTGAGGTTTGTGTGTGGTTCTATAGACCGCTGTGTATCGCAATAGTGCGGTCGTTACTAAAGTTGGTATAACAAGAGAAGCAAGCGGTATGCAACATTCATCTCTCGAGGGGGTGTCTAACTTGGTGTTACGGTGTGTTTGACCCTAATCTAATTTTACGCCGGAATATCCCTTTTAACGTCGATGCTTGAAATAAATTAATAAATTAATAAATTAATGATAACGTCGTTGCTTTGCCGCAAAAAAAAAAAAACACAAAAAAAAACGGAACCTTAATGTGCGCACCGCCCGGACTGTTTAGTGAGTGGGACCACAACAAAAAGAGCGCGTTAGTTTGTAAAATGGCGGCAGCTTCAGCAGACATCCTCCAAAGAACAGATTCCCTCGCCACCGGGGTTGACTGCAATTTTGTGGAGGTACTTTGGAATTTAAGAAAGAACAAACAAGACGACTTGCAAGACCTACGCAAGATTTCCTAAACAAAAATAAAGTACCCCAACAACACGACTAACATGAGGCAGCACTTTGTAGGCTTTCATCCCGAAACACAGAAGGTTCCTCCGGCCGTGCCCGCCACCACACAGAGGACCGTCCTGGAGACCGTCTCCAACTTCCCAGTTGAAGTTAAGTAAGTGAAAGTGCAAATATTTACAAAACAGTCAGACAGTCTCAAAGTAAAATTTTGTGTCTTTGTAAAATACAAGTCAAATGTTCATAAAACCTTGTTAGTTACTTATTGAGTGTAGTTTTAGAGGAACTGACTTAATTTATGGGATATTTATTTACACATGTAACCACAGATGAAGACAAACTCAATCCTGTATGGGAAGAAGCAACAAAAATGGCAATAATTGAAGAGTCGTGGCACCAATAATCGAATCGACTCGAGAATCAATAGAATAGAAGCTCCCATAACCAAAATCAAATCGAATCATGAGGTACCCTTGCTTGAACACTCCAACTAATAAACATCAATAAAAGTGTTAAAAATCATCCCTAACTATGCTTATTTAGGTAAATATTCTTTCTTAAATCCCCATATTTGTGCATGTCATCAATGCAATGTAGTCTAATTACTCTTATCATTTTAGTTTATTATCTATGTGAATAACTTTTAGAGAAATGTTGTTAGAATTGGCACAGTTGGAATATAGTTTTGAAATAAAAAGTGAAGTTGGGGTAATATTGCCAGATTAGTTTTAAACAGTGTGAGAGAACCATTGTTATACAGTTGAGGACCAGTCTTAATATCTCAATGTCACTGTGATCGTGTGTCATGTCTCAGCATTACAAAAATAAGTGGAAATGCTGTTACAGATGGGCAGAAGTGGGGTAGCATGGCTCTTCCTTCTAAGACTATTGACTGACATTGGCAATATGACTTTTCCATGGCATTGCTGATAAAGTGTTAGCATTAAATCCCTCAAAACAAAAGACTAAATCTTATTAAGTTTGTTCAAACTCTCCATTCTGATGGTTTTATGACATTTTACAATGCTCTGGTCAGAAAATATACCACTGTCTGTCATTTAATAGCATTATTTGCAGGTTATTTCCCTATTGGATTGCGTTTATTATGTGTTTTTACAACTGTACCAGTGAGATTGGTATTTTAAATGTGACAAAAGCGCCCTCTACTGTACAGAGCTGAAGGTTGCATATTATCCAAAGTTAGCTACATCTGAGAGAAACTGTCAGGTAAAATAATTATAATTATAAAGTAATTGGTCCCTATTTCTCATACTTACCCAGTACCCGAAGCTGTGCTTTGCTTTTGGCTTTCTCAAAGGTGAACTCCACCTCTCCACTCATGTCTGGGGTGGTTTGTCTGAGGGTCAGTCTGTGGACTGTGCCCATCCTCTCCAGGAGGACCTTGGAGCTGGCCTCCAAGGGTTCCCCATTCAGACTCCACACTGGGGTTTTAAGTACCGGGGCCGAGACCTCACATTCAAAGCAGGCCTCCTCTGAAGCCGTGACCTCCACGTCCATCAGCTCTCTGACCATCTGCATAGACTGGGCTGATGAGTCAGAGCACAAACGAGAGGACAGCTGTCAGTTCCTAACAAAAATCTCTGAAATGTACGAAACATCAGTGGCAAACTTTAAACAGTTTTAAAGCAATTAAGTGAAAAACAGTATGGTGAGGGAGACTTGGAAAAAGGCGGGACAGTGTTACTTGAGATGACTGCAGGATTTGAACTCCAGCACTAGAGGGCAGAGTTTTTCCTCATGGTAGAGCCCAGACTCAGTGATAGAAGGTTTTAGTCACAGGCCGTCATACCTTTTTGCATGTCCTAAACTCCCTCACTCCAGCATTAAATATGGTAGCACAGAGGACACTTTCCGATTTCACAGTGATGGCTCTGATCCGAAGGTTAACACTGAATTTAGGTTGAAATTAAGTTTTTTTTCTGCAAGCATCTTCTTGCAAAAGTAATATGCACAGTGGTAATTTACATTACCGATGCCTCTGACATTTAAAATTTCAGGTGTAATTGAGGCGAAGCCATCAAGTGTCCATAAAAATTGACAAATGTGTGACAGAAATTGAACTGGCAAAAATAACCTGGGGTTGCATTTACTGCAAATGTCCTTTAGTCGTCGTGTTACAGCCACAGAAAATACATGTGAGGACTTTGTTTTGACAGCAGGTGGAGCTCTGAGATTAAGTATTAAGAGTAAGGTCTCTATAAGTGAGTTATTTGAGAGAATTAAGCTTTATATCTCCTCTGAGAAAACAAGACTAGGCTTTTTATTGATACCTGTAGTCAGTACAGTACTGTCAATATAATTCATAACATTAAAAACATCATACTGCTTAATGACAATACCTAAATAACTGATTATCAAGTCTTCTGTAATGTCAGATGGATACAGAGCTCATCAAGTCTCTTACCCTCTACAGTCAGTTTTGCAGAGCATGAATGCTCTCCAACCTGCACGCTGTACGTGCCCTCATCACGTAGCGCCACTTCCTGGATGATCAGTTTCCGGTAACAGCCTTCACTGCAGATCTCAAAGCGCTCAGAGGGCAGGATGACATTGCATCCTTTATACCAGCGGATGCTACATCTGGGGTTAGACACAGCGCAGTCCAGGAGCACACGGGTCTTCTCGATAGCCGTCTTATCCTCCAGAGGTTTCACGATGTTGACGGGGAGCTCTGGACAAGGTGAAAGCAACAGTGTGACTAGGTTTCTAGTAGTGAAAGATTAGAGAAATCATTTATGTGTGAACCCCGCTAGATACTTATAGGTGAGGTCTTCATATGAGTCAGATCTTTCAGGCCACACAAGTGAAATAAGTAGTAAATATGAACAATACCTTTGACCTCCAGGTTAGCAACAGATTCAACTTGTCTGGCAACAAATTTGATCTCTCCAGAGTCCTCTGCTCGCACATTGCAAATTAGAAGAAAATGTTTGGTCCCTGGAATGAAAAGAAAAATAATATTTTTAATCTGTATTCATGGAAATTTATTTACAGATCAGGAAATTTGAAGGGAAGTCTATTGCATTTTTTCTGGAAATAGGAGAATACAGTTTCTTTGGGATTTTGAAGCTGACCTTCTTGGCGGATCTTTATGGTGCTGGTGGGTTGTATCTTCTCCCCATTTTTGTACCAGTCCCCTGGCACATCCTCTGCTGAGATCTCACAAACAAACACTGCATTCTGATCTTCCTGGATGTCCAGGTCCTCAAGACCATGCAGGATCTGCAGCTCACGCTCTGCAAGAAGAAGCAATGTTGTGTGGGGACCAAAAATGCAAAAGATTGACACCAAAAACACTTCAGTGCTGTGAATGAGATCGACTTAACTGTGTCAACACTCTTTACAGTGAGAAGGGCTAGTTTGGTAGCAAGAACCAGACAATGCTTCTACCAAGTTGATACTAGTGGTTTGACGATATTAAAAATATTTCAATATCTTTATTTTTTGTGTGGCAGGATGATGTGTCTCATCCTCACTTTTAGAAGAGTTGTATTTGCCTGCTGTCTTGGTTACCCTGTCAGTCAATTAATTCACAGGAGCACTCTATAACAGGGAGTAGTGGCAGCCTCCCGTTCCTCTTGCTCTGGCCCTTCCCTCCACTTGCCCCACCCTGTCCCTCTTCTCACACTAACACCGGTGCAGGTAGGTTAACAGTGGCTGCTAAAAATGCTAAGCGATCAATTATCATGCTGATTTGTCTGTGTTTCGGCTTATTTTTAGACGCTGTGTTTATGGTTGCCTGCTCTCATGACTGGCTCAGTGCACATACTGTTGTCATCGCCGACAATATGACATGCGTGTACCTCAATCTTCTGCTCCTCTGAAATTATTTTGGGTTTGTTATTTTTCTTTGAGTGTGAGCCCACTAATCCCCCCTTTTTTGTGTCCGTTTTCAGTTTCTGAGAGCCAACAGTGGTGGTCCCTGGTGTCCTGGTGGTGGTTTTCCCCTTATAGTGTGCTGTGTATCCCCAGTCTTTAGTTGTTGCACTGTGTAAATTTTAGTGTGATCATCACATTATCTGGTGTCCTCCTTTCCTTTTGACTCATCGCACCGTGGTAAGACTCAGCCCTGAAAAAAGGTTCCCCCTTCCTTGTGTGGGAATGATATTTCAAATAAAGGATTTCTCTTTCTTTTAAACTGGAATCACGTCTCCTGCTTCTTCAAAAGGTAGAGCGAACTTGAGTGCCATTACAATCTCTCTCCTTGGGCAAAAGGTGGCGTTGTTGGCTTTAAAATTATCCAAAAACAGTTAATATCTTACACCAACCAAATCTTCTCTGTTTCACTCCTCGAGTTGCTGCATTTCCATCAGTTTCACTTTACTTGCAGAAGTTATTATGTGACTGAAATGACCAAAAGTGACAATGATGTGGGTTTGTGCCAAGATCAACGTTTCTGTTTGTAGTTGGTCTGAAAATATGGCCCCTCTACTCCTGCAGCTTTTGTGATAAAGCCCCGCCCATAACTGTTATCTCATCCGGGATAGAGCAAAGTAGTACTGTAAAAGTAGAGGCACTGTTTTATGATTTTTTTTTTTTTTTTTACAATTTGACTGCAGACTTTACCATAGACCTCCACAGTGCAGGATGTTGTAATATCTCCAGCATCACAGGTGTACATGCCAGAATCACTGACATTACATCTCATGATCTGAAGAAACCGTTTCCTTCCCATTGCATAAATGCGCAAGTCCTTGCTTGGCTTCACCTCAGCCCCATTCTAGAAAGAGAGAAAAAAACAGTTAATTGAAATGAAACAATACAGTGTATGTGATGCTTTTTTGTTATATCTTAACACAAAGTAGATAAGAATTGTTAGATTGTAGACTAGAGCTTAAAGTGTCTCGACACTTGCCTTCAGCCATTTCACATCAACGTTGTGTCTTGACAGCTCACACTCAATAGAGATTATTGCCCCGTCTGGGAATCTCTGGTCTTCCAGTTTTCTGAAGACGGTCACTGGGGGCTCTGATAGAATAAGAATAAAATAAAATCTTTGTTAGGTAAACCAACCACTTTCTATTTTTCAGATAGTTCAAGTAGTCCATACGCTCAAGTTATGTGGACTAGTTTATTGTGATGACATTTTCATCCAATAGTCATCCTCAGCTTTTCAACCCTGAGCTCAAAGGGATGATGCTTACTGAGTGACGGAGTATTGGAGTGGATTATTTTACAGCATGAGGTTAAACTATCACCTGACAGAATAGACTGAACAGAGCTACCGCTTTTCAATAGGTCATGCTAGGCTATTTTGTGTTTGTAACGTGAGACTAGATGAAGGCAACAGTGGCAGAGCGGTCACTGTATTCTATTATCATGCCTCTGCTGGTTGGCATTTGGTCTATTGAGAGTATTGCTCTGTGCAGCACAATGTTTTTGAACTTCAAAGTAAACAAGAACGAGGAGAATTTATATTAACAATTTGCATTTTAATTGGCCTCTTAGAAGTGATAGTAGTTATTTGGCTAAAACTGCTTCTAGCCATCTTGTTTTCGCCTCCAATTTTGCTGTTTTCCACATTTTTTTTTAAACGCTGGGAACTCGGGTGTGACGTCATTTTCAGCTCAGACTTCTGACTTCCAAGGTAACTGGAATGCAGCATAATGTACAAACAAAGTAGCAAGGAGTAGGAGTGATGTTGGCTGTGTGGCAGTATTTTTCATTAAAGTCTGAAAAAGACATTGCAGCTTAGTGCAAAACTTGTCATGCACAAGTTTGTGCCAATATCGGAACAATATCGTTATCGGCCAGTACTGAAGGCTATGATATCGGAAGCAAAAAAGTTGTATTGGGACACCCCTATTTGTCATGTCCTGTATGGTAAAATTGCGCATTTTGCGAATGAAATTTGATAACCGTCAAAACAGCCACTTCTATGTTATCAGACACATCAAATAAAAATGTGGAGTTCTGCTATCTTCTTTCGCAATTGTGTTTAAATAGCTGTGTTTTGTACTTGCACTAGAGAAACAAATAGATTACTCCAGCAATACAATTAAGTTGCTGTCACCTCTTTGACAGACAAGTCATCCAAAAAGATATGACTGGCATTTGGTAACATATTAATTTCAGGTGTGGGGAGTATGGCAGGTCATGTTACTACTGTCTGTGCAGTTAAGGATGTAAAGTCAATGCTATTTATGGCAAACAATGTCGGACAGCAGGAGAGATGAATAGTTTTAAATACAACTATCTGTACGGAGAAAAAAAGATTAACTGGTGCACTCACAAAAGGCTAGATCATTGACATTTGTTCTTATAAAGTTAAAATACATGGACAAATTTAAAAAGCCTTGTTCTCGTTGCTTCATTCCAAGGAGATGGCACCATTACCTTGTAGATACTGAAATGCTACAGAGCTTTTGTTAATTAACAATAGAGCTAATAAGGTTTTTTTTTTACATCCTTCTCTAAACGCTTGACAATAGAAAGCAGAGGAATGATCTCATTATCTTGTTTGAGGTGTAAAAGATATTTATTCCTTTTCTTTTGAATCTCCCAATTGCTTTTATAATTTGGATGAGCATCCAGCTTCTGTGGAAAACGCAGGTTCTGTGATCACACCTGTAATTTATGCAAGCTATCGTGGGGGATAGAAATGAGGAGGGTTGGAAATCAAGGTCTATACTTCGAAACATCACCCAAATCTTGTTTTCCCAATTACTTACCTTTCACAACAAGCCTTGCAGATGTCTTGAGATTCTCTACACTGAACATAAAAGTTCCAGTGTCCTCTACTGAGAGATTAGAGACAGTGAGGCTGTGGACCTGTCCCTTGGCACTCATACGGAAGTGGTTTGTCGGCTTCAGCTTGATGCCGTTTCGTGTCCAAGTGCCTGGAACGTTTGGGTGGGAGAGCTCCACTTCAAAAGACGCCGTTTCCCTCTCAGTTGTTTTAATGTCCTTCAGCCCTCTCTTGATCGTGACCTTTCGAGCTGTGATGAGAAATTGAGCTGTATGAAAAGATAGACTTCTCTCGTTCAACGTTAGCGATTTTTTATTAGTACTTTTCAGTGAAATGAAAACGCAGTAGAAGTTCGACAAAGGTTAAGTTTAAAGGATTGGCTCAAGCAGCACCCTTTTTTCATTCCACTGTAACACCAGGAGCTATGGTGTCCAATCTCCATTACAGAATAGACTTGGACTCTGTTTTGCGAACAGCAGTCTGCAGCTTAACAATACAAGCTGGCATACATTGACAGGCTGATATTTTAGTCATTTGAGTATGAGGCTTTACACAAAAGCCACATCTGAAACTGCCAACATTTTTCACTTATTCTAACACAGACGAGCATTCCCTGTGGAAAAAAGGAGTGTTTATTTTGGAGACCTGATGACAACAACCTTAGTTTTGAAGGCCAGGGTATAAATTTAGATGCAATGAGAGGAGATCCAAATTCATAGGAGGTGCCAACAGCAGCCTGAAGTCCTGACTGTCCCCTTCCAACCCATGCTAGTGTTGAAAGAACAGCCTTTAATTCAACCATTGGCCTGTGGATCATAGGACTAAGGAATATAAGCAGCCTGTACAAGAAAAACAATGATAGGTACATCTTAATCACTTCAAGATGTCTGTTTTATGGCCTGTCAGCGTTGCAGATTTAGGTGGCGTGGAAAATTGTACCTTGTATAGTCCTATTCTAGTTATTGATAAAAAAGTGCCTTGTTTATGAAGAATTCAGTGTTGATGGAGGATTTGCCCCTGATATCACAAATCAGCAGGACCTCATAGATCTTGTGTCAACACAGAAAACCCTGGTCTGAGAGTCTGCTTGGACTGTAAGACCATCACCTGTTAGTTGCCATCATGTCCCAGTACAAGTGCCACCCTGGTCCCTAGTCACTCAAATTACTCTTACTCAGTTAATTGAGCTTTGCCTTCACGAGAAAAAGCAACGGAGGTGGAGTCATCGGCAACGGCGGTAAACAAACAGCAACGAGGCATAGTGAGAACACGTGCACACTCACGTTCCACTGTGAGCTGGGCTTGCGTGCGGTCATGGAGGGTTTCACAGCTGTAGGTGCCCCGGTCAGACATGGCCAGTGTGTGGATGGTGAGACTGTGTTTTTGGCTTTTGTGCTTCAGTGTATACTTGGCTCCGGGGTGGATCAGCACCCCTTGCCTCATCCACTGCACCTCACCAGAATCCACACTGACCTCCACCTCCAGAGTTGCCTCACTGTACTCTTCAGCTACTACCGGTGCCATTTTCTTGGTGAACAACACCTGTTGCTCTAAAAACGAATTAAGCAAGTTACTAGATCTCTGCGTAATGTCAGTGTTTGTCTGAACAAAATATACACACACTTCATAGAAGATCTGTAAAGTTGCAATGCACAGCATGCAAGTAAAACAGTCTGAGGAGACTTTCCCCCTGCTGTGTTGTACACCAAAGCCACTTGTCTCTGTCAGTTATCAGAGGAATTTCAACAGGAGAAGCTGCCAAGCTCCAACCGTTGACAGCCCCTCTTTATAATTTTACTCTCATCTTCAAGAGTCAGTATTTATTATAATGTTTACTTATGCTATACAGCCGTTCAGTCTCCTGTATTTATGTTTACTTTCACACCAGTATTGCTGAAAATAGCTCCTAGTTGAAAATATGGTGATAACTACCAAAGAGAGATGAGCTTATTGAAGAGTAAACGGTTGTTAAATGGTTAAACTTATGTGATTCATGGAGACAGACGCATGTAATCAAGGTGTTTATGTATGGGGCCACAGCTCACCTTGAACCTGGAGTTCTGCCTCTGAAACCAAGCCCTCGGCATCAGCTGTCACTCTGGCGCTATCTGAGACCCTGCAGTTGTGGATGCAGAGCATGTGGCACAGTCCATTGCTTGAAACGAGAGTACGCTCACTCAAAGGTGCTTGCTTGCCATTCAGGCGCCACACCAACTGAGTGTCCTCTGGTGAAACCACGCACTTAAATACGGCATCTTCCCCCTCACGGATTGTTATGTTACGAAGCTCTGCTATAAACTCGACAACGCGGGGAGCTGCAGGCAGAGCAATCCAATGAATTAGATTCACTGTAATTTACATGATTTTTCTCCTATGTGCGTGATATTTTCCTTATTTCAGAATTTACTTACTCTCTACAGTGACAGTGGCTGAAGTCCTGTCATCTGTGGATTCACAGGAATATTCCCCAGCGTCTTCATCCTGTACTTCGTGGATGGTAAAGCTTCGCTCTCGACCTTGTGCCCGTATCGTGTGCCGGCGACTTGGAGCGATATCTTGGCCATCTTTTAGCCACTGGACATCTCCTTTGGGCTTGTTGATCTCACAACGTAATATTAGGCTACTGCCCTTCAGAGACACTATGTTCTCTAAGGGTCTGATGAATTTCACTGTCATTTCTGTTGTGCAGAAAAACAAATGTAATTCAACAGATGGTAACTCGAGACAGCCACACAAAGTTAACACGGAAAAAGCGTTGACATTTCTCTTCCAAGCAGTGCCAAACTCTTACCTTTAACTAAAAGACTGAAATACATCTCATCTGTGTTGACGTCACAGACATATTCTCCAGAATCTGACAGCTGCAGGGGATTAATGGTGAGCTTGTGGGTATTACCCTCACTGGAGATGTGAATGTTGTCCTCGTTCAGTAGTTGGCCATCTTTCAGCCACCGGACGTTAGCTCTTTCACTGCTCACAACGGCACAGAGTGTGACACTCTCATTTTCACAAGCAGAGATCTTATTACCTTCATTTTTGTTCATGAACTTGGCAGGTGGCTCTGAGAAAAAAGAGGTAATAAAAAGAAAATGCCTCTAAATTGTATACTCATACATGACGAATTTGGAACTATGGAAGTGAGATATTGCAGGGTAAGTCAGCTCTTACCTTGAACCTCAACAATTGTTATCAGTTTGTCATCAATGGCATCACAGATGTATTTTCCAGAATCTGAGGGCCCAAGTCCAGACAGAACAAGTTTCCTCGCAACGTCATGGCTGTCAATTTTTATACGAGTGTCTGGTTGCAGGATCTCGCCATTCCATAACCACTGAACAGTGGCGTTAGGCCGAGACACCTCACACTCCAGGACAAGGTCATCTCCTGCCATCAGAATATGATGCTCCGGGGTGCCAGAGTTTCCAATAATCTGCACCGGAGGCTCTGAACATTAAAAAAAAAAAAAAACATGCCATTATTTTATCCCTGGGTGCAGGAAGGACACACAAAAATGCATTGATCAATAATATGATCACCTTTGACAGTGATATAGAAGACCATCTTATCATCCTTTGCATCACAGGTGTACTCTCCTGAGTCTTCCAATCCAGCGTTAAGGACAACCAGAGATCGGAAAACCCCTTGTTCCTCGCTACAGTATCGTTCAGTGTCATCGATTAATTCATTATCCTTGTACCAGCTGACAGTGGCATTGGATCTCGAGAGTTCGCACACTAGAATTATGTCATCGGACACTAAAAACTGCTTTTCTGTTTTTGCATCAGTTTTGCCAAGAATTTTTACAGGCAACTCTGAAAATGAACAGAACAGAAAATCTATTGAGAAACAAAATCTTGCGTGAAAGGTGAATCTTGGGTTAGGATTAAAAGTATGCACTAAAAAAACATAGATTGAAACTTGTCAAGTTGTTGTCAATGTTTGGTTGCAGACTGCAGATTTAATGTTTACCTTAGCTCAGAAGAAATATCATTTTCACTCCTCTTGGCCAACAGTGAAAATCATTTTTCTTTATGGGGTGTTAAAAGTGCTGACTGTCATACCTGATTGTCACCTAACATGCTTATAGCTGAATATAACTGCTGTTAACCCCCATTAGTGCACTTACTGCAAAATTAAGGTATGTAAGTTATGATAAAGCATTATAAGGTGATAATCTACAGCTAGTGTCAAATACCAACTGTGAAATGTAGTAATGAAATCATCAACTAGAACATACATTTATCACTACGCTGTGACTGTGTAGATTACATTATCTGTGCTTGTGGGGAATGAAAGCAGGAGCACATAAATTTTTTACTGATGTAAAATTTTAGGGAGAACCCTGAGCTTTTCCTTATCCTACAAATTACACCCATCTTTCAAAATGATGCACTACCACCACCACCAATATTTGACAGGAGACTTTGCACCTGCGCAAAACAGGAGGAAAGATGATGGCAGTATCTCAACTGATGCAACCCCTAAAACAGTGGGGTGTAAGTACTGTTCTAAGTCATGTAAACTCATGTATAGCTGCAACCAATGCTGGTCTGTGAAAGTAAGCTGCATGGTACAGAACGTGCACAAGAGACTAAATTTTCTGCTGTAGCCTGTATATTGCCCATATTTGCAAGCAACATGCATTCGTGGGACCTCCACCAATTAAAAAAATTTCCCGATATTCTCTGCCAATTCCAAACAGCTTACTCTGCTGTTGACTCTTATTTGGTGTTGTTTGGTGGATTAAAGAAACGAGACACGTTGGCAGTTTAACAGTTTATTCAATGATAGAAAAAGAGCCCAAGTAGGGAGTGATAGAACCATACACAGCCACAGCAGCAGCGGAACCTCCTTCTATGCTGGTCACCAGCCTGGTCGCTTTGGGAATGCATCCCATTCTTCAACCAGCATTTATTGAAAGTCAGCCAATGTGGTTGTGTTGGTCACTTTGAGGCGAACAGCATGTCCAAGCTCATCTATCAAGTGGTCAATGAGGTTGAGGTCAGGACTGCTGGCAGGCCATTCCATCCTCTCCACTCCCAAATTCTGAAGGTAGTCTCTGATAAACCCCGCTCTGCGGGGGCGATCGTTACCAGTTTGGAGTGTAGCATTTGGTCACAGACTCTGAGGATTGCCACTGATTGCAGAATCTCATCTAGATATCTCTCTGCATTGCGATCACTTCTAGTGATGACAAGCCTCATTTTTCCAGTAAGGAAGATGCTGTCGCACACCATCGCACTGCCAGCAGAATCCAGACTTGCTGAACATAACATTTCTCCACATGCTGAGGGGTCAGTGCACGTGTTGCAGACACCAGCGAAAATCGGCCTGACACCGAAGGGCAGTCATGGCAGGCCTCCTGGCAGCCCCGTGAGACCAGAGATTGATTGTGTCCAGTCTGTTCCGGATTTTCTGGGTAGAGAGCCAACTTGTTTCTTCAGACTTGAATCATTCAACCCACCAAACAACACCAGACAAGAGTCAATGGCAGAATAAGATGTTTGGTATGGCAGATTAGATTTGGCAAATTTTTATGGTTGCAACCCAAATACTCAGCCACTCATCCCACAAATGCATGTTCCTTACAAATGTGGCACAGTTTACAAGGGAAATAAACAGGCTTTCCAGCACTCTAAGCATTGCTAATTAATAATCCACATGGATTATTGTTTCAGGATATCTACGTATGTCGAGGTTTTAAAAGTAGAGGAGAGTCCCCTCCAAGTTCTTGGAGTGTATTGATCGGTAACTTACCTTGCACTTTGACTTGGAAATCCATCACATCATCTTTTGCATCACAGACATATTGCCCAGCATCTTCAACTTTGAGTGAATGGATGGTTAGTTGACGCAAGACTCCATCCTCAAGAATGGTGATGTTTCTCGAGTCTTCTACTTCCTCTCCATTCTTCTTCCAGCTGACCTCTGCATTTGATCTTGAAACCTCACAGTCCAGAACCAGCATCTCCCCAGCCACTTTTTCCACCTTACTTGCCATCTTTCTTGGGCGTACAAAGCGCACAGGAGGCTCTGCATAAAAGGACTTAATGTAAGAATCACCAAACATTGAAAAAGAAACTTTTTTTGTGGTTATTTTACTGTCCCCACCTGCTATGTTTACGAAGAAAGTCATGGAGTCATCTGCGGTATCGCAGACATATTCTGCAGAATCTTTGACTGTTGTCTCAGGTATTATTAGTCTTCGGTAGACCCCATCTACTTCAAGAATAAGGTTGTCATTCTCCTCCACTTCAAGTCCGTCTCGATACCAGCGCACCACTGCATTAGGACGGGAGATCTCACAGCTCAGTACCATCCTCTCAGAGGTCTGCTGGCACAGCTCCATTTGGGACTGACTTGGGGACACAATCCGCACTGGGGGTTCTGGAAAGGGATAAAACCAACCAGATTAGTCATATAAATGCCACAACATCTCTGAAACCTTTTTGTTGGTGTCAAGCTTTCCTCACATCTTTGAATCTGGATGAATTAGTAAAGAGTTTACTCTTGCAATATCTAAGGTATCTTGGTTGGTGCTTGTGATACCTGTTATACTGAGATGAAAGAATATCGAATCGTCGTCCGTGTCACAGACGTACTCCCCAGAATCCTCGACCCCGCTAGAAAGAATCTTCAGTCGTCGATAAGGCCCTTCAACCTTGAGCTTTATGTTCTCACTCTCTTGCAGCTTTTGGCCATCCTTGTACCAGCTGACAACACCATTTTGACGAGACAGTTCACAGCTCAGAATAATTTCCTCAGGGACATGGCGGTCAAGATGGACATCCTCCTTGGGGTAAGTAATCATGACCGGAGGTTCTACAAAAGCAGAATAATGTTAAATAAACTCATTACTTCTTGTTTAACTCTGGTGATCTACATTTATTGAATGTGTGAGAGTAATCCTGCTACTTTCTTAACTTTCTTACCTCGCACAGTCACCTTGAACACTACAACATTGTCGCCTGCACGACAGGTGTAGGTGCCTGTGTCAGACAGTTGCGCTTGCTGTATTGTGAGATTCCTTACAATACCCTCTGCTTCTATGTTAATGTTATTGCTTGCTGGTATTTCAGTTCCATCTTTGTACCATTGGACAACACCATCAGCCCTTGATATTTCACAAGACAGGACGAGCTCTTCTTGTTCCACAACGCTCTTGAAGAGGTCCTCCTCTGTGATGTCGGCAAACGTCACCGGTGGTGCTGCAAAAAAACAAAAAAAAAAGCGTTGGTTGTAAGTTATGCTTAAACGTTCTCATTAATACATGCAGTAGTTGTGAGGGCAGGTTTTTCAAGCTAAGACAAGCCTTGCTGTTGAAATAACTTTTAACAGTTTTTGTAATGATAAGTGGGGGTTAAGCCTCTTGGACGCAAAAGAAAAAATGAGTAAAGCAGTGCACTGAAGCAATGGTATAACAATTGTACTGACAAACAGCCAAACCATATGAAATCATCTGGCCTTGAATGTTAGGAATGTGGATGAAAAGCTGCCAAATGTTGATTTAAATTGTGTTATTTAGAGGGAAATAATCTATGACAAAAAATGATGATGATCAGGTTTTCTTCTGTCTGAGATATTAAGGATGTAAAGGGTGAATGAGGCTCTAGGGTGACTATATCTTCCCAACAAAAAGCTCGGTATATCACCTGTCACCTCCACATCGAAATCGTTGAAATCTGAATCATCATCAGTTTTACAACCGTACGTTCCAGAGCATGGAGACATTGACGACATCTCAACTTGTGTCCTCTTAATTTCCCCAGAATCAATGTTTATTCCTGATTTTGGCAATGGTTTTATCCCATCCTCATGCCAGCAGGTCTGGCCTCTGGGGTCTGAGATCTCACTCTGCAGTTTGAACAAGCTGCCTGCTTCCACAGATGTGCTCCTTTCAGCCTCTGGAACAGCTGAGAATCAAACCGGTGCTATAGGAATTTCAATTCATTGAACAGTAACCAGATAGATATCAGATCTGCTTAACTGTATCATCTAACATTTGGATTAACAGGCTAGAGGACGTACTATCTAGATTTCTAATTGTACAAAATAGTGTGTGCACTATTGAGCATAATATAATACAAACAAAGACAGGTGTCCAGTCAGATTTCTCTAAAACCCCAACTATCTGGGGAGTCACAGACTCTCATGTAATCAGATTGCTAATTACGAATGTCTTCGGCAGAAGAAAGGGCAAAAAAACTTGTCTGGTGTGTTGCCCTTTGTCCATCTATGTTTTTGTTAAGCTGTTAATATAAATCATACATTCTCAATGCCCTTGCAGCATCTTGCAAATAATACTATTTAAGGTTTTATTAAAGTGGCATGCACTGTGGTCTGCTCAGCATCCTGTAGCAAGTGGTAAAGAAATCTGGAGTGGTTTTGACCACTACTGTTGCCATAGGACTGAGCAGTTTGAGCAGAACAAGCTGTGAACAACTCAGCTATACAGGGAAATCATCATTTAAAGTTGTGGCCAGCATGTTAGCCAACAAATTCCTAGTTGTGCACTCACTTAAAGGAAAGCAAATTACGCAATTCTTTCAAGGTGGGATCTTCAACCTCAGACCTTACCTCTGTTTCAGTTCTTACTATCTCCTTTTTGAGAATATCTGGCATAAATGACTGAGCATGTAAACTGTAATGTATTTCCAGAGCTTTGCTGATTACCTGCTGCAAGTTGCTGGAAGTAAACTCAAAACAATACTCTGAAAACAGTTAAAATGCTAAGTACGAAAACTGATTACTCGCTTAGTTGCAACCACAAAAGATACCTTGATTATGAAAATGATGAAAATAAGTTTAAAGCCACAGCTGGGTTCTTAAAAATAGTCATTTCTCTTCCTTTCAGTCTAATATTTAGCAGCAAACCACCAGCATTACTTAAATGCAGTGCAACATGAGAGCCTGAAGATCACAGACATTCACAGTTGGTTTTTGGTCCAAAATATTTTTCAGATTATCTGACTTCATGTCAGACTTTCATGAAATATGCACTATACTATAAATGATAACATCCTCAAATTTTACACCTTTACATAACTTTTACGGTGTTTCGTTTTTTAATGTGTTGCAGGTATCAGATTTCAGGCATGGGTTTTTCATAAAACAATCAAATCTTCCTCTTGCACTACCAAATTCTAAATTTCTAAACATTTTACCTGGGGACCCAGCCTTTCAGTAATTCTAGATAATTTATTCAAGGGCATAACTGTCCACCAATAAAAATAAAATACATGTCTGAGCATTAGTGCACAACAGTTTTGAATAATTTCTTTTGTTTATGTTGTAGCCAAGCCTTAATAGACAAAGGTTAGTTATACTGACAAAGCTCAAAATACTTAGATCACCTGCAACATCCACCTTGAAATCTATACGGTCATCTGCACCCTCACAGCTGTACGCCCCAGAGTGTCTGACTTCTGCTGATTGAATAACCAGCGCTCTCAGTTTCTCTTTTGTTTGGATTTCATATTCACTCTCTTGAGGTAGTTGCTGTCCGTCCTTGTGCCAGTAGACCTGGGCAGTCGGCTCTGAGACTTCACACTGAAGCTTAAGTGGACAGCCTGCTTCAACAAATTTGTTTCTTGCAATCTCTGGAAGTGTTGAAAACCTCACAGGAGTAGCTGTAGGTGTTACAAGATTTGCAGAGCACTTCTGTTAAGATGTCAGATTAGGGCTGTCAACATTATGCTTTTTTTTAATAAAATGATCTCCATGTTTCCTAAGGTATTACATATTTCTCTAAATTGTTTAACTGAAGAAGGTCATGAAGGAAAAGCTACACTTTTAATCTCACACCTGTAAAGTCATGAATATATCCAGAAAATGAGCAAATCACCTTCAATGTCCACATGAAACATCACAACATCATCAGCGAGGCTACAGCTGTAGATGCCCGAGTCTGAGACCTTAGCTGAATGAATCATTAGTTTTCTCACGGTGCCGTCTCTTTTCATATCAAGGCCAGTTTTGCAAAAAAGCTCCACCTCGTCTTTAAACCAGGAAACCTGGGAAGCAGTGTCTGAGACCTCACACTGCAGGATAATTGGACAACCAACTGTAATTATCTTATATTTTTCTGACACTGAGACTGGCAAGATCTTTGGCGATTGGCCTAAAAGAAGGGAATAACAGAGGTGTTGGATAAGAAGCGGATTCACTTAACAGTGGACAAAACAGTTTTTCCAGACAGTCACACAGTCTGTCATAGACACTGAAACAAAGTAAATCACTCACATTGTAGAAAAGGGTTGGCGTTGTATGTTGGATGTGGAGAGAGTTGGGATAATTGTAAATCACCTTTTATGTCCACTTTAAATGTGACGGTGTCATCTGAAGTGGAACATTCATAGGTGCCACTGTGCACGTTTTCAGCTGAGTTGATGATCAGAGTCCTCATTAGACCATCTGTCTGTGTTTCCATATTGTTTTGCGGCAGGAGCTTCACCCCGTCTTTGTACCATTCGACTTGAACGGAAGGATCCCTAGACAGTTCACAGGCGAGGACGAGGGGGGAGCCTTCTTCGACAGATTTGTTCCTGTCACTCTCTGGAAGCTCTGAGAACTTCACAGGTAGTGCTACAAGGTTTCAGATATTGCAAAAAGAAGAAGAATTTTGAACAAATAACATAACATACAAAAACCAACAAGCGCTTCTCACAAAGACGAAACAACGAAAGACAAAACATCATTCAAAGGGTTAAAGAGCAGGAATCAAGAAGCTAGTCCACAGTTATTGTGCACCAACTTAAGAAGCTCGAAGAAGCGCGGGTAAGGCGCAAACATCATTTTTATATATTTCGCAGGGAGGCTGTTTGCAGTTAGTGCCCTTTTTGACACACGCACACAACCCCTTTTTTAAAGATATTAGTCATGCACAATAAGAGCTGCAAGATTAAAGTGTTGTGGGGACAGACGTCATGATTTTTTTATTCCACTGTTGAAAGATTTTGAAAAAGTTAGCAACCATAACTCACTTACCAGCGCTATACTATGAAATAACTGGCAATCGGCTGTTTGCTTTGACTTGTATCCGTTAAACCAGAGCCGGCCCAAGGCATAAGCGAACTAAGCGCCTTCTTAGGGCCCCACGGCCAGTAGGGGGCCCCCAAGAGCAATAAAAAAAATGTTTTAAATTTTTTTTTTTTTTTGCATGTATGATTGATACTTTCTATATCATTGTAAAAATAAAATAAAGTATAAACATTTTAGTGCTGCTGCTGATGTAGGCCTATGATTCTTACTGCCTATATGTCAAAGCTCCGCTACCGTTATGTGCCTCCTGTTGTGCAATGTGCACTGAGCATCCAAAGTGCAGGTAAGCTGTGGGGCAAAACAATGTCACAAAAAAGGACATATCCTTCAGGAGCAGAGAAAAGAAAGAGGAAGAAGAGAAAAAACACCAAGATAAAGGTATGTTTGCATGTCATGGAATGTTAATCAAAGAGATTTGTGGAGGTGTGTGAATGATCAATAATCAATGTTGGCAGAAATAGAGGGCCCCATTGAGGCTTGGGCCGGCTCTGCGTTAAACTGTGAAAATTCTTGATTGAGGTTATATCTGCTGCGCATTCATTTTTGTTTAGTGATTAGCAAAGGATTACTTGATTGCCTGCTGTTAAAGTTAGTCAGCAGTGCAAAGCGGGGAAAGTTTCTACAGTTTCTGAGCATCACCTGTGACTTCCACAGCAAACTGGATGTCATCATCCTTTGACTCACAACGGTATACGCCAGTGTGAGCTCGCTCTGCTGACGGGACAACTAGACTCCTGACATTTCCCTCTGACTGGATGTCTACTCCACTCTGAGGTAGGAGCTCTGTTCCATCCTTGTACCAACTGACTTGTCCAGCTGGGTCTGACAGTTCACACTGTAGAGCAATGGGGCAGCCTGCCATGACCGTCTGTTTCTGGTCGGCCTCAGACACAGCTGAAAACTTCAGAGGTGGTGCTAAAGGATCAAATGTAAAACAAGAGTTTTCAACAAAAACATCTGAAAGAAAACAAATCATAGCCATAACTGAAGCTCAAGCAGCTGTTCAAAATACTGTAAACATTAACATTTATTTTCATTATTTACAGCAAAAAGTTTAGCTTACATTTGTTCTGCAAACTTGTAGGGACCTAAAGTGAAAGTTGCAAAAAATATCTGAATAACACGTGTCTTTATAAGAAACTCAGTAAATTAGAGTAGACAGTCAATCTTTGAATCTCATGATTAGAAGTTGAAGGTTTTGTGTTTTTGGCCTGTAGCTTTTCTAAATTTTATAGTTGTACATTTTAGAATATTTTTTTAATATTGGAATAAAATGAGGTTGAATCCCTCTTTTTAGAGATGGTTGTTTCATAGAGTATCTCTGCCAAAGATGTTTTTTCACTATAGAGATTTCTTTTATTTGGAGCCCCTGAAGTCCCTCGAAGCTGATCAGTTTTATTTTGTGCACTCAAGTTATCACCTTTTCATACAAATGTTAATTTGCAGATGTTAATTTCTTGTGTGTATGATACGGAAGCAGATGTGTACACTCTCTGTTGTTATCTTTATTGAACGAAGTGTTAGCATTGTCTTTTGGCTCCAGTGTTTGTTTTCTGTAAACAGCAGAAATATACATATATAGCCACTGTTATAAAAGTCATTACCTGGAGAAAATGCAGACAGCAATATCAAGCTAACAATCTTTGGCAAGGTGTAACAACACCACAGAGATTAATGTTGCAGCTATGATCCAGCTAATGAGACAAAATGTGGCAAGCTGCAATAAAACCAACAACAGATGTGTCTGATTTTGAATTTGGAGAAACCACAGAGAAACTGACTTGATTTATTTTAGCTGAGCTCATGGCAAACTAACACAAAAAGGGGAGCGCTGCTGCACTCACATATTAATAACTTGTGAACACAAGGTAGTAAAATTTGACACACAAGATACTAACGTGTGCTCAATAAACAGCTTGGGTGCACAGAATAACAAACAAGTAAAAATGATCCCATCAGAAGAACTCCTTGGTTTTGCTTTTGACCAGTTTCTCTAAACAAGAACTTTAACACATATTCCAGATTTTCTTCCTGTATTTTTGGCACAATGTCTGCATTTAACAAAACAATGTAAAGGCTTTCACATGTAAAGGGGCATTTGACTAGTTAATAATTTTTAATTTATAAGAAGACGGTTATTAAGTGAAGCAGTTGTAGACTACAATATCTGTTTCTTCAACACACATGGTCTCAATATAGTGTCCATGTTTTTGCCACTTGCTTTTATTTACATTCAACCAACAATTTTATGGCATTTAAACCCCTAACAAGGAAAAGCTAAAGGTCATGGAGCTTTTTTTTCTCTAAAACATAACTGTAATCCGTTATCAAGTCTTTAGTGCGAGCTCAAAAAGATACTCAAAAAAATAAGCAAATGTATTTTAGACAAGGTCTGAGCCTTTAAAGTTACTGTGATAATTACAAGCCTGCCTGTACTCATGTGTAAACGTGTTAAAAGAGTTTAGCCAGATACTTTAAGTGTCCATCAGCTGTATCTTGTCTCTATCTTTTTTGAATTTATTTCATTGCTTAATTTAGATTTACTTTGCAAACTGCACCAAACTTCAAACCAGTATAATACTTTTTTTTTACATAAAATCAGTTTTTTGAAAGAGTATTTTATTCAAAAATTTTAATTTTTTATTTTTGCAGTTTGAGACAACTTTTTCTGTAAGTAATTGTTGGCAGATTAAGTTATTTCAAGGCATGTTACATTTAAAGCCTGCAGATATGATTTTTTTAGATAATAAACTCTGTTATTTTATAGGTAGTATGAGTAGGTTTTGCGACTTGCGATTTGTAAACTTTCCTCTAATAGTTTGCAGTTTGAGTGGTCTTTCCTTTGACTAAAATCTACTGGCAAAAACAGATCAAAAACAGCTTCTGTCACCTTTAACATCCACATGAAACTGCACTGCATCATCTGTTGTCTTGCAGCTGTAAGTCCCAGCATGAGATATCGTCGCTGACTGGAAAGCCAGTGTTCTTAAGGAACCCTCTGCCAGCATGTCCTGCCCATCTGTTTCACTTAGTTTTACTCCATCCTTGAACCAAGTTACTTGAGCATTAGGATCTGATATCTCACACTGAAGGGCTATGGGTTCACCGACTTCGACAGACTGGTTGCTCTCAGCCACACAAAGTGTCGTAATTCTCACAGGCGAAGCTGGGGAGGTTTGAGGTAACATCGAGAGAGAATTGCATCACTATGACTGTCTTCAACAAAATGATGCTTTTAAACACAGAGAAGCAAAATCACAAATCAAGATTAGTCATGCCAATAATTCTTAGGAGTTAAAATACATCATATAATAAGACCATATTTCAGGTATTAGTAATCTAACAAGAGATATCTTTGGTTAGATTTGAGATAACTAGGCATTCGAGTTAGGATATGAAGCCAATGTATAAATTCTTTTCCCTATCTTTCATATTCCTAAGACCACCCAAGCTCAAAGTTTTATATTGACTACTAAAGTAGTTTTAGTATGAACAAAATCAAGCAAGTAAATGTAGAAATTGTCAAAAACTCACGGATTGCAAATAGCAATCTCTTCATTTACACAATGTCAAGATTGTGCCTGATCATTTTTGTTTGATAATGCTAACCATTTAAATCACCTTCAACAGCCACCTTATTTGCAGTGACACTGTCACTCCAGTGACTGTCACATGTCCTTGATAGATAGATCTTTTCTGATTGGACAATAGATGCTGTCTTGACATAGCAAGGCTCTGCCAACTGGTTAGATGAAACTTGCACAGAGTTATCTGTGCTTTCTACGTGGTATTCTGTGGCCTTCGTGACGGGATGACACTCTGCTTGGACTGCCTTGGCCTGCATGGACTTGCTCAACATCTCTGAATGGTTAAATGTTTCCTGTTTTGAGCATTGGAGGTCATCACATGTGGGATCAGACATCTGTTGCAAGCTGTAATGAGCTCCATGTTGGTCAATTTCTGCCCCTTTCGAGTTAAACAACTCTGATGTTTGAGGGGATGCGGGCCTAAACAAGTCATCAATCATTTCTGACTGGATGTTTGAGGTCTGTAGGGGTCTGGTAAACTCCTCTGATTGTCCAGTTGCGGTCCACGATGAGTCACTGAGCCCTTCTTGGACACTTTTAGCTTGTAAACAATCAAGACGCTTCTCTGACAAAAGAGCCGATATCTGTATGGGGCGACAGAGCTGGTCTGATTGAGTACAGGCAGTCTGTAAGGGTTCAAAACATTCCTCTGATTGGACAGTTGCAGTGCATAAGGATTTAAAGGGCCCCTCTGATTGGACAGTTGCAGTACATAAAGGCCCCTCTGATTGGAAAGTTGCAGTACATAAGGATGTAAAGGGCCCCTCTGATTGGACAGTTGTGGTCTGTGAGGATTCCAATGGTCTCTGGATTTGCAGATTTGCAGCCTTGGAGAGATTACAGTCAGACTTGACGGCTGAAATCTGCAAGCGACTAGTTAAATACTCTGACTGGGCAGTGACAGTCTGTTGGGGGTCCCCTACATCTGAGTTGACTGATGGCTGCTGTATTGAGCTCTGTGGCTCCTCTGATTGGCCAGTTAGAGTCTGGATAGTGGATCCCTCTGATTCGACTGTCGAAGCTTTTTGAAAGTCACAAAACTCATTTGTCTGGACAGCTGTCTGCAGAGGATTATCAAGCTCCTCAAATGGGGCTTCTGCTTGCTGTATATAGTAAATGAATTCCTCACCTTTGTATTCAGTGGGCTGTTCAGGAGGACAAACTTTGCTAGACTGTATGTCAGATGGCCTTAAAGAGTTATAGTTAACTGAAGGTTGGGCATTATTTGTTTGTTGAGGAAAATTTGAGAGTTCCTTTAGCTGTTCAGTTGTAATCCAGTCCTTTGTATATTCCGGTGTCGACTGAGAGGTCTGTATATGGCTGAAATGTTCTTCATATGTCTTTGCATCTTCTGTCGTGCCACCAGAGATGCCAGTATTGCATTTTGCAGATATGCAGTCAATGCCAACAGGAGAAACCTCTTCAGTTGGCCTCTTCTCTTGGTCAGAAGAAAGCCTTGGTGGTGTCGCTGTAGCATTGTGATGTACACAGAGAAAGGTTTTCAGTGGTTGATGGTCTCATAAATTCTTCTCAAAACAGAATTTGACATCAGTGTGGGTTAGCATGGAGTTATGGGATAATTCATTGCAAAGACAAACAAGAAGGGCGACCAGTTTTGGTCTGAGATTGAGTTCCTACATTTCCCCCTTGATCTGACTCCTAGTGATGTTACACCATCAGTCTGTACATTACCACCCTAGAGACCTAAGAAGTACTCAATTTTCCTCTCTTTTGAGAAGAGTTCGTTGTCATTGCAACGAGGAGATGTTCAGGGCAGAAATGTGAATGAGAGGATCTGGCGATGAATAAGAAGATGGACTCAAAAGACTTGCAAGCTGCTTGTTACAAGCAAAGATGGCTGTTAAAATGAAGAATTAATCGACAAACACAACAGATACGTTAGTACGTGTAGCAGCTATTCAGCTACTAACATCCACATGATGGATTAAGAGCCAAGAACTGCAAAAAAAATTACATGAAATCAGAATTCAACATGACATAAAGCACTTTTCTAAAGAAGAAAAAAAAACAGATGCCTTGGATGATTGGACTAACGGTAAAATGCACCACTACTGTTAGCGGCATTGATGTGCTGGGTTAACATGAATGACTGATGTTGAAATATGTCAAATCACCTTCGACATCAAGAGTGTATTGGGCAGATTCATCAGCTAGCTCACCAATCTCGTTACCATAGTGACACTGCTCTGCTGTTTGGACAAAGCCAAAAAGAAAACAATGAGCTGGGTGATAGCTTCACGTGCGAAACTAAATAGTTGATTCTGAATTGTGCAGGTACAATGTGGAACACCACCTTTCTTGTCCACACTTAGCTGCATATCCCCAGATGTTTCACAGCCAAACCTCCCATCATCGGACAAGTCATGAGACTGAAGGGGCAAAGCTTGGCTGCTGCTCTGTGATTCACAGTCAGCTCCCTTTTTTGGGTAGATCGGGGTTCCGTCTTTGTACCAACAGGCTTTGGCAATGGGATCTGAAATCTCAAACTGCTGAACAATTGGACTGTGTGCTTCAGCAGACTTCTCAACATCAGGGCCAAGCAGAAATGTTGGAGGTGGCACTAAAGACAATCATCGGGAGGATAATATGAATGTGCAATACCCGAGATCTTAAAAAAAACTGACTCACAGAAGATGTTCCCAAAACTGTCACATGGATTAGCTCTGCCTTGTAACACAAAGAAGAGGACAGACAAAAGCTACACAAAGAGTTAGTGATAACTAGGCTATAAAACACATTTACAAAAAAAATCACCTTGTTTTTTTACTATTAATTGGGCAACATCATCTGCTGTTGCACAATAGTATGTTCCAGAGTTTGACCGTTGAGTTGGCTCAATAACAAGGGTCTTCTTGATGCCTTCCATTTCAAAATCAGGCTCTCTATTCGAGTCCTGTTCTGTGTCTCTCTGCTGTGACACCTGGAGAGCAGGTTCTGGGCTTTCACATGTTGGTTCGGTTGAGCAGGATACTTCAAGTGACTGCGCCTCCACATCCTCTGGCGAGGGCGAGGGTGACAACAGCAACGTTGGAGCTGAAGATGATGATTGATATTATAATTGCAGACTTAACAACGCATTATTACAGTCCGATTTTAAGTGCACTAGGTACAGCTTTACCCAAATGGGGAACTAAGCTGTCATGTGACCAAATTCAAGCCGGAAAACTCACATTTTCAAGAATTACATTGATATATTCCCTTAGTCAGTAGAGATTGGTTTAAGAAACAGTAACAACCTCACACAGAACACCACTTAAACACAGACAGACTGCATATTATAAATGTTAGTTGCGTCTAGCCTCTAGAAAGCTCTAGGATTTGCTCTAGTCTCAGCAAATTTAAATGAAAATCACCTTTGATATCCACAGTGAAGTGGACAGTGTCATCAGAGGTTTCACAGCTGTATAGCCCTGAGTGCAAAAGCTCGGCAGATGGAATAATGAGTCTCCTCAATGTGCCATTACTCTGTATGTCCCAACCATTCTGTGGACAGAGCTTTACACCGTCTTTATACCAGCAGACAGGCACAGTTGAGTCTGCAACCTCACATTCCAGCTCCAACGGTTTGCCTGCTTCAAGTGACTTGGCTCTCTCAACATCAAAGATAGGCGAGTACGTCACTGGTATAGCTAGCATTGGGAATTCAGGACAACTAAATAAAGTCAAGACTGTGGACACAAATATCTTAGAAAAACATAATTAATCACTGAAGAGCGTTAAATTCTTAAAGGTTATGTGCACCAAACAGTCCTTCAAACCACAAACAGTACAAGCGGGGGATTATTAGTCGCATCTAGGAAAAGGATGTGGGGTTACTATATTAACGCACAAGATAAAAAGTGTAAAGTCACCTTGGATCTCCACTTGAAACTCCATGGTATCATCCTGTGTGGTACACCTGTACACACCAGAGTCGGAGAGCTCTGCAGAGCGAACAACTAATGTCCTGTCGTGGCCCTCTGAGTCGATTTCTAATCCAGAATTTGAAACAAGCTGGCAATCATCCTTGTACCAGCAAACATGGGCCTCAGGGTCGGACACCACACACTGGAGCACAATAGGGCAGCCTGCTCGGATCGACATGGTCCTCATCTCCTCAGGCATTGCTGAGAACTTCACAGGTGGAGCTATAGATATGTGTAGATCTTATGTCAACCTCAAATCAACCTCATGCTAGTTCTCAAGATTATTCTTTAAAGTCTAACTATCGACACCTTCATTGCTAACATGCTATAAATCAATCAAAGGCAAAGTGATGGCTTGGTTGCACTTTTAATGAGTGCTAAGAAGGAAGGCAACAAACTACATACAACAGTATCATCTGAGTTAGTTTCTTAGCCGTGGAGAGCTTGTTAACGTTTCAAGTCCCACAAGGTAAAACAAATCACCTTTAATGTCGACATTGAACATGATGGTGTCACCCTTTGTCTTGCAGCAGTACAAGCCAGAGTGGAAATATTCTGCTGAATGGACAATCACTTTCCTTGCAAAGCCTTCAGTTAGAATATCTACTCCAGTTTGGGGCTGGAGCTTTGACCCATCTTTGTACCAGTGCACCTGGGCAGAGAGATCTGACAGCTCACATCGTAAAACAATGGGGCGGCCTAGTTGGATGGTTTTGTTCCTCTCAGCGTCTGGAACTGCTGAAAACCTCACAGGTGGGGCTATGGATATTTAGATATTTCAGTAGAGGGTAAAGTTATAAATGCAGTACCTTTTAGTTAAGACAGACTTAAGACAGAACAATAATGTACAATCAAATAAAAAAAGATTAAAAAAAGGGGTAAAAATTGACAGTAAAGATGGTTAGTCACACTGAGAAAGATGTAAGTATTGTAAGTAACTCAATCCACTCACCCTCTACTTCCACATTGAACCTGATGACATCATCAATGGCATCGCAGCAAAAAACTCCTGAATGCGAGAACTCTGCTGATTGGATGACTATTCTTCTCATGGTGCCCTCCGATTGGATATGAAGGCCCTCTGTTGTTTGTAACTCTACCCCGTTCTTGTACCAGTGCACTGGAGCGGCCGGGTCTGACAGCTCACAGTAGAGCACAATGGGATTCCCAATTTCTACAAATTTGTTTCGATCCATTTCTGACATAGGTGAAAACTTGACAAGAGGAGCTGCAAATTGAAGAAAGACAATTAACTAACTCTTCATTGCTTTGTCTGATTACATAAATGTAATAATGCAATGATGTTGTCAAAGAGTCTAAGTACATGATCCCCTTACTTTGACACTGTAAATGGAGAGAACAGTGATGTAATATACAGTAAAGAAACTATTAATAAATAGTGCAAAGTAGGGGTGTCCCGATATGATACTGATATCGGATATCAGTCCGATATCAGCAAAAATTCAAATATTGGATTATATTGGCCTGCATCTAAAATCGCCGATATCAGCACTTCAATAAAAGCAGTCCATTCCAGACTCCGCTCCAGCACCTCTATCTAGTAGCACCCAGATCCAGCATGTAGAGCCCACGTGATCACAACAACAGTGTGTACTAAGGTACTAACAAAGGACCAAGGAGTAGGAATGATGTCGGCAGTATTTTTCATTAATGTCCGAAAAAGAACGTTGCAGCTGAGTGCAAAACTTGTCATGCACAAGTTTGTGCTAATATTGGATTAATATCGGTATTGGACAATACTGAAGGCTACAATATCGGTATTGTATCGGAGGTAAAAAAGTTGTATCGGGACGCCCCTAGTGCAAAGTTACAGCCTCTATTGATTCGTGCCATGGTAGCACACAACAGAACTCAACAGAACCTTGGTTGTGTGGTGTAAAGGTCATTGTATCACAGTGAATTTTCTGAAGGTGTCCTGCTGCGTTCTCACATAAGCTCACTTTAACTGTATCCCCAAATTAAACTAGAGGCTGGTTGAAAATTTTTGGTAAAAAAATTGCGTTTTGTGGTCATACATGCAGCTTACCCCAGTAACCTTAAGTTTTAGAAAGTCTATGTAGGAGACTAAGGCTTCGATGCCATGTCCCATTGTGTGTGCCGAGCAAACTGTACATGTTGTACAATCGTAAAGTAAAAACAAACCAAACAAAAATCACGATAAATCTCCGGGTAATCTTTGCACATATTCAGCATCATAACTGTGACCTGCACATACCTTGGATATACAGTGCTGCAGAATCCCGGATGCCATAGGCAATAAATGTGATCTCGGCTCCATTGTCCGTATCACGTACTCCTCGAATTCGAAGAGATTGGTGTGTTCTTGTCCGACGCATTGAGTAACGTTCATCCTCCTGAAGCTGCGTACCATTTAAGAACCAGGTGCCAATAACTGAAGCAGAGAGCTCGATAGAGAAGATAGCATCTTGACCCTCTGGAACCAAGGCGTCTTGTAAAGGAGCTTGTATTCTGGCAACTGGAACTGGAAAACAGTTATCTGATTTAGAAAGTCTGTCCTCAACCAAGTTTGGCAAGTTACAGTGGCAAAGAAAAACTGTATTTTCACAGGCAGAAACACTGAGCATGCACTGGGTTGAGAGGAGGGATAGAGGGAGATGCAGAAAGAGAGATGGACAGAGGTGAGACTGATAGAGGGAGATGCGGAGAGAGTAATTGATGGGGTTGAGACTGATGCACGTGGTTGAATCAGCTAAAAGGAAGCAGGCAGGTCTACGGCAGCAAAACTCTTGCAGCAGCAATCCAGAGGAACCCATGGTATGATGGAGTACAGGGACTCCTGTCTATTGAACTTACCTAAGTGAACAGCCCTGGGGAATTCAACATTGTTGCTCTTTCCATATTTGTTTACGCTGCAAATGCGAAAACGATAATCTGCTTCACATGGTACGCTGTCCCCAAGAATTTCCACAGCTGTTGCTGAGTCAGTGGTCAGGCACTGCAGCCACTCCTGTGAGCCAGTGCCCACTTCCTGTCGCTCAAGAACATACCCAGATGGAGGGTTCTTTCGTGTGTCCTGAGCAGGAACCCATGAAAGGAGAGCTGCATTAGCACGCTCTGTGTTGATCTGCACACCCACTGGACAACTGGGGGGACAATGCCTAGCAGCTGTGAGAAGAAAAACTCATGATAATAATTGCTCTCGGGATTTTGATAACTTACTTCAAATAAATGCATTGTTAAACAGGTCAAGTAGGAGATCCAAAATGCTTTACAATTAAGAGACCCTACCTCTTACTCGTAGTTGAGAGGAAGTCTTGGATTTGCCCACAAGGAAAGTCACAAGGCCGGAGTCTTGAGGCATTGTATTAACGAAAACCAGGATGTGAGTGCGACCAAAGGACTTCAAGATGGTCTGATGTGTTTCACGGAGCTCTCTGCTGTCTTTGTACCAATGGATGTCCATTTCTTCCTTTTCAACTTCAACACAAAACGCAGCATTTTCGCCTTCCAATACATCCACTTTCCTTGGAAGCTTGCGCAAAATTGTGCCTGCAAGGAAACACTTTGTGAGTGACTCCTTCAACCATTACCAGGACTGGGACTGTCATGTTATGGACAACTTGTACATAAATCATTTGTAACAGCCATCAGTCAGTGCAAAACAATTGAATTAGTAAATACAAAGATATGGCGTATAATTGAAAACATTTACTGGAGTACAGTTACACCTCTCAAATCGTCTTTGGTCCTCATGTTTACAACTTAATTTATTTTTGATGATATCAGCCGTTAAGGTTGCTCTGTTTTTAGCAATGTAGTTGTTTTCTTGTTGCTCATCCATGTTTATCCTATCCTTCTGCTTTACTAACACACACCTGATCTTCTTGCTGTCAGTCTCCTTTGCTGCAGACGTTTGTCTGCACTCTTCACTTTTGAATTGTCAAGATATGCTTCATGAACAGCAAGCCTTGTCAACACTTGGATCACCTATCCCTCTGCTTGACTAACACACACCTGATCCTCCTGCTGTCACTCTGCTTTGGTGCCGACGTTTGTCCGCACTCTTTACTTTTGGATTGTCAAGATACACTTCATCGTAAACAAGTCCTGTCAACACTCGAATCACCTGCTGTAATGGCATTGCAATGGCATCGCAAACCTCATAAACCATGAAATGTGTTATTTTGGTGACTTAAACTGCTGATGAATATTGTCAGCAGAGCAGACACAATGCAGTTGAGGAGGACTGTAAAATAGACATAGAAAACACCATATACAACACATATGTGCATATGTTTTTGACTGTTTCCTAAGTTTTTTGTTATTTCATAGACTAGTTGGCCAAATTTCCATTTAAATTTCTGTTTATATGACTTGTAAACACTTGTCGGGGCATCCTTTGTCAGGAAATATAGTGGTCCTGGTCTGAAGAACTACACTGATGCAAAGTAAGCAAAAGCCCAACTATTTCTTGACCTGATCCCCCAGTTTTTTGCAGTCCAATCATGGGCTTTTCTATACAACAGCATTACAGTCCTTTGTTCCATGTCTGTCAAGTATGGAAGACAGTTTCTTCTTTATGAAAGTCTGCTTGTATTATTATTAACTGTTTTGCATCTATCTTTACCTTTCACAGCAACCTCTGCAATGCTCCTCCCACCATCAGGCATCTCGCAGAGGTAGATCCCATCATCGTCCACTCCAATGTCACGAATAGTTAATCGCCGTTTTGTTCCCCACTCCTCCATTCCATATTTGGCCCCAGGCTGCAGTCGTCTATCCTCCAGATACCATGTGATGGGAACAGAGTCCTCTGGAACTTCACACTCAAGAATTGCCAAATCTCGTTCCCATACCTCTAGATCAATGAGGGGCTGCTTGAACCGCACAGGCGGCTCTAAAAGGGAAACCAAGAAAGAGGACACCAGTTTTGATAAGCTGATATTTTATCTCTGGCTGCTGTTGAAAATCTAGCTTGTGAGTTTGGTTTCAGTTCTTCACTCGTTCCTGTTACTTTATCTGTGTGCTGTTGACCCTGTAAAGACTCACGCAGCACATCATCCGTGTCCTTGCAGTACACACTGCAAATTGAAATATATTTGGCAGTAAATTCCAGTGAAGCAAACAAGATGAGCGAAATCATGAGACAAGTGGCTCATTTAGTTAAGGAATGGAAAGGTCATTAACACATCAGGGTGTCAGATAGAAAATAAACTGTACGTAACTGACACCGGCAGACAGTACCAGACAGTTGCAAACAAAAGAATGTGGACTGTATTTAGTAGTCTGTGTGCAAAGCTCTTCATTTCCTTTTCTTGCTAATGTTTTAAGTCCAGTTAAGCACTGGGACAACTTATAAAATAACTTTACCATCTACCGCTTACATTTCCTTTGAATCTACCGTCAAGCTTTCAGTTGACTGTAATCCTGCATCCCTGTTTTCCTTATTTCAGACTGATACAGTACAATGCTCTCTGTTGGAGCCATGAGTTTGGACTTCTCTGGGCCATGTGAGAAACATGATCCTCTTTGCAAAGACTACGATCACATGGACAAACCCCCCACCCCCGAAGACCTTTCACAAGTTAAGTGACTTTGCAGACCCCAGACTGCTGGTGGAATCTGCCTCAGGCTAATGAACTTTGCCCGTTTAGGTATCTCTCAGCTTTCTCTTGTATTCATCTCTAAACAAAATGGAAAGCTTTGCAGCTTTTGTAGATAACAGTGAGATTATTGTCGATTATTGCTGCTCACAGGCAGAAATATTTAAGGAAACAGTGCCCAAAAATATTAGATGTTATTGACCAATGATCACAGTGGACTTATCATTTTTTTTTTATAAATCGACATTTTAAACCAATATCATGAAAAACTTCTATTTTAAAGCACCATAACACAGTCAGAAGAACCTTCTAAAGTCGTACTTTGCCCTCCCCCTCTGGCCTAACCCCAATAAATGATCTCAGAGTACCTCTTTGAATATATCTCACTGACATCATGCTACCATCAAATGGATAGAAACCTTACACTAGATTCCACCACACCCTATCTCACTCCAAAACTAACTGCACAAACCGTCACAGGCTGTAACTGTGTCTGCATTCATTTGAATTATAAACATGTTATCAAATTAAAACCCACACTTTGACTTACCCTTAACAGAGAGGTGTACAGCACTGAGGGTTTGGCCCGCAGTGTTTGAGGCAGCACAAACATAAACTCCATTGTCCTTCTGCTTACAGTACAGAACTTTAAGTGTGAAGTATCCTTCTCTGTCCTCGTATAACAAATACCGCCTTCCAGACAGTATAAGTCTGCCATCCTTCCTCCATATTATTTCTGGTTTGGGTTTCCCAGTCACAAAGCAGCGGAATTTGGCATGTTTGCCCTCTGTCACTGCAAACATTTTCACTTTGGTTGACTTGGTCATGGTGTCATCTTTGAGTCGACTGGGAACTTGCCTCCCGCTCCTCTGTTTTCCCTGGTGGGTTTTCCAGGGACCATTTGTGTAGCCATTGCGATTTCCATCGTCCTCATGTCCCGGCCCTGCATCAACAAGCAATACAGCTCCTGCCAAAGCTTCTCCAAACTCATTCCTAGCTTTGCACGTATACACACCACCATCAGGTGCACGAGTCTTAAAGATCTTGAGCTGGAACCATCCCCCATCCTGGTAGCCCACACTGAAATGAGTGCTTTCAAATATTTCATTGAGTTTTCTGCCGTCCTTTTCCCAAACAACCTCTGGTCGTGGGTTTCCCCAGAGTTTACAAGAGAAGACGGCATCCTCCCCTCGACCAACACGGGTAGAAAGAGGCTTGATGAGGAATCGCGGCTTGTTTTCTTCTCTTAACTCCATCTCTTGTGCCTCACCCTCCACTTTTAGTGTGGCTGCTGCATATGTTTCCCCGATGCCATTCTTTGCTTTGCAAATGTATTGGCCACTGTCCTCTGTAGTCACAGCTGAAATAATGAGATTGTAAACATTTCCATCCTCAAAGACCCTGTATCGTCCTTGTGGGTCAATCTTTTCATTGTTTCTCTCCCAGATAACCTTAGGTCTTGGATCACCACCAATTTGGCACTTTAGGACTGCATCAGTTCCACTTTGCACCAACACAGGTCGTGGGTAGGCTAAGAAACGCGGTGCGCCTCCAAACACATCCATTGCTGCTTCTTTGTCAGCTCGTCCTTATGCTAAGCAGTCCAGGAGCGTGGGAGCTATTCAGAGGGGCAAGAAAGTCCGACTTCTGCACTCCAAATTTCTAGAGAGGAAAGAACATAAATAACTTTAATTTCAAACAGCACAAGTGTTTCAAATACTTGCATCTCTTTGGGAACCAGATCAATCATTTGTGAACTAACCTTATGTATTACAAGTGGATATGATAAGCCTTCCATTGATAAGGAAATGAACCCTAATGATTGGAATGGAAAATAAAGCTTCTGTCATTTCGACACTTAGCCTTTACGTGCATGTGTGGCAGCTCAAACGGATGGTATGATTATTAGGTCTAATTGAATTAGATCTGTCTGCATGAGAGAAAAACACATGTGAGCAGAGCGAGGGGAACATCCTAAGTCCTGTTGCAACAGCAGCCACAACACATAGCCAGTACAGCTGGTGCTGTATTTCAATGGGAAAGTGCTTAATATAGTACACCCTAAATAAAGACTTGCGAGGGAGTGTGTGTCAGGTATCACAAAGAAGGCTCTAAAACCCGCGTGCTCACACAAACACAGGCTGAAATCGCAGTCTGCCCACCCAAGAGACCTTGCAGTCAAAATACGCTGAGCTTCCATCACACCCTTTGTTGGCAGACCGGTTAGGGAGTTCCTTGTCTAAATTTGACGGTTAAAAATAGTTTTTTTAGTCATGTTTATGAATAAATATGAGTTAGTGACATGTTGTTTATACTATGCTTTCCAACTTTCTCTCCCACTACAATTTATAACACCCTTTCGACCATTTTATGTTTTCCTTGCTTTTTGAAGAGCCAAAAATAGTCAAATGAGTTCAGAAATGAGGAATCAAAATCTATCGCAATGAGGAAAGTTTATGTTATTTAGATGTTTAACTTTTGTGATTTAGTCCCATTGGAGTATAGAGTTTCAATTCATATAGATGTAGTATCGGAATAGGAATAGAAATTTGAAGGTTAGTTTTTAAGAATATTTGAAAACAGTATTGTGATGATCTTATCGAGATGATGTTTTCAAGCACACATCAAAACCTAACCCATCATCATCAAATATTTGAGAGCCCACAAGCTAAACATTAAATTTAAACTTCCTGTTATTGCTGCAGTACACATTTTTCGACCCAAATGTGTATTTACATGATATTTTAAGGTAGCTTATACCTCCTCTTTCATATCCTTAATTTACATCTTATCCACACATTGCTTTGAAAGTGTCGTCAATATTCCCTCTGGAGTTTTAAAGAGAGGAGATTAACCCCTGTGTTTACTCCTCTCGTTTAATTGGAATGACCTCTGCCCCTTGTGAAGCTGTGCCGTGTACCCCTCACATGACCTACCTCGCTTCAGTCGCAGGGAACGACCGTCCACAAACATTCCGCACTTGCAATCTCTCTTCGAGGTAAGAAGCAGTGCCACCCGTCTCCAGAAGGCTGAGTAACGTCCCAAGTTGACATCAGATTTAGGCACATGCTCTCCTTAGTTGTGCCAACTTCTACTCCGGTGCATCTTGGTAAAAAGTTTCTCCAGTAAAGACAGAAATTCAGTATCCACAGCAGCTTCTTGTTTAACAACCTCAGAGTGGTTCCCCAATCTCTGTGTCGTTCAGGCCTTAGACACCCCAAGTGTCATTGTTCATGGAATACCGTTAAATGCTTTTGCAGCTGCTGCTGTCCCCTAAAAATACTGGCTGCCTCGATGACAGCAGTGAAGATAAGTCAGGCACTTCCATTCACTTGCCAGCAGGGGCTAAAGATAGTTCAGGTGGCCACTGCAGGGTGGACTGCTTAGCTTACTTGAGGCTTTGCATTCAAAATCCAAGGAGAAGAGCAAGCTTTTAGTCATAAATAAACATTTTAAAACCTGCTAAAGTTTTGTCTCACTTACAAGTCATTTCATCCTGCATAATACACACCCCATTATATAGTGTGCTTACAGAAAGAAAGTGTGTAAGATAAACTGCAAAGAGCTCAGAAAGTTACCCCTTTATGGTGCAAAAGACAAAACAAAAATGAAACACCTTTTGCATGAAATCATGGGCAAATTTAGCTTTATAAAGTAGGCATGGATAGCTAAGTCTTATCATTTTGACTTATATGTATGCTATAACCTGATGTGTAAAGTACTTGGTTCTTGTAGGTCATGTTATAATGGTGATAGATTATCGACAGTATATCTGCTGATCTTAACACCAGCCCATATCAGCTGACTTAGCTGTAAGCTAAGAACCTTTTATGTGTTTGATTGGCAAATATCAAAATAGACTATTCAGACTACTTTAGTCCGCCTACTGTTGCACCCACTTTGCAACACACTTCTCTATGCTGCATCTGATTCTGTCAGTGTCGTTTATACTGTATCGTCACTGATGCCTGTCCAATAGTCTTCGCTGCTGCTCTCCCTGCCTTGACCTTTAATGTATGCCCATGAAAGATGTGCTCTTCTGCTGCAGGCTTCGGCATTCTTTGTACTCATGTGGAATGGCAAGGAGCTCTCAGAACAGAACCATACTGCCAAATAAAAGTTAATTTGTGAAATAATTTATAGGCAATAAATCAGCTTTTTTCCAACTGCATGTGAACGTACTAAGTGAGATGATTTGTGGGAAATGGCAGGTCATGCAAATAAGAATCCTGCTCACCATGTCAGGATTCTATTTTGCATAATCACCCATGAACTCTACATAACCCCTTACATTTAGATTATCTACATGTACTTGATAATCATGCTATAAACTTGAATTTAAAGCAATAGTCTGCAATTTATGTTAAAGGAGCTCATAAGAGATCAATTACCAACGAAACAGTACAACATTCATGGTTGCCGATAGGCCTGCCTTAAACTCTTCTGATCATGTTGTCAGTGTAAAACAAAATTATCACAAGAACACTCTGTCCCTGTATCCTCCTGAATACATCTGCGCATTTGATCATTAAAGGAGAATATTACATTTATTACCTGAACTCTTTATAATGTAATTAGATCCAGTTGTCCTTCTCTCCTTTGTACAAACAAGCACAAAATTTAGCATCGCTGCAAACTGGTGATATGACTTGCATACAAATTGCACTGTTAGTAATTAGACTAGTGCAGAGCAATGCTGTATTTACTGCCACATGGCTTTAACATCGTAGCCATGGTGGAGTCAAAGTTGAAGGACATAGCAAACTTTAAAAAAAGTCTTCTCATCTATGGCGTCAAAAAGATGTGCTCTTACCGGTCCTCTGCAAATAACTCCTCATCTCTGCGGTTTACAACATGTTAGCTTTACCTAGCTTTTCATACTTTGATTTCTAATCAAACTGTTGATGTTAAGGTTAGATTGTAGGCACAAAATAATATATTTCTAGGTAGGCTCAGTCATTTCATTCTAATTATCATTATGCTGTCCTTTAATTCATCTGAGACTGCAGGGATGGTAAAGCACCCTGCTCCTGTGAAGAGTGATCTACACCTTTTACAACTTTGCTGTGCTGGAACCAATCCACGAGCGGTCATGTGGTACAAGTGTTGCGACACCAATAATCTCATACGACATGCTTAAAGGAGCAGTGTGTCATGTCAGTGCTTTGAGCACTAATTAGATTTTCATCCGTGTGTATGTATTGACGCCCAGGCTCACTCCTTCACGAAGCATAGTGTTACATTTTCTAATCTTTCACCATCCAACCTATCGTCCCTATGCCAGATATCTTGATAACTGACTTCTCCTTTTTTAGCCGTTGTCAACCAGGGTAACTCAGCTTTGTCCCTCAAATTCAAAATTTTCAATACAAGAAAAATCTGGAGTATTTTAAAGCAATGCAAAGTCTTGACCAGTTATAGTCATAAAGTTCTGTACCCTAACTTTTGGCATTCTGCAAGAGGTGCCCTTTGTAATAGTTCTGTATTGCCGTATTGGTTTTAACAAGATTAAATTGGTTTGCTAAATATGGCCAATGTTAGCCAATGCTAACTAGGTAGGGTGACAACGTGCAATCGTCCCTTAAACATGAGTATCTTTAAGCAGGACTTTGATCGGAAAGATCTGGATAAAGACCAGACTTTAGTCAGAGCTGACCTTGAAATTAGAATTTGTCACCTACACTTCCAAGCTCTCCATAGGCTAACACTTCATTATCCACATCCCTTTATATATATGTTAACTTCATAATCAGAGCAACACGTCCAGCTAATGATGGGTTAGACAGCTAAGACACAGCATGTGACTAGTCTTTAGGAATTAATTTATTTAAAATCTATTTGATTGACCTGAAGTTTTTGTCCTGACTATCTAAGGATGATGATTCGTCAATCTAATCTTTACTCACTTTTGAACCATCTTGGGAGTACCTGAGCATCCGCCTCAATTTAAATGAGTGAAAAAACACTAAGTACAGATTTTGAAGGTGTGCAGAACTATTGAGTTAGTTGTGGAGATGATTTTTATCAAAGTCTCAAAAAACTCTGAACTGTAGTTTGATCTCTGTTAGGCCTGTAACAGTGTTAGTACTGTTTTACTAAACTTAATAACCAGCTTTCACAACCACAAAGTTAGTTTACAGCTCCTTTCCTTTATATGTACAGACCATGTGCACAACTATGACTCATAATTTACTTCCATATTTCTATCAGTTGTTGTTTAATTTACTTTTAAAGAGGCCAGTGTTCAACTTTTGCTCCTGCGCCTTGATTCAGCGAGGGGATTGGGCAGCACGTGGGCCTGGGTTTTTCAGTATGTGAGTCTGTTGTGTGACCTGCCCTCAGCCTGGGCTGCAGTCTCCCTTCAGCTGTTTAGTGGCTCCACAGTCCAACACTCCCTCCTCCCTGATTTCAGCTGTTGGAAGTAATCTGATATAACTCAGACCCCTGGAGCTGGTTATGAAACTTTTTGTGCCTACAACTGAGAAACATCTTCCACAGTTGTTATGTTATCACAAGTCAAGTATCCTGAATCAAAAACACAAAAGTATGAATATCATTTTCTCTGTTTTAGTAGATATGGGTCAACAAGGTTTTAAACAATATATATTGCTATTGCAGTTGCAAAAAAGTCGAGAAAAATCAAGAAACAATAAGGATTTTGAACAATATTCGCAAATTTCATCCATTTCTTTTGATCATACTTCAATATATTCCATGTTTGTGAATATTGTTCAGTTTTCCACGTGCTTTAAACCTGATTCTGAAAAAGAGAAATCAACTTGTCAATGGCAATTTGTTGAAATGAAAAGTGTTTCCAGTGGGAACATTTCTGACATTCTCTGTCAACCATCAGTCAGATGGGTGACGCTGATAAACAGGGAAAAAGCAGGGGTTAAACTACGATGGAAAACAAACCAGAGTCAGGCTGTCACCCTGTATCACAAGACCAGTAAATCAGTGGACTAGAAAAGGGTGTGAAGCCTTTAAATCTGAGCTGTGCTGACAGAATCTGAAAAACAACCACCTGGTTACTAAAGATGTTTTTTAATCAACAGTGACAGTCATGAAAATAAAGTTTTAGCCATCTGAAAACTGGGTTATTCTGAATCAGACATCTGTAAACTACAACAGCTGTAAAAATGTGGCAACTAAAGTCTTTGGAAATCTTTGGGAATTTTTACTAAAAAAGAGTATTTTCTGTATTTTTCTTGTTTGGTATATATTCTCTTAGGTGCCTCACTGATTGTTTGTGCTGTGTAATGGGTGGTTAGCACTTAAATCCAACTTTTAATGAGTCTTCTCAAGATGCAAAACATTTATATGAATGTTGAAATAAATAGATGGAGGGACAGAGGCGTCAAAATCTCTGTCAAATCTCTCTGTCTAACTCTTTGAAGCAGTTGTGCAGGCACTGTCATTTTCTTTGAATTCTGGCGCCCCCTGTTGACTACAGACAGCAGGTAGGACCAGAGTGATTTTAATGTCTTCATCCTTGCAGGTCTCAATTCAATTGAGCATTTGTGGGATGTGCCGGACAACAAAGTCTGTTCCATGGAGGTCCCACCTCACAATTTGCAGGACTTAAAGGATCTGCTGCAAATGCCTCGGTTCCAGATATCTCAGCGCTCCGTTAGAGGTCTTGTGCAGTCCATGTATCATCAGGTCAGAACTGCAACCATAACTTTTACATATGCTGTCATCACTACTGATTGTTCCCCATGTGACTGCCCAATGATCTTAAATGAACACATGCACTCACCACTGCTGTTGTCTGGATTGCAGGACAGGATCTCGCTCTACTCTTCCCTCCTAGAGACGGTCAGAGCCGTGTCACTCCTCAGGTGGGTCTGATGTTTACCAGCTAACTCTCTCCGTCTCCTAACAGAGAAACTGATGTGTGTACCATAATGTTGACCAATGTTGTGCAAATGTAAACTAATGCTTTTGCCATAGTGTCAGCAGGCTGTGCTTTAATGTGACAAACTCCTTTACATCAATAGATTTATAATGACCTTTGCCATCAGATTGTCCCTGATGTAGTTTTTGTTAATGAGAATTACTGACTGTGTTTTGGGGTTTTGACAAATCTGAATTGTGGATTTCATATGAGCACTTAAAGGGATATTCCGAGGTAAAATTAAATTAGGGTCAAACACAAATTAATTTTACGCTGGAATATCCCTTTAAAACAGATTTGATTATACATTTTTAAAACGAAAGTAGTACCTAGTTTTCAAATGAATAAGATGATTTTATAGATACACTAATCTTTCATTTTGCCAAGTTTTCAAGAAGTAAAATCCATCAGATGATGGTGAAGTCATGTCATTATCATGCAGCAATAGGCACCTTTGTGTTATTTTATGGAAAGAGTCCCACCCTTCTCTCTGTAAGGTTACACTGCAAAGTAGCATTTAACAGACCGTTTTGCCTTTCTTTTCCCTGACACAGGAATGCGAGCAAAGCAGACAATCACGGAGCTGCGGGCGTGTTCAGGCAGCAGCCTGAAGGCCTGCTGATAAGAGCCGAGGCTAAAACACAGCGCCAGAGGACTGAACCCAGTGGCTTCCCTGTAATAACTAACTCACCTGCTATTTTGGAAGAACACTGGTACACTTGAAGAAAGAAAAAATCTTCTAATTGAATTCATGTAAAAAAAAAAAAAGAGGACAATGGCATGGACTACATTGTGATGTACATCCATAGCTGATGTAGTGATATAGTTAAACCAGCCACTAAAAATACTGGGATTAATATATTTCATTGTCTATTCCAGCAATGTTTCTGTTGTTTCATAAAAAAGTCATACAGTTTTGGGTTATTACTGTTTTTTTTATCTGCAGATATGACTATGAAACTGTTTGCACATTATAAATAACTTAATATAAAATTAGCTGACATGTAATCACTAACAACATTGTGCAGAATGAGGACAGCCAAGTCAAGCCTTCTCTGCAAGGTCTGGAAATCACAAACAACTCTACCCTCTAGTGGATGATCTGTGTAAGTGCAATATGCCATATTTCCTTTATGTATTCAAGGTCATAGACATTGTCCATTATTCTTGAGTTTTACCATTGTTGAGTAACCTCGGTTTTATATTGTTTTTCAAAGCACTCAATTCCCAGGTAAGCCAAAAAAATCTATTAATTTTCTGGTTATGATACTGAAGCTGATGTTTATGAATGTAAAACAGTCATTATCAAAACATATTGAAGTATTAAATAAAAAGACAACTTAGACAGAGTTTCAGTGATGCTGTATTGTATATCTTTAATAAAATGCAGGAAAAAAGTGTCTACCTCACAGAGCTCTCACCTCTTTCTTACCTCTGAGCAGGATAACCCAAAGTAAATAAGCCACCTCTGAAACTCCATGTTGTCATTATCTTGTCAAGTCCCTTCTTGTGAGCCTCATTACAGCCGGAGAAGGTAAAGTGACAGTGTAAACTCTGCCTGAATGATGGAGGATTTTCCGGTGGAAAACTCAGGTTTACACAGCTCATGAAGCAGTTTGTCACCTTTTCACATCCTCTCCAGGAACTGTCAGGTATAGAGAGGGTCATACCTGTGTGGGTTTGTCAGGCTGGTTACAAGCTGTGTTAACACCGTCTCATCTGTCCTTATTGTTTCAATTGACCGCCAGAAAAGTGTGTCCGCCAAAAATATACAAAAATAAGATTTCAGGGTTGTGTTTTTTTATTTTATTGTATTATATTTATTTTATTTCATGACTCCTTCGTGGCGCTCACAGTATTAGTCCTTCATCTTCTGTTTATGGGCATTTATTTTCTAAAGCTGATCAGATTTGTGGTTTCATTTTATGATTTTGGGATGTGCATGTTTAGGCAACAAACAAACACCATTACATTTGTGAGTTGGCATCAAAATAACTGCAGTTTTGTCATCTAGAAAATAAAAAAAAGTTGCATAATGGCTATGTGTGATTTGCACAGTCTAAAATGTGGCATGTGGATGTTAACCTGCATGTTCTGCACAGGTTACATTCATCCAACCTGCAGAATCTAACCTGCAGTTAAATAAAAGTGCTTCTTTTTTTAAGATGGCTCTTTTCTCATTTTACAATGTTTTATTTTTGTTCCCAGATAAATAGGTTTACAGTTCCTAACTTTATATTTCTACATTTATGAATTTGAACTTATTAGAGTCCGTAACCTTCTTTTTCTTCATGGTAAGCTTTGTAAATCATTAATAGTTCTTTCTTTATTTAGTAATAAGTCCCTCCAACTAATAATAAAATAAGGAATATTTTTGACATATTAAATGTTGTATTATTGTTGTTTTTGCTGCTATTCTACTGTTGTGTGTTTGTGGTCGTGATGGTCCCAAAATTACGGTGGCAGAGAAGTGCCACTGCTGCAAATAAAAAAAGAATGCAAAAAAAAAAGAACGCCACTGCTGCAAATAAAAGTAAAAAAGATGCAAAAAAAAAAAAAAAAAGAAGTTGCAACGGAAGTTACCGTTGCAAAAAAAGAAACCGAAGCCTGCCGAAATAAAAAAGAATAGATGCAGATTTTTTAAAAAAGAGTCACAATGGTGCAAAAAATAAGTGGTGATCTAAAAAAAAAAAAAAAAAAAACTTACTGTGAAAATAAAAGGATGCAAAAAAAAAAAAGCCACAACAGAAGTGAGCTGCTGGGGACAAATAATGATAATGCACCGGTGTTTTATGATCTAGGCACAGAAGACGACGGCGAGCAGATGAGCAAAAAAGTAAGTGGAAAAGTTATTGTTTAATTTCGCTTCGTAAACTTTTTAATGTGCTTAGGCCATGTAGCGCCTGAGTCGATATGAAGTTGAACTGAAGCTAACACTACACCACCATCCTCCAGTTTTAACTCAGGCACAACATGACACATTGAAAAGCATCCTTTCATTTTTGCAGTAACTTTTTTTCCCATTGCCACTTTTTTTGTGTTGTTAACTTCAGTTGTGGCTTTTTTTTAATCTGCACTGTTTCTTTTTTTATTTGCAGCTGGCTTCATTTTCTTTTTTTTGCATCATTAACTTCCGATGTGACTTCTTCTTTGTTTTTTTTTGTTTTTTTTTTTTTAATTTGCAGCAGTGGCGGTTCTTGGCCACCATACCAAATGGCTGGCACGAACGTGGTCCCTTTTAGGACCTGGCGGAAGTCCGCGTGCTGAACTCCTGCAGGTCACTATACTCTCGCGCTCCACTCCTCTTCTCTGTTTCCAGCAAAGCGCTGCGTCTCCATCAGCTGTTCTCCCCGCATGCACCTCCACCACCACCACTACCAGCAGCAGCAGCGGCGGTACAGGACCAAAGGAAGCTGTGAACACTTTTACGCACCCGATCTGATTAGTCCATGTAGTTTTCCCGCTCGATCTCCGTCAAAGAAGACATGAAGATGAGGTAGGAAACTTTTTCATCAACTTTTTCGCAGCTTTAAAGCGATGAAGGAGTGACTGTGACTGCTTTCTATCTCTGCAGGTGTTCCTCATGGCTGGAGCGCCTTCTCTGCTGCCTCCTGTTTCTGGTCAGCCCGGCTGCAGCGCAATGGCCAGGTAAGAGAGACTTTATCAGAAAGAGTAGAAAGCGTGAGAAAAGTTCCAGTTGTGATTTTTGCTGAACATTTTCAAGCTCTTATTTTATCTAAACTTGTCAGGTTAGAAGCCCTGGTGTATTCATATTTTAGTAAAACAAGTAAAGTCTCCTTCAAAATAAAAGTTTATCTCAGGAGAAACTCTTTCAAGACAGCTGTTGATCATAAAGTTGGCACACTGTAACTTCAGTGTTTCTCACTCTTTCACATATATCACATAGTATGATATGCTACAAACCCTGGATGACACATTAATTTGATTTATTATCACAACATGGCAGTTTGTCCGTCCTGACAAGGCCTGGAGTGACTCTGGGACTGTTTACAAGTTTTTTCCTCAAGTCCAAAGTCTGCATCGCTCTGAAACCTGCATTCTTCGTCTTTGTTTGTCCTGAGTCTTGCTTGATGTCTGACCACCAGAGACTGTAGCTTGCAGGGCTGCAGCTGAAGATGCTTCCCCCCCTACTGCCATCTTTTGTACTGATCTGTTTGCATAATACTGTCGGCACCAGTAGACATCCTCACTTGATCTTTCCAGCTGTTGACATGTCAGTATGAGTGATCAAAGAGGTGACGACAAAAGGGCGATTTCTTTTATGCACTCGCTGTTTTGTGTGCATAAACTATGAATGAAAGACCTCTGTTCTTCTGCTGCTGCTGAATAATTCATCTCTGAAACTCACTTATGTTCTTCGTTTAATCAAGTAAACGGTCTCCTGGAGAACTGAGTCGCTGTCAGTTGATATGTAGAGAAAAATGAGAGGGCATTGATTAATATTTGATTGATTGTGGTCACTTACAGCCGGATAGATGGGGCTTTGAGAAGACATGCCAAGTTGAACCCGTCCTTGTCCCTCACTCAGTTTTCTGTGGGAATTAACCAAATCCTTTTTTCAGTTTGCAAGTAACTTTAAATAATGTGACACTCTCTCAGGAATGCTGTCCTGTCGTTGTGTGAGTCCAGGTTGAAAGGGCCAGTCACTCCGTCTCAAGAGCGCTGCCTTTGGCCGCCTGCGACATGCTTGAATTAGGTCTGATTCATTCCCAGTCCCTGGCTGGGTCAGGAATCCCTATTGTCATGTGATCTTTGACATGCACCCAGCGTGGTTTTTCCCTGAGGGGGAGCTGGACTAGGCGGGGGGAAGGGGAACGGCTGTATGGGGACACCCCGCTGTGCCTTTTAATGGTTGAATTAGATGCCGCATTAAAAACCACAGCTGGTTTGGGGTTTCCTCCTCTTTGGTGCAGGGACATGATGATGGGCATTCAACCTGCTGGAATAGAAAACTGAATATTTAATAAACCCTTACATTACTGTATTAACTTCAGAATGATTACAAATTACTAAGATTTAGTCAGTTTTGCCAAGCTCCTGTTGGCAATGCTCATATTTGTAATGATACATGATGGAAAAGCAGGAGTTAGAGCACCGTTTGACAAACATGTGTTGACACGCCGAGTGTAATTTAAGCATCAGCAGGAAAACATCTGCTTCCACACCTCAGATGTGTCCTAAAGATGAAGGTTGAAACTTTCCCGTTTTTAAGGTTTTTGTCTTTTTGACTGTAAGAGTTTGGCTGCTTTCTTTCTTTCCTTTCTCTGCTTGTGTTGCTAAAATTGGTCTTTAAATATGCAAAAATAGCTGCTTTGACAGAACGGTAAAATGACAATGTATTTAAAGGCATGATTATAGAGAAATAGTTGTTTTATTCTGTTGTACCATGGCTTTATAAGTCTTCTAGTCATTTTCTTATTTGCTGAAGGTCCTCGGCTGAGTTCAAAGCTGACACACTGCGATGACGTACACATTATGTGCTTTGGCCCACTTTGCCGACAGGATGCTCTACCTGTGCCTTATTAATTTTTCGTGGTAGACCAGGTGGTTGCCAATGAATAGCCTCTATGACACACTTTATATAATAACCACACAGCAGCGCAGTCAGGTCTATACTGTACGTGAGCTCTGTCAACACAGGGGGACAAGCTGCATGATAAGTGAAGAATAAGGACTATGCTTTCAAACTGTAGTGTTTAGTGTCAAGCTTCAGAACAGGTTGGTATTGATACATAAAGAGTAAAAATGATTTGACTTTTATGAAGGTATAAATCATCAAACAGCTGTTTTTTTGTGCTAACGGCACCCCAATCTCAATTTCAGAGCGCTTTTCACACCGCCTCATTTTGATAGGTTAGAAAAATTCATTCTGCTGCACTTCTGCTTCCCTTAGTAGGATTCAAAGAACTTTATTTTTCATACTCCATACCTTTGACAGTCAGGGGTAAGATATAGATATATATATGTAAGATATATATTTCCAAGCCAAGAATAAAATATTATACAATAACAAAGAGCATAATGTAAACGAATTTAAGTAAGACTGAAATTAGCTCTGTTGCACTAAAATTTCTGAAAACAGTTTTACAGAGCTCTGTACACTTTTTATTCGAGTTTAACCACTGGAATTTTTACAAAGAAAACCTAAAAACAATTGATAGAAATAGTGATCGATTTATAAGTCATCCTAAGCCTCAAAAAGATGTATTTGTTCAGTTTCTCCACCAGCCGTTGTTGTTAGCAAAAGGATATCAAAAGTTTGGCCCCTTCAACAAGTCACCTGGACAAGAGCAGGCATGTTCCAAAAGTTGGACTGTTTTCCGCTGATACAGCTGACATTGAGGGCATTGTTGTACTGAAGATGCAGAGAGCTGAAAATGCCCAAGTATGTTTGTTTTAAATAGCAAATAAGCACTACCAATACAAAAAAGGGGCATCAGTGTGTGTTAAATGAAAAATCCCAGAAGCACGGACCTTTCCAAATAGTTTACAACATGGATAACTACAGGCATAAACTCTGGACTTCGGAAAGCTGATTTTTTTTTTTTTCTGCAGTGACTGCCCGGTAGATTGGTCCCTCTGTTAGGATCATTGTAACGCTCAAATGAAACAAATGGACCGACTGTGCACAAATTCTGTTGACTCAGTGAACCTTGTGATGTCTAATCCCTGGATTTTCTAGTCAGTAAATCTACTTATTTGCTATAGACATCCCTGGAGGTGCCTCATATCAAGCCTCAAAAGTTCAATCTAGCATGTTTGGCATTCAGATGTCATTAGAGTTCTGCTAAAGGGGATGACTGTTTATATCCCAGAGTGGAGATGGCTTTGGGTCTGGTTTAAAGTATTGGATTACATGCGTGAGGTCGTGGGTGGGGGTCATTCAGAATGTCAAGTGGGTGTTTGAACCTCCCTGTCTGGCAGCTTTTTCTCTGTGTTTTTAAGAATTTGACACCATTGTCACTCCATTAATGCCTGTACACTGTCACCCGTGCGTGTAATTCAGCTGATTTTTGTCCGTCTGTCATTGAGGTACCTGCCGTTTGCTAATAACCGGAACCGAAAGCTTGTATGCAGCAATGGACCGACCACTTTTAAGAAACCTTCCTGATGTAAAAACACTCCAGACTCGGTGTGTACCTCCTCTGTCACAACAAAGTTTATGGGGTCATTCATGCCCGACTGTCAAAACTCATAGGGGACCACACAGACCAGCGACAGAGAAGTGTCTTTTATGAGGAACACACTCACCAGGGAGACCGAAGAGGAAATCTCCATAAGGTGTAGTTTACTTAAACGTGGACGTGTTTTTGCTAGAAAACCACAGTGGTCACATCCTGCTTTGATTAGGTAAATGGAACCATCTGGATCTCGTAGTTACTCTGATGAGTTGTTTATCTGTTCTGGACATTGAGGACATGGCCCAGTTTTACAGTCAGTCCAGTATCACCAGGAACTCTGTTTAGATCAGAGAGTATAAACAGGTTGTAAATTTGGATTCTACCAAATGGTACAACTTGAGAACAACCGCATTCCCGGCTCAGCACCTGTGGTAACCTTTTAGCATTTTTGATTTTGACCACGGACAAAGAACTTGAATATTCTGGCACCAAATCAGATTGAAGTGGAGCATCCTGGAAGTGTTAGGGGGCGCTCACAACAAGCGCAAGTAAAATCATCTACTCGCTTAATTCGCGTGAATGGATAGTATTTTCACGCATCAATGGTATTTTTAATGGTAATCCCTGACAATTCAACTAGCAGGATCAAGTGATATACAAAGGTTATCAGACCTCCTCACTCACTTGCCTCCAGGTGAACACCTTTTTATTCCGATTTCTGTAATTGAAAGAAAAGGTATCATATGATTCAGGGCACCCACACACCGACACGATCAGTTTGTCCTCCATTCTAGATACCAGTGACCAACCGTCTGTTTGCATATGTACCTGGCAACCTTCGTGCTGATTAGGTATCGCGACAGGAATATCCGCTCAAGCTGAGACATTTTCAGCTCCCGCCAAATTCACGTCATTCACGCCGCCAGAGTAGTAGGAGCGTCTACTCGTGTCTTTGCATTGACTCAACATGTAATTCATTCGCGCAAATGATTTTTTTTAATGAAACTTAAAGAGACCAATTTTTTTAATGATGCTAAACTCAGGATATCTTCAAGCAACTACTTTCCCAACACTGCACTGTCGGGCATCCCATTATGTTTCGAGTCAAAGTAGTGATGCGAAAAAATCACAGAATGCAGCGACCATTTCACAAACTTCAGTAAATGTTGGCAGATGGCTCAGATTTACCGAAATCACAAACAGGAAACTGACTGTCATTAAACTGTGACATGAGACGGAAATCCAAAGTTGATCATGTAAACCTCACAGATTTATAAGCAGCGCTTTAACACGGCTTTGCTAAGAATTTGTCCTGGATTTGCAAGGCCCTATCATCTTCTTTTTTCAGGGCAGAGCACTCTTTTTGAATGTGGCAGACAGCTGTTATTAGTATTTTTATGTGCTCCCACCACTCAAGTGTTTCAGGTGCGCGCGGCTCCCCTCTCATGTCGTCCCTGATGTCAAAATGCTGGTTTGACAGTGGCAAAATACAGAGGGACACCATAATTACTGCCTCTGTTCCAAGAGAAGAGGATTTGTAGGGCCACTTGCTCTGAACACCCAACCATCTCCAGCACTAATGGCACACTGAGTGCCCTCTTACCTCTCAGCACCTCTTTCCTGTTTGTGGCCAAACCTTTACTTATTTGCTTGTCTTTCCCAGCCGTAATCGAGGTAACAGCTAGTGGAAGGTGTGAAGCCCGGCTCTTGCAAATAACAGGACTCTGGTTTTTAAAGATTTGAACATAGAGCAAGATGGAAAAGCTTAAGTGTTACTTTGACTTTCAAAAGTAAAACCGACCTATTTCCACCTCTGTAATCTTAGTTTGTCATATTTTAAGACATCTCTGAAGTGAATTTGAAGATTTCTTTTGACACTTTACGTTTGTTTGGCGCACAGATAGACCGTAGCATGTTTGACAAAGATACCAATCTGATTGAACCAACAATGAAACCTGCGATCGGTGAACACAGCCCGAGTTGTTATAGACTTGTCAACCACCCAGACTTCCCAGGTAAAAGGGGCTTTTAGCCTCTTTAAAGACCATTACATCTCAGGCCAGGCTCACTTCTTTTCTTTGTGGTGGGTTTGTCAGCGCTGGAGGCCGCAGCCTGGGTGAACAGCGGTCTCCATGGCCACCAGGTGCAGATTTTTCCACCACAAAGCCGCATTTGGCTGTAGCAAAAGAAACTGGATCTGTCTACCTGGCACTTTGTCCCCAGTCTCCAGCTTTAGGGAGTGTTTGCTTGTCCTCACTGACAGCCCGCTGAACACAGGGAGGCATGAAACCAGAGACCCCCACCCTCCTCCTCCGCCCATTTACATTCTCTTGTCCTCAGAAATCTATACCATAAGCTTTTCACCCTGTATGAGCGGGGGACTGATCCAGAGTGACCAGGACTATTTAGCCCACTTCATGTCTGCTGCTATAACGTGATCCTCTTAAGTTATTTTGAAGGTGCTTTGCAGATTCAGACCTGCAATAAGCATATTTTAACTGTCAGATGTGACAGGCAGCAGCTACCACCCAATGCGTTTTTTTAATGAATGAATAGACCATTCAGAATTTCATGAGGCCCCTCTCGGGAATGCCATTGTGCTTCTGGACCCTCACTTTGTCGTTATATCCCTCTTCTTCTTCTTTTTTTTTTTGCTCTCCACATCTTCTTATCTTCTGATTGACTCTCCTGATGTGCAGACTGCTTTTCAAGGCATCCTTGAATTCCACTCATTCACCCGTCCTTCAAAAGCTGCCATGTCTGTAGGCACTTCTCTCTCTCTCTCTCTCTTTTTTTTTACCCCCTCACAAATCTCACACCATGGGGGTGTGAAATGAGGGGAATCCCATGGGACGGAGAGATTACCATCAAACCAAGAGCTCTTGTGACAAAAGGGGGATTTGCTGAGTCCTGCACTTCTGTCGTCCGTTTTCGTAAGGTCTTGCCGGAAGTAGGTCCTTGGCTGTGGTATGTGGTTTGATGACATGGCTGGTCTTCACTGTATCTGGTATAAACTGAGAGGTGAACTTTCCAGGTTCACTCAGTATTGGAAGTAACCTCAAGTCGTGGACTAAAATAAGATGAAGAGCTTTCTTGACATCTTCAAGCAGTTTGACTTATTTGCCCTTAAAAGTTCTTCTAGATACAAACTCTAATGTGAATGTGAATATACTCCTTTATCCCACATAGTGTAAGGAGAAAGACGTGATTTTTCATGCCAGGCCTCAAGCAAAATATCTGCAACAAGTCAGAGTTAGCTGATGTGTGAAAGCAGTTTTAGTATTCGAGGATATCCATTGCAGGTGATGGGTTGTACGGGTGATATCCTGAATATCATGCAACCTTGAAAAGTCCTCATGTGTAGTTCCAGAGCTGGGTGGACCTTCGATGCAGAAGTATTTATCAGACTTCACACAGATGCTTTAGTCATATCCTGCTTCTCAAGATGCGTCTCCTGCCCTGCCATTCACCTTCCCCCCCCAATCTGACAGGGAAGACTTCATGCTTTAAAGGACGTGTGTGAACAAGAAACAACAGCAGAGCTTCTAAAAACTTCCAGGGGTGAGAAAACACCTGAATAACTCAGCTGGTAAAAACAGGGAAGAGTCGAGTAGATCGTATCCATCTGCAGCAGCTACACATGTGGACTACGCTACACGTGCACCCTCTTAATGCTTTTATAAATGAGGCAATCTGAAACTCTTTCGTGCAACAACTTCGGATAACTCACATCCAAACTGTAATGAGAAACTAGGCGGCTGTTTACGTTGAAACCTATTCAATGGAAATCATTAAACTTTTGTTGTATTTTGGCTGTTCTTTTACGTGGAAACGGCGTATTTCGCAGCTGAAAAAGCAAACTTTTGACCATGCCACCTCTTTCTTCTCTGTATAAACTGTGAAAAAGGGAAATTCACTTCTCTGTTTTTACACAAGCACTTCATTTCCAGATGAATAATGTGCACTCACGGCTCTGTTGAAGAACACATTCATGCACAAGCGCTTCACGACAAAGTAGATTGTGTATGGAGGCCGATTTCAAGTGTTTATGTTAAATACAAATATGAAAACTTCTGAAATAGTAAGAAGGATATTTACCACTTGAATCTCAGAGGGATTATCTGGATGTCAAAGTACAAGCACCTCTGAAAAGTGCCTCAAAAAGCACTCGAGTGAATCTACATTCCACTCCGCAGAATCCACCGGGGTAATGTGGATTTTCACAAAGCGAATGCCGCGGTTTCTTATAAGTTGAAAGCTGCTAATTGTTGTGTGAATCATGAGCTCTCAGACAATAAAGGGTGCCCTCTATTCACTGGCTGGTTGTTATGGGCCAGGTGGCACAGTGCCATCCATTGAGAAGTTTAGAGAGGAGGAACATAGGCCAACCAAGGGGACGTTAAATATTTAGAGGTCTGGTGAAAGATTTGCGGGGCCGTTCGTCTGCGGTTACTGTGGCTTTATCAGACAGGAGATGGACTCAAAGGTCTGAAGTCGCATTCCTCCTCCTGTGGCCACTTGACTTTCTAAAACATCCTGTGAAACCAAGTTAGTGCCATGTCCAGCAGAACCCTGTGGTTTCACAAGCCCAGTTTACAACCCTGGTAATAGACTTGGCTGCGTTAAGTTTTTGTAACTCTGAGTTTCCTGTCTTGAATGTGTCTACCCAAGTTAGGAGTTGAATAGGGGGTAAGAATGCAGAGGGATTACTGGAGATACTGTGAAATACTCAAAATGCCAGGCTCTTTTCACAGCTACAATGTAGATGTTGGAGGTGGTGCACTTGCAGAAAGCAAAGGATGCATGTCCCAATATGTGTTGGCTTATTATAATACATGGACTTGGTTTTAGTGACATCACTCATTGGTGTTTGAAGTGGAGTTTTGAGGGTCAAATATTGGCAGGTGCAATGCTGGATCTTTCAGGAGGCAAAGACGTAGAGTTTAGGCGGGTTTTCAGCCTCCTTGCAAACATCTCCAACATTTACAATCTAATGCAAGTCTGATGTACCTCTGATTATGCATATCTTGTAATCTTATTACCTTCATAACAACTTAGATACAAATAAAGATCACCTGTGTGTATTGAGAACCATCAGAGAAATAGGTTATTCAGACCAGTGCAGTTTTTTGTACCAGGCTTTTAGCATATTTAGTTTTGCAGTATTATAGCTTCATACAGGTGATAACTTCAACAGCAGTTAAGAGGACAGATTATTTTACTGTATCAATACTGCACCACTAACGACTATCTTAATAGTCGATGAGTCACCGACTATTGAGATGATTTGTTGACTAATCAGATAATTACGTGCCTTCTCCTCAAATGTTCCTGCATCACTAACGTGCTGCCATGATACACAAAGCTGCTTTGCAAACAAGTTTTTTTTTTTTTCTCGCCTTATCTCGGATTAAGTGCTCCCAAACTTTGGAGGTTTTTAAGCGTGTACTTGTAGCTGCTGTATGGGATGCCAGCGCCGCCATGGTTGAGTACCCTACCACTCGGCGGAGACGCTACTGCGCATGTGTGACTCTAGGCAGAGATCGTGATGAAGTAAGATGCCTCACTCCTCTGGAAAAAAAACACATCTGGTGACAATAGTCGACAATGGGATTCATTGTCGACTTTTTTCATTATCGATTTTTGATGACTTATCGTTGCAGCCCTACATTATAGTTAAATAAAGTGGCAGCCGTTCAGTTAACCCTGTATTTTCAACAGATTGACGGGATTCCTTTTTATTTATTTTCATTTTACGTCACTTAAGCAGTTAGAAATGTGACCTACACTCAATAATACACTCACTAAATTGTGGCATTGCTGCTTTTCTTTGTTTCTTTTCTCACTCTGCAGGTTGTGTAGACCTTTTGTTACACATAAAAGTTACATGAAGCTCGTTGGAAGCATTACACTGTGCTGTAATTAACTCTGCGTGTTGGATTGCTGCCTGCACTGTTACTGAACATTTTCCTCATTGAAAAAACTTGAATTTAAAGTCATTGGCCTCCCTTAATGAGTTCCTATTTGCAATAAAACACAGATACACAATGCACAAGCTCCTGAACTAAACAGAGGCCTGGACTTGGTTAGAAATAGCTGATAAAGCTGTACCTGGCAGTCCACTGTGGGCTTTAAATGTCAGGACACTTAAACAAGCACATGCTAGCCCTGGGCCTCGGTGGGGTTTTTGTGCTTGTTTTCACTCAGTCTCTTGTTTCCTCCTTTCTTCTTTCTCTCTCTGTGAAACTTTATGCGGTATCAGGTCTGCAAAGCATCAGGCGAAATGTCAGTTTCCTGATTTTTTTTGCTTACTGTCCTTTAGATCATTGAAAGAGATTTTATGAGGGAAATAAATTCTGTAACTTCAGTTTATGTTTTTATCTTTATTTGCTCATAAAATTCATAGTTTCCTGCTGCTTCTCTTTGTAGCTGGCAGATATATTTCTGCGGCACCTCTGGACAGGTTGAGGTTTGTTCATAAAACAATTTGTTATTTCCTAAATCCGACATTAATTTGAGCTGAATATTTTCCATCTGGTTCACAAAGTTCACCAGTTTTAGATCAGGTTGGCGCTCCAGCCAACCAAAGCTCCATCACGTGGATTATAACATGCCTTTGCTTGGCTTAAGCTGAACCAGAGGAAGAGCATGACCTGTGGGCTTTTTGTGCTAAAGTGCCCAGCGGGGGGAACAATGAACGCTGGCACCCTGGACCCTAGTCTGGCCTGGACTAATTGAGGGCCCTGATATTGTCTTGTCGATGAAAGCCCTCTTTGTCCCACTTATTCCTCGTCATCTACTGTATCCCCCCCGGGCCTCTGATATAGCCATAGGCATAACGTCATTCCCCCGCAGCCATTGTCTGCGTTCATTACAGGGGATTAAAGTGTCAGATGAAGGTGAAGTACGAGCTCGCCGACAGTGTTCACTGAGGGCTTTATGAAGGTGTTTTGGCTCCTAAGCTAAAAGTTTGTGCCCTTGTCAACACCCCAGACATGAGACTTTGCCTTTTGATGACTGGAGGCCATCATTTAAATAAGGGTCACAATCTCTGATATGACAGATTGGAACTAGACGGGATTGGCAGATTAACTCACCCCAGGACTCTAGAGAAAGGTGCCAAACTGTGAGGCGCTTTCTCCTTCAATCTGTATTTGGACCAACTCTTAAATTCGCTCATTAGCATTTTTCCAGCGCAGGATGATTAAGTGGAGGAGTTCACGTCTACCTCTTTCATGTCTCTGCGGCGGCATTTTCCTCAATGTGGAATTCGTATCACTCTCCTGCAGATGTCAAGGGTTTGGACCCGTGATTCCCTCGAATGCAGGGAGGAAGCTTTGTGACAAAAGAGAAGTGTTGTACCCCCTTCATGGCTGGATTTACTGTCAAAGTGTTGATCTGCATTGACACGTTCTTGAAGTGCTGCGCAAAACTGAAACTCAACACTTGAGTGAGGCCTCATCGTGTGTTTCAAAGAACACGATAAAGGACTGAGAGACCGACCAACAGACTGACAATCTGCCTCTACCTGCACAAATGAAATCTGCATGCACATTCTTTCCACATGAAGCCCACATCCTCGCCGGAGGATTTTGTTTACTTATCCATTCAGGAGCGACAACGGGAATTGTTGGAAATCATTCTTGGCTCATGCCATCGACTGCTGAGAGGTTGTGCATATGCGTTTGCACTTTTGCCAGCATTTTTAGCTGCTTGCTAAATTCAGACCTGTGGAGGCAGGTCGACTTTTGAGGAACTTGAGGATATGATGCACCACAGAAAGAAAGAAAGAAAGAAAGAAAGAAAGAAAGAAAGAAAGAAATTAGTCTTCCAAAAGTTGAATCATATAGCTAAGGTTTTAAAGTTTTTCAAAGATTTACACATTAACCCAGATTGCATAAATAACTGCGTTTGATAGACTGCAAGTAGAGGAAGCTTGAGTTTATATCACAGAGGAAAAAAGGAGGTTCAATTCTGGGAATGAAAGCATCAAAGGAGGCTGCCCAGAAATGATCGATTAATTTGGTCGTGACGGCGCTGATGCGTCCTACAGCTGCCCTCATTTCTTTTTCCTGTCATTAAATCAAATACAGGCATGTTTCGGTCTGTCACCATCCATCAGAGACAGTAAAATAAACACAAACATCCGTACTTTTGAGTCACCATTGCTAATTTCCCCAGAGAAATTGTGACAAATGTTCATCAATAACCTTTTTTGAGAACTAAAACTTCATCATTAATACTCAAAACTCTTGATAAATGTGTGTATTGTTTTCCAGGACAAGATGATAACTCTTCAGTGTTAGTGATGGACTGTCAAACTTCCTCGGTCCATGATATTTTCCCACACTGTGGGTCCAAACTGTTGCTCAAAGTACAAAGAATCCAAATCTGAAACAGGCTGCGTGAATAGCTGATGGGTGAAGTGTGAATTTTGTCACTTATCAGCAACACTTGTTGCTTCGGTCTCTGCCTTTGTGTATCTTTCTCACTTTTATTGTTTGAATCTCTGGACAGGCACAGTCAGGGCCAGTCGATGAAGTGCAGTACACCACATCTGTGAGCTCAGGACTTAAATGTGAAGTGAACGAAATCAAACATACCCAAAGTGAGGATTATTCCTTTATGCTTCCACTCTTATCTGTGTGTATCGACCTTTCTTTGTCTTCGTGAAACAGCAGGTGCAGAAAAGAGAGTCAATGTTGTAGATTTGAACTTTTTGCGAGTTATGTGTAAATCTTTATCTGAAATCAAAAGTATCACTTCTTCGGAGTGTACAGCGTTGCAAACAGCTTTGAATACAGATAAAGGAGAGTTTAGATATTGGTGCAGTTTCTGAAAACCAGATGTCTTCTACTCAGATCTCACTGTGTTTTCTGTAGTTCATCGATTTTCACATGAAATCACTCTGCTTTCAGTGATATTGGAGATAAGTCATCGTTTTTGAAGCCAAAGCCGTCCAGGTCTTCATCAGACACTGACGAATCCTTGCGCAAGATAAAACAAAACCTTTTTGGAAGTTGCTGGAGTAATCGGTCTGTGCACATGCCTCGACGTGCTCGTTACAATTTGTAGCTAATTACCCAGCCTTTTTTTCCGAAGTGTTTGATCTTTGAATCCTTGTCTTTGGTCGTCTGTAGGCGATGAAGACTCACTTTTTACAGGCCGACTCCTCCTGAGTGTCGTTGTTATGGAGCTGCTAAACTGCTGCCAGTGTTTTGTTGCAACACAGTCTATTTTTATTGATACGGTTCCTCTCGCAGTGAATTTAAGAAAGAAGATATAAACCTTGAACTTTCTGTCTTGAAACATCGCGTCAAGGTTGTTAGATGGTCAGTCAATAAATTGTCCTGTGTGACTGGCAGGAGAATCTTAAGAATGCTGAAAGCCTGGGAAGTTTGTCAGTGGACAGTCTGCAGGCCAAAGAGGTGGGCCTCTGTTTTATTAGACATGAGCGTGTCTTGGAATGTGACCATAATGTACCTTTTGACTCCTCGAGCCAACAAGCAACGGCAAGTCCAAGGGCTCTCCAGTCCTTTAAATTCTTCACGTGAAAAACAATATCCTCCTGGTGGTTTTATCATCTTAAAATAGTTAACGTAACGCTGCTAAGACAGGTAGATTCACATGCTCTGTACACTGTTGTATGTTATTGATGATAACATCTCTAACCACAACTTTATTATGTCCACACTGCTATCGTCAAAGGTTTCCCACGACTGGAAGGAAACAGTGTGTGTAGCAGATAAGTGTTGTCAGGGAGCAGGTGCAATCACTGATGTGTGAAGTCGATGTAGACTCAACACTTTCTGCAGCTGCTTCTAATAAAAACCCTCAAACCATTGGGATTATTAATGTCAATGATACCCTGATTCAGTAGGAGTTTGATTCACTTACTCTTGATTTCAGTCTGATTTTATCTTAGATCTTTATCTTGGGTACTTTGCGCTTAGTAGATGTCCCACACCTTTGTTGTCTGATGTGGAGTGGTATCGTTGCACAATATCGTTTGAGATCAGTACTCAGTAAGGTGTCCCAATACAACTTTTTTACTTTCAATACGATACCGATATTGTAGACTTACAAATATTGATCTGATATTGTCACAATATTGCCCATGACAAGTTTTGCACTCAACTGCAATGTCTTTTTTGCACTTAGACGAAAATTACTGCCACACGGCCAATATCACTCCTACTCCTTGCTACTTTGTTTGTACCGTAGTACACACTGTTGTTGTGATCACGTGGGCTCTGCTAGATAGAGGTGCCGGAGTGGAGTATGGAATGGACTGCTTGTATCGCAGTGCTGATATCAGAGATTTTAGATGCAGGTCGATATAATCCAATATTTATTTTTTGGCTGACATCTAGGTTTGCAAAATTCTGGGAATTTTTAAAGTTGGAAACTTTCCACGAAAATTAATGGGAATACATGGGAATTAATGGGTATTAATGGGAATAAATCTGAAATTCACAAAACTGATGGTTGGCCCTCAACAGGGAACTTAAATATAGTTAGGGAAAATATATTGTAACATAATCTTGGCTAAAACAACCAGATTTAATGCAAGTACACCCCTCAATCACGAAGACATTGGAGCCCACAGACTATATGAAGTCAGTAAGTTTTGATAGTATTATGGGGTAAATATATTTGATCTATAATCGTATTAATATTTAACTTGCAAAAATGAAATAAAAATAGGTGCTTCATGTAAGCTATTTTTCATTTCATTGACCATTTAAGGGGCGAGCTAATTATGGTGGTGGTAGCGACCTCAAATGTGATTCTGATTCTTCTGACTCCTGCAAGACGGTGTTCTGAAAGCATACAATCATTTATACATCAGTTGTCAAAGATTTTGAAGACCATTCCAGTTGTTTAGCCAACTATACTTCTGTTCATGCCATTGCATTAGTGTTTTTACAAGCTTTTTTTGTGATCTTATTCTACAGTTTCCAATTTGGAATATTTCCAAAATTCCCCAGCTTTACTTCCCATGGAAAGTTTCTGGAAGTTCTGGAAAATTTTCCACTCTTATGCAACCCTACTGATATCTGACCGATATCTGATATCAATATCGTATCAGGACAACCCTGGTATTCAGTCGTCAGCATGTGAACTTTATCTGCTTTCAATCCTTCAATAAAATCCTCTCCAAGTCTAGATGCTTGGAATAAAGTAAAAAAACAATGTTTTATGTTTGACAATCATGAATCAAAGGGATGGATTTCACAACCTCGATTCCAAAATCAATGTGGAAATGATTAAAACAATTTATTTGGCAGTTTTCCACCGCGATGGGGTAAAAGCAGAAGTCTGACATCAAGGCTCCCTGTGCATACTTTTGAGAACATGCGTCAAAAAAGGAGTTGTTTAAATCAGAATCAGTCAAGATCCCTGAGTAACAACAGTCCTGTGAACTGTGGTGGGTCTGCATGGAGCGTAAATAATCAGGGCACAGTTTACAGTAGCTGTCACACGGCTCAAGGCGGCTGATATAACTGGCTATCGTCACCATTTCTTTTAAAACTCAGAGTAACCTCTGTGTGTACACTGCAATAACTTCTTTCCACAGAAAAATGCACCAACTAAGGACTGTCTCTACTTCATAGCCTTTAACCCTTGTGTTCATATACTGTTACTAGAGAGTATTACAGTTTTTTTTTTTTTACATCTCCTCTTCCAAGCAAATACAACTCACAATCTCATTTGATGTTATTTTTCTCTGTGCCAATAGGACTGAAGCCGACTTTTTGGTTAGCTTACTGTCAAGGTGTCACCTTTGCTCCGGGGGATCTTTGCAGACAGAACAGACATGAATCATCATATCAAGCTTTCACAGTCATAAAGAGTAAATGAACTTGATCCAAATTTGAGGTTAAAAAGTTGATCTGAATCATCATTTTGATTTGCGTCTCGGCTCGGGATAATTACACCTTAAATTAAAGAATAATTGTAGCTCAGTTGCAGACACTTTGTCTAACCAGTCACACATTGACTGTGTAGGACTCCAACTTTTAATGAGGGCTTCTCTCCTGACAAAAAAAGTGAAATTTGCGTCAGAGTTTTAATCTCAACACCGTCTAAATAACCTGCTTCTCATAAATTTACAGACATTTTATTACTTTAACGTGAACCTCAGTCTGCATGAGCATTAAATAACTTTTTTCTTTCCCTGTGGTTTTTGTTGCATTAAGTGAAACGGCCCACAAAGCTGCTGTTAAAATAGGTCAAGTGGTACAATTAGAGAATTCAAGAACACAATGTGCAAACCCAGGAGTGTTGTTTAGTGGTTTATCCTATGGCAGCAGATTCTAATTAGACTTTGTACAGATTTTTTCCTCACATATATATTTGTGTAGAGTGAGCTCCAGCACCTTCATGCCTCCTACTGCTGTTTTTCGGGATAGAAAAATGACACTACCGCACTTTTAAAAGGCACATTTCACTATAAAAAGAAAAATCTCAGTGCTCAAACAAAAATGTAAAAGTTTTATGCATTTTGTGTCAAATGAAGTTATTTTAAATTTTATCAGACAATTTAGACATGAAGATTCTGCTACTTCGGGCCTCACATTACACAACAGGAACTAGGGCTGGGCGATAAACAAAAAATATGATTTACCAATCTGATTTTTGACCACAAACCTCATGGCTATTTCTGATAAGTTTACAGATAATTTTACCTTTAAGTGTCTTGAAATGTGAAGTTTATTCACACAAGAAGTTCATTAAATAAGTGCATGACAAGTGTGCTACTTTGGCTCCACATCCAGGTTCTTTTCTTGTCTGGGTCTGTTTTCTTGCACCACTTTGTCACACCTAATGCCCCGCCCACAATGCTCACCGATTGGCTGAGTAGAACTGGTTAACTCCTGATGATGTTGAACATTGCAGTAGGGCTGGCAATAAACCGAAAATTTACTGATACCGAAATTTACAATGATAACCGACATCATTTTGCCCAGATCTTCAAAAAATAGATAAATAAAAGTTGGTTTTGGATGTGTGTAGGTAGGCTATGGTCTCATGTCCCTTTAAGACACTGTCCTACATCAGAGACGTGACTCCACCCCATCCAGTCTGTAACAAAGAGGGAAAGACAGGTGAGGAGATGGAGGACGGTTCAAAAGTTGTAGCGGCTGAAGTCGACGAAGTTAATGTGGGAGGGGGTGAGCAGCTTGTGGAGAAGTTATCCTCCATTTATCGTTACCGAGGTGAACTGATCAATATATTGTGATATTGATTTGAGGCCATATCGCCCAGCCCTAACAAGACCTGATGCAGCATCAGTTTAGTGACACTCATCCCACCTCTCTCGGCTCGTTTGCAGCTTCTGAAAGACACTAAAAGACGTCTGCTTTGCATCCTGGTCTGCTTTGCTTTTGTGGTCTGCAACTGTATGTTTCCAAAATCTCCGTATACCAGCAAGATGATTCGATGTGATCAGTGTACTTTATTTACAGTCATAACACTTAATATGTGTGAGTACGAGTGTTTCAGGGATGGCGGGGATCCAGGCCAGCAGGGATTTGTCTCTTTGTTTGAAGCTTGAGTTTAATTTAATTTGACACATTGTGCAATAAACCGCAGAGGGAGCATCAAGAAAGGATTCACATTTACTGTAAAGCTAAAGAATGTGTGTTGCCCTGCTGTAACCTTGCATTGATGGATGGCTCTGTTAACCCCTGCATCATCACAGCATGCTGCTTACCCTGGAGGCGAGTCAAACCTCTCACTTCCCCGAGTCTTTTAAACTCAAGTCTGGCCTCAGGCTGCTGGCTGTGTCTCCAAGACAAAAAAAAAAAAGAAGAGGGCCGGTGAGGTGTGTCTGTGAGAGTAGGTGGGGGGCAGGGGTCTAGCTCCAAAGCGACTGGCCACTTTCCAAGACTTAAATATATCACTGGAGATCGCAAGGGAGTGAAAAGTACAGAGCATTTCTCTTCTTTATACATGCAGTCAAGGAATAGATGATTTGGAAAAGTTGGACCTGTTGGTGTCGAAATGAGTTAAGATGTATTCAAGGTCGGCGAGAAAAGATGCCTTAAGGAAATTTCGGTTCACATGAGGTGTGCTTTTTCCTCCACTTCCTGCTTCTTCCCTTCCGTACGCCTTTCTCTTCCTACCACCCCTCAGGTATTTGGCCACATTCCGGCCCCGCATACCACCTCTCAGCCCATACAGCCGTGCAGCGCTATTGGGTTACCGCAGCGTTACCTAATAGGTCTGATCCGCGCTCGAGAGCGGCATAGCTGTAAGATCGGCTTCCTTATTAAGTCAAGGAGGCAGAGAAGTCTGAACCTCTAAACGTTTTTAAAATGCAGACCAGAATGTGAGCGCCAAAACTTTGCACCTACTGTACCTGTGAATGACGGTGTTTTTCTCTCTGTGTAACCAAAGATTTAGCTTCCAATTGGAAACCTGCAAGATAAAAGCTGCCTGAGTAGAAGCCTCCAAGTCCTCCCATGGGTTATTAAACGCCTATGAACACTCATCACGTACTAACAAGCCATGACTGATAGTTTCCTAGAACTTTATCACGAAGGAGGGATCTCGCTTCTGCAGGAAATGTGTTTTCCATTCATATCTTCCATTCGCGGGGTTAGCGCTGGCCATTTCACTCAACATTTGGCTCAAGAGGATTGAAAAATATAGAAAAAGAGAAACAGCTTTTGCATTTCTCTGAGATTCTTTTTTCAGATCGTGTCTTGACGCATCTCTTGGGTTTGAGTTTCATGAGTTTCTTCCCATCCTTCTGGAGCAATTTGTAGCCGCTGCGGCGTACCTTTTGTAGTTTCTGCGGTATTTATTCCGCTGTTGAATGGCGCATTGTTTGTGAGAAAGGAGAAAACGAGGCCACACACTCATATGAACACCCACACACACCCACCTCATCCTCTTTTCAAACTGGAGTCCACCTTCCTTTGCTGCCAGAAACGCTGCGGTGTTAAGTCTTTGCGTGTTTATAGCACCCAATTCTGGTGTCAGCGTGCTAATCAGGTCTAAGGATTTCTGTCAGTCACAGAAAAATGGTCCATTTACCCCTCCCTCGGCCCATCTCTAAGTCCTGACTTTACTTTATCTCTGCTCCCCCTCAGTGAGTCCAAATGGCCATAAGCTCAGCGTCTGAAGTCGGAGTGAGGGGTCAGCATGCTTTCTCTGTCTCTGTCTCTCACAGACACACACACAGTGAAGTCGCCTTGGTGAATAGTCACAGCTTGTGGGGAATGCCTCGAAGTAGACAATAGCTATGTATTCTTACTTACTGCTCCCACCGTCCAGCTGAAACACGGCAGGACTCTGAGATCTAGTCTGTGTTCCCTCTCGGCTCAAAGTGTCCCTAACTAACTTGTTTTTCTCCTCTGACACAGACATGAATTAGAAATAACGTCTGTGTTTGGTGGTTTTTAAACGAGAGCTGCTGACACTGATATGAAAGAGTGAAATTTGGCATCAAAATGACCAATTAACTCCTTATTGTCAGCAGTAGGGCTGGGTGATGAACCGAGAATTTACCGATACCAAAATTCATGACAACAACAAACTTCATTTTGCCCATATTGGTATATTCAGTGTCAAAAAATTAAATAAAAGTTATTTTGGATGTGTGTAGGTAGGCTTTGGTCTCATGTCCCTTTAAGACGCTGTCCTACATCAGAGACGTGACTCCACCCCATTCAGTTAAAGGAAAAAGGGAAAGACAGGTGAGGAGATGGAGGACGGTTCAAAAGTTGTAGCAGCTGAAGTAGACGAAGTTAATGTTGGAGGGGGTGAGCAGCTTGTGGAGTAGTTATCGTCCATTTATCATTATCGAGGTGAACTGATCAATATATCGTGATGTTGATTTGAGGCCATATCGACCAGCCCTAATCAGCAGCTAATTACCTGCTGTTCAAACAGAAATTTGAATAAATTAAAAAACTCAAAAAGGAGCCGAAATTGAGCACAATTTATTAAAAGTTATTGGGTGAAATCTGGAGTATTTTACTTCAGGAACATGAAACATGAGATCACAGAGTCTGTGGGAAAAGTATGTTGAATTGGTTTAATAAGTGTGGCTAACGTTAGCAGAGCTAGCACCATCAGCTGTCATTTCTCCTTGCAAGATCTGTCATCTCTGCTTGTTTACATAAGGTGACCATACGTCTTCTTGTACCCGGACATGTCCTCTTTTTGGGGGCTGTCTGGCTTGTCTGGGGGAGTTCATAAAATCCTTCAAATGTCTGGAGTTTTGAGTTTGTGTCGCGTGGACTAACTGAGTTAGAAGCGCGTAAAAAACACTCGATCCGATCCGAAAAACTCTCAAAATTGACTAGGCGTGACTCCATCACTCCGCCCCCGCGTAGTCATGTCCTCTTTTTGGGGATTCAGAATGTTGTCACGCTACTTTACATCCAGGTAGTCGAGCACTATAGTCGTACTTTAGCAGAAGCCACTTACTAGGGTGACAGCTCCAGCTAGTGGACAATAGATGCACTGCAGCACAGACATGACATATGACTGGCATACCACATGTGTATCAGAATAAGTAGTTCTTGAGCGAACGTGCAAATCTGTTGTACTGATATTGGAAATGTAGAAGTACGTGCTGAGGCACTGTGCATAGCTGCTAATTTACTCTCTGGATTAATTGCTAATAATTAACTATAATCAACACTTAACATCTTGGGAGGTGATCACTTTAGACCTTAGGAAACAACAAAAGAAAAGCAGACAGCATTGCAAACTGTTCCAGAACCAGCCACAGGGCAGACACTTCTGTTTGTGTATCTGAAGAGGCATTAAAGAGAAGTAAGTGCGTTTCTTTTCTGCAGCCCTGGTGGCAGTTTCCATGTTGTGGTGAGTGACCCACTTCTGCTGAATAACAGTGTAGGAATGTGTTGGTTGTTCCGCTCTGTACTTTTGGGTCGTACCCGCTCAGTTCTGTCAAATCTTTGAAGATGAAAGGACGCAGCCCTCCCAGCTCGTCTGTCGTCTTCAAGGACAGTCTGTGCACATGAAAGTGTCCTCCACACCCATGGCGTTTCTACTCGGACCAGGTCATAAAAGTCAACTTGCAAAGGACAGAAAGAGGGACAAGTAAAGAGTGCAGGTATTCAGATGACCGGACTTGTACACCCCACCCACACTTTAAAAGGATGTATTGTGTCTGGCAGGACTCTTCCTGTCCTTTACAGCCGCCTTGTAAGGTTGTGGTGATGTTTGATTTGTTTGTGTCGTTCATTTAAACTGCATGTAGAGCTGTCTGCGAAACACAGCTGTAGAGCAAGGCTGAATGTGAAACTCTTTTAATATCCATCATGTTCCAAAGTGGCATAAAATACTTGGTCTGGTTGTTGCTTTATACTTAATTTCTCTCTTTATTATTATGCAAGAAGCTGCAGATGTCAGCCAGCTTCACTTCCTGTGTACCTCTGAGATGTTTTTGCTTCACATCTGGCCTTTCGGAAATAAAAAACATGCTCAGTTGGACGGAGGTCAGGTGATTAACCTCAGCAAGTTCAGGCCAGATGAGGACATCTTACTATTGATGAATAAACGTTTCCTCTATTGGGCTTAAAATGAGGGTTCCAGCTTGACATTTTTGGACCAAATCTTAAACACAAATGAGTCACCAGTGGTTAATTTTCGATATCCCAGGAGCCTCGATAATGGACATGCGCTGAAATAAACCATAAAGATAAACTTACAAGCTGTCAAGGTTTAGTTTGATTATTACCTGCACAGTTTACTCCAAACTTTTGTTAGACAGTGATGGAGTTTCCTGAAGTGATGGACATCTTTTCTGACCTCCAGTCTGACAAGAAACCTGGGCAGAAAAAAGGAAGTTTGGTTTATTAGACATTGACAAGTAGGCTGGTTATCAGCGGCATTTTCAGGCTGTTTATAGACGAAAATTAAAGCTACATTCTCATTGGACAGTTATGATGTAAAACTTTCAACCCTTTTGTTCTTCACTCAAACTTTTTAAGCAAACTTCCAAATCTCTGTCAGGAGTTTATTTTGTATAACTACCTGCTCACTTTTATGAAAGCGTATGGCATTCACCAAACAAAAACAAACAAACAAAAAAAGTCTATTTTTCAGAGTATTTTTTTCTGTTTTTCAGAGTAATTTTTTTCAGTTTTTCGGACTAAGTTTTTCTATTTTTTTAAAGTATTTTTTTTCTTTTTTTTTTAGAATTTTTTTTCTTTTCTTAAAGTATTTTTTTCTGTTTTTTGGACTTTTTTCTTATTTTTTAATTTTTTTTTCTGTTTTTTAGAGTAATTTTTTTCTGTTTTTTAAAGTATTTTTTTCTGTTTTTCTGACATTTTTTTTCTTTTTTTTTAGGTTTTTTTCTGTTTTTTAAAGTATTTTTTTTCCCGTTTTTTAGAGTAATTTCTTTTTCTTTGTGTTTTCTGGATTTTTTTGGTTTTGTTTTGTTTTTCAGACTTATTGTTTTTTTTTTTTTTTTTGTAAGTGAATGCAATACTCTTCCGTACACTATCATGTCAAGTATCCCTCACATGAACTCTATGACCTACAGTCATGTAATGGAAATTCGTCCTTTTCTAATTCAACAGACACATTTGACGTCATGCATAATGTTACTTATTAGTTTATTTTAATTGATGTGATAAATGTTGTATTTGCAGTTGCCCGTGGTTATTTCCAAGCAGTAGGAATTATAGAGAAATCAATATGACCCAAATTCTTGGCTTAAAAAAAATTCTGCAGCCATCTGTAGACATTTATCCACATGACTAATGCAAAGCTATGATGAAGGAAATCCCTGTACGTCTGTTTTAGAGATTTAGGCCCGTAGTAATCAGCATTATATGTCTGGTGGGTGACAAATTCCTACACAACCTCGCTTGTTCTGTCTCCCCTTCCTCCCACACTGCCCGCTTTTTTCAGTCCTGGTGCTTAGTGAAAGTGTAACGGATGTGAAATAAATCATGTGTGGTTTGAAAACTTCCTCCATTTTTCCCCTCTCCCAAATCCCTCAGAAATCTCTCAGACATGCTGAATCAATCACTGACATTTGATTCTGGGACTCCCCTCGCTCGTCAGTTTGCAGAAGAAGAGATCCATTATTTGCAGCAGGTTTTCCTTCTGAGAGGAACATCAGGAGGCGTTCGCGGTGACTCACCTTGCTCCCTGATATTCTCATCTGTGACTCAGGGCCAAAGTTTTTGAGATCTACTTTTGTTTAGTGCCTCCTCGTTTAATGTTTAGGAAGTTTCAGAGATGTGAAGTGATTAAAAAAAGAGACTGTTGTTCTGACTGAAGCGCTGTTGAAGTGCCAGTGATTGCAAGAGTGTAATAAAGTCGACTTGTTTGTATTAAATGTTAACAGATGTAGCTGTTTCTGTATCTCACGACGGAGCTGAGTCAGGCTGGCTTGTTTCAAGGAGTCCGTAGGTGGTAGAAATCTCCACCCTCTTTGACTGACCACACAAAAACCCGGCCCAGGGGCGATGCTTTTGGTGCGCCTGCCTGCCTGCCGTTCCTCTTTCACATGCAGTATTTTCGGTTCTGCAAAGCTTGAACCAACATGATTGGAATGTCTTTTTTTTTTCTCCCCTTTGTCCCCCCTTTTTTTGTCGTGAAGCTCCTTTTGTTCTAATGGGTTAATTTAAGAAGAATGTTTTCACTTTGGGGTTTGGAGCCGAGGCTGGGGGTGTTGTTTAGGGCCGTGAGTGAGATGGAAATGACACAGAGACTCTTGTTTGTGAGATAGTCGGTCACTGTTTATTATTTGGTTAAGTCTTGTCCCTCAAGGTTTTCTCTCATAAAAGAAGGACAGTTTTCTCGAATACTTACACAGCATTTTAAAGACACTCTTCTTTGTTAGTATCAAGTCCTTCCTGTGGTTTAGGAGAATAAAAATGGACAAGACAAAAAATGACCTGCAAGGCCTTCACTTTAGACCACTAAGTTGAATGTCACAGTTGATGCAACATTTTGACAATAAACTGCAAAAAGAGTGAGAAATCTCTCATCCCTACTATATTTACTGAGAGGGACAGACGCAAAACAGCGACCAGGAGGAAAACAAAGCAACATGAATTACTGCAGAGTGAGACATCGTCTTTGCTGAGTTGATCACATGCAAAAGAGTAACTGGAGAGTGATAGGTTAACATAACATGGTAACATAGCAGCGCATGATGCAGCAGCTTAATATTAACACTGCATAGGAAAGGGCTGCATGAAAAATCTGCAAAATGAACCTGTGCTGTCGTGATGCATGAACATTTTAAGAGAGGACATGCTGGACGTCTCTCTCTTGTAAAAATCATCTGACATTTAACTCAACAGCCCAAAGTTAGAGTTGTAACTTAAAGTCTTACACAAATTACACCTCCGCACCTGTTTTTCGCCTCTCTTCCCTCACCAAATATCAGCTGTTAGGCTTCAGTTATTGTGCCGTTTGTTGCACGATTAGTTAATTAGTTGCTTCAATAACTCGTGGCATTTTAAATAGTCATTGGGTGCAGCACTAGTTAAAAAGAGAGACGCATTACCAAACTTCCTTCCTGGTTAGGGCTGTCCAGATACAGATATTGGTCCGATATCAGCCGAAAAACAAATATCGGATTATATCGGCCTGAATCTAAAATCTCTGATATCAGCACTGCGATACAAGCAGTCCATTCCAGACTCCACTCAGGCACCTCTAGCTAACAGCACCCGGATCCAGCATGTAGAGCCCATGTGATCACAACAACAGTGTGTACTAATGTACTAACAAAGTACCAAGGAGTAGGAGTGATGTCAGCTGTGTGGCAGTATTTTTTGTTAAAGTCCGAAAAAGACATTGCAGCTGAGTGCAAAACTTCTCATGCACAAGATTGTATCGGCCGATACTGAAGGCTACAAAATCGGTATAGTCTCGGAAGTAAAAAAGTCGTATTGGGACACCCCTACTCCTGGTAGCTCAGGTCATCTCAGCTGTTTTTTTTTTGCAGAGTGATTGAAACCCTCAGGACTTTAGAGGAGATTAATTGGACACCTCTGTTTGGCTATATTGGAGTATATTGGGGAATGTATCGGCCTACTCCTTAGCAACCTATCTGCAGAAAAAAATGCTATCACCACGAGCAATGATGTAACAAACTAATTGTCTGCAGTTTAACTAGAACTAAAGAAATCATCTGCAGCTACAGTGATATAAAACGGACAAATAAAGAACCGAAAGCATCTTTCCTGGTTTTAGTTAAACTATAAGTTTGTCTGCAGAAAAAGTTATCTAACGGTCATCTGTGAAGGTTTTTATGTCTCCTTGAAACAGGAAACCTGAAAAAATGTGTTTTTTCCGCTTTTTTATGAGCTGGTTCGTCTGTGTGCCTCATTAGGGGAAAATAAATCTGTCTTTTCAAAGCTGATGAAAAAGGAGAAAGAATAAAACTCAAGCTAAGCAAAGTGAGGAACACCGTCTGTCTTGGTTTCTTCTTGTGTGTTCCCAAGTGTTTCAAAGGTTAACCGTCTACAGTTTCCTGATATTACTGTTTACACATCGTCTACCAGCCATGAGAAGCACTTTTCATTCAGTTAATAAATACCTCTCACTCTCAATTACATGTTTACAGAGTTCTTTCTGTTGATCGAGTCATTAAGTGAAAGTAAATGAGCCTTACACACTTAAAATGATCATCAACTGAACCACACGCTTACAACTGCTGTCATTATAAAGATAACAGAAAAGAATAACTTATAAATCACCGAGTAATATTTAGTTGAACATGACTGAGGTGGTTTTTGGCATCTTGAAGTTACTGAAAATTAAGGTATAATTGAATCTAAGAGTTTATTTTCCCGCCCTAGAGGAGCTTCGACCACGTTTTGCAGTTGTACTCTCATTTCTGTGGTCTAATTAGTTGTGATAATGACTCAGCATTATTATAAAGTTGTATTCCCACTGTCTTTGTGTGCTTGTATTGTCTTGTTCTTGCATGATTACTTACGGTGGATCATGGAGAAGACGTTTCTCTGCTCTCTTTGAAATCCCTCATTATGAAAACGCTGTGTTCAGTGTCCCCGGTGAACCCTGTTGCTTTTTGCATGTCCTGAAATATTCCCCTTAAGGAAGAGTCACTCTGTCGTCCAAGTTTGTAACCCTCTCGTTGCAACACACTGGAAAAGTCCCTGAAATACCCTTTGCTGTGCTGTTTTGATGGTTATTGAGCTCTTAGAGGAACAGATGCTTGTGAATGTATAAATGTAATGCATAAATGAGTGAGAAAAAACAAACAGACCCTAATTTTGTTTGTTAAATATTTATATGTTGGTATTTTAGAGCAACAGCAGGGAGGCTTGTAAGCTTTGCTAAATGAGTCTAAAAGTCAGATCCGATTTACTTTGACATCTTTAATTAGCTGTAGAGGCTTATTTTCCCACAGAATGAACTGACTAGATAAATACACTGATGATCACACTGAATTAGGCATTTTTATGCTGTAATCGTTGTTTTTCTGAAGTTGTTTGGCAAACACAGCATATCAGGAGGGGCTGTGAGTGTAACAGGCACTAACCGAAGCACAGCTGATAGGGGTGTGTCGTATATCGTCAAAGATAATCTCTCAATTGTTGTTTTAACAATGTGTGGAAATAACAGTATCGAGAGTGTCCTTATTTTTGCAAAAAACAGTCCAAACAGGCCTCAAGAGTCTACTGGATATGATCAGGACTAGTAGTGCAGAAGCTTAGCTGACCAGAAGATAAAACTCAATCACAACCAAATAAACTGAATTTTTGATTAAATGGATTTACAAGAAAGCTTGAGGTCTAGACTTTTGATCTTTGACAGACAGGTAATTTCTAGGTCTTCTGTTGAGTGGCTTCCCTGTAAGGCTGGGCGATATGACCTCAAATCAATATCACGATAAATTGAGCAGTTCACCTCGATAACGGTAAATGGACGATAACTACTCCACAAGCTGCTCACCCCCTCCCACATTAACTTCGTCTACTTCAGCTGCTACAACTTTTGAACCGTCCTCCATCTCCTCACCTGTCTTTCCCTCTTTGTTACGGACTGGATGGGGTGGAGTCACGTCTCTGATGTAGGACAGAGTCTTAAAGGGACATGAGACCATAGCCTACCTACACACATCCAAAACCAACTTTTAGTTATTTAATTTTTGGAAACCGAATATACCGATATGGGCAAAATGACGCTGGTTATTGTCGTAAATTTCAGTATGGGTAAATTTTCGGTTTATTGCCCAGCCCTAGTCCACACATTTACTGTATATGATCAGGACTAGAAGTGCAGAAGCTTAGCTGACCAGGAGATAAAACACACTCACAACACAAATGAATTGAATTATTGATTAAATAGACTCACAAGACAGCTCAATATCTAGACTTTTGATCTTTGACAGACAGGTGATTTCTAGGTGTTATGTTGGGTGGCCAGATTGACAGCCAATCTCAATAAGTATCACCCTATCATAATCAGATTTTATTACTGATACTTTACAGGATACTACGTCATTATAAAACAGATTGCCAAGTCTCAATTTCCTATGTTTGATGTATTCAGAGAATAGCAAATCGAGGTCAGTAACAGAGTGTCATAATTTCATGCTGATGATGTGATTATCCGCCCTTGAACCTCCTCCAGAAAAAACAAATAGTTTAATTTTATTTCATGCTCCTCTCTTTGTAATTGACCAATTTAGGTCACTAAATGCTTGGTGGGCTGAGTAAAGCTTCTGGAAATGACTCCTTTTCACTGGCATGGTCACAGAAGAATGCTCCTCTCACGGCCACGGTCCCAGGACCTTTTGATTTAAACACATGCCTCGCTCACTTTGGGATTAAGAGGCTGAGGAAATGGCCTGTTTGGAGTTACCCAATGATTTGTAAAGTCTAAGGCTTAATTCCTGCCCATTTAGCATCAACTGGACTCACTGACTTGTGTAACTGCGAGTGCTCAGACATTAGGACACACACTCAAAAGCCTAATAGTGTAAAACCAGACTTAGTCACCCATGGTTTTATACACTGTTTTCTCCTAGCTTGGTGTTTCCTAACTGATGATGTTGGCTTGCACAGACAGCGTCCAGAGATCGGCGTAAATGTTTTCAAGGCTCGAAATATTTGAAAATTCTCTTGCACGAAAAGTCTATTTCCGTCTGGTAATGGAGATGTCTGGATTTCCCCTCCATCTGTTAGCAAGCAGGAGAAATTTCCGATTTGCCCGTCTTGAAGCCGACTCAAAAGCAGAGTTTGACTCACTGATGCGTGAGTCAGTGAGAGGAAATAAACACCGTCTGAGTCTTAACAGACGAAGCCGATTTATCCAGAAATTTTATAATCAGACTTCGACAGCATGTGTGTGAAGTTCGATACATAAGACAAAGACGTCTGGTAGTGCGCGCAAAGTGTGAGGCGTATATAAACAGCCACCAGCGATACCGCAGATCTTTGAGAGGAATGATAAAAGAAACACTCCTGTGGATTCATGTCTCAGCGCATCACCGTCTCAATCCGTTCCTGGCAAAGAGATGATGGTTGGTTTGTACTGAAGCCAAATCGACAAGCCTGCCAGCAAACTTTTTTAACATGGGTGAGAAACATTAAAGAAATCACCATCAGGAAAAGCAAAATACTTTGACAGGATGTTGTCAAAGTGCGTGTTGACGGGAAGAGGACCAATTTTGGGTTGAATCAGCATAAAACAGGGACATGCAACCCACATGAAAGGGAACCTGACCACAAAAATGAGACTATTTTGGTTAATATGTTAATTTTGTCCTTCAGGAAACCCACATGAATGTTGTTATTTTTCCTATTCATGCGAAGGTTTATCTTTCGGACCTGGAGGATGCTCTTTGTCCTACATCTTGCTTCATTTACTTTGGCGCCTTTCACCATGTTGCAAAGATCTCGATGTTGATTGAAGGCAGCAACGTGAGGCAACTAGATTGACAGATAGTGGATTTTCAGGGCCGATACTGGTAACTCAGGGTGACCGTATGTCCACTTTTACCCAGACATGTCCTCTTTTTTGGGGGCTGTCCAACGTGTCCCGCCTTGTCCTGAGAAGTTTATAAAATCCTTCGTATGTCCAGGGTTTTGTAGAGACGTTTTGAGTTTGTGTCATGTGAAGTTAGAAGCGCATAAAAGACACTCGATCCGACCCGAAAAACTCTCAAAATTAACTACATGCGACTCTGTGACTCCTCCCCCGTGTAGCCGTGTCCTTTTTTGGGGGGATTCAGAATATGGTCACCCTAGGTTACTGATATTTGGAGCCAATATGCATTGACAGTAAAAATGAAAAACTTCAAATTTGATCATTGTAGACCTCAAAACAGAACTTTACCGTCTTTTGAAATGGTCGATCGATACCAAAATGTTCAATATCATCAAGAGTTAATCAGTTTCACTTAACCAATCAATTAGCATTGTGGGCAGTGGGGCTGGGCGATACGGCCTCAAATCAATATCACGATATATTGAGCAGTTCACCTCAATAACGATAAATGGATGATAACTACTCCACGTTAACTTTGTCTACTTAAGCCGCTACAACTTTTGAACCGTCCTCCATCTCCTCACCTGTCTTTCCCTCTTTTGTTACGGATTGGATGGGGTGGAGTCACGTCTCTGATGTAGAACAGCATCTTAAAGGGACATGAGACCATAGCCTACCTACACACATCCAAAACCAACTTTATTTATTTATTTTTCACCAATATGGGCAAAATAATGTCAGTTATTGTCGTAAATTTCGGTGTAAATTTTCGGTTCATTGCCCAGCCCTACCCTACTGATTAGTTTTATTTAGCCAATCAGTTTGCATTGTTAGTGTGACACTTACATTAAGTGTGACAAAGTGATGCAAAAAAACACAGACCCAGACAAGAAGAGAACCTGGATGTGGAGCCAGAGTTGCACAATTTAGATGCATTTATTTAATTGTCTTTTTGTGTGAATAAACTTCACATTTCAAGACACTTAAAGGTAAAAATTATCTTTTAACTTATCAGAAATAGCCATGAGGTTCGTGGTCAAAAATAAAAATCACCACATCATGCACACCTATTAATTCTCCAGTGTTTGTCATTCATCGTGCTCAGGATCAAGAGTTTGACCTGTGCATAATTTCTTGAGAAATAAACTTTATACATAAGTTCTGGTAACCCTCATACTTTGTCCCCGTTTCATCTGGGAACGGATAATAATAAAAACAAACACCCTCGCAAAAATAAACACGCCAGCAAATATATCCTCAGGGGACAGACGCAGTGTGTACATTAGCATAGACATGACACAGAAGAATAGACTCAACCTTTTCAAAAGAGAAACAAGAGGTCAGGGGATTGTTTGAAGATGTGATTTTTCTTTTTCCATTTCCAAGCAGTCATTTATAGATGCCTCTCAAAGAAGGATCTGGATGATTTGTTCCTTTCTGCCCATCCGGTTATGGATCCTAATCCCCAAAGTCAACAGTTCTAATGCGGGACTTCCGATCTCCTCGTTGTTTCATCTTTGTGGGAAGTGGGAATGACAGCGCTGTCATCACCCACCAGCTGGCCAAGCCTGTCCCCAAACGCAGCTCTGTAACCGATCAGGAAGCAGCCAGCAGGAATCCGGTTTGATCAGTGAGGATTCTGTGTTTCCAAACCGTGGTTCAGTCATTAATTTGGGGATTTTTTTTAAGTTAATAATGGCTTTTGTCAGAATCTGACACTTCTTTTACGAGGTGAGAAAATATAGCTCAGCGTTCGGCCTCTAAATTGGACCCCTTGGCCTCTTTCATGTGTGTCAAATGTCTGAAGCAGGAAAAGTTCAGACTTGTAGTGCACTGTCCTGTGAGGCCGTCACAGCTGGTATGTGCCATTCCTCCACTAACCTCTCCACCTCCAGATTTTCAGCTGGTGTTTACTTGTGGAAAAACAAAATAGAAGCTATTTCCTCTGTCTTCAAGGGACTGTTAATGCGATGCAGCTCTGAAAAGAAAACTCAAACAGGCCGAACACTTTAAGGGTGGCGTTCACGTAGTCCGACACCGATTGTCTGCTCTGCATCCGGTTGTGTTTGGCTGACTTGCCCATTTTTAAAGCCACAGCAGGAAAAAGTAAAGAAATAAATGAGCGTGAAAGACCAAGAAAAGTGAAGTGATTGATTCACCCTCAACCTGGTAATGACCCTTCAGCCATTTATCATGCGCAGCTCCAGTTGGAGGTTAAGTGCCTTGCTTAAGGACATCTTTTTGCTAGTTCTTTTCAGGAGATGACACTGTCACTCCTCTGTTCCTCCAATCCACACTTTTCCAGCTGGTCTCTGGAGTCAAACTCATAACCCTCCAGCTAAAAACGCCTGATTCTTCTCCCTGTAGCCACCTGGTGCCTGCTAATGACCCCGCTCTCAAACCACAGAGAGAAGAAAAACACCACTTTTACCACCAGTATTTGCTAATAACACCATATCTGATGTCATTATTCCTGCCGCATGTGTGCACAGCGAGTTCGCGGTTGTTTTTCCCCTTCTTAAGCTGGTCATCAAACTCGGATATTCGGCTGTAAATATGTAGCTAACCTGATTGGGACATGTCCAACCCCCCTGACCCTCTAACCCAACCCTTATTAGACAAGCACTGTGTCTGGATTCCAGGTGTGGGAGAGTCCCTCTTCATTCTTTTCAGGTCTACAAAGCAGGTAAATGATTTGTCAAAGTGGGGCGACTCTTCATTTCAAGTTCAACTGAAGACCCGCCACAGAAGTGAGGCTGTGTCTAGATACTTTTAGGCTCTGAGTAGACTTCATACCTTGAACTTTTTTAACTATTTGACTCTGACATATAGATCTCGTTAGAAAAATGGATCAAATACTTTTAGATTTACTTAATTTTTATGTTAATTTGACACCTCTTGGAATAAACTTTAGTGTGTAGAAATGAGAATATTTAGTAATATTTAGATCCTAGATTAAAAGGCTCTCTTGCTACATCTTCTAGACGTCAAGTTTATTTTTAGACCTAATTTCAACCATCTAGATTCCGTATATTTTTAGACAGGATTTAGACGTTGCTCTTTAACCCATTATTCGATAACTTTTTATTTCAAAAAGCAACTGTGAGTTGCTTAACTGATCTCCAATTACTTAACCAAAGTAATAATGACAGCCGTTGAGCAACATACAGTGTAGACCTCTGTTAGACTTTTGATTTTAGACCTGTGGTAGCCTGATTTTAGACCTGTCTACATTTAGACGTCTATTAGACCTCTTATAGACCAATAAAATGCTCAGTAGTAGTGGTGGAGTTATGGTGGCCTTTAATGACAAAAAGCTCCTCCATTTGTCTACATTTTACCATCAAAAGCATCTATCAAACATATTAGTTTGTCCACAATAACAACCGTTGGTAACGCCTATCTCTATAACACATTATAAATGTATGTATAATATGTTATAATCACATTATAGCTCTGTGTAACTGTAGTTATAAACACTCATAAATGATCATAATCCTTTTTATCATGACTTAGAAGGTCAGGTAATTATAGTGTCTAATAACTGTTAACAACAGGTGCATTGCATTATCTATGTGGGCATTGTCAGTGAGTTGTTAACAGTTATAACATTATGATACCTGACCTTGTTAGTCATGATAAATGCTTTATAATGTGTTATGATTATTAGTGTAAGTGTTTATAGCTATAGTTATACAGTGATATAATGTGATTATTACGCATTATACATTTATTTATAATCAGACAGGCGTCAAATAAAGTTTTACCAAACCGTTTTTCCACTCAGTGATATTGTGGAAACATGATGCTGCAGATATAGGAAGCTCATTTACATGACCTTCATGTGATTGTACACCAATCTGAATATTATATAATTTCTGCTGAGTCTGTTCTGCCAAAAGCTGCTAAAAACTACACACTGCACCTTTAATTATTAAGCTTTAAGTGGAAGTTTGGGATCATTTACAAACTGTTAAAGACACATGCTGTCTTACAAAAGATGAACCGGTAGAAAATATGAAATTTTCTATATTTGTTTTAAAATAAAGGTAGGTTTTGTTGGAAAAGGGTTTGAATCGGATCCTTCTTATCTGAAACTTCTGTCTGACACGTGGCTGAACTGCTGGATTCTGGGACTAAATATTTAGGCTTTGTTTCCTACGATACAGGATGGACTTTGTCATCCTGTTTGCCTGCCCCACCTGTCTTTCGTTTGATATCTGCGGGTTGCCATGCGTGTGTGTGCATGCTAATGGCTGTTGTGTGACCTGAGTGGGCCGTGGACTGTAATGAGGTCAGTGTCCCGTTGAACCTCATCATGAACCCTGCAGAGGTTTCGTCTCCCTCTGCTGGTGAGAATGGGAAACTTTGTGCTGTGATATCAACAGTGCAGGTGTGTGTCGATGGTTCTCCTGCAGGCCTGGCCACCACTTCGCTGCAGCTGGTGAAAATAAACACTCTCTAATGAGATTATTATCTTAGTGAGCAACATATTAAACTGAGAGTGTGTTATACAGTCACTTCCTATTACCTAACCAATGCACACAACCATCCTTGAATGTCAACATCCACTTTTCTAAGCTTTTATTTTTTTAAACGTGTTTATTTTCTGAGTATTTTGCCCTACGTGTCTTATCTGTGACTAGCTGCTGTTTGCTGCTGACAGGCCTGCGGACAAAGTGTTTGATTTTCCACAGGTGTGTTTTTGTTAGGGGGGTAATCGCCACATTTCAAGTGAGGTTTTCTTTTGTCCATATGATGTTGTCTTTATAAGCAGGTGTATGGGACTGTGTGTTTGAAGAACTTAAAGGTTGACCGACCTCACTGCACCTGAAATAAATAGAGCAGGATTATCATGTGTGTTTTAATGAAAAATATTTGATCATTTGATTCATTTAGAAAAATTGCTGTGTGTCAATTATCCGTTACTATATATATAATTGACTTGATGGTGGATTAAGATTGGATAAGAACTGTTTTTTTTTTTCTTACTAGCTGAGACTCAATCTGATCTTCATGTTGGGTCTTTGTAGTTAATAATAAGTGTACTCTTGACCTTTTTATTAGTATTTTTTAATAGTATATGTTAGGGTCTGACTTGGCACTGCTGCATAGTTTGTAGAGGTATTTATTTTTTTAGTATTTATTCATTTTCATCAGGCTTTTCTCTATTTAATCGTGTCCTTATCTTTTATTGTACCACTTTTAAATCATGTTTCATGCGTTTGTTGTGTATCTGGTGTTGAGTTTATGTTTTTCTGATGTCTCCATGCTGTTTGTTGTCTGTATGAGTTTTCTTGTCCTGGTGGTGAAACAGTTTCCCTCATGCAGGATCAATAAAGTCTACCTTATCTTACCTGTTGCCATGTAAGGTATAAATAAAAAGTGACAAAGGTTTCAATCAAGATCAATTGTTGTGTAAAAACAGGATATCTTTCATGGCTCACTACAGTTTTAGTTGTAGTTTCCTGTTGGGACAGTAGAGGGAGCTGTTTCCTACAGCTATGCTTCACCACCGCACATCATCCTCTCCCTAACTCCTGCCTTATGCAGCTGTATGACTCTTTAAGTCTGCAGTAACATCTGTGTCTCCTATAGGTTCCACACACAGGAAGTGGATTAATTCTTCCTTTCCAACATTGCCAACAAACACCTCTTATAGAGGGCGCTAACGCCGTGATTGTATGCAAGCTCTTGATAAACATCTTCAAACCATCAACACGACTTTGCGAGGCACTTAGTGTCTGCAAACACACTGTTGGGCGGTAAACAACCATTAAAGTGAAGTTCTGTGTTTGCAGATGTAGCTCGGGTCTCGTGAAGTTCGTTTTGCACAGACATATTGGTACCATGTCTGTCATTAGCAAAGACAACACCTCCCAGGCAGTGTAGCCCGGTTACAGTCGAGTCATTTCCGGCCTGACAGTACGGTAATTAGCGGAGTCGTTACAGGTATTAGGACTTTTCATGTAGAACTTTTGGAGGGGCGAGTTTAACTGACAGTCGGTGTGAAATGTTCAGCTCACGTCATGTTTGAAGTCACAGCACTTCCTGAGATCTTTATTTTAATCAGTGTTTGGGTCGTGACAGTTTGACAACACGGTTTATAAAGTTATGACAACAGGCCCGCAGGTCTGTCTCGATGGATTGAGGTTTTAGTTTACTCGCATTAATCCCTGTTTTATTATTCTAATCAGAAGCAGTTCCCAAAACATGTTTATGGAGTCTGTAAGATCTCGAGCCAAAAGATCAACAACGAACGAATCAGTCACGGTCTTTTAGACTGAGTTGAAGATATATGTTCACACGGTGAAATGTCAAACTTTTATTTTCCCTCCTTTATTTAGTGAAACATTACATTTCTAAGCTGCAGCAGAGATAGTTCGTACTCTGCGCCTGTCTTCTTTCCCTCGTACAGTAAATCCTCGATCTCTCTCTGATACTGTAACCATAGTTTAGGCACCACAGGCTACATATTCTCCTGTTGTTATGGAATGTGTCTTATTCAGAGTGACAGCCAAGCTGTTTCTGCTTGCCTGAGCAGGACTGAGAAGAACCCTGCAGGGCTCTGTCTGTCTGTCTGTCTCTTTCCACAGGATACCGGATTGTCCTGTGGAAACGCTTCAAAGACGCAGCGCAGCACTCTCTGAAGAGGCTTTCAGCAGTTTTTAAAACTCGCTCCTATATTCAGTCCCTGCTGAGATTTGATGGAAGTGTATGACAACTGAACGCTTCATTTGGCATGTGAAGAGGTTCCAGATTAGATATTAAAGTTGTAGTTAGTGTTTGGTACATTTTAACTAGTCATTAATGGGGGGTTTCCAAAACCCTAAATCTCCACAGGAAGACAGACTCACTTATCTCCACTTAAGACGATTACTTTTCTGTTTTTACAGTTAGAGTCAATCTCCACACAAGTATAAAAACTAGGAGTGTACCGATACAACTTTTTTACTTCCGATATGATACCGATATTGCAGCCTCAGTATCGGCCGATACCGATATTGATCCGATATAAGCACAAACTTGTGCATGACAAGTTTTTCACTCAGCTGCGATGTCTCTTTTGGATTTTGCGATACCTGCGCAGTAAACGTTCTGAGGGGCGGTGGTAAAACGTCAGGTTACAACAAAAGGTAATTCAGCGCGGCTTTTCTGTATCGGAATTGGATCGGTATCAGCTGATACTCAACTGTAGATATCTGTATCGGCATCAGAGGTGAAAAAAGTGGATCGGTGCATCCTTACTCTTCATGCTGTATCCGGGCGCTGCTAGGCAGAGGTGCTGGAGCGGAGTCTGGAATGAACTGCTTGTATTGGAGGGCTGATATCTGAGATTTTAAATGCACGCTGATATTATAATCCAATTTTTGTTTTTTGGCTGACATCAGTCCGATATCCAATATTAATAATATCCGATATTAATATCGTATCAGGACAGCCCTAATAATAACAGACTCTTAGGCTCGGCTACCATTCTGGGAACTTTTCTTCCTCTTTCTATTAAAAGCGTCTTGGGTAAAAGTTTGGTCACTTAGGCACATGAAATTAACAGACTGTTCAGATTATTTTGAGTGTAATTAAAGTCTAATCCGTGAAATGTCCTTTAAATGGAAATTCTAAATTACTGCTCACTGGATCCATGTAAAAATCTATTAACAAAACTGTAAATTTCAGTTGTCATACTTTGCAGTGCATACTCATTGGATTAGGCTATTTAACTTTTCACTTTAACTCTTTAAAAGGGCCATAAACTGTAAATAATTCCTTGTTGATCGTCTATTCCCTGATTTATTTTGCACTGATTTTACATCCACACTCTTGTTTATCTCAGTGTCTCACAGTCAGATTGCCCCCAGCTCTCTGCAGATCCAACAGCAATTGAAGAAACGTAAATAGCTTTGGTTTACAATAGTCATCACGTCTGAACAAGAGGTATTTACTCTGCAGGCAAGAGTTCCTCATTCACAACCTTCTGCTGCAGGCCTCTCACAGACTGTGATAAGCCTCTATTTGTGGGAAACTGGACTCCTTTCCCTGCTAATCTGATAGCTGTGACCTTCTGACCCTCGTTTCGGTGGCCAACCCCCACCGCTCCCATTCTCCGGTTGTGACACACATTCACTCCGAGGAGATCCTGGAGATGTCATTTGAATTAGGCTCTTTCATTCAGACATCCGAACAGACGCCGGATATACAATATGTTTTAGAGCGCAGACCGCTGCCGTCAAAATGAATTAGCTACCTTGTTATGTTACATGCGTGCGCGTTGCCTTTATGCAGGTTTAACCGAGGGGCGACCTCAGGTGTTGAAAAGTAGAGGCTTTGCAGAAGTAGAAAAGGACCACTGCTCTTTGAGTGACCATTGAAGCTGGGTGCAAAATCTAAGGGGACCCTGTAAGAGCACATTTTGGCAGCAGAATTAATTACATCTATACCCAATTTCTCTATTCCTAACAACTGTGTAGGGGCTGAAGTTTCTGATAAGTTAGAATATTGATAACAAGTTTCAAAGTTGTGCCAAGTTAGATATAATTAGGGGTGCCACTAATTTGACCAGCATGTTGGAGCGCTGTAGCTGCAGGATGCAAGGATATGGCCTGAGCTCCTCTTTGTAAGTTTAACGAATGATTAGTTAGAGATTAGCTTTCACAAAGTAGTTGCTGGTCTTCCTGGGGTCCAAAAACTTAAAATCACAACACAAAAACATTACAATTGAACAAATAATCAATAATAAATACAAGTACAGATTCAATTAATGATTCTTCACAACATTAAAACATTAAAATCACTCCAAAATCTGTGGTTTTTATAGTTAATTCATACATACAGTTTTGTTTTAAAGTCCTCTAAAATAATACCTACTGCTCCGATTGATTCCACATTTCCTAAAAGATATAAATAACACTGTTCTCCTTATACAGTTGGACTTTAAGAATGGAACAATTAAATGACCAGAGCTAACCTGTCAAGTGACACTTTGATGACAATAGCCATTAACCCTTTGAGTATGATAGTATGCATGTAACAAAGAATATTTATATTTAGCTTGTTCTGGACCTTTAACCAGATGGTAATCACCATATTTGGGCTTCATAATGCCTCTTTAGAAAATGTTTGGTACCTACATGCTCTATGCAAGTTGTATCTAGTTTTACCAGCGTCGTATGGGATGTCTCTGATGCCTGAGCTGGATGGGCTCTAGAAGTCTTTGCTGCTATTCTCCTTATCTCAACTTTTCATAAAACAGAAGAGTGGTGTGCTATTTTTTTTGCCTGATACAGATCATTAATTTTCTTTGACTTAAATGTAGTTCGTCCTCTCTGCTGTATTAACATTTGTCCTTCAGAGGGCTAAACCCGCCTTTTAAAGACTGTAAACCGTCGCTGAGAAAAGTCACATTTTGAGTAAACCATATATCAGTATCAGCCTTGTGAAACTGGGACTTAAGACCTTCAAAAGATGGGATAATGTCAGTGAGAGCGCTCCGTCTTCAAGATTCACAACAAGCCTTAAATTTAGCTCCAAGTCCTGAATAGTCTCTTAACTGTACAGTGATTCTCCGCTCTGCTGTGACCTGTTGCTCCTGGATACGGGGTCAGAGGTCAGAAGTTTTTATTTTGCAGCCTGCAGAGCGAGCGGATACTCTGTGTTTGACATTATCAGATTATGGTTTTACAGGCATTTCCTTTTGTGTGTGTGTGTGTGTGTGTGTACCTGCGGTTGATTCAGACTGAGATATGTTAACGCTGAAACACAGAGAAAGGAGTGTGTGTGTGTGTGTGTGTGTCAGCCATATGTTTGCTAGAGCTATGTGTGGTTGCATCTCATTGTTTACTCTGCTGCTCAGCTGTGACATGCTGTGACTGAAGCCCAAGTTTGTTTGTGTGTGTGTGTGTGTGTGTGCATCTGTGAGTGTCTGTAGATCTCCTAATCTGTGTGTGTGTGTGTGTCATTTACAACTCTCAGCCCTAAGAGCTTAATGCTCGTATAACCGCTATGACTCACAGCGAGAGGTCAACGACCCCGACTTGCTGAAATAACATCAGTGAAGGTGGAGGAAAGAGCCGCCAAAAGGCCCTGTGGCTGCAGAGAACGGACCCTCTCGTTTTTCATCATTAACCTCTGTTGTAGCTCGTGTCTTGTTTCTTACCTCTGTGTTTGTGCAGCAGTAACACTCCGGGTCAAAGTTACTTTCTGTGTTTTAGAGAGTCACAATGATAAAATGATTGATTATAAGAAAAGAGAAGAGCTGTTTGATCGCTTAGATGATTTTCTTTTTGTGGGTTTGGTTGGGATAAAAGGCTTCGTCTAAGAAGAAGATGTCAGCTTTAGACACTTGCATTATGCCGAGAGCCACTATGATCAGTATTTAGTAGGGCCCAACAGATATGGATTTTCTTTGTTAGGGGGTTTGGTTGGGATAAAAGGCTTCGTCTAAAAAAGAAGATGTCAGCTCTAGACAGGCTTGCATTATGCCGAGAGCCACTATGATCAGTATTTAGTAGGGCCCAACACATTTCCGGTCCGGTCTCATCTGGAGACATGCAGCTGCCTCAGTAAGAGAAGTAGCTCGATCATTAATGTGTACTGTTGTTTATTGTACCGTTACTGGCTCGGCTAACAGTGTAGCAAGGCTAATAGGAGATGGCTAACTCTAACTGTAGCTTTAGCTTGCATATTACATGGTGCTTCACCGTTAACTCAGCGTGACCGAGACCAGCACAGCGGGGAACATGGTGAAGTGGGCTGAACTGAAACTTGTTGACTTATTGTGTATTTCACAAACTGGTTCACAAACTGCGCCATCTACAGGATAAGTCGGGGAACTTTTCAAATGGCGGAACACTTTCGAAGTGAAACCGAATCTTATTCTCTGCATTTTATATCTGAAAATATAGGTGAAAATCAGCGAGTTTTGGCCGATTACCGATTAGTCTCAAACGGGCCAAAATTGGCCGATTTAATCGTCACGCCGATAAATCGGTCGTGCCCTAGTATTTAGCCAAAGAAGATGACATTTAAAGTGATGCCCAGTAACTGCACATTGCACTTTCCAAACAGAGCCCTCATCTGGGAAACCTTTGGAAACTAAGATGTAGACACATTTGAGATGCTTTCAGTCGCTAAGTGACAGTTCAAGTGGAAGGTTAACACCGAAATGTTTCCTTTCCCTCTTCCCTAACTCTACGTCAGTCATGTAGGAGATTGTGTTGCATGTGTCGTCTCCGTGTTCTTCAATTATTCACAAAAGCTATATTTAGCACAAATGAAATTGGCACCCTGTGTATGAAATCCAATATGTGAACGGCAGTGAGCAGTGACAGATAATTGGACGCCTTTGCCCCCTCGTGGATTATGTTCAGCAGGTTTTGTTGGTGTTGTAATTAGTCGATCATTCATCCTCCCATTCATGGTCTCAGTCCCCAGACCCATTCCTGGTCTTAAGTTTCACTCTTTTGTCCGTGGATTGTGAGGACAGACGCTGGGGAGGCCTGGAATTTCAGTCTCGAACGGCAGGATTTCCACAATGCAGACATTACTGAGATAAATATACAGCTTTGCAAAAGTCTTGTACTTTACTTCCTGTCTACTTTTGTCTTTCACCAAAATCATAAATCTTTTTTTACGGAGCTGAAGTTTTACAAGCGTAGAAACCAGAGTTTAAGCACTTTGGTGTAAAAATTTCTCACAGTGTAGGTTAACAGACCCCTCAGACGGCTGGAGAGCCCTGCTGAGAAAACGGTCTTTGAGCAGCAGTTTGACAGCAGGTGACCTGAGTGTGAACAGGGTTACAGGGAAGCTTTGAAACACTTGTAAAACACAACCGCCTGGGAGTGTACAGAAGAGAAAACCGCTGTATGTCATGCAAAACCTAGAGGAACTTGGACGATGTACAATTACCCATTAGCTATATGAGATCTCTGGCAGGTCTTGGCCATGTGCCTGTGGTATTCACATGGGCGCAAGTATTAAAGATGAATGCATTTTTTTAAAAATCATAAGACGCTCAGAGACGCCATCAAAGAGCTTCATATTCACTCCCTGTAAGAACACATTTAAAGGAATTACTTATATGTCATCATACAGAAAAAACTTGTATTTTGTATCGTATAAGAGATGCATCTCATCCATCCTCTCTCTGATCTTCATATACAGTGCGAACTTTTCAACTGTTCCCGCTGTAATGACCTGTTTTGGTTTTAAATGCCACTTTTGAACACAGGAAATCTTCTCGCTGTGTTGTCATTATGACTCCAGCAGCCTCTACTCCATGCGGGTATCAGCAGCAGCAGACATAAAGGGGGATGTTGACACAGACTTTTGACAGAGTTCATGGTATGTTGATAGTTTGATAGGGGCAGATTACCTGTGCTAAAAAACTGTCACTCCAAAGGAACAATATGTACCACCATAATTAAATGCAATTTAGTCTTTTCCTTGTCAGTTTATTCCCTCAGAGAGCGGACTACTTCTGAGTTCAGAGGTGAGACGGTGTAAGCCCTCGGCCACCCAAGGTTTGGCAAGTTGCCATCTTTTTTTAAATGTCTTTAAAAACTCACCAAATCTATATAATCTTGTTTGTTTCACACAAACACACCACCAGGTTGAGTTACATTGTCATTTTTAGCATTCAAACATCCATTTGTTGTCAGTTTGCTCTGTGTTTGGGATTTAAGATTCAGCATTTTATGTGTTAATAAGACAGAGAAGCAACCTTCTGATCTGGTCTCAGTTACATTTTCCTGCTTATTTCCCTCTTTTGAAAACCTAACTTCAGGGTTGGAAGTGATTTGATCAATTTCCAGGTCTTAAAAAGTTTGGAAAATGAAAAATAAAGTGTGTTTTCTGAAATAGAAAAGAAGTATTTCCAGAAATAGTTCTAAAAAGTAGGGTATAGAAATTGAGACTGTGTAGGAACCCTATAACCTGTATAATAATCCAACCATTAAGTTCCATTAGAGGGCAGGGCTGATGCTTGGAGCTAATAATTAACATCCACTCGACAGAGTTTATTACTACTCTGGGGTATATTATCAAGTCTTAACTTAAAATATTGTCTTTCCATGTAAAGACTAACCAGAGATAGCTTTGATCACTGAGTTTCACTGACTAAAGAAACACTAACAGGAAGTCAGCGCTTCATATCTCCAAACACAAAGTCACCTTTTCAGTGACTTGTTGTCAATCGGCATTCAACTGATTTTAATCAAACTGTCGATTTTTGACACTTTCAGAGCAGACAGTGTCACAGTTAATAGTGTTAACTTCCTCAGGCGCAGAGGGTCACTCAAAAACACCACAACAGAGCTCTGAAGATGGTGTAAACTTATATATAAAAACAGAAACAGCCCCTGATCTCTTATCTTGAATAGAGTCACTGTTTCAAAGGTGCTAAGACTTGTTTTCTTGTTTGTTCCTTAGAGGGACAAACGTTCTCTCAAGTTTTAATCAGACACCAACTTAAGACTGTCACAAGTTTATGCTTGTGTTTGCCTCAAAGCAGATGTTTTTCTTATGATTTATTAAAGCAAATGATGCAGAACAGCTCGATGAGAAGTTGAAGAAACCATATTTTTCCTCTGATTAAACACAGATATAAATAACCACTTAAATTTGCTCAACTAACAGGTCTTCAGTAGCTCTTCTGTTAACTTTTACTTTGAGTAGTTTTAATTAATCTGTTTTTTCACTCCTTAATATTTTCTTTAAAATATAGTTCTCGGCATAAATGAGTACACCCCTTTAGAGTTGTCAGAAAACCTTTAGTTTGCTTTCAAAATCAACATTTTCTATGTCAGACTAGACAACAAAATACTTCCCTAAATGTCGGCCATTGATTGCAAACAAGAATTTTTTTTTAGTTGCATATAAAAAGTGTTTTTTTCAACTTAATACCTGGATGCAAAAATGAGTACACCCCAATCAAAGTTCTGGGAGCAAAGCTAAATTTTAGTTACCATATCAACCTTTATTTTCATTTTATGGTAAATAAAACTTTGAATATTGTACTTTTGCTCATCTAGATATTAAGTAATACATTCCTTTAATAGGGGTGTACTGACTTATACTGGGCACTGTATGTTATACTTTGCTTTATTTTCATAGTTACTAAGTAAAAAAGTTGACTCTACTCCTTCTTCCTCTGATTACAAGTACTGGTTTCCAGTTTTTGCCCCGACTCCTCTTTACATTTCCTCCCCTCTTCCTTGTTAGACCAAACAAACTTAATCTTGCAGACAGAGGTCAGCTGGATCATCACTGACCCCCGGCAACGACAGAGAGCTACAGGATAAAGTTGTCAAGCTCTTGTCAAGACATTTATACATCTTAACATAAGCAGCTGGAACCACTACAAGGACCAGGGTCTGCTGGTGCACAAATGACCAGAGTTCATATCTATCAACATCTGAGGTTACGTCCACAAAATGCCCATCTTTATGTTAAACCCTGGATCTGTTGGAAGGACACTTGCACAAACCTCCTGCTCCTTTTAACGCTAAGCCTCTGTTAGCAGACATTGAGGGTCTCTGTCAACTGATCACATAGCCCGAGTGAAAAACTAGTCTGGACAAGAAAGTGAGGTCTGAGTTACTGTGTAACCACAGAGCAGGGAAGAAAAAGGAGGTCTAAACTGGTTTGAACAATAGATGACACCATGTAGAGCAAGGACAATGCATGCAGGAGTTTGAGGTTGTGGATAAAATCAAACTGGAGGAAGGAAATAGGTTCAAGACTTTGCGTGATGCAATCCCTCTTAATTGACATTGTCCCCTTTTTTATGGAAAACACATTCATCTGATTAGTTTGCAATTACGTTTGATTATAAGCTTGCTGTGGTAAAATGTGGCTGGATTATATCTGATCATTTAAATTGAGCAAAAAAGGATTATCATTATTGACTATAAATGAGGTCAAATCACAGTCAAAACTTTTCCTTTTCAATGTAAATAGTTTGCGTTTCTAAAACCAGATCTGTAGTCGTCCTATTATCATGTTGAAACAAAGCAACCGAGTCAAGAGGAACAAATTGCCCCCCTCTCTTTAAAACCTCTGAAAGCATCAGTATTGTAGGCTGAAAGGAGAGGCTGCTGTAATTCTAAGGTAAAAGTCAGCAGGAGAGATCGCTTTTCAGAGTCTGTGACAAAAGGAGAAGGAGGGGGAAGGAGGAGTCAGGAGGGGAAATATCGCCAAGGCAGCCAATACGGAGCACACCTCCTCCTGCTAGCCCCCCTTTCCTCTTTTGAATGGGGCACTCCTCCTCACTTTTCCTCTCTGCCTGGTGGAGTGTGTGTGGAGTCAGGGCTGGAAGGAGTGTGTGTGAGGGGGGCTGCATGGACATGTCATAGTTCACACTGGGAGCCTGATCAAGCTGGTGGACGTGGTTAAAACTTAACATCATGCCCAAGATGAGGACCCACTTTGGAGTTTTGTTTTTGTTGGCCTTTTTGCCAGTCCAGTTGGATGCTTGGTTCTGGTCCTGGACTGGTACTACAACTCTGGCCCCTACAGTGGAACCTGAGGGGTCTGGCAGTCCAGCAGGTAGTGGAGAACCACCATCAGAGAATATTGCAAGGGGTGGACCGGAGATCATTGACGAGGGGCATGAAGTTGCAAAGGTTGTGCAGGCTTGGGATGGGACCACAGAGGCTCCTCAACTGACCCCTCTGAGACCTGCAGTACACCCAGACAATAAACCTGCTCCAGAAAGAGGAACCACAAGGATTTCATCTCCAAACCGTGGATCTGGTAATGGCAAATCTCTTAAGGGTATGGGTTCTGGAGGAACTGATCATTTAATTTTCACAGAAAGTGTATTGGGACTTGGATCCGGGCTTGGGCCTGGTTCTGAATCGAGGTCTCAGTCTGGATTTCCAACAGGAGCTGACTCTAGCTTGGGATCTGGCTTTGAGGCACAGGGGTTTGTAGAGGAACACCAAAGAGGAATGGTTATTCCAACCGATTTTAGAGGGTTAGAAAGTGAAGCCGTCACGGTGTCAGAACCAAATGATCTTAAATTAGAGGGTCAGAACAGAGAGGGGATAGATGGTCCTGAATCTGAGCAAAATCTTACTGAGTCTTTGGAAAATCCCAATAAAAGTGAAAGAAATCCAGAACCTGTTGACCTTAGTTTGTACTCAAGTGGAAAGTCTACCTCAGAGGGTCCACTTACCCCAAATTTTAGCAACAGTTCTGGAGAAACTGTCCAGGTTACTGAGGAAAACCAACGAATTAAAGCCTCTGATGAAACAGTAGCTGACCAGGAGGCTCTACCCACCAAAGTATTCCAGAGAACTAGCCAGACAACTTCAACAACGCTGTCTCCATCTAAAACCCAACCAGTTATCAAAAGTCCAACCTCTACCTTAGAGTCCATAGCTGCAATATTTACAACGAGCCAGAATGTGGCTACCAACCCGACTGGTCACAGCTCTCAAACATCATTAGGTGACCAAGAACCTAGCCTAGCAACTTCCATTGGCCCGACAGCTGAAAGCCACCCAGAAGCAGCTAAATCAGCACTTCTCATAGAAAGTCCACAGTGCTTGTTGTTAGATTCTGCTCTTCCTTTCTGCTCCTCCATGACAGGAGGAAGAGTTTCTGTTCCTAATCATCTAAACCAGAGTAGTATAGAGGAAATTAAGGTTCTCCTTGATACATGGGCATGGTTGTTAAAGTCACAGTGCCACCATAGTCTGGAGTGGTTTTTCTGCCTTCTCTTGGTACCAAAGTGCAATTCTCCAGCCCAACGACCGGCTTTGCCTTGCCGAAGTTTCTGCGAAGTCTTGCGCGACAGTTGCTGGGCACTCCTGGATGATGGTCGCCTCCCTGTGGAGTGCCACACTCTGCCTGACGTGGAGGATGAAGGGTATCAGTGCTTGTCAGTTAGTAACCAGAAAGGTAATCACTGGTTCAACACAAATAAAACATTTGGGATTCATGTTGAACCAGTTTTTAGTATCTCTACTCCCCAGTTTGTCTGGTGTGTCGTCCCACTACCAAAACACCCAATCTCCCACCAAAAAAACCCACCCTCTGCCCTGTCAGCCCAACAAGTTCCCCGGGTGTCGGTTCCCACGCACAGGAAAATCTTTCATAATTTAAAATAAGCATGCTTAAAGATTTAAAGGACGCTCTAACAAGCATGGTTCCAGCACTCCTTCAGATGTTGCATGTGTTTCCCCCTGTCCTTTGGTTAACATTTGACTCACTATTTGAAGGTCATTATAACACAGAGAGAGACACACACAGAGACACACAGACTAGTCAGTTTATGGTTCACTGCCAAACCAACTGATGTGAATTTCCTCTCAAGGTAATCCATTCCAAGGGTAATATTTTGCTAACATGTGGTTTTCTACATTTTATATACACTGTCCCCCGGTGAAATCGCCGCGGTGACAGACATATAATCCATTATGTTCAAAGCTTTCCGGTAAACTTCAAGCATGACAAGCCTCCAAAAAAGATGAATTCAAAGTATGTTTTCCAGTTTAAAAGCCAGAAAACACAACAGAGATGTTTTTGTAGTTTAATTTTGAAGGATTACTTAGATGCTTATTTACAGCTGGAATATCTATGTTCTTGTAAATTCATTGCTGAGTTTGATTTACTCTATTAGCTCTTGTAAATCTTATGGATGTATATTTCATAAACAACATTGTGCATGAAATACTGTGAATAATTTGGCACGCAGCGTAGCATGTCTTCTCTGACAGTGAGTGGCTTGCAGGCAGCTTGATGTGCATTGGCCGTCCAGGAATGAGCAGACAGATCAGGTTGTCATGCATGGGGAAGCATTCATGTTTACGTCAGCGGTTTTAAGTAAGACATCAGATTGTAACAGTAACAAGGAAACGTTCTTGACAGCTGGGAATTTATCAAATGTATGATAGAAATTTGAAGATGGGAAGCGAAGAGTTAGTGCTGTGATTCATGTGAGCACCTTTTACTGCGCTCTGCTCTCTTTGTTCATATCAGTGGTTGTTTGACATCCTGTCTTTTTACAGTGCCGCTATCATTTTGACGCCCCGCTTCAGTGACAGACATGAGTGGACATGATGTCTACAGTCGCAAGACTAAGTCCAGCATCAGGGCTGGAAGAACTTTGCATTTATTTCATCTGTTTCAAGTTTTGTGCAGGACAGTATTGTTTTTTTGTGTGTTTGGGTGGAAGTTAGTTTTCTCCTCTTTTATCCGGACATGTCCTCTTTTTTTGGGGCTGTCTGGGTTTGTCCAGAGAAGTTTATAAAATCCTTTGATTGTCCGCGGTTTTGTACGCAAGTATCGAGTTTGTGTTATGTGGACACTCGATCCCACCGAAAAATTATATAAATTAACTTCGTGTGACTTTGTGACTCCATATGGTCACCCTAGTTTTCTCCATAACCTACCACTTAAACTTGTGGTTAAGTATCTGACTTGACTACTCCAACTGGTGTCCTCAAGACCAAATGAGTCAAAAATATAGATTGGAATTATTATATTTTTATCAGGACTTTTATCATTATCGCCAGAATGGCAAATCTTATCATGATGAATTTTTTAGCCCATATTGCCCATCCCTGCTTCAGACCTGGGTGATAAGAAATAAGAGATAAAAAGGTATAAAGACTCGTGAAAAGCTCCATATTTATGCACAGAAAGCTTTAAAAAGTTCTAAATACATGTGGTGTCTCCTTGACTTATCAGTCCTGACATTACAAATGGACCTGAGGGGAAATCAAAGGTATGATATTACTGGCATTTTCCCCCAGAGCTTTTATGGGTTCTCATGAGGCTGGTTCACAGATCATCACACAGATGTGTGTGATGGGTTATCCACTGTTAGTCAAGCCTCCAGGTATCACTTCACTGCTATCAGTCACACTAAATCATTCTGAGATTGACGGCTGAGACCATCTGGGTTTAACCACCCAAAGAAAGTGACTTAAAAAATGAACCGATGGATGTTACCTGTTGAAGAGATGGTTGAGATTGAATCCTGAGGTTTGGTGTAACCAGATAGAGATACTACTTTTCTCTGGGAGGTCCTTTTGCCCTAAAATCTAGAAGATTACTGTTCAGCTTCTCAATCAATGACACATTTCCTGAAAGCATTAAAACCTCACATGGTTTCTCTTAACAGACGGTCTCATACGTCGATCTTAAAGTCTGTTCTGGTGAATTCTTATGGTGGCAAACAAGTTGGCAGGCTTCTACACATAACAAGCGAAGGATAATGAATCTTAAACCTCTGTTAATGTTTGCCTTTCGGCTTCATGCCCCAGTTCATTAGCTGAGTTTTGTAGATTTTATCTTTTGGGATCAGAGCGGCTCTCACTTTTCAGCGTATGGGAAGTTGTATGTTTTCCATATAGTCTGCAGCTGTGTTTGTTTGATGTGGAGGAGGAGGAGGGCACTCATACACCGCTTTTGTTTTGGGCTTTAATGCCATCCCACTCCCACATCATTTAACTATAACCTGTCATGCAGGAATGTCTCCTGATATACTCGTCTTGGGATGAAATTTAATTTAAAAGCCACGGGCATGGAGCGAAAAAACCCACTGTGGAGCAGTTTTTACACTGAAATGCAGGAGATTTCTGTGGGAAGATTGCAGAGATTTCAGCGTATGCATGAAAGCTTTGCGAGAAATCTGTCAGATTTGATCCTTTTACAACAAGGAGGGGGCTTCCCTGGTAGTGAGACAGGATTGTTAGCCCACAATAGCCCCTTTAATGATGTTTTTCCATGGTTACCAGACTCCTGCTGGAAAGATGAGCAGTCATTCATATCAGGGTGCAGAGGTCAGCTGCAATTTATTTTGCTTGGCTCTTGAAGGTCATAGTATATCTTGTATATTACCTCTGTAGCACTGGAGGTTATTTATTTGTAATTAAAGTGAATCCAGTCCCCAGACTCCTCTGCGGTGGTCTGAGAGCATGAAAGGATGTTATCGTTTCAACCTAAACAACAGTCCTTTGGTGGTATCAGGCTGTAGTCTGTGTATATTTAGTCTGTGTTTTGTGGCTTGAACACCCTTTTGGTGGTCTAACACTGATTTGTACCAACACGGTTCTGTCGAGCGGAGATCGGTGTTGTGTGTCATGAGAGGAAAGCCCAAAGCTGCTTCCAGTTCTTGAGCGGGCCGCTTGCCAGGGAATCATTCTGAGTTGGCTCCCAGGAGGGTTCCAATTATGGGCACAGTGTAGTCCAGAGTCTTGGCTGCCAGGAACTTGATTGCCCCCCCTTGGTTTGTGATGAGCTAGTACAAAACAAGAACTGATGAGACAGTTTGCAGGGATCATAACCCAGATTTTAACTCTTATTTAACAGTTTCTGAGCGAGAGCATTTTGGAATAAACTTCAACACGTGTTATGAGGCTGGTAGTGGTTTGTTTACACACAGCATGTCGTCTTAAAACTTTGTTTCTTACAGGTAGAAGAACTTAAACCATATCATGTTACTCCTTCTCCAAAGAATAAAGGGCACAGCTTGCGGTAGGCCCGTCTTCCTCTGTGTGGTTTTGGGAATTACAGTCTTCAGTGTGAGCCAACATGAAGTCTCCTTCCTGGCCTAGGATGTGGTTTTTGGTTTGATATCTTTTTCCGAACATTCTGCATCAACGGGTTAAAGATACTCCGATATTTGCCCAGAGGCTGACTCGATATTGTTGCCAAAACAAAGGAAAATTAATGCAAAATATCCTGTGTTCATTTTATCTTCTAGTTGAGGGAAACAGCAGGTATCACACCTGAGCAAAGGACTCAATTTTGGTCGTAAAACAATGAGAGAATTCTTAAGGTCCTTGAAAACCAAGAGGGACGCAAATATACAAAATTACAAAATTATCAAGCACGATGCGATTTTGCAACTTTCCAGGGGGAAAAAAAGACGCGTCCCGGATGGAAGCGAGAAGACTGACCCAACAGCAGACTGACTGTTTTTCAGTTCTGATTAGACTCTAGTGTTGAGATGTCTGTCCGTCATGATAGCATGTACTGAGTCGGGGTCAGTACCAGATAAGCACAATAAACTATAATCCATAAACGTAAGATAACAACCGAGACCTAATGGTGCTGTGACAGCAAAGCGATTAAGTTTGAGACAGTGAAAATATATATGGTATGTTGTATCTGAACAGGTTAGCTTATGAGCTAGAGTTACTTAGCACAGATAAAAGTTAAAACAAAGACGTTTAGCAAACTGTTAAAGCACACAAACCATCGTCAAATGAGAAATCTGACGCTATAGTTGTCCTTCAGGTCGTTATCTTTGTAATATTTGTGTTTTTTATCAAAAAGTACTCTGTTCTTCGACACGTAAACCATCAGCCGTGTTGGATATACCGGTAAATCTGATGTCACAACAACACGAAATCTGATTGGTCAGAAGTGGACACACAGTATGCAAAACTTAAGAATATTCCACCGTGAAACGAAAAAATAAATGCCGCAATATCGCAGGACGGGAAAACGTCGCTAATGTGACCGCTTGTATTGATCAGTTCACCTCGATAACGATAAATGGACGATAACTACTCCACAAGCTGCTCACCCCCTCACACATTAACTTCGTCTACTTCAACCGTCCTCCATCTCCTCTCCTGTCTTTCCCTCTTTGTTACGGACTGGATGGGGTGCAGTCATGTCTCTGATGTAGGACAGCGTCTTAGAGACCATAGCCAACCTACACACATCCAAAACCAACTTTTATTTATCTATTTTTTGACACTGAATATATAGACATGGGCAGAATGACGTCGATTATTGTTGTAAATTTCAGTATCGGTAAATTTTTGGTTTATCGCCCAGCCCTATTATGTTATATCATTATTGGTCTAAACCGCCCAACTATTAATGCTCCCTCCATCAAGATTGACAGCTACTTCTTCAGTAGGCGGTCTGCTGCAGAATAGAGTGACAAGGTCCGTGATATCTATCCAATAACTTCAGTAATGTTGACTCAGTGATGTGCATAACAAAAATGATGACTTCTGAATCTCTGGTTGCATTAGATACATTTTAAAAGTGCTGCTGTGTGAAAACTCTTGTCTGAGTCTTCAAAGCTGCAACTCATGAAAACACGTCTGACATGGCGTCTAAATTTACCAGACAGATTTGGTTCCTTAGAGTACTTCGCAATCAATCATGATTCAATTTTCTTGTCTCTGGAGGGTGAACTCTGACCCTCCAACACAAACCACTGACATTTTTTTTTTTTGCAAAGTGAGAAGAGAGATTATTAGCCTTGTCAGCAGGCCTCCAGGGATGTTTGAAATGGTGATGGAGCGCAGAGAGAGGAACCACAGAGTTTCTAGGACTGACCAGATGGTCAAATGTTTTCCCGTGGATAAAACAGAATCCTGTACACCCCAGAGTTGTATGTATAGCCTCTCTCTGTTTATACATTCTCTTACTGTATATACAGCTTTATCAACAGGGCATCACAAACTGTAGCACCCCATCTTGGGATCTTGGTATTGTTGGAAAAAAAAGGCTCATTCCTGGTTAGTGAGCCGCCTCCTCGACAAGACAAACTAGCACCATAAACCCAGCCGCCCCTCCATTCATCAACAGTCCTTTTCTAAGCTAGATTGGCCTTGAAGCCGTCATCGGTCAACAAAAGCTATTTGGAAAAGCTGAATTGAGATAGCACTTAAAATGCTAATGGTGAGCCTTTTGCATACCTCGCAATTTTTGATCTTTGAGCAGGAGTGACTGGCCGGGTCTTTGGTGACAAAGCAGGCGCACTGAACGGGCTTTAGTGTAGGAATTCCTTTGCAAGTCGAACACAGGTCAAACCTTTTAGATCTGGTCATGAAGGCGTCTTCATTTGCAGTCACATGGATACATTTTTTTTTTTGGATGAATCGAGTTTTTAGTAGGGTGACCATACGTCCTCTTTTACCCGGACATGTCCTCATTTTTGGGAGCTGTGCAGCTTGTCCAGGGGAGTTTATAAAATCCCTCAAATGTCCGGAAGTTTTGAGTTTGTGTCATGTAAAAAACACTCGACCTGACCTGAAAAACTCTCAAAATCAACTATGTGCAACTCTGTGACACCGCCCCAGCGTAGTCATGTCCTCTTTTTGGGGATTCAGAATATGGTCACCTTAGTTTTTAGTGAATTTAAAACATCATTTGTTTGATTATCTTCTAGTTTACACATAGTGGGCTTCCCCTGCGTCATTTCTGTTCCTAGGCCTTAAAACCGCACATCTGTTTGGTACGAATGATGAGTAATAGGTGAGTTTTTTTCTCTAATTAGGGGTTTGAGGAGCACGGAACATGAGTGCACGTGTAAAGATGTCTGCTGTTCATTTGGCAAACGCAGAAGATCAGCTGTTCGAATTACAGGAGAAAGAGCTGGTAAGGCCTGCTGCATGCTGGGAGACAACCAGACTTTGTCCTGGAGATGCGCCTCACATTCCAGCTTATTAGAGGCTTTGAAGTTTGATTTGCATGCAAATCAGATTTTATTTACGACCTGTTGATTTACACAGAAGAAGATGCATTTTGTGATAATTATCAAAGGAAGCAGACATTTCTCATCGCACAAGTTTCAAATCCAAAGCAGAGTCATTGCAGAAATAGTGGGAGTAAGTGTTGTGGAGTCATCTCTCAGCCACCATAAAAGGAGGACTACAAATTAAGATAACATGCTTTCCCACATGATGGATTTCACTAGTGAATTACAACAAAGTTTTGCCTTTTTCAACCCTGCTCTGGCAGAGATTGTGCACATGCGAGGGAGCCAGGTTCAGACATGTGAGCACAGGCCCGCTGAAGAGACCCTTGAGGTTTCTCATTCTGACTTTATCAGAGTAAACATCTGGTTGGCCTGGTGCAAATGACACTTTGTTGTTTACTGCCATCCATGCAGCTGTCCAAGACCATCAGTCCATCTAAGGTCATCTCACAGTAGGATATGTCTTTTTTTTTAACCAGGTCTTTGCATTTCCAGATTTTACATTAGAAGAAGGTTTTTAAACCGAAAACTCTTGTAGTGTCTGCAACATTTAGACAAACAGATAGGCAACAGTAGGGCTGGGCGATACAACGAAAATTTACAGATACCGAAGTTTTGTACATGTCAATATATTCGGTGTCAAATAAATAAATAAATTTAAAAAAAAAAGTTAGTCTTGGATTAGTGTCATGGCTATTTCTTATAAGTTTGCAGATAATTTTTACCTTGAAGTGTCTTGAAATGTAAAGTTTATTCACACAAAAAGCCAATTAAAAAATGCATTTAAACTGTGCAACTCTGGCTCCACATCCAGGTTCTCTCCCTGTCTGGATCTGCGTTTTTTTGCATCACTTTGTCACACCTAATGTCCCGCCCACAATGCAAACTGATTGGCTAAGTGAAACTAATCAACTCCTAATGATGTTGAAGATTTCGGCAGGGCTGGGCGACAAACCGAAAATTTACCAATACCGAAATTTACGAGAATAACCAACATCATTTTGCCCATATTGGTAAAAAATGAATAAATAAAGTTGGTATCTTTTGAAGACGCTGCCCTATCATTCTTTTATCGTTATCGAGGTGAACTGCTCAATATATCTTGATATTGATTTGAGGTCATATCGCCCAGCCCTAGGCAACAGTCTGGCATCCTTGTCCATGTTTGTGGTGTTGAACTACCAGGTCAAAGGATAGTGATGAGCATACACAGAATGCAAAAACTAGTTGAAGCACAGTTAAGATGCATAAATGTTGTATTAGGTTTGTTTGTTTGACTTCAATTGGACTAACACGTTAACATTTAAAGATCAGTCAGCAGTTTTTTAACACCCTGTGGTGGTTTTATTGATTTTTGTTGCCAAATACATAACCCGAGCTTCTTAAATAAGTTCTTAAAAATGAAACATCTCTTTTTCTTTTCTTTAACCTCTTATTTAAAAGTGCTTTTCCAGATTCAAGGGGATTTTAGTGCATGTAAGAAAGATCACATGGATGTTACATATTAAGAACGTTCAGAGCGTTCAGTGTTAAACTCTCTTCGTGCACAAGACTTGTAGTTAAAGAGGGAATCTGCATCCGTAACACTGGAAAGTATTTTTATTGCTGTCCTGTTACAGCTTGACTGAGTTCTCTGTGAGCTCCGATTCAGAATGAAAGCATCTTCAGTTCTCAGACGGCGTGCAGCAACATTCAGACTGGTGTTTGTGGTCGTACAGCAGAAAGCAGGACCTCAGGGTTCAGCTAAACACCTCGTGTGTTTAAGCTCCACACAAAGCCAAGTGTCGACCCCACTGAGCTCCAGCACTCGAGGCGGTGGGGAGGCTTTGAACCGAGCAATAGAGCTCGCACATTAACCACCAGGTGGTAAAGCAAAGCATTTCTTCAAAGCAGCAGACGCTACGTCAAGCGTTATCCCAAAACAGTGATTTTTCTTTTCAGCCCAGGGAAACATTACTTTTTGATCAGACAGTTTTGACTCCTAATGAATAGACGTCTCCATGCTGTATTTTGACAGAATACACATCGCCCTTTGTGCTCTCTGTATTTCCTACAAGCCTCAAATTATTATGCAGTGACCTCGCCAGAGTCACCCAGGGTGATGGAGGAGCGAGTGGAGATATGCAGGAGGCCCAGCTGTTGGTCCCTGCATGCCCTCCAGCAGTGACATTTAGCAGCTGTCACTAAATTCTGTGGAGGCTTTTGCATTTTTTTTCAGTGTCTTCAGGAATAACTCCCAAGAAAAAACAGAAGTTTTGTAGATCCAGATCATTCAGTCTTGTCATCTATTAGCTGTAGCTCTGTGTGGGTTTTCCACATAAATAGTTAAATTTTAAGAGCTCAGACAACTTCAGGGTCACATCTTTATTTCAGATATGAAGTTTTGCGTGGGCTGTGTGCGCCTTTAGTTTACAGATCTTGTCGGCTGCAGTGATCCGCTTTTGTCCTTTTCCTTTTTTGGTGACGTCAATTCCTCATTTCAGTCGAGACGTTATAAAACAGTTTGTTTGTGGACTCCTGAACGGAGTGCTGCAGCAGAGATGCTCCAAACAGCTGAGATCAGGATAGTTCTGGTAACCTAGTATTAATACTGAAGGTATCTTAAAGGGATATTCCAGCGTAAAATCAATTTAGGGTAACGACTGCAAGATAGCAATACACAGCGGTCTGAGGAGCCATAAACTGACCGCAACCAAAACACCACTCTATAGCCACAAATAATGCTCAGAACAGCACCTAACTTCATCAACAGTACATACAAGGTCCCAGCCATAGTACTAGCCACCAAACATCTTTTTAACTTTGACTAATTTCTTTAGCAAAGATACGAAAATCAACTCACCTACTCTCTTCCAGCAGCCACTTGTTTATAGTGAGTCCTTTACGGACTACAGCGGGGTGCCGCAGCTCAAGAAAGAACATTTATGATCATTTCTTTATGGAAATACAATCAGACTGAGACACTAAGGCAGAAGAACTACCGCGTCTGCAGTGCGAAATGATTAATATGGTGATTATTACTTCAAGGAAATGATAAAGAAATGATCATAAATGTTCTTCCTTGAGCTGTGTAACCCCACAGCAGTCTGTAATGGACTGGCCTGAGGTCTCGCTACAAACAAGCAGCTGCTAGAAGAGAGTAGGTGAGTTGTGTTTAGTCTCTTTGCTAAAGAAATCAGTCAACGTTAAAAAGATGTTTGGTGTCTAGTACTATGGCAGGGACCCTATATGTTCTGTTGATGAAGTTAGGTGCTGTTCTGAGCATTATTTGTGGCTATAGAGAAGGGGTGTCTAACTCGATGTTACAGTGTGTTTGACCATAACCTAATTTTACGCCGGAATATCCCTTTAAGATCCGAAGATCATCAACTCATTTCTGCTTGTCCAAGAAAGACACAAATACTATCATATCGTTTGTTCCTGCATCATTCAGGCACACTCACTCTAAGTCGTCTGCCTGCAGCCTCAGATCCTGGTCTAACCTGATACCCTGTCATGCAGCCTTCCCTTCTAACCTTCACTTGTTTCCTACAAACTTTGGACTCACATCCTTTTTCTCCCCCTTCAGAGGAGAGTGGCGTCTCCCTGCTGCAGCTGATCGGGGATCCCCCTCCAAGAGAGATCACGCAGGAGGTCTACGGTCCAGATAACAGCCCTGGATACGTCTTCGGTCCTGATGCGAACACAGGCCAGCTGGCTCGGGCCCACCTGCCGAGTCCCTTCTACCGGGACTTCGCCCTCATCTTCAACCTGAAACCGACTTCTGACAAGGCCGGCGTCATCTTCTCCGTCACTGATCCCTCGCAGCAGATCATGTATGTGGGAGTGAAACTGTCCGCCGTTCAGGGCGGATACCAAAACATCATCCTGTACTACACAGAGCCCGACTCGCAGCAGTCCTACGAGGCGGCCAGTTTCCGCGTCCCCTCCATGAAGAACACCTGGACTCGTTTTGCCATCGCTGTGAGAGACGAAAAGGTGATGTTCTACCTCAACTGCGACACAGACCCTCAGGTGACGCGCCTCGAGAGATCGCCTGATGAGATGGAGCTGGAGGCCGGAGCTGGAGTCTTTGTTGGGCAAGCTGGAGGAGCAGATGGCGCCAAGTTTCTGGTGAGTACACAGGCTTCGGACTCATATACAGGTCCATAAAATCAGGGTATGAAATCAATGAAGAACCACACGACGTAACAATAATGAAGCTGTACTTTATTTACTTTATTTCAGTGGGAATAAAGAGAGCTCAGTGTTGCTTCCAGAGGCCTCCTGCTGTGTGTGGAGTCTCTCGTTCTCATTTTCTGTTTCTAGTCATGTGTAACATCTTGGCTGAATAACCCTCCCATGATTTAATTGCTCAAATTGGCTTACCCTAAACCACAACATAAATGTCTACAACAGCTCTCCATCCTCCTGAGAGCGCTCTGCAAATAATTGGAAGACCTCACAGTTGGGATTTTATTAACTTCAGTCATTTGACTGTCATAAATCTCAGCAGTTGACCGCAACAACTGTTGACCCGAGCCGTTCAGGGGCCAAAGCAGTTCACCCAGGGCTACCTGCATGAGACAACAAGTAACTGCTGGTCTAGGAATGGATGTGGGAAAGTACTTAATGCAACGCTCGAACAGTTTAAGTGCATAAATTTGACATTTTACCATATCTAAAAGACTTTTAATCTAAAAATGATGCTTTTGTGTAGTTTTTGCTACACTCTAAAAAGTGCTGGGTTATTTTTTCTACCCAGATGCTGAGTTGAGCCTAGAGGGTCATTTTTCTGGGTTATTTTCAGGGACTTTGGTAGTTTTTGTGCAACCCAGCTGTTGGGTAGAGCGAGTCACAGTCGCAATCTCCTGCGTCAAGCCAGCTTCTATGTCAGACATGACCCTATATAAAAAAAACAACCCGGCTGCTAGGTTAGCTGGTTGTGACCGTTAAGGACAAGTGAAGCCGGCAGTTATCTTCTATAGACTCCTACTTCTGTGGGTGACAAATTGACACCCTTGTTGAATTTTGCTAGGTTGGTAGGGCAGTAATTGTACACACTCCTCTTGAGGTATTTTCAGAAAATAAAATTTGCCCAAATGTTTTTATTTATTTATTTATTTTTTATTACCAAATCTTCCATTTTTATAGTTGATGTGTTTCAAAAAAGTTCATATTGGCTTTATCTTCATTAAGAAATAAACTACACCTTGATCTTCTTTTTAAGAGGAAGACTAGTACTTCTTCACATGGGCTTAACTTTTAGATATGTTGACTTTTTAGGTATGGAAAAGGAAAAGTAAGTTACCTTTTATATTGTAATCTTTATATCCACTAGACTCCACTGACATTTAACCTTGAAACTGCCGATATTGACTTTTATTTTTACTATCCTGTTTTCTGCTTTCAAGCCCCCTTTAATTTGGTTTTCTTTTTCTTAACTATTTTATGTTTTTATTTTCATCCTCATGGTCTCATTTTATGTTGCATGGTTCTTGTATTGTCTGGGTTCCTTATGAAAATGGCCTTTAATTCTGTTTCAACTGAGCTTTTTGTTTTTATCTCTTTTTCCATATGCTCTATGACTACATGTCAAAGCACTTTGTAAACTTCTGTTTTAAAAGTGATATAAAAATAAAGTTATTATTATAAATGACTTAGAATAGGGGTGGCACAGTGGTGTAATGGTTAGCACTGTTGCCTCACAGCAAGAAGGTCCTGGGTTCGAATCCGGGTCAAGGTATTTCTATGTGTAGTTTGTATGTTCTCCCTGTGTCTGTGTGGTTGATTTAACCAAGTAAATGAGTTGAAGAATTAACCCAGCGTTGGTTTGGTCCAATAGTTACCCAGCAGCATATTTTAGTGTTTAATGAACTTAATGAACCTCCACTTTTTGTCATTTTTGCCTTGGATCATGTGATCTCTGGTTCATGTGTGTCTCTGTATCCAAAGCTCCAACTCTCCAGTGTGAGCTGCACTCCCAGGTTAGACGGACAAATCACAGGCTGTCCTTTTGTTCTTTGTATCAGTCATGTTGAGGTGACAGTTGAACCTTTCTTGTACAGCAGCGGAGATTTACGACAGAGATCTGAAGCGATTTGTCGGACAAAGACTTTGACATGTCTGCTGTATGTTGTACCAGCATTTAAAAGCCTTTGTAGAGTCGGGGTTTAAATGTCAAAGAGCCGTCTCTATTTATCTTCAAAGCTCTCTAAAAAAGTCCATTTGACTTTTTTTCTCAGGACATAAATGTGTCCTGAGGAGTCGACTTCAAATAACCCTGCAGCAGAGAGAGAAACCACCTCCCCATACAGAGCTAATGGCCCTTTGATAGGCTGTCAGATAGCATTCATGCTATCCGTGTGGGAAACATGTATCAGATCATATGTGTGGGACAAAGATAGCGGTACTTCACAGACTCTGGCGATGACTGCAGACATCAATAGAGTCTCTCATTATGAGGAAAGAGGGAATTCCCAAAATAATATTACTGGCAGAACGTTCGTAAGCTTCCATAAATAGATGCTGAGAAAAAGCGCTGCTCTGATATTATCGTATTAAAACTCTCTGTGTGTCCTTGTTCTGCAACAGGGGGTCATCGGAGAACTGAGGGTGGTGGGAGACCCCCGCGCTGCTGAGAGACACTGTGAGGAGGATGAAGACGACTCTGATATGGTAAGAGACACACTCTGACAACATGGATACACGCGATGCTGCGTGACAAGAGGGTAAGAAAAGATGATTACCTGTTCTGAACCATAGACGATGTAATAATGATAAATCAGAGACCCTCAAAGCGCTTTACTATGGCCTCCACGACCACCATCACACAACACTCACATTCATACACCGGTGGAGGACACACACTCGGTACGTTTACATGACACTCAAGAAAACCAAATTATTGCTCTATTCCGATTAAGACCAGACAACTAAAGTTCATGTAAACACCTTAGTCCGACCAAGAACTCTGATAAAGACACCCAGATAATGCGATTGGAATTCGATTTTCTCTACCATGTAACCAGCGTAGTCAGAGGATGATTGGACATTGCATGTGCCACGCCCCTGTAACCCCGGAACAAAAACACCAGAGAGGAGAGGAGTAGCCTGTATCTCATCTGCAGAAAAATCAGCGAACATCATGTACGACAAAAACAATGCTGTATGATGCTCCATCTTCTTGCTTAAATATGTCCAGCAGCACTTCTGACGTCTGGTGCAGACCTGCTGCTGTTGTTGACGGTTGTGTGAGGTCGGAAACAGCACTGCTGAAAAGACCCATATTGCAGCCGACCACGCTGGCTGCATGTAAACATGGACAAGAAGAGAAGTCCGATCTGGCGAAAAAGACGAATTATGAGCTTTGTCCGATTAAGCTGTGCATGTAAACACACTGACTGGGAGCAAGGTGGGTTAAGTGTCCTGCCCAAGGACACAATGGACAGACTCCAGATAGGGGGGGAATCGAACCATCACCCTTCCAGTTATTGGACGACCGCTCTATCTCCTGAGCTACTGCCACCTCATATATGACTGGATGGTAAAGACAGCTTTGAAGAATTGAAGCCAAGACATTCAGAGCTCCCTCTTCAGTGTAAATGTTCACTTTTAGTCTTCGCCGGTGATTTGATGTCAAAAAAAGGGGATCTAACAAAATGATTGACAGCTCTCTTGACGAATGAGGCTCTCGCAGCATTTTTACAGGACTTGAAGAGTAGAGGAGGAACGAAACAGAGAGTAGAATCCTGCAGGAGCGAGCTAACTGTGATGTAATGACCTATACCACAGCCAGTCTGCAGGGGGAGCTCTAAATACAGTGGCTTTATAATCTGTGAACACTTAAATGGTGTAACTTAAATGGAGCCAAGATTTTTAACGGCATATCTGTTTTGTTTTCAATATGAGTAAACTGCATCTGAGTGACCAGTTTAATCCAGTTTACTCCAGTTAAAACTCCTCCTTAAATTCCAATAATCAACAAAGTAGGTAAGGAGAGAGAATATTAACAAAACTTAAAAAACGATTTCTTTGGAAGCACAAGCAGTGAACTTTGACTGGTCTGTGGTTATTTATGCAGCATGTTACGTGGCGATAACCATTAGTACCACTGATGGTGACCACCCACACGATAGAGCAGGTGCCTCACTGCAGCCCACCAGCAGTCTTCACTGTTATTTCGTCAAACATTGCCTCTGCAGCTGTTCTGCTCTCTGAGACCACCAAAACCTGGACCTCACTGACAGAGCAGAGTCCCACATTTTAACACTTGTTGTCATCAGATCTTTAGATGTTGTTTGGATTAGATGGGGAATGAAAATGACAGGTTTCTGATTTCAGGATGCCTCTTTTATCTCAAATGACGGCCTCGCACATACGCACAGGTGCTGTGCATTTCTTTTTGAGGAAACACATTTAAGGTATTGAGTTACTTAGAAGCGTCGAGTCGAAGGGGAGCATTAATTCATCTGTTTTTGAAAGAATCTTGTCAAAAAGGTGACATAAAAACATAGAAACATATCCGTAAGAGTCTAAATACCTTTGTAGGTGAGTTAAATAGAGTGACCATATTCTGTTTCCCCAAAAAGAGGACATGACTACGCAGGGGTGGAGTCACGGAGTCAAGCGTAGTTAATTTTGAGAGTTTTTCAGATCAGATTTGAGTGTTTTTTACCCGCTTCTAACTCAGTAAGCGCATGCGACACAAACTCAAAACTTCCAAACAAAACCCTGGACATTTGAAGGATTTTAAGAGGACATGTCCGGGTAAAAGAGGATGTATGGTCACTCCACCAAAAACTTGATTTTTCCAAGTCTTTCCTAAGTTAAATCAAATCTAGAATCTCGACATTTGACATTTTAAAACAAAGACACTGATGATTTGGAATAAAAGGAAAACTGTCTCAAAGTCTGTTCCTCACAGGTTAGATGAGATCTATTGATTAACTTGCAATCGTGGCATCTGTCATTGTGTTCTGTGAGGCAGCAGCGATATGATTTACTGTATGTGAAGTTGATGTGCGGGAAGCAGGGAAAATATTTAAAGGGGACGAAACTGAGCAGCTGTGGAAAGGGACAAATAAGGATCGCTGAACGACTGACTCAGAGCATCTACAGAACAGCGGTGTGTCTCATGGGGTGGATATTACTAACTAAAATTAGTCCAAGGGGGCAAATAATCGGACATGTGTTGTGGTCATAAGAGGTCATGAGGCGGCAGTAGCTCAGGAGGTCGAGTGGTCGCCCAATAACTGGAAGGTTGGCGGTTCAAGTCCTCCTATCCCTCATCTGTCTGTTGTGTCCTTGGGCAAGACACTGAACCCACCTAGCTCCCAGTGAGTGTCCTCCACTGGTGTATGAATGTTAGTGTTGTGTGTAGCCACAAACTGGCTGCCACATCTCTGACAGTCTGTCCTGTCAGGTCAGCTGTGACTACTAAGGTAGTTCACCACCACCAGGTTGTGACTGTGTGAGTGAACGAATGTTGTATCCAATGTGAAGCGCTACAAAAATCTGATGCATTATTATTATTATTATTAGAGAGCAAAGGTGGGACTGTTCGATCCAGCAGAAGAGTTACTCAGGCTAAAACTTCTAAAAATACTTAATTCTGGTTCTGGTTGAGAAGTTACCAGAACACATAATGTAGATGTCAGTCCAATCCATTATCCCTGACAAAGAAATTTGATACATAGAAGCCCCACTTCACAACTCACACTTCCTATAAGACCTAGAGGATCAGCTGTTAATGACATCTTGATTTTATGGGGGATTTTCAGACTTAAATTTTCTCTTTCACCTTTACACAAACATCTTGGTCTGTCAGTATTATCATAAAACAAAAGAAATTCAAGTAGAGCTTTTAATTGACATTAAAATAAAGTCAAGAATTCATGTTTTATTCCCTTCAGGCTTCAGGTGAAGGAAGCGGCTCCAGAGAAACCAGACCTGCAAAACCATCTGAGGAGAAACCGAGATGGACGGTAGGAAAGAGTTCTTATCAGGAGTCCTCTTACTCTATAAATGTTTTTACATCCATGTACGATTTTTACTGCCTCTGTTCTTGAGTTACTTTCTAGAGAAATAATGTAAAACTTTATGTCAGACCCAGTTAGTCCATATCAATAAATCAATCGAGAGTTTTAAAAGTTTGAAACGCTCTGTCCCCTAAAGAAGCCTCAATCAGCTGATCCATCCTGACCAGATTATTATACCGCCTCTACAAACTGAATCATCCCTGTGTTGGATAAACCACTCGTGGCTCAAGTTTCTCTTATAAGTGAGCGAACATTCATCCCTGAAGAGATTAAAAACTGCTGAGTTGATGTCTGGAAATCGAGCCGCTTCTGTCTTATACATTTGGAAACAAAGACCTTTTACATGAAGAGTTTGCCCTTGTCGGACTCGGAAATATGCGCCCTTTCTGTGTTAAAACCAGTCAGACGGGACAGTTAATGATTAAACATTAACTATTTAATTTGAAGAACTAGGAATGAATTTGGAGCTCTGAATTTGAGTTTTAGCTCAAAGTTAAATTGATAAAACAGCAGAATCTTTATTTCACTTTTCCTTCTCACAGTCATCTCTGCATCCCCTCTCTGATGCTTCATGTCTTCCTTCTTTTCACACCCTCTTTATCTACATCCCTTTGTCTTCCTCTTTCTGCTTTCTGTCTCCCTCACACTCACACACAATCAGATTCCACAGACACCCACTCACATCCTCCCACCCTCAGAGATAGCATGCACTGCTGCTGCTGCTGTGCGTGCATGTGCGCTCCCACTCACAATTACAGCGGAGACGTAGAAAAACCAGATGTCAATTTGGACTCGATCTGATCCAAAAGAGGCCCCCCCTCTCCTCGCCACCGCCGCCGCCTCCAGGCTTTGTTATTCTGACTGGTTTCTCCATCAACAGCGTACAGGAACCGACAGAGGTGGAGAGACAGTTGGAGGAGGCGTCTCCACCCAGTCGGAAGTCTCTCCATCATTACTGCTTCCACTCTGCCTCGATACCGTCGAACCTTTACGAGGGGCTTTTCCATCTGTTCAGTAGGCATGTATTAACATCATGTAATATGCAATGTAAAACACAACAGCTGGCATCTAATTTCTACCTGCTGAAATCTTTCCATCTAATGTCTGCGCACAGAAAAAAAAGAGCCTACAGTCTGTACTATTGTCCGACCGGTGCAATTAGGGCAAGTCTGGGCAGAACAACGTCAGACGGGGCGGGATGGAGAAGTGAAACTTTCCATTTTGTCACGCAGGAATTCGCGGTGATAGATGACAGAGCTAGTCAGTCATCCTTGACAGTGACACTGCGGGAATCCGAGTGTCCTCTTCAGCAGGAAGCTCAAAGAGGAAGTGTTTCGAGGAGGCGGCTTTAGCTGGAGGTGATGCGAGTGATAGTGAAGGATAGATTCAGTCACTTTGGAGTTATATTAAATAAAGAGTGAAAGTGCAGGAATCCTCGACACGGACAAACACGTGGATGAAAGAGTAACTTTTCTGGTCAAATTCAAGTTGAGAAGTCGGTGACTCACCCCTTGATTTCAACTTGTTATAAGCTCCAAAAATAGCTTTACGAACCATTTCCTTAAAAACCAAAAATGAATGAGATGTTTTTAGATTTATGTTGGCATCATTCCAGAATTTAACTCCAATAACTGAGACACATCTCCTTTTCGTACCTTTTTTAGCTTTTTGGACAGTAAATTAGCAAACACCTCTGAGATTTAGAAATTTAAAGAATTTAGCTTTCAAGAAAACTATTTTATTTTTCTGAACCTTCATCACATTTTTGAAAACCTTGAACAAACAAGCTCTAATACAAGGTATATATATTTATATATATATATATGTATATATATATATATGTATATATATATATATATATGTATATAAGTTATAGTGAACGAAATATTACTGAGCACATCCCCTCAGCCATCATCAAGCTCACCTACAAAAACAAAGACTAAGTTCATGTATTAATATGACATATAATATTAATTTTTTTGTCTTTTTGATTAAATTAATCAAAATAAATCTGTCAATAAAAGCAAAAAGAAAGTGAACGTACAGAAACCTGACATACAGGACTTCAGGAGAGCTGCTGAAGCTGCACCAGAAAAAACTGAAACAAAAGAAAAGTTTTCTGTCCTGTTTTTTATGTTTTTGTCAGAATGTCTTTAAGTTTGCTGTAAAATGTGACCAATAGTGATTATTTGATTACTATTGGCCACATTTAAAGGCTTTCCAGATGAGGGAAAGTTTAAAAAAGTACCGAGGGATCCTCTTTCTATAAGTTTTTAGTTAACAAAAAGTTTAGAATTGACTGGCGCTGATTCATGCTTTACATTTACTGTACATTGAATTTTCTTTCCATAAATGTTTGTTCAGTAGATCTCTTTCTCAAAGCCCGGTTCTTTTTGTATTCATCCCTAGTTGAAGTCGAGAAAATGAGAGTTAAACCCAGTTTTTACAACAAGCGGATGATGTTTGATGTCTGCGAAAAAAGGCCGACCACAAGTAATCTGTTCATTATCGGAAAAGTTTACTCTGTTACTCCCTAAAGCCGGCGCTGAAACAACCTGCAGACGCGTGTTATGTTCCCCGCCGAAGGAGCTGCATACCTGCTTTTAAGATTCAGGGGGTTGTGTGGTTCAAATCCATCAACACTTATGTTCTAAAGATCAGCGCCTCCCACTCGTCAGCCGCAGCTATGATGGATAGTTTAAGGAGTGAAAACAGGGTATTCTTTATCACATTAATATATATTATCAACTCAAGACAGTCAATATTGGTCCGGCTGAATTCTTGGCATATCCAGAGCTGTGAAACCCAGCAGGGGGAAAAGTCTCCTGGTTAATTATCAACGCTGGTTCCACTCGCCCCTTCAGCTTCCCCTTCAGCTGCCCCCTCTGCTGCATTCTTCATCCCACCCCTGTCCCGAATTCCTCAGGTGACAATATGAGGTGTGTCACCGGTGAAGAATGATCCTCAGCCGCTTGGGGGGTGGTAGCATTATTCCCTCCCCACTGTCTCATTTTCACCCAAAGGCAGTTTGGAGGCTGAAGTGATCCCAGCTCCCCCCAACCATGAATTACCCCTGATGCGTCCCTCAGCGTTGCCAGTGACTATAGACTGTTTAAAGACCGGAGGCTAATATGTGTTTCCCACTTAACTGAGCACTTAAACACGTTTCTAAAACTGTAAAATGTTCAGATTTATCAAGTAACTTTGACACAAATCTTTGGTACAAAGGTCAAAGAAGAAAAAGAAAAGTGGGAATAATCTCATGAGCTGACACTTTGGGCTCCTGCAAAAGAGTCGAGTTGATTATTCAAAATCATAAAATATTCACATTTATTTTGAGCTGCTCTGTGATGAGATGTCTGATAGTGATCTACACATTAACTAGAAATGCTTAAAAAAACTGAAGCTGCCAAATAAAAAAAGGAATTTGTTCAGTCCTTGCACCTTGACTCTATTAGAAAGTTTTGAAGTAGAGCTGGGACATGTCTTGTGAGTTAAAATGAGGTTAAAGCTGCTCAAACTACAAACCTTTCAAGTATTTAAAATGTTAACAAAGTGCAGAAACATGAGTCACTTTTGGACTTGATTCAGTTTTTCATCCCAACTTTCTGGTTCTTGGATCGTTTCTAAAGCTTACACTGAAAAAGAGACGATAATTTAGTGCAGGGTTTGTGTGGTTTAGATAAAATGTTGTTTTTTTACTCTTTTTAAAAAGTGTCTGTTGTTTAATTGTTCTTTTGAAGACCACACCGCCATCTTCTCGACCTATTCAGCAGCCACCAGTGACCAGGAAAGAAGAAGAATCCCTTTCAAGAGAATCTGGTGAGTTTATCTGGACACAGATTGTGTTACTGAGTGATTACCATACAGTTTTACTGGTCTGAAGTGTTTTTACAGATGACTTTGGATCTGCCCTTCACTTTTTTGCAAATGTCATTTTGAAAAATGAGTAATTTTTATTACAGAGATGGAAAAAAAAGATGTTGTAGCTTCACATGTTGAAACGTGACTTAGCTCACCTGTTGGGTATGGAGGGTAAAACGGCGACAGTGTTGCTGAGTTCATATTCCTAGAAGAAACAGCTGTGAGGAAATGCATGTAAACCAATTTACTGTCACATGTCTCCATCTAGTGGACAAATAGGGAACTTAAGTTTAGGCCATGGACAATTTTTTTAACACACTATACTATGTCATTTATGTCATACTATACTATAACATCTTTTAACATAATATACTATGACACTTTTTAACATACTACACTATGACAAATTTTTAACACATTACACTATGACATTTATGTCATACTATACTTTATTTTTTATACTGACGTTTTTTTATCATACTATACTATGACATTTTTATAACATACTATACTATGACATTTTTAAACATACTATACTATGATATTTTTAACATACTATACTATGACATTTTGTAACATATTATACTATGACGTTTTTTAACATACTATACTATGACATTTTTTAACATACTATACTATGAAATTTTTTAACATACAACACTATGACATTTTTAAACATACTATACTATGACATTTTTTAACATACTATACTATGACATTTGTTTTAAACTATACTATGACGTTTTTTAACATATTATACTATGACGTTTTTTAACATACTATACTATGACATTTTTTAGCATACTATACTATGAAATTTTTTAACATACAATACTATGACGTTTTGTAACATACTATACTATGAAATTTTTTAACATGCTATACTATGACGTTTTTTAACATTCTATACTATGACATTTTTTAACATTCTATACTATGACGTTTTGTAACATACTATACTATGACATTTTTAAACATACTATACTATGACATTTTTAAACATACTATACTATGACATTTTTTAACATACTATACTATGACATTTGTTTCAAACTATACTATGACATTTTTTAACATACTATAATATGACGTTTTTTAACATACTACTATGACGTTTTTTAACATACTACTATGACATTTTTTAACATACTATACTATGACATTTTTTAACATACTATACTGATGTTTTTTAACATACTATACTATGATATTTTTAAACATACTATACTATGACATTTTTTAACATACTTTACTATGACATTATTTAACATACTATACTATGACGTTTTTTAACATACTATACTATGAAAATTTTTAACATACTATACTATGACGTTTTTTAACATACTATACTATGACATTTTTGAACATACTATAGTATGACATTTTTTAACGTATTATACTATGACGTTTTTTAACATACTATACTATGACATTTGTTTCATACTATACTATGACGTTTTTTAACATATTATACAATGACGTTTTTTAACATACTATACTATGATATTTTTTAGCATACTATACTGACATTTTCTAACAGACTACACTATGACGTTTTGTAACATATTATACTATGACGTTTTTTAACATACTATACTATGACGTTTTGTAACATATTATACTATGACGTTTTTTAACATACTATACTATGACGTTTTTTAACATACTGTACTATGACATTTCTTTATCATACTACTATGACATTTTTTGACACACTACACTATGACATTTATGTCATACTATACTATGACATTTGTTTCATACTATACTATGACGTTTTTTTAACATATACTATGACGTTTTTTAACATACTATACTATGACATTTTTTAGCATACTATACTATGACATTTTTTAACATACTATACTATGACGTTTTGTCACATACTATACTATGACATTTTTTAACAAACTATACTATGACGTTTTTTAACATACTGTACTATGACATTTCTTTATCATACTACTATGACATTTTTTGACACACTACACTATGACATTTATGTCATACTATACTATGACATTTGTTTCATACTATACTATGACTTTTTTAACATATTATACAGTGACGTTTTTTAACATACTATACTATGACATTTTTTAGCATACTATACTATGACGTTTTTTAACAGACTATACTATGACATTTTGTAACATATTATACTATGACGTTTTTTAACATACTATACTATGACGTTTTGTAACATATTATACTATGACTTTTTTTAACATACTATACTATGACATTTTTTAACATACTATACTATGACATTTTTTTAACATACTATACTATGACGTTTTTTAACATAATATACTATGACAAATTTAAACATACTATACTATGACATTTTTTAACATACTATACTATGACATTTTTTAACATACTATACTATGACATTTTTTAACATACTATACTATGACATTTTTTAACATACTATACTATGACGTTTTTTAACATTTTATACTATGACGTTATTTAACATACTATACTATGACATTTTTCAGCATACTATACTAGGATGTTTTTTAACATACTATACTATGACATTTTTTAACATACTATACTATGACATTTATGTCATACTATACAATGACATCTTTAAACATAATATACTATGACATTTTTTAACATACTATACTATGACATTTTTTAGCATACTATACTATGACATTTTTTAAGCTACTATACCATGACATTTTTTAACATACTATACTATGACATTTTTTAACAAACTATACTATGACGTTTTTTAACATACTATACTATGACGTTTTTTTAACATACTATACTGTGACATTTTTTAACATACTATACCATGACATTTTTTAACATACTATACTATGGCATTTTTTAACAAACTATACTTTGACATTTTTTAAGCTACTATACCATGACATTTTTTAACATACTATACTATGACGTTTTTTAACATACTATACTATGAAAATGACATTTATGTGATGCTATACTATATTTGTTTCATACTATACTATTACGTTTTTTATCATACTATACTATGACACTTTTTAAAATACTATACTATGACACAACACTATGACATTTGTCATACTACACTTTATTTTTTACATACTATACTGACATTTTTCATCATACTATACTGACATCTTTTAACATACTATACTATGACATGTCATACTATACTTTATTTTTTACATACTATACTAACATTTTATTCGTTCTTTATTATGAATTTTTTTTATAACTTAATATATCTTTTATCATACTATACCATGACATTAAAATCATACTATGCTATGACATTTTTCTATCATACTAAACTATGATATTTTTATCAATCAATGCTGTGACATATTTTTATACTAGAATATATTTTTTATAAAACTTTCTTTGACATTTTAAACACGATACAATGACATTTTATGATTTTTTCTGTACCAAAATATTGATTTTTTTTCACTCTAAAAAATGACATTGATATCATACTATACCATTACATTTTTATCATCCTATACATTTTTTTTGTACAAAAAATGAAATTGTTTTCATTTTAAGATATAAAAATTTTAACATACTATACTATGACATTTTTAGTACTAAAATATAAGTTTTATTTATACTATACTATGACATTTCTATCATACTGTACTATGACATTTTTTCACGCTAAAGTATAATTTTTTTTCTCTAAAATAGGAAATTTTTCACATACTATACTATGACATTTTTTCATGCTAAAGCATATATTTTTTCTTTAAAATAGGAAATTTTTTAACATACTGTACTATGACATTTCTTTATCATAGTATACCATGACATTTTTTTAACACACTGTACTATGACATTTATGTCATACTTAATTTTTTACATACTATACTGACTTTTTTTTTATCATACTATTCTATGACATCTTTCAACATGGCATACAATGACAATTTCTTTCTTAGACTCTACTATGACATTTTTTACATTCTTTACTATGAAATTCTTTTATAACTTAATATATCTTTTATCATACTATACCATGACATTAAAATCATACTACGCTACGACATTTTTATCATACTATACAATTCCTTTTTAATACTTAATTTTTTTCATCATCATTTATATCGTACCAAACATTTATTTATATCATACTGACATTTTTTTTACATATTGTACCATGACATTTTTTAACCAGCTATTTTATTTAGTTTTAATTATACTACACTATGTCATTGTTTATCGTACTATACAAAGACATTCTTATCTTATTATACTATGATATTTTTTAACATACTGTACTATGACATTTTTATCATACTTTACTATACTTTTCTATTTTTTATATGTTATGCCCAGCTTGTTGAAAAGCATTACAAAGAAGAGACGTCGACACTGTGACAGCTTTTAAATGAAGAATTAATTTATTAACATAATCAACAAAGAAAATACCCAATGGTCAGTCAGCAAGTCAGCAATCAGAAGTGAGGTGAGTGTGTTCAATGCAGGGGGAAGGTGTGTGCAAACAGAATCTATGCATAACAGGAAACCAAGGCTAAACTCCACACAAAAAACCACATTGGGTGCCTGGCAGACACCAGCATTCCAGGAGGAAGAGAGAGAGAGCCATCTCGAAATTCCCCCAGCTTTTAAAGGCTGAAAGCAGGTGGAGCCAATCCTTGAACGAGAGGGGAGGCGCAAGAACTCCAGGTTTATCTGAAGGAGGAAAACAATGGCAAGAACGCAGGAAACCATATTTCCTATTGTTTACCTATACAATATTTTTTAACATACTACACTATAACATTTTCAAACAAACTATACTATGACATTTTTTAACATACTATACAATGACATTTATGTCATACTAAATTATATATTTTAAAACATACTATACTATGACATTATATTAACATACTATACTAACACATTTTTTAAGACTACACTGACATTTTTTTTAACATACTATTCTATGACATTTATGTCATACTATACTACTATACTATGACATTTCTTTATCATTGTATACAAGGACATTTTTTTAACATACTACACTATGACATTTTTTTATTAACATACTATACCATGACAACTTTTTCATTCCAACAATGACATTTCTTTGACTTACTATAACATTTTTTTCATACTTCACTATGACATTTTTTTAACATACTATACTATGACATTTTTTTACATACTATACAATGAAATTTTTGTCATACTTTACAATATTTTTTAACATACTTTACTATGACATTTTGTATCATACTATACTATGAGATTTTTATAACATACTTTACTATGACATTTTTAACAAACTATACTATGATATACTGTGACAAAAAAATTTCCCCCACGGGGGATCAATAAAGGCGTATTCTATTCTATTCTATTCTATGACATTTCTTTATCATACTATACAACATTTACATTTAAGTCAAACTATACTATATTTTTTAAACATACTATACTGTAACACTTTTTTTTTTTTACATATAATACAATGACATTTTTACAATACTGTTTTTTATCATAATAAAATTTACACTTATATAGGACATTTATATCATGCTATACTATGACATTTTTGTCTTACTATACTATGACATTTTTTTTAACATACCATGCTTTGACATTTTTTAACTTACTATATTATGAGATTTTCTTCATACTACACTGACACTTTTTTATCTTACTATACTATAACATTTTTTTCATACTCAAATATAAATTTTTTCATCATACCATACTATGACATATTTTAACAAACTATACAATGACATTATTTTCATGCTAAAATAAGAATTTTTTTTTCAGCCCACTTTTAGTAATGTTTACGTAACGACTGATGTAACGCTATCCTCTGCACTGTGTTCAGCAAGTGACTCCCGGCTGTTTTCGGTTCCTGTGGAGTCCAGACCTGGACTTCCTGGGTCACCAGGTGGGTCAAGGAGACTCAAAAGAAAAAAAAAATTGCATCCAAATATCCCGTGTTTAATTCCCTTTTTAATTCTGGTCTGCTGTTCTGCCTATACCATGTGTGCTCCTCACGCTGGACCTCACATGGATTTCAAAAGCGCACTAGCTGAAGAAAGCATGGAGCTGAAAGCTTTTGAAATCTCACAGGGTGGTGGACATGTTTGTATTTAAGCCAGTGGGATAAGAATATTGGGCTGCTCTGGCTGTAATCTCTTGTAGAAACATGCACTGTGAGAGAAAAGAGGAGCACAATTGGGAGAGAGAAATTGCAAAAGGGAGAGAAAACGAGGGAAACTGAGAAAAAAGGACTGAAGAGTGTTTGGTAAATCCCATCATGATGTTCATTGCCTCAAATGACAAGAAAGAATTAGATGAGCTGGACTCGTATTGAATATTAGCTGAGGCTGCTGCTGCTGTATGTGGGATACACATTATTTGTTCCATGCTTATGCGTTTCTCTAAATCTTAAACCTTAAAAAGTGAAACACTTGAAAAAGCTGCTGAAATTGAACACCAATTTGCTGTGCATATTATCAACATGATCTGATAGGTGGGAAAAGTTTGGGGTGATTCTGTGGTGGTATGGTGATGCATGCAGGTGTGAGAGAGAGTATACAACAACCATCTCAAACCATGACATGGCCTTTGAGCTGCAGCCGTGCACACTGGGATTCTCGCTCCATCAGGCAACAACGTTTTTTTCCCCCTCCTTCCTCCTCTTCTTCTTTGGGGTGCAGGAAATGTCATGTGTATTGTTTGGGTTTGAGGATACAAGCATTCATCATTTCTGAAAGGTCTTTTCATGAGGGTATTAATGACTCTGTCTCTGTGGTTGTTTTCAGGGCCAGTTGGGTCTAGAGGAGAAAAGGGCGACCGAGGAGACAGAGGAGAGAAAGGAGACAGGGGTCCAATTGGTCCGAAGGGAGAATCTGGTTCCAGTTCCAGCACTCGGGGTGGAGCCCGTGGAGAGAAGGTCTGAACCTTTAGGATATTGTCATGAATGTGAAAACACTGTATGTTATTCAGTGAAGGATTTGGGGTTAAAGTAATAGACCTTGGAAACAATATGTATCCCTCATTTGTCCCTCTGACCTTGGCATTGTGTACTGAGCTGGTTGGTAAAAGAACAAGATAAAAAAATGCAAAAAGACTAAAAATGCACTTTAATTACTGTGACATCTTGTTGTTGTTGGTCCTCTGAGTTTAAACACTATATTATAGGGATATTCCGGCGTAAGATTAATTTAGGGTCAAACACACCATAACTCTGAGTTAGACACCCCCTCGAAAGATGAATGTTGCAGACCGCTTGCTTCTCTAGTTATACCAACTTTAGTTATGACCGCAGGATAAAAATACACAGACATAAACAAACTTCAACCAAAACGCCACTCTATAGCCACAAATAATGCTCAGAACAGCACCTAACTTCATCAACAGGACATAAAGGGTCACAGCCATAGCACTAGTTATCAAACATCTTTTTAACTTTGCCTCATTTCTTTCGACAAAGAGTCTAAACACAACTCACCTACTCTCTTCCGGCAGCCGCTTATTTGTAGCGAGACCTCAGGCCAGTCCATTACGGACTGCTGCGGGGTGACGCAGCCCAAGGAAGAACATTTATGATCATTTCTTTCTCATTTCCTTGAAGTAATAATTACCATATTTATCCTTTTGCACTGCAGACGCAGTAGTTCCTCTGTCTTAGCGTCTCGGTCTGATTGCATTTCCATGAAGAAATGATCATAAATGTTCTTCCTTGAGCTGCTCCACCCCGCAGCACACAGGACTGGCCCAAGGTCGCGCTAGAAATAGTTTTGGTTGAGGTTTGTTTATGGCTCCTCAGACCGCTGTATATTGCTTTCGTTCGGTCGTTACTAAAGTTGGAATAACTCGAGAAGCAAACAGTCGGCAACATTCATGTCTCTAACTCACTGTTACGGTTTGTTTGACCCTAAATTAATTTTACGCTGGAATATTCCTTTAAGCAGCTTTAAATGTTGGTATTTAACTCCTCTTTGATCGTATCTTTGGAAATATTCTCATAATTTGAGATTCTGGATTTCTGTTTTTATGAGCTCTGAGCCAAAATAATGAAAAACTCACATAAAAGAAAACCTGACATACTTAACTGTTCTGTTCATGCAATAGAAAACAGAATAGATTTGAATTACATTACAAAAAACATACTTTTTCCTGATGATCTAATGTGTTGAGATGTGTCCCTATGAAACACAAGAGGGAGCTGCAGGTCCTAACCTGACACTTATCACAGATCTGTTTTATGTTTGCCACGTGCTGCAAAGATCAGAAATATGAGCAAGTCACCTATCTTGTAGCTCCTCTGTTTTTGCCCACATGTATGTAAAAATAAGAGTGCTTCATGTTGAATTAGAGAACTATTGAAAACTTCTGATGCTAATGCAAAACTTTCTTTTTTTATATTAAGGGAGAACCAGGAGAAAAAGGATCAAAGGTGAGTTTTTATTGTTCACTAGCTTTTCTCCACGATCCCTCTGCTACAGCATCATAACAGTATGTAGTATTAACTCTATTACCTCCACTTACCCTGATCTTTCTTTACCTTCAGGGCTCTGCAGGCTTTGGCTACCAAGGTACAAAGGGAGAACCTGGTCCAGCTGGGCCACCTGGTCCACCAGGTCCTCCAGGGCCTGCCACTGAGTTTTCAGTTGGCGGTGACGGCACAGTTGCTTCCAGAGTCCCGGGACCCCGAGGACCAGCTGGACCACCAGGTGCCCCGGGGCCCCAGGGACCCTCAGGAGCTGAAGGAGAGCCAGTGAGTAGAATTAGTGTGCATTCTTCATGTAGGAGGGTGTTTAGTGCCATACTGTAAAGGACACCTACTGTCTGAAACATGCAGTAGATCACATGAAACCGTCACACCTCTTAGAAATGTTAAAAATAAAGGAAGCTCAGCTTTGCATGAGTGTCTCAGAGGATTTTATGTATTTATCCTTTGTTTGAATTTCACAGGGCGATCCTGGTGAGGATGGAAAAACTGTAAGTTGTTTTTTTTTTACCAGCAAAATATGAGAAAACAAATTTTAAAAAAGCTTAAACTTGTGATAAGAGGCAGCTGTTATCAGAGGATGAAATGTCAGGAACATCTAATCTGTAACACTTGCACTGACCGCCACAGGGTCCCGATGGACCTCCAGGATTCCCAGGAACTCCAGGTGATCCTGGACCCAGAGGAGAGAAGGTGAGATGCTCAATGACAGCAACTGAAAAACAGGAAACAAATGTGAAGACACTAAGTGATATCTGCAGTCAAACGAACCGTTCAGTTTAAATGAGTCGTTCACATGAGTCTTGTGTCCACAGGGAGATCGTGGTGAAGGTCATCCTGGCCCCAGGGGGCCTCCAGGACCTCCAGGACCCCCAGGACCAGGAATGAGATCTGTGAGTGAATATTAGCCTGAATGACATGATGCACAGGAGTTACAAAAAGACATCCTAACCTCTGTGAAACATTTGTTGAATACAACTGACTTCAGTTTATATATTTCAGACATTTGTGGACATGGAGGGATCTGGATTTCCTGATCTGGAATCTGTTCGGGTGAGAACAACTGAAACTTTAGTGACTAGGTGAACGATATTTGTCAGGGTCCTTTGCAAAAGTAACTTAATTTTCTTGTTTCTTGATGCAGGGGCTTCCTGGTCCACCTGGTCCTCCTGGTCCCCCAGGTCCTCCAGGTCCCTCTACAGCAGGCACAACATCTGCCTCTGGGGCATTTGGACCTCCAGGAAAGGATGGAGAACCTGGTCGACAGGTGGGTGTCAAATTTCATGTCCTGCAATGTAACAAGCAAAATAAATCTCTGAACTTAGCATTTCTGTGAATCCTGATTGTGTCGTTATCACTAACATAACTGGATCAATAACTTCTGTAAACTCTTCTGTATACAACCAAATCTTTGACACTGTAGGGTTTGCCTGGTTTGCCGGGCACTGATGGGTCTCCAGGACTCCCTGGACCCAAGGGAGAAAAGGTAATAATTAGATTGACAACATTTAATTTTCTGTATTTTTAAAAATGAAGCCATAAAGATTCTCACTAACTTTCTTAGTGTAAATATATCAGGACAAATCTGTTTAGCCATTAACTGAAAATGATCATTTACGTTAAGCTAGACGTGCACATTTTTTGTAATTATAGATAAATATTTAATTGAGATGGTGTTTTTCTAACAGTTTCTGTCGTACTTTGTCCACTCTCAGGGTGATTCTGGTGAGCTCGGCCTTCCAGGAGTAGTTGGAGCAAAGGTGTGGACTTTTTATCAATCCTAAATCTTCACCTTCTTCTTAAATTAAACCGAGAGCTTAACTCCAAAACACTGCCTCTTCTGTTCGGATGCTCATTTGATTAGTAAAAAAAATCAGCTTTCACTCAACTCCTCCTTCTCCCTCTCCTTTCATTTCTCCAGCCAAGCCCCTTCTTTTCTTTTCTCTCCGATCTACTGCCACACTCTTTCTCCTCTCCCTTCTCTCTTAAGGCCTCCCACCCTCAGGTAACTGGGCTCCGGCACTCATCATTAGAGATTTGTGTCTCCTAACAATATGCAAATGTCGTCAAATATTGTCGGCTGCAGACTGGATTTGAAGTTTAATCAGAGTGCTGACTGTGGTTTGGTTTAACATTTGGTGACGTCAAAGATGAGTCCAAAAATAAAGGCATGGATTTTATTCACTGAGACTGTTCTTGTAAACCTCACTGACTGGATCTGATACTGAAGCACGATAAGAAGAAATGATTGTCTGCAGGATGCATGAAACATCGAATTTTAAAAGATCTGCTCCTCCTTACTTTACAACTTTACTGAGGGTGAATTTCTGACTCCTTTCATTTGATCCTAAAGGGAGATCGAGGAGACCCTGGTTTACCCGGTACTGCAGGAGAACCTGGACTGGCTGGTCTGCCTGGGCCCATAGGACCAATTGGGCCACCTGGTCCCCCAGGACCTCCTGGACCGAGTTATCGTGTTGGATTTGTAAGTTTTTTCCAGAATGAAATTAGAGGATAAGTAGTGTTTACATAAATATAAAAGATATTCAATAATAAAGCCCAGAGCTGTTTTGAGCCGTTTGTCATGAAGTGATTTTTGTTGTTTGAAGGATGACATGGAGGGCTCTGGTGGAGGTTTCTCCAATGGAGTTCCTGGAGCCAGAGGACCAGAAGGAAGACAGGTCAGTACTGAATAATGTAGGAACATTTAAGGACATTTTGTGCAGCTAACATTTAAGCTTTAAAGATAACAGTTATTTGTCAGCGATACATGGAACCTGAACTGATCTATGGGACTTTGTTGAACTTGCGACTAACAGACAAAAACGTGTTTGCTTTCAGGGACCTGCTGGCTTACCTGGACTTCCAGTAAGTGACTCAGTTTTTCTGGCATCACATCTTTAGTCCAATCAATCAGAGTCGCAACAAATGAGAGTTGAATCTTGAGGGGAAAAGAGAGGAAACATTACAGACACGAAGAAGTAAAAACACAATAACTGAACCCAAGAGGACAGAGTCTGTAATAAAAAGACTTTAAACTCTTAAATGTTTAAGTAGGATGCAGGAAAAGAAAAACACACAGAACGGTGTGAACACAGAGTTAGCTCATGAGCAAACAGCTGTTCATGTGTTCTCTCAGTCAGCAGAAACAGCATCAGCTCATACCAGTCTATTATAAGGTCAGTTCATGTGGACCACAAACGAATCAACTGGCCTAAGTGTTTTTTTTCTGTGAGTTTTAATGTCTGAATGTACCCCTGCAGGGTAAACCTGGATTCCCAGGTATACCGGGTCAGAAGGGCAATGAGGGTTCCGTTGGACGAGATGGTCAGCCCGGGCTGGATGGCTTCCCTGGACCTCAGGTAACATACGCAGTTCTCTCCCCAGCACTAATGTATCAAGTAAAGGCTGAACTGTAGAGGTCACATGGTTTCTCTAAATATCAGTCCGCCATTGAGAGACAACCACTGAGACAATATGGCATCAGTGAAGATTATTTCATATATAAGACATTTGAAAACACCGTCTGTCCTCTAGGCAGAGATGTTGAGCTGCTCAGAAAAAAGTCTGATACCTAAAATCTGCTCTGATTATAATAAAACAGACGCAGTCATTCATTGTCTTCAGTTATTGAAAAGGCGAGCCTGTTTGTGGAGCAGGTGCCGAACAAAAGGTGAGAGCGCCGAGTGTGTCTTTTGTCTCATTTTCTTTCATCCTGTTCACAGGGACCAAAGGGCGACAGGGGAGACAAAGGAGAGAGGGTGAATATCATTTTCACACTGAATATCTGCGTTTTAAACATTACGTTTAAACCAAAAAGAAACTGTGTGGAGGATTGTGCTGCGGTGATATTTTGATCTCAAATCTGAATGTTTGTTATTGATCGTTTGACCTCTAAAGAGAAATGTAAAACACCAAGCACTTATAGAAATGTCTTTTTGGATATTAAGTGTGTGTGTTTGTTTTGTTTAGGGTGATCCAGGTAGAGATGGAAATGGAATTCCAGGACCACCAGGCCCTCCAGGACCACCAGGACAAGTCATCTATCAGATAACTGGCAATGTGAGTCGTGGAAAACAAACATTAATTGAATATAAGAGGATGTAGAAAGTTAAATCTAAACTTATGAGCGACTTTATCAGCGTAGCAGACATCTTATCTTTATCCTACTTCTGTCTCTACAGCCTGATGGCAGCGTCGGCAGTGCTGGACCTCAGGTATGTGTTCATTTTTGTAGCTCAACAGTCAGCTGATCCACAACAGGCCGAACACTGTCTCTTTTATTTTTACTGCAAAGCTCTGAAATATTCACGGCCTCATGATTACATCTGTAGAGGCGGCTGTCAGCTGAGACGTGACACGGTTTTGTACCACGGGGTAAATCGTATCATTAACTTGTCTTTCTCTATTTTGAGGGGACAACATTGACCGGCGTTTAGATGAGACGTCAGTGATGACAGTGTGTAATTTTTCAAACTTGTTAAAATTCATCATTACAGTTTGATTTTAGTCAGAAACAGCCACAGAACTTATTTCAACCAATGTTTTCGAGCAAGTCAGTCTGTTAGTATCAGAAAAAGCTGTGCGTGTACTTAACTTTGTTTTTTATCGTAAAGTCAGTAAAGATAAATTGAGGTTAATCTGTATGTAATTATGTTTTATGCTTTCTCCTACAGGGAGGACCTGGATTACCCGGGAATGCCGGATTCCCTGTAAGTCCCCTTTAGGTGATGCTGATGGTCTAAAGAGTAGAGTCAGAGCTTGAAGTGACGACTCAACTGTTCATAAATAGTCGAGTAAATGGAAATATCCTCAAGCACGCCACTAGTTCTGCCTCTGTCAACTATTCTCACGTGTTTCTGTGAAAGCTGCAGGTTTTGAGTCTTAGTCGAGGCAATTTAAAGTCTGGCATCAGATGCTTCTCTGTTCTCCGGCTGTATCAGATTGGCAGTGCGTGAAGCCCAAAACATCTCGTTCACTAATTTCTACAATCGATATCTAAACAGCAGTTTGCTCAGCAGTTCAGGCGCTGCAGCTGAAGAGACGTTTTAATGGAGTGGCTGATTGCATTGGCTTCAATTGATCCCGGGGAACAAAGACTTTACTTCTGCCAAATGATCGTTCCTCTGACCTTTTATAAATTAATAAATCTTTTTGTTTTCGTCTGTATCCTGTAGGGTCCTATCGGGCCAAAGGGTGACAGAGGGGAACCGGGCATTCCAGGCTATGCAGTTAAGGTAAAATCTTCTTTATTCAAGTATTAATTAAACTGCTCATCATTGTAAGGACAGCTGATAAAGAGTTTGTTGTGTTTTTGCTGTAATCAGGGTGAGAAAGGTGAGCCAGGTTTGGTTATCGGACCTGATGGAAACCTTCTGTCTCTGGAGGGGCTTACAGGTCTGAAGGTGAGTCAAGTAAACTGCTGTCTGTGTCCTGCTTATTCAAACTGTTTGCTCTCTTTGTTGTAGAGTAATCAATGTCCTTTTTACCATGTCTGTAGGGAGAGAGGGGATCTCCTGGACCTGTTGGACCCCCGGTGAGTGTTTAAGTATTTATCTGTGCCTTTAAAAAATAAAAAGTATATGTGTTACTCCTTCCAGTCTACTTTCCCTTCATTTCTAACAGTCTTTTATTTCATGATGTCATGTTTCAGGGTCAGTACGGACCTCATGGACCTAAGGGTGAAATTGGAATGCCTGGAAGACCTGTGAGTACCCTTCCCCGGGTTTTAAGTTGGTTTATCTTTATGAAAGATAGGGATGCAACAATACAGTTTGCCTGTGTTTCAATAAAAACCTAATGTGTTTACAAACTGAACACAGAGGCTATATGAAGTACGTGTTACTGTAAGTGTATGGCTTGATTTCATGGCTTAAGTACCGTAAAATTACAGCTTAAAATAATTTTTTATAAACTTAGTTTAGCCTTTTAAAATTTTTTTTACCAAGAATATTGCTGTGTCAAAACTACCAAAAGGGCATCACCTTTCAGCCCATATAAAGCTGGTAATCCAGCCAGGTTAAAAGAAAAAAAACAACTTGACGCTGAAAATAAACAGATCAGCTGTTACTCTCAAATCTGGCGTTGTAAGACAAACCTCAACCTTTTCTAGCAACAAGTTTCCTACCGTTTTGTTTCATCCAGGTCAAATGCTCTGTTCTTTATTCTACCGTTCTCTCTGTCTATTGTGGTCCCACATGTATACACACTATTGTCAGTGACTCTAAGGCATGCACACACAAACAGAGCCACTTCAGAGAGAAATATAATACATGGAAGTGAGTAACAGAAAAACTGAAAGCTCATTTTGTACCAAATGGTTAATTATTATACAGAGAATTGTTGCATTCCTGATTTAAATACCCAGTTAGCCAGAGATTCAATTTGCTGAGGTATTTTATTCATATTGATTGGTATGATCAGGTGAATATTAATCAATGGCTTTCTCCCCACAGGGACGCCCAGGTGTAAATGGATATAAGGGTGAGAAAGGAGAACCAGGAGGTGGTTCTGGCTTTGGCTACCCAGTAAGTGTTGCTTTTCTTCTAACCAAATCTTGTGATGATAAGCTGATGTGACATTGGTGGAATTTAAAACAGACAGTTTGACATAATCTCGCTCACTCTGAAACCCCCGAGCCATGCCAGCGTGTCATGAACAGCCTCAAATGTCGCAATAAGATTTAAATGTGACCCGTCTGTGACCTGAATTCTGTCAAACAGAGGTGTTTAAGGCTAGCCTGCCTGCCAGAGGTGGCATTTGAGCGAGAGAGAGACGCACACACTAAGTGAAGAGCAAGAATGAGGATTGGCTTGATAGGTTAGTTAGCTTGTTAGCTGATTCATTGAAATATTCCTAATATGAGGGAGATATCCCAGTGGCATTGTCACAACATGGTTTATTTGCAGAGGATTTGATGTCATAATGGCCAGAATCCTCCTCCAATCAGTCAAAACGAGAGACAACCTTTCAGTAGATTCAATGAAATACAGAGAATATTTGATTGACACTGCCTGTGCTTGCTTGTGATATCACGTGGTATCATGTGGTATTGTATTCTATATCTATTAAATCAAATACTGCTAAATACTACGGACTGCACCTATTATAAAATAGCCTTCGCATCAGCTTCTCTGCCCTGAGTGTATTGCTGCGTTCGAGTTTCCTCGAAAGTCAGAAGTCTGAGCTGAAAATGACGTCACACCCGATTTACCAGCGTTTCAGTTACCAAGTCGGAAAAAAGTAAAATCAAAGGAGGAAACAAGATGGCTACATCTATGAAAGTTATTCTAGCGCTTACCTTGTCCAAATATAACAAGGACAAGGCAAGCACTAAGATAACTTTCATAGATGTCGCCATCTTTTTTCCGCCTCCGATTTTGCTTTATTCCGATTTGGTAACTCAGTAACTATGGTGTGACATCATTTTCAGTTTCGGCATCTGACTTCTGAGGTAACTCGAACGCAGCATATGTCTTGTCAGAGAAACATTATATGCCCACTAGATCTTTCTTATTCTAAAACATGAGCTCCTTTAAATATGAACTTAAGGGCAAGACCGATAACCTTTGTCTTTATCAGGGAGTCCCTGGCCCACCAGGACCACCTGGACCCCCCGGACCTTCTGGATCAGCTCTGGACCGCTTCAATGTGAGTACACAAGATCCCAGACCTCTAACTTTGAGCTCAATCTTTATAAGTTTTATGTAAAACTTTGCAAAATGAGAGGAATATAGACAAATTTTATGACCTTTCTGTACCCTCCACCTGAACCTGATAATTCTGGTGTCATTAGGGCGGAGGACTAATCATAATCTGGTTCTTATGGTCTGCAGATTTTGCATAATGTACCCCAAACTTTTCCTCTGCTGTTTCCAGTGTCTTGAAGACCTTAAAGTGACGGTTGTTTTTTTCTCGTTTTGCAGCGCTATGATGACAATTCAAGGAACTACTACGGTATGACCTCCATCACACACACCGTTTGTTGTTTGAGCAGATAAAACATTACTCCAGGAGATAGAGGGGGATCAAAACGGAGAAGTTAAATAATCACGCCAGTTAAGGAAGAGAGATTTAGAGAGAGGTTTAAAGTGTCTGCAGAGATGAAGACTTCTATCTTAATTTCAGTTTGATCCAGCTGCCTCAGCCTGAAGAGGATATTCACTCTATTGTCAAGAGATTAAGCTGTCAAGCCTTTCTAGATTAGAAGAATGAACTGATAAAACACAGAAGACATCACGATCAATGACACAGGCTGCCAACAGCTCTGCAGTCTCAATGTCAAGTTACACCTGAGGACTAATGTGAATTTTATATTTGATGCAGAAACTAAAGGGGAGAAAGGAGAGCGAGGCGACAGAGGACTTCCAGGAGTCCCAGGTATATCCAAACATCCATAGATTACAACATTTTTACGCAAATATTAACTGCCTTTGGGACTGTTTATAAATAAAAAATGTCACTTTTTTATGTTTCAGGAACAGCGTCTAACTTTGATATTTACGCACTCAAGGTAAACCAGCCGACTGCTTCACTGTCTGACTGTTACATCCCTGTCCTGAATGAACCGACTAAAAATGTTGATATCTCTGAATACTTTCCTGCAGAATGAGCTGAAAGGAGACCGTGGAGACACTGGTGTGAAGGGAGAGAAGGGAGAGCCAGGTGGTGGATATTATGACCCACGTTTTGGAGGAGCCCAGGGTGAACCAGGGTCTCCAGGAAAACCAGGCCTCCCCGTGAGTTCTTCGTGTTGATTTCGATCATCAAATCTTCAGCCATGACTTTTGAACTTCATAAATATGAGATGCCTAACTGCTGAATTTTTTTCTCTGTCGTGTCAGGGGCCAAAGGGAGAGACTGTCGTTGGTCCTCCTGGACCTCAGGGGCCACCAGGATCTCCAGGTATTGGTTATGATGGCCGTCAAGGACCTCCAGGACCACCTGGACCCCCAGGACCTCCAGGGTTTTCCCTGCTCCCTGGAGCATACAGGCCCAATCACCGTAGGTCACTTCTCCTATGTTAAACTATTCTCGATAGTCCTTAACTGGACTCTCTCAAACAGAACTCAAATCATTTAAAAGCTTTTATTTTTGTTCAAAGCTGTCAGTGTTCCTGGACCTCCTGGTCCTCCTGGTCCACCTGGAAGTCCTGGTCAATCCTCTGGAGTAAGTGCCTCATCAAATAGGAGTGTAAATAATTTCTTTACATACTTCAGTACTGAGCTTGAAGTAATTCTGGTGTTTACGTCGCCTTCAGGTTACAGTCCTGAGATCGTATGACACCATGATTGCCACTGCCAGGCGTCAGACGGAGGGCAGCCTCATCTACATCATTGACAGAGCAGATCTGTATCTGAGAGTGCGAGACGGACTGCGGCAAGTCATGGTACGATTCTTTATTTCCAACTTGAAATTTGCTTTAAATGGAGGCTACTGCTGCGGTTTAGTCGTCCGTGTTACTGAACAGCTTCTTTGTCTTCTTTCAGCTGGGAGAGTACAGTCCTTTCTTCAGAGATCTGGTGAGTTTAACTGTTTTTATCGTATTTTCATGTTCACTGGTTTGATTGAACGGTTGTAACCTGTCGGGTTTTTATTCTGCAGGAGAACGAGGTGGCTGAAGTCCAGCCTCCACCCGTGATCCAGTACCCCCAGTCCCATGACCAGTCACAAAGCAACGGAGCTGGCCATTACTCCCAAGGTGGTTCTTCCGTACACCCTATCGAGCCTCCACCACGACCTCCTGTAGAGCCCAGATACCCTCCACAGTATGATCCCAGATTCCCAGACCCCAGACACACGGGTCAGACAGACGGACGGACAACACACACGGACAACAGATACGCTGTCACGCCTCAGAGACGTCCCAGTCCACCAGTACCTCAGCCTGCAGGCAACCCGGACAGACAAGGATCAGGAGTGAGTACAGTTTAGTTTGAACTTTAAGAACATTTTAGGCTTTCACATTAAACTACTGACTCTTTAATTCAACCAGCACACATTCCGCAGAGTTTGCTTCCTAACCTGAACCTGCGTCTCCCTCACCAGCTCCGCCTCATCGCCCTGAACGCCCCTCAGAGCGGAAACATGCGAGGAATCCGTGGAGCGGACTTCCTGTGCTTCCAACAGGCCCGCGCCATCGGTCTGAAGGGAACCTTTAGAGCTTTCCTGTCCTCCAAACTTCAAGACCTCTACACCATCGTCCGCAGGTCGGACAGGGACAGCTTCCCGATCGTTAACCTAAAGGTAATACTCGGTGTGTTTCTGCGCACTGTGCCTTTAAGATAAAAACAAGGGTTTATTGTCTCAACCTGAGCGAGGGTGACCCTAGCAACCTGAACAATGAATCAGAGGGAGTGGAAACAAACCACCTTATCAGGGAAATATGTTGTCTTTTCTCTCTGGTTGTTTGGAGGTTGTCTTGCTCCAAGGACAAAGCAGAAGTGTATGGATTTGTCTGAAAAAATGATTCACTCTGCCCGTGATTACTGCTATTATTCAGTCATTTTTTAAAATATCAACACTGCTATTAATAAGGCAAAAAAAAAAAAAAAAATCTGTTCTGCTTTTTTTTCTGTTTTTATTCGACTCATCCCCAAAGTGAAATTTTCACTCTACTTTCACTCTACTTTGCAGGACCAAGTGTTGTTCAGCAGCTGGGAGTCTATCTTCGGTGACGATGCGAGCAAAATGAGGGAGGGCGTACCGATCTACTCCTTCGATGGTAGAGACATCCTCAGGGACAGTGCATGGTGAGTTTTCACACGTGTACTAATATTTCACTGTGACTGCCGCCTTTATTCTATTGTTCACTTTAACCTATATCTGTGTACTCTGTTTGGCCCACGCTCTGCCCTGTATATAAATCCTAACCTACTTTCTCGTTCTTCCCTCAGGCCAGAGAAAATGGTCTGGCACGGATCAAACAACAAGGGCCACCGTCAGACAGATCACTACTGTGAAACATGGCGGGCGGGCGAGCGCGCCGTGTCCGGCTTGGCGTCGTCGCTACAGAACGGACACCTCCTGCAGCAGACTTCTAGCAGCTGCTCTGGCTCTTACATCGTCCTCTGCATCGAGAACGCCTTCACATCACCCTCCAAAAAATAAACCCCCGTCTGCCCTTCCTCCTCCGTCTTCATTCTGGGCCCTAGGTAAACACAGTTTTTAATTCCCCGACAACACGCCTTGTGAACATGTGGCGTCCAATGAACTGGCCCTGAGGCTCTTTGCCTGGCAGAGACGCTTTGCATCGTCTGCTCCTCCCCTCCACAAACGCCAAAGAGATGGGTCGAACAGAGGGGTGTTGGTCCTTTTTCTCGGGGGCATTGGCACATATTTTCTACAAGGGGTGGAAAACGAGCAGAGAGGCTGAGCGCGTTCTCAAATTGTATCCATTTTTTTAAAAGAAAAATTCTGTATATTACATGTTTGTCATTTGTGTTTTTATTTTGGACTTTATCAATGTTTTACCTTTTTGAACTGTTTATAAAACTGTTTTATCCATCCTGTTATTTTTTTAAATTTTAGGTATTGATCATTTCCACTTTTTTTTTTAATTTCATTTTAGAGTTTGGGGTTTTGATGGGGTACAGCAAACTTTTAAAGACTATTTTTAAAATTTAAAGAAAATAAAATAGGTATTTATTTTTAAATGAAGTTATGTAAGGACATGATTTGGGCAATAATAAAAAAAAAAAGCTACACACCCTCATTTATTTTTCTCACAAAAGAGCCTCTGAACAGAAACTGCGCCTGATTACACAAACAGGACTGCTCACAAAACAAGCTCATATTTCCATGCACTGCTACACTGCTCTGTAAACGCTACAGCGCAAAGTGCATTTGGATGCTTTCACTCGACACTACATTTAAATGACCTTTTCTTTGGACACCCACTGCTGTAATGAATAATCCCAAATCCAGAGGGTGAGACTCCCTCCCGCTGAAATTGAGCCTTTGAATAAAATAAATGATTATTTCCCCTTTTACCACTTAATGAAAACCTATCAGTGAGTGAGCTGGAAATGATTAGTTTGCTGCTAATCTTTGTTGGAGTGATTGCTGTCACGAGTGTTAGGGACGGGGGAAAAAAAAACAGTATGTCAAGGAAGCAGTTGTTTTTTGTTTTTTCTACGCAGCAGCAGCCTTGGAGTAAATTTCAAGCACTAACTCGGGCTTAGTGGTGCTGATACCTTGACTGAACCTGTGGATATCCATTTTTATAACAAACTGTGCTATACTGTTCCTCCCAGGCACTGAATAAACGTCTTTTTCAACTACCCTGATGTGCTGTGCATAAGCCTGTTCTATCACTGACCTTGATACGTCCACCTCAGCGGCTCTGACCTGCAGTTTTATGACCTGCTCTGTGACACGTCCCTGGTGGCATTGACTCCACCACAAATCAGCGTCTCTAGTGGCAATGAAACGTCTTAACAGACCCTGACCATAAATCGAATATTAACCTTGACAGCTAATGTATATTTGTAAATTAATTCAACAAAATCATAACTCTAAGACTGATTATTAGCCGGCGTGCCCATGCCGCGCATCAGTGATGTTAACTGGGTGATCTTACTCAACATTACAACCATAATAAAGGGAACCACCATTGTCTTATTAGCACTAAAGGTAAATTACTGTTGATGGAATATAGTGCCCACTAATTATACACGAGTACATCGGCCCTGAATTGCCTGGATGTGTTATCATAAATACAAGCTGGTCTATAAAGGGAGTTTTACAGAGAGCTGAATTAGGTCAGCGATCACTTATGAAATCCTCTTAAATCTCTTCTTTAAAGTTGGGAGGCGTTTTAAGATAATATTTGATAAAAGAAGATTAATTTGAATTAAAGAGAGTTGGCCTCGTTTGGTGTTTAACTTGAAAATGAAATCTTCATATGAGAGCTCAGGTAGTGTTGGTGGATGGTCGATCAGAAATACTCCTCTGCCTGCAGATAATGTCAGAACGCCCTCGCCACGTGCCGCAGCTACTTTACTGTATATGATTATATAATAGGATAAATCACAGCAATAATACGGGTGAGCAGAAGGGCCAGATAACACAATGTAGTATTTACCTCTGATGTATTTAAAGACGGTCATGGTGGGGTCAATTACAGTCGGAAAGACTATCTGCATCTTGGTGTAGTTAATGTGTTTATAAAAATGTACTGCAGCCTCAATGTTGGTAATAGTTACATACCTCTAGTGTGCAAGACACAAGCACAAATCAGTGAGAATTACACAAGACAAAACCACCTCTCTTTTCTTCTACTTCATCCTCTAACTAGGGCCCGACCGATATGGATTTTTTGGGGCCGATGCCAATTATTCGGGGGGAAAAATCCGATTATCGATTAATCGGACGATTTTTAAAATTTTTTATGAAGTTTAAATTTGGTTAATTTAAGTAACATATCTACATATTTACTTATATTTTTAACAAATGGCTGTTTTTGAGCTTTTCAAACATTTCTTCAAAGAATTAAATGCAGAAAACTCATTTCAAATCCTTTTTATTGCTAAAAACAACTGAAAAAGAATAATGGGGTATTTTGTGTAAAGTGCAAACAGTTAAGTTAACTTCCAACTCAAAATGACGAACACTCGATATACTGTATTTATCATGAATCAAACTCTTACCAGAAAAGCTGATTACCAATTAGTCTCAAACGGGCTAAAATTGGCCGATTTAATCGACTCGCCAATAAATCGGTCAGGCGCTGCAATGTACACAGCCCCTCATTTATACAAAAACTCCTGTGTTCCTAGTTCTGGTTCTGCTCTTTTATGGATGTACATGTCTCATTTGTATTTAACAAAACTTATTCAGGTGAAAATGCACAAATTTAAACATACGTATGGATACGATACTCCTGTCTGGTAGTCAAAATTCACATGTATCCTTGCCAACTTCATTACTATCATGAAACTAGGTCACAAAGCCCCAAAAACAACATCCAACCACATGGCATCACTTCCAGAAGCGTTAGCATTGATAGTGTGAATGTGATTGGAAAAAAAGCCTCTGCAGGTATGTATTTTTCCCCTGGTGTACTCTTCCTTTAGCAGAGTCTATACAATCGTTTGATCCGAAAGGTCCACTGGGTACAAACCGCAGATCTGAGACTACCTCACACTCTACTTCCTGAAGGCATTTCCAACATCAGGAGGGAGACAGATACAGGTTATATTTCAGCAAATTAAAGCTGGATTAATTTCATGATTATATTTTGTATTTGATATCCTGTAGTTTTAAGAGAACAATGAGAGCAGCAGGTATAAAAAGCTGCTGTTTCTGTATTAATAAGGCGTCTTGTCTCGAAGCTCGGTGCTGTGACTGTGGTGAATCTGCACATTAACAAGACTGAGTTTCCACAACATGACTTTTCCTGTCCTGTTTATTTTTACTCATCCAAATAACGAAAATAGAGGGAAGTAAACAGGGAATATCAACAGTCACACAAAAAGACAGAAGCAGTGAAGTTTGGGGCTTAAAACTTTTTAAAAGTATTGAGGAGCAATGCAGGTTTTTGAGCTCCAGTTCAGCCTCGTGGACCATAAAGTACAGATTCAAATAAACACCAAATTATCCCAAACAAAAATACTAAAAAACTAATTATAAAACTTTTGTAATAAATGATGCGTGAAATAAAAAGTTTGCAAAGCATCTATGAGATTCAGGACTGTACAACTCATGAATACTGTCCTGTTAATTGCATCCATCTAATAGTAGTTTGGTGTAATTAGAAAACCGAAGTCTGATTAACTTTTCACCTTCTACACTTAGTTTGTCCTGAATCTGCAAACACAACAGATATCTCTCTAGACATGAAACCCTCCAACTTCCTGTTGGAATTAATTTAAGTAAAAGGCCTGAAGTAGGTCTGTTTCTCTGGTCACTTTCTAAATACAGTAGGTATCTACTTTTACAGAAATGCATCCAGCTGTGGGCAAAAGTCCATGCAAAAAAAGGTAACGAGCTAATTATGTCCATATAAATTCTCATTCATCCAGGTCGTGGTTTTTCTTGAAATCTCCAAAATCTGGCAACTGTACTGTGTAGAGTTGAGAAGACGTTTTGCCGCCTATCCTGAAGAAGCTTCTTGGATAAGCGGCGAAACGTCTACTCAACTCTACACAGTCCAGTTGCCGGATTTTGGAGATTTCAAGAAGAACGAGCTAATTGCAAGACAACAGCTTTTTAACACTCAATTTTAGGACTACACAGAGTTTACCACCAGGGAGCTGCCCATAAAAGTCACAACATTATATCACTCTGCTTTTAGAGCTGGCAATGTAAAGACAGCAGTAAAATCTGTATTTTTATTTATTTTGAGGGATAAATCAGCAAGACTTCAACAAGACTTTTCAGGCAACTTAAAAAAATCCACTGTGTACTTTTTTCCCCTTCTTGTTATAGCCTATGTAGTTACAAAACAGTGAAAGACATCCAATCAATGGTCAATCATTTCTTAGTCTCATAAATATTGTGCATTCTGCTTATTTAGATCTGAATCCCAATCATTAATCATGCGTCAAAGGTCTGTTTATCAATACATGTAAGATTTAAGGCAAACATATATAAACCTTCACACTACCAAATAGGGTGATAAATGTAAAACTTCTCAGGATCAGTTCCTTGTAGTTTATAAACTTATGTCTAAGTTGGAAGTAAATTCTTCGAGCGTGAAGGCGTCATCTTGAGCGGCATGTCATTTAAGGATCAAGCGTCTGATCAGACTGAGTCCCCAAACTTATCCTCGCACCCACATCCTGATGGAGAGCGGGGATTGCCTAAAACTAATCAGTAAATACAGTCACTTCCCACTCAGTTCCATCAGTCTGTCTCTTAAGCGTCTCCACCCGCTGGGCAGCCTTATGAGAGCTGCAAGGATTAAATTAATTGACTGGGGGGACTCAGTGTCGCTGCAGAGTCCCTGCTTTAAGGGGAAAATAAACTAGCATCAGAACCGCTGTGTTTAAATAAATCTCCAGGAAAAAATAACTCAGTGAGCGACGTATTATCCACTTAAGTCTTCTGGACAGAGCGAGGTTGGAGTGGGCGGGGGGAGGTCGGGATGTAATAACCCACAGCTGGCTCTGCTATCCCACTGACTGCCTGGCAAAGGCTCTATTTAGTGGGAGCTAAATAATAACAAAGTACAGCCAGATGATCCAGCCACGGTAATGATACGACAAGGTGACAAGCGCATATTGGGAGACTTAATTACATTTCGGGCGGCAGCAAAGAGCCAGTTGTCAGATCTCTGCTCTGTGTTTATTCAGAGCTGGTGACACAGTGTCACATTAACCCAAATCTAACAATATCTCACAGCGATCTGAGCTCGGTTACAGAGCCAACTGCTTATGTGACCTTTTATTCTACAGAAACGCAGCCTTGTATTCATGTAAAACAAACCTCATCGTATATCCAGTGAGAATGTAGGAAGGTTTCCTGCCATCGATCATTAGTAAATGTCTTCAAGTGTCATAATATTCATGTATTCTGCCTATAACTACAGTGAAATGTTTTCCCATCAAATTAAAGGGTAATACGGAGGCCTGAAGCAATGTTTGCGTAGTGTCTGAAGCATGTTAGACCTACTGCGAGGCGCTCACATTTTCCCTGACATTTAGGCAGATAATGAGCAACAATCTCCACGTCTTTAAATCCCCTTGTGAATCTTCTGGCATTTAAGTCTATTTTTTTCCCTCCTGTCTTTAAATATTTGATGAGGAGGGTGTTATCAGCAGCAGATATTCCTGGCTGTGTGACCACTTCATCATTACCTGCTCTCTTCTCTTATACTGACCCCCGTTTGTTTCTCTGAGGTCTTTGCATGGAGACAGGAAGTCACTGAGGATAGAAAAAGTGTACTCAAATATGTGAACTAATGCGCATGTGTTTCAGTTAGGATAAAGGATGCACAACATCATCAGCATTGTATTTGCAGACGTAGAAACAGCTAATAAATGTGACGTGACAATTATGCGCATAATGGAAACAATCATGCAGCCAAAATGAGTTTCAACATGTCAGCTGGAAGGATGTGGAAGTGTCGTGAGCGGGCAGCAAAATATCTATTTGTAATGCTTGTGAAGTTCAGGTGATGCAAGAAGAAGCAAAACACTTCGACCGGTCTAATTGTGCATCTCAGGAAGAGTCATCCTGAACAGAATCAAAGGTTTCTAAAAAGGACAAAAACAAACAAGAGTTGGTGCCAGAAAATCACCCGCAGTTACTCCAGTTATTCAGCAACGCTAGAAGATACAGCAGTGAGTATCTATCTGAAAGTAATGGAAGTTATGATTTATGGTAGACTCATTAGTATTGCCTTTTTATTTCCGACCGCATTATCCAGGTATGTTAATCCAACTATAAGAAGTTTGAAAACAGTGGGACTAACATGTTCACATGCATTTTTAAAGTCCAATTTCAGTCGCACTATTGCGCTCAACATTTAACAGTTTGTAACTTAAGTTGTAGTTTAGGTTGGTTGCACCACGTAGACTTGACCATAGTACCTCAAATGTAGAAGAGTGTATCGCCTTCATAAAGCCACGTTTGAACCTACGCATAGATGGTGCAAACCGGTGCAGGAAAGTATATTGGCAAAAAAAAATATTGCGATATTTTAGTAAATTGCAAAAAATATCGGCATATATGGTATCAGCAAAAATCAAGTGTTTGATGTCAATTCTTTGCAGCACTAGTGTTCACTTTAGGCATATGGCAAGAGTTTTAATCTGCTGCAACTAATAAAAAGTAGTCCAGCAGCCAAATGATTGGATTGAGGCCTTGGTATTATGACTATGATTTCACACCCTGAGTCAACCTTAGATAATAGCAGGAAAAACTATGGACAGCCAATACTTCATATTATCACTAATGTAAATAGACATGGAAAATAGAGTTATGAAATGTAGGGGGATCATGGCCACAGCAAGAACTGTAACCTGTCTCTGGGGGACGTGCTCAAACTTGTTTTTCTCCTGGGCAGGCCGAGTTTAAATCAGCAGATATATTGTTTGTATTGGTTGCATTTTGTTTTGTATTTTTCCCAGACTTAATTTGGTACTTTTTCAGTGTACGCTGTTTTCCTTTTGAGCCGATGTCATGTTTTCTAATGTGGTGAGCTTCCTAAATGGGTCAATAAGGTTTCTTTGCTGACTGTCTCTCCCATAACTGATCGTTTCATCACTGCAGTCTGGGCCTGTGCGTTTGCTTGCATATGCAAATTTTATGCATTTCTCTAGATAAAAATGTCATTTAGCTGCACAGGGGGAAAATAATTCTTCACGTTTTAACAACATCCTTTAACAAAATGTAGCATCTCCATGGAAACCAACCGCATTTACTGCTGTTTTACATCAATACAGATGTCTTAAAGTCAGTGTTAGTTACATTTTTATGATAAACTGCTGAATAAGCCCTAAAAAGAGCTATCTGTTGTTATTGTAATGCCTCTTTTTGCATCTGTTTTTGTGTCGAGCCTTCAGCGATGGCGTCATTGAGAATTCCCCCCGGTCAGCTCTGCAGTGCCACTTCACAACTACCTCAGCAAGCTTACACAGCTCACTACCCGTGGTCATCATCACAGCTGGCTACATATTCGATGTGACATCTCCTTCCATCTTCTAATGAATTTTTTATGTTCTTCCTCTCCCATTCGCACGCAGGCCGGGCTGGTATCAGCTCTGTTCTGTAAGTCTGTGCTACTGTAAATGACAGTGTCGCCTTTGAAATCTGCGACCCTTCTGTCCTCTTATTATTACTATAGATTGCTCCGCTGTAGGTTCCCATACTGATTAGACTCGTGCAGACAGACACATCTTTAAGCACAGTGTCTGATAATGTGTAATCGTTAGGTTGTGGAGACGGACACGAATGCATCCAACGAAGAGGGTAAATCATGTCAATCAAAAGAAATATCTAAAGAATGATTTTACTGTTCTTAATCATACATATATATTTATATCCAATCAGGTATGCTCTCTTATTTCTAAACCAATAGCAGTTTTTCCTCATGCATCTCCTGTCCTGTGATATCGACAGCAAAGGCAGACAAACTTCTTGATTTTACTCTCTGCTAAACTGACAGTTTGATCGCATACTCGAGCTGTGCACATCCGATCATGTTATAATGCACTCGAATATTGACAGCCTTATTGATCTGCAGGGCTGCTGCAAGAGATCATGAAAAGTAAAGCGATATAATTACATGCAGGCTCTACATATGCAACATCTAACTTGGTGTAGACTCCCGTCACCCCATTTCTAACTTTTTACGAACTCTTTACACAGAAGATTGTGATTGTGAGAGCTGTGCTCGTGCCTTTTTTTAGCCAATGTTTACTTAAAATAAAACTAGGGGAGCCTCTGGACTCTAAACATTTATACTTTAGTAGATAAAACAGACAAAAATAAATCATGCCACTCTCTAAATGTGGAAAAGAAATTGAACCAAAACACGGATCGAGGTAAAGGCCACAGCAAAAAGACTTGCGCGTAGACATCAAATCTTGCACTAAGTAGAGGCCTCCTTGGTCTAGTGATCCAGGCCCAAGCACAACCAGTAAACACAGGCTGCTGATGTGCATCCCCTTCTCTGTATGTCACTGCTCACCCTCTCCAAGTTTCTGTGCTCTCTCAACAGAGCATAAAATGCCAAAAAAAAAAAAGTTGCTTTGAAGGGGACTGGAAACTTTGCTTTAGATATCTGAAAAAAATAACCGGTCATAGTAGGTTTTTTTTAGCACAGAACTGATTTCGATAAAGGAACATATCTACTCAAAAGCCATAAAAGAAAACATGTAATCCTATATTCATAAGGTGTAATTATTGGTCATTAAAGGAAATACGCAACGTGTAAAATAGAAGCATTTACAAACGCATGTATAGTCAATAATGATTGACTGGTTCCCCCTTTTGAAATAATGAGTGACACTGCGAGGATCATGCAGCTGATATAGTTTTTCTGTAGTATGACACCGATGTCGTCTCCTGTCAGAAGCGATAAACTGAAGTTATCGAGCCTGGATGTTATGCGGCTTCATAATTCAATGCAATTAAATGTCATATTAACGATCACTGTACCTTTGCATCTTTCTCTACGGTCTTTCTGTTCCTAATCGAAGCTGCACCTGCAACTTCAAAGAAAGGTTTTACTTAATTTTGAGAAGCTCACTCTGCTTCACATCAGAAGAACAACTGTTTGATCTGCTTTTGGGCTTTCGCAATTTTTCAAATCTTTATTTTCAAAAGAAAAACGATCGATTTGAAGAATGACTGACAGAGAAACGGATAATAAGAAATTTAAGTCTTGAGCACACACGTATGACTTCTTATTTTGTTTATGACAAAACAGCAAAACTCCTCATTTAACTCGGAGGATCAGCTGTTCCATACTGCCCATTCAGCACCAGCTCACATTTACATTGTGGTTATTTCTGGAACAATCCTGTAATGGAGAAAAGTGTTTGAATGCCAAAGCCATCATTTTCAGACACACAGAGCCTGCAGTGGTGCATAATCTGTGTCAGTGTGGAAAAAGAGACGCAGAAACTATTGAGATTTAAGTTTTTGCTGCTTTTACCGATGCTCTCTGTACACCAGTGACTCACTGCTGCATGTGTTCACTTACAAATCACCAACAAATGAAACACTTGAGCGTCTATAGGCGCCATTATCTTGGTGGGATATAGTTTGCCTATAAGCTATCTGTTACTCTGCCTTGTCCGGGGTGTGTTCATAAAGTCTCGTCTGACCAGCTGAAGGAGTGACTCAAAAATAACTGGATGATTTTCATTGCAGACACAGTGCAGCCTGGTTATTGTTGGGGCTCATGAACACCCAGAAGAAAAAACTCAGAGTTTCACAGCAGTGGAGAAAAACCCTGCATCCTCCACAGCTGGTGGCCCCTGAGAATTCCCTCCATCCCCCTCGGAAAAATCTACCTTTCAGCAAGTCGCAGAGCTGTGTTTGCTGACAAAAAGGACTGTGGAAAAAAGCACTCCTCCCATGCACCGTGTTTTTTTTTTTGATGTAACATTAAAGCTGCTTCTTTGTGCAGAATGAGGAGTGAGATGGTGATGTGCGTTTCATTCCTCAAGCTGACAGATCACTATTGATCATTGATCATGCTGGCTGCAAGACAGAGGCGGAACGCAGGAAATAAAACTGAACACGCAGAAATATTTCAAGTCATACAAAAGCAGGATTAAATGTTTACGACTGTACACGGCAGAAGGCCACTGGATACCGGTGAGCTACAATTCATGATGGGCAGGAAGAGAGTCTCTATTTTGATAAGAGATTCATGGTCACTGATTTTTTTTCTCTGACTTTCAAACACCGACTTATTCTTGCTTTTCATACCTAAGATCTTGCAGCATTTCTGCACCATTTATAGAAGCAATTACAAAATAATCACGTCGAAGAACCAGCTTGTGTTCAGAGGCTGCAGCCTATGGTTAATTCCTACCTGCAAGCCTTGACCACATGTTGTTACCCACTGACTCGCCCCAAGCTTCCAGCTGTTCCAAGTATAAGAATATAAGTTAAAAAGGTGCAGAGTGAAGTATATTAGCAGAACAGACTTAGTAGAAATGGAATATAATATTCATAAATATGCTTTAAATAGTGTAAAATCACCTGAATATGAAAGCATCCTTCTTATGAGGTTTCATGTCTACAGAGGAGTGGGTTCCTCTGGTGGTTTTTGGGCTGATGATGGGTTGTGTCAAGAAATAAAAGCCAAAGGACACTAAAGATGGTGAGTGATGCAGACTGCAGCTGCATGTGAGCCTCTGGTATCCTCAAATCTAATCTAATCTAATCTAATTTAACCTTATGATGTGCATTCACTTGTTGGCTGAAGACAAAGCAAAGCAAAACTAGAGAAAAAAATTTAATCATCAATCATCACTACAGGATGTTGATCAATCTACACATTTGTGGACCTATACGCCCTCCCTCTCTACTTTTTTATCACTTAATGTTAAAGTCTTTTGAGGTCCTGTCAAATGTGTTAAAATTGATCCTGGAGAGAGCTAGTTAACATGTCCAGAAGATTGTTTCTCCTCCAGCTAAGCCCCATCCCTCTAAAAACATCTGCTTACCAGCATGTAAGGAGTATTTACTACTCTTATATTGTTTTTCCATAAATCAAATACACACCTGCACCTCCAGGTAACTTGGGCTCTCTCTGGTAGGAACAGAGGTTTCCCTCCTTTGGTTGGTCCAGTTTGGCTCTTCCACTGTAAAATAAGAGTAATCAGAGAGTCATAAACATTGTCAGGGTCACTTTTTTTTGTTTCTTATTTTGGTTGTGTTTTAGTGTTTTTAATGCCTGCTGACACAAAAACACATAATGGGCGAAGTTGAGCATTAAAAAATTCCACAATGCCGAGTTTAACTGGACCGAGAACAGTGATTTAGTTGGACTCTGTTAAGTTGAAATAAATCATCTGTCTAAACTAGCTGATAACCTGGCTACAGCTCCTCCAGTTTCTCAACAAAAGGATCGCTTAAGTCGTTAACAGCATTTAACACAGTTATTTAGCAGGTAACTGACTGAGGGATTAACCGAGTAATAGATAATAATCAATGTTTGTAGCCCTGCTGCGAATGCTGCATGTGTCATCATGTGTGTTCATGACCGGCTGCTGACTGTAGCTTCTTCTTCTTCTTCTTCTTCTCTGGTGGTTTTCTGGCAGGTCTGCAGGGCAGTGTGCAGGATCCAGTGCTGGGTTAAGTGGCCCAGAATCTAATCACTCTAATGTCTGTGTCAGTCCTAAATCACACTCTCTGGCTGCAGTCAAACACTCAGTCTGTCCTTCAAAAGAGGGGAAGCTTTTCATGACTCCCTCCATATTGTAATTATTCCAATTGGATATGAGCTATTGCACTTATTGGCTGGGGCAAGGCACCGGCTGCCTCCGCTCCTATTGGCTGCCTGGACACCCCTGAGCTGTCTCTTATTGGCTGCCTGGAGGAGAGTGGGAGGAGATCTCCCCCCATCCTCCCCCTGTGGCAGAGCGTGTAAATGTAAAGACTCTTTCTCTGCCTATTATCTGAGTGACTCGGGGTTTTGGTGTCTGCCTCCGAGCCTGTGCGCGTGTGTGTGTGTGAGTGTGTATGTTGGAGGAAGAAGAGAGATAAAGAGAGAGAGAGTAAAGGGAGGGAGAGGCAAGCAGCGTTTCTTCTCCCCCCTTTAGCCTCCCCGTCTCCCTGCTCCCTGTCACTCCATCCTTCCTCCCCTCTCCTGGACCACCCTCAAGCCCTGCTTCCAGCCAAGACCGAGACCCCCCTACCGCCACCCAGACCACCCCGGGACCCTTTGACTCTCCTCACTTCTCCGTCCCACCTCTGAGCAGGTAAGGCTGGGCTTGTTTCCGGCTTTTAAAAAGTACTCTCCCCTCTTCTTTCCTCTTCTTCTCTTGTTTTGTTTTCTAACACTCAGTTACCTCCAGCCCCTCTCTCTCTCCTTCTCTCTCTCCCTCTCTCTCCTCCCTGCATGCATATTTCAAGTTTCCCTCATGGCACTTCTATCCCTCTTGGAAAAGTGACACAGTTGCAGGAGATGATATCAGTGAGGTCACTGTATTTCCCTTCCTCCTCTGATATCCTGCTCTGATAACAACTTCTTTCCTCCCTCTCCGTCCCCACAATCTCTTCATCTTCTCTTTTTATGTCTTCGCTATCTCGTCCCCTCTGGCTTTTAATGTGTGCAAATTCAGTTAGAAAGCGATTACGATCTCTTGTTTTGAAGTCTGCCTGGAGCACAAGTTTACAAGAACAACATGCTGTGTTTTGCTTTTTAGAGAAAGCAGCTCTAATTGATTTCTTTCAAAGTGTTTGTTAGTTGGTAACTGCTATTTATAGGCGCTGACGCACCAGACACACGTGCTATCGCTAGGCCACTTTCCTAATGCCGGGACAGAACACAGGACCGTCCACTGGCTCCAGAACGCATGACATTGCACAAAGTGTAATGACTTTACAAGGCAGTGAGTCGCTTGATTGAATCAAGCAATCGTTCCAGGAGGAGAACTCCAATATTAACATGGCCCATAAAGCATTCCTGGCAACAGCCGAGGAGAAAGAAAAACTGCTTAGTTCTCCATCCGCACATCCTGTACTTTACCAGGAAGGGGAAGTGGAGAGTGTGTGTGTGTGTGTCTGTGTGTGCATGTGTGTGCTTGTGAGGGAGACAGAGATACTGCTAAAGTGCTTTAGACATCAATACCGGCAGACAGGAGTTTTTAAGCCACTCCATCATATCTGAAAAGTGGACCTAACATCAACATCAACAGCTGAGGGGATGTCTTTCCTGATCAGCTGGTCTGATTCTTCAGAGGATTTGTGACGGTAATTCATGTTCTTAAGGTGCAACAACCTAATTCTACTATTCAATCATGTTTTTTATTTTACTTTTAAACAGCGCCATAGTTCTAGTTCATTCACACCATCTTTAAATGAAATATATACATACATATAGCTCTATATGGCAGTCTGGCTCTGATCTGAGAGCTCCCTGCCCCTCCATGTGCGCAGGTGGAAGGCTGAGCCTCCTCTCTGTTTCATGTGCAGGAAGGAAGAGCAGCAGCAAAGACTCAGAAACAGGATACAGGTGCAACTCAGATGATTAGAATGTCCTGAAAATATTGAATTTTTTCCCATAATTTTATCTAAAAAACTAAACTTCCAAATATTTTGGATTCGTCCAACGCACAGTGGAATATTTCAAGACTTTTTTTTTTGTTTGGATCTTGATGATTTTTGCTCATGACTGATTTTTTTGTATTTATAACGACTGAAATTCGAGCCCTTTTTTGGTAGTTTGCCAGTTGGATGCATGAAAGGTGATCAACTGAGCTGTCCAACCATTTGGGCCTGCCTGGACTAGCTCTACACTTCATATTTAGCTCCTATAGCTAAAAAAAAAATTTTTTTTCTCTTAGACAATCCTGACAATCATCATGTTCCACGTCAACTCTCCCTCCTTATCTGAGCCATCTTCATTTGCATATTTACAAATTCCCATGATGCAATCTTTCCGACGTTAAAAAGCTCCATCACTCAGCGTGACCTTCATTTCTCTAATAATTGTTCTCTAATTTAGAAAAGACAGCATCTGTGGCACAGAGTCTCAGGGGACCCGGGGCTTCCCAACAGTGCTGCCTTGAGAGAAAAGCCTCCACTGAGAGGCTTTTATTTTGACAGTCAGTGTGGAGTGTCCAAGGGACAGAGACGAACACCCATGACACTTCGAATTTAATTCCAAACATCGCTTTCATTTTGCATATTTATGATGTTTATGACCGTAAATACGTCATTAAAGAGCAGATTTATGTGATTGTTGGCAGCGTTCGCATATTGGATCACTCAGGTGTCAGGTTGTTGGTTTATTAGGACGTGTAAATTGGCTGTCTCTACTTCCTGAAGGAACATGAAAGTGTTTGTCTGCTCTGCCCCTCTCAGATGCTCAGTTGGATTTAGGCCAAAGACAAAACATCTCACCCTCTGCACATGATTTACATGCATCATGGCTGAAAGCATGAGGACTTTAAACCTTAAAAAAAAAAAAAAAAAGTCCAGCCTGGGTGCAAAGTTTCCTTTTTCACTGAGTGGCGGTGAATAATGTCAGCGTGATCTATAACAGCAAACTTGGCAGACAGTCTTGCATTAAGTACTCTGTGACATTTTGTGAATTAGGTTCTACGTTCTCATGAATGACTGGATGACGCATTGTCTTAGAGGGAAAATCACTCCCTATTTCTTTAAATCAATCATGTTTGCAGCACTTTTACGTCACGGACAATCCACATCTTTTCAGATTACTTTGCGTAAAAAGATTCATCCAGAGGTTCACGTGGATCCAAACACAGCATGGGGACTAAATGCTATGAAAGTAAATAAATTCGCTCTGCTTTCCATGTTTGAATCTTCTTCTCCTGACACCACGGCGGCCCAGCAGCTCTTATTCCGCCATATTTAATGCACTTAAAGCACATCAAGTCTTTCAGTGTAAGCTCTCATAAGAATGCATACGTAAAATCCCTTGTAGCATGAGATATTTATGAGCCTCTTCGATGTGGTTGCACACTCCTTGCCCATGCACTAACATGCCTTCATAAGCCACTGCTGGGAGCTTAAGTTGAGCTGCACGCAGTTAATGCAGACAATGAGTGTGGCTCGCCATGTCAGAGCAGTTTTATACTTTTCCATCAAAGCGTGCCACACGTGTGAGGCGAGGGCGTGAGGTGTCGTGGAGGTGAGGTCTCATCTGAGACAAGACACACAAATGAAGTGAGGGGATGGCAGCGTGAGGGATGTGAGAGGAAGGGTTTTTGTTTAATGAGAAAAAGACGTGAAGAAATGTTTCCAAAGGGCTACTCATTACAGTTACGACTAAAACGACTTCTGAGTAACATATATTCTCTTCTTCAGAATTTATTTTCGGTATCTTCCTGCCTCCGCTGCTAATTTTCCATTTGGAACAAACGCACTGTAAAAAAGATGGATCACATGCATCCAGTACATTCAGGCAGCCGGGCTTCCTTCCATGTAAAGCCAATGCTCTGCAAGCAGCTGGCCCTTTGTGCCTTGGCCCCTTCGAGCCTTTCCGGATCTCCCGCTGGCCTGGCTCAGGGCACCGAGTGTGCCGGGAGTTGCCGGGGTAGAGACTGGCGCAGAGTGGAGAGGGCCATCCACTCTGACTGGCTGTTGTGTTCGTATCAGTCAGAGAATAACGAATGAAAAACAAAGCATGACAAACTATTGTTTTTGTCGTCTCTAGTTTCAGTGGTGTGGATACGTTCTATAATTTTTGTATATGTGACTCCACCCTTGTCTCATCTTTCTTAAATTTGACCAGTTGTGTAGTTTTAAATGTCATGTTTCCAAGAGGAACTTGATAATATTGTTATTTTGGTATTTTGGGGCCATAATAATCATGAGGTGAAAAACTGACACCCTGACAGCCCTTGGAAATACAGTGAGTAACTTTTAAAAGACTGATTTAAAACTAAAATTTTTCAGAAACTGAACTAAAACTTGTCATATTTATTTAACCTATATTACAGGGTTTGAGCTAGGAATGGTGACACTGCATCTGAATGTAAGTTGGCCAACTCATGCCAGGCACAGTTGACAGTGAGATCCAAAACTCTGCTCAGTCTCAGGCTACGTTCACACTGCAGGTTATGATGCACAATTCGGATTTTTTGTTAAATCCAATCTTTTTGTGCGGTCGTTCACATTACAACAACAAATGCCACATCTAATGTGAACAGAATGCGTCCGTGAAGTGAGCCGCATGCGCACAAAGCACAAATTGCTTTCCACGCCTGTTTGTGTTGAACAATGGTGACGTTTGTCGCATATTGATGACGTATAGGTCGGAAGGAACGCGACCTGAGCGTCCACACTGCAGTCACATCGGGTACATATCTAATTTTGGTTTCACATTGGTTTGTAGAGGTAATCAACACTTCTGGCCCTACATATCAAGCTAACATATCAGTCTGTTTACTTTGCTTTGTTTCTGGGGCAGCACTCAGTGTTGTTCATTTTAATAATAAATGTCGGGTACTTCCTGCATGAATTTCTCATGGTAATCTCATGATCCTCTACAAAGAGAAAAAAAGTAGTCTTAAGGAGAAAGAAGAAGAGGAAGAAGAGATGCAGGGAGCCTGTATTTTATTACTTTTAGAAAACCATTCAGTTTACCCGTACAAACTCAATCTCAGCTCCCTCTAAAATTGACTTAAGTATGCTTTTAAACACTATGTGAACTAAATTTAAACTTGATTCTTTATTGATAAACAAGTGGGAGTTAGTAGGCATTCCAGTGAGATGATTTTTCGATAAAGTGAGACCCTGTCTTAGTATTTACCATCTTTGCAGTGCACAAACCGACCCTGAGTGACACCAAGTCTGCTGCTCCACCCCTTCCATTTACACTTACAGTTAACTTTTTATACTCGACGTGGGCATCTTAATAAGTGAGCGGCTTCACCAAATGTGGCAGGTGCACCTTTTTTTTATTTTTTTTTAACTCTGCTCAAACTCAGCAAAACAAAAATTATGTCAACATATTTTTGTGTATGAGCATCAGTTGCATCAAAAGATGACACCTGCTAATAATCCCCCTGGATTAGCAGATGTTGACACAATCTAATATGACACACCCTGTTAGTTCCATGAAATATAACTATATAAAACATAAGTGAAGATCAGGGGAAAAAAAGGAGCAAACATTGTTGCTCCTGTTTCAGTAAACAAAGAACATCGTACCATGTTGAAGCAGAAGTTATCTTGTTTGAGCTGATTGTTTTTAAAGGAATAATCACAGAGAGGGCGTGTTATCAATCACTTTTTGGAATAAAATATGAGTATAATATTGGAAAATTGCATTAAGAGTTGAAGCAAAATCAATTTCTACTTTTGTATTGGCTTTTAAAGTTTCATTTGCTGGTGAGTCACACAGTTGTATGTGCTCACAAGAGACTGAATTATTAATATATTTCATTCGTGGGTTTTATTAAATTTTATTCTCATTTCGGAGCGGGATGATTTTTCAGATTTATTTAACCCAAACCATCTTCATTCTCAATTTGGATTTTTTTCTGAGTCAGATTTTTGTTAGGAGAGATACGAAACAACCTCTCAGGTTGAGAGGTGATGTAGTCTGTAGATCACAGTTTAGTGTTTCAAACAGTAAGCAAGCTTAGTGTTGTGCATGAATGGCATGATGCTCTTAAATAATTCATGAGTCTGGTTTGTATGTAAACAGTAAATGTGATCGCCTCATTAATTATATGGGCCTCAGAACTGGAGGTTCAGTGTGTCAGGGCTGCTAAGGGAAGAGAAATAAAACAGGGTTCACTGCCCTCAGTCAAGGCTGAATTCAGACCTCTGAGAGACTCTTTGAACTCAGGGTCACAGGCTGATTCATCAACACCTTCATGTACATTTCATCCAGTATCATCAGTCCAGCAGCAGCTTACTCTATGTTTGATTTCTCTATTTGTCAGAAATGTGTCATCTCAAATCAGCCGCAAACATTACAAGCACAATGTATTCAATAATGATAAATATTATAAAATTAATTGTACGTTAAAGGTCCGGTGTGTAGAAATTAGGGCCTGACCGATATGGATTTTTTGGGGCCGATACTGATTATGAGGGGGGTAAAAATCTGATTAATTATAGAAAATATATGTATATACTGTAATACTGTAGGCTACTGCTCTTCACGCCCACAGGAAGACCAGCTGATCAAACTCGGACCAGAAAAGCGTTTTCAAATAGGATAAGTCAGGGGAACTTTTCAAATGGTGGAACATTTTTGAAGTGAAACCGAATTTTATTCTCTGCATTTTATATCTGAAAATATCAGCGAGAATCGTCGAGTTTTGGACGAATACCGATTAGTCTCAAACGAACTAAAATTGGCCGATTCAATTGGCTTGCCGATAAATCGGTCGGGTCCTAATATTGAGATATCTTACAATCAGATTCTAGATTGAAACGCTCCTGTATTTTACCCTCTTGTTGGTTTCAGATCCAAAAGTTACTGTGACCTTTAAGGACAATTAGCTGCTGTGATGCATGACAAGTAGGATCCTCCAGTTTTTACCATCAAAATAACTATCAGTACAAATTCTGTTGAACTGCCAGACTTCTTCCTTTCAGTGACTGTGGTTCTTTGAGTCGTATGTACATGTAGACATACATATAATGGAGTTTTGAAAAGCTACTGTCATGGTTTATACACAGTGTTGAATGAGGACATCTGCATTGGAAACATACTGTTGCAAATGTATGCTGAATTGATCTGTAGTACAGCTGAGAGCACACAAAAATACTTCCTAATCTCAATTGAAGATCGCAAAACAAGTTTATATGTGAAGTTAGTCGACTGCACCTTTGCACACGTCAAACAGCTTCATCGAGAGAGGCAAAGGAAAGGACCAAACTGATTTGTATCGCATGTAACCAGCGATCCAAAATCTTAAATTTGGAAGATTTCTATCAGAATATGTTAAAAAGTAAAAGCCCTTTTCAGCAGCTACTGCCAAGGCAAACAATACGAAGAATCCATCAGGCCCTCCTTCAGCCACTCTCTGTTTTTATCTCTTACTCCTTCCTTCACACTCACTCGACTGGTAAGCATTTCTCCCTCACAGAGCTGGGCTGTAAAACTTAAAAAACAATCTATTCTGGGTCATAATTCATAACTGAATACCAGGGTTGGGGGTTTAAGGCATTGCCCCGGGCTGAAATTGAACACAGCACCTTTTTGAAATCTGAAGCTATTGAGGAGAATTATGATATGTGAAACCTGAGGGCCTTTTTGTCTCTGCGCAGAGCTACCGGCTGATGTAATTTAAGCTGGCGGAGGGTTATGGGATCAATCAGCAGAGGATAAGAGGGGAAAAAATGGAGAGAGGAAAGGTGGAGCAGCAACAGAGCTTTAACATTCCCTGCTGCTTTCTTAGCATCACTCTGGGTGGTGCAGTGTGGTCATAAATAGGCAGCCCCCCTGCCCCCTGTGTTAGTGCTATTTTTATACCCGCTAATACAAGGGGGGTTAGAGAACCAGCTGTGTGGTGAAGTGACAAGAAAATGTTATTGTTGGCTTGGAGTTAAGAGAGCTGTAGCGATCAAAGCGGCATGCGCATACCCATAGAGGAGCGTTTGTGGAAGAATTAGCCCCTGTGTTGTTGTTTTCTTATTAGATTAGAGCCGAAATTTGTTCATTTAGGACTCTGGCTGTGCTCCAGTGTGGCATGTGTTACGATAATTGAATATTACATCTATTTCAGATCATGAAAATGCCGTTGTGCTCTGATTAAACATGTTTTGGAGTTTAATCAGAGGTCAAAAGTTCACCGACAGGTCAAATTACTGCCTGTAATGACTTATAAAACAGGTTTAAATAAAAGTTTAAATGAGATTTGAATTGCAAAGTGGGAAAAATATGTTTTTGGGATGACTTGGACCTACCATCACACCTCTGTGACATTTTCACTGTGAATGCAAGTTATTACAGAGGTGCAAAAAGCATCGAACTAGCCGTCTGATCTTTCGACCAACACTGCAAACCCTATAAACACCCATGATTCGATGTAAACAGATGTTTAAATAAAAACCCAAATAGTCTTTTAGCAGCAGAGAGCCAAAGCGTCATCATGGGATCGTTGCTTTATGTTACATGCAGTTCAGAAGACAGACATATGATCTCCTAATGGGAGATCACAGCTCGAATTACCTCGGTTATATTGATGCGAGGTACAAATAGCTGCAGCATTACTTTTATGAGGTTTCATAAGATTTAAAGAATATAAATCTATTCAATATATTCTAATAAAGACATCACAGGTCATATAAATAGTGATGTAGGAACTATGGGTCCAGATGAATGCCTCTGCAGATGGGTTAAAAATAAAGAAAATCAAAGTGGCTTTAAAAATATCTTATATCTTATACATTATATTTTCTTGTTTAAATGTATGGTACAATATTGCAGCATCTTTTTATAGTTCGTCGACTTGCATGACCTTTTGGCCGCTTGTGCAGATCTGAACAGAGATTAAGTCCTCACCACCAATCAAAGCAGAGACGGATCATATTTCCTCTGCAGAACTCAGAGGGTCTGTCTCATGGCTGTTTTTCCTGTATTCCTGTTCATGATGGAAGAGTATCCTGCTCACTTTGTCTGCAACATTCAGTGTAGTTAATTATTTAAGGGTCTGTGTGGGCCTGTTTTTTTAATTCCTGTGCCCACCTGCGCTCTCAAAAGAATTTGGACCACTCCCACCAAAGCCCCTGCAGAGATTCAATCCTGTCTGCAACAATGTTCGGCAAATCTGTGTCACCAACCCGCAGGCGGAATAACACACACGACCCCACATATGCTCTGTCTCTCTGCATGTTTGACCTTCATGTTTCCTGCTGATGTATACTGTACATGTGTTTCATTATTAATATCCTGTAAGCAATTCAGCCATCATTTATTCATCTGCTAATTACCACTTTCTCCTGCGTGGCTTTCACATTCCTGACTAAATGACAAACAGCATAATGAGCTTTTCTATACATGATGATTTTGTTGATGAATACGACTGAAAGAAAATCTGCACTTCTGTCTGTTGGCACGTTTGTCCGGGTTTGCTCGGCTCATGTTGACCCCTCCTGTTTGGATCTCTGACCGCGCTGCACTGACTCTCAGATCTACATCACTTTGGACAAAACTCTCCACTGATTAAACTGTAAGATTATTATCTCATAAAGCTGTCTTCACTGGTACTACTGCTCCAGATAATCTTAATTTGTCTGAGCTCTCTCTGGTCCAATCACACCACGCAGTTGGAGTCCCAACCCTCCGAACAAGAAATCTCGTAAAGTCTCTGGTGGTCAAACATGAGTCGGGGCGTATACAGCACTTTTCATACACGACCATGTAGCACAAAGTACTTTACACAGAAAAAGGAATAGAAGAAACAAAGAATACCCAAATCTACCCCAGCCCAACCCCTTATCCCCACCCAATGATCTAAACATAACAGGAACAGTTTTAAAATGAGTTAAAGTAAAAAGGACTTGATTTCGTGGAAACAGGAATGTGCGCACTGAGGAAACACCATTTTAAAACTCAAGATAAATAAACACTGGTGGTTTAGGTTAAAATCTAAAAAACAAAGTAACATAGAATTAAATTTAAGAAATAATAAATAAAATGAAATAAAAATGATAGTCAAAGATACTAAAATAAGAGCACCAAAAAAACGAACAAAGTTAATGATATAAAAATTAGTTAAAAGCAAGACTAAATAGGTACGTTTTGAGTTTTGTTTTGAAGTCATTCAGATTAGGTGTAGTCCTCAGGTCTTCAGGTAAGCTGTTCCATAGACGGGGGCCGTAGTAATTAAAAGAAGCCTCACCGTATGTCTTGGTTTTAACTTTAGGTAATGTTAACAGAGAACTTCCTGAAGACCTGAAAACTCTACCTGGCTCATAAGGTAAAAGCAGATCAGATAAATAAGATTGGCCAAAGCCTTTAAGAGCTTTAAAACCCAATAAGGCAAACCTTAAAATCTATTCTAAAAGAGACGGGTAGCCAATGTTACCAAATCGTGAACATGTTCAATATTTATAATTCGGCAGAGGGAAGAAAAATCTCCCTTCACACACCTCAGGATAATATGGCGAAATAATCTTTACGACCATCTGATAACCAGGCCTTCGATGACTTTTGTCAGACGCCAATCCAGCATAATTATCCTGTAGTGTGTTGTCGCACTGTCAAGCCCTGAAAGGCCAAAATCAGAAAGCACAGCAGACAAGTATCAGCTAATTCTGTTAGTATGGCAAAAAATGCAGCCACAGACACTTTCCAGTGTCCAAACATTGGCTGATGGCTGACTGCTGTTTATAAAAAGAAGATAAACTTCATGTTAAAGGAACTCACCCCTAATTATTTTAAAAGCAACGTAAAGTTGAAAAGGAAAGAAAAAGCAAACAGTTACTGGATGCAAAAACAAGATAATCATTAACCAAGCAATTTAGGTTCAGATAACTACATTTATACATCAATCTTAACTGTAAATCAACCTCTAAGTACGTGTTTTCATGGCACATCTGAGAATCAGCTGTCATTACATTTCTAACTTACCTTCTGATTAATTCAGTGATTTACACTGAGCCGAACACTGCTCATGAATGCACCATCTGGGTACGTTTTCAGCCATTTCTTCATTGACTTAAAAGCAAAAATAGTACCTGACAATATGAACGCATTGGCTGCAGGTCACTCATGGTTCATTCTGTAGATGCAGAAACATCACAGGCGTTTTTTTCTGCCATGCCTCGGCAGGAAAAACGCTGAGTTGTTAAATTTTGTAATCAATGCTCATAATCAAAATCAGACTCTGTGACAGTTCAGCGATGCTGGCAGCTGCTGCTGACAGACGGCTCTCAAATGTAGCGCAGTGGGTCATGAAAGATGCACAGTAGGCTGTATTTCACCAAAACAATGCAGATTACAGCTTCATTCACAGCGAATATGGAATCTATTTGTAGAGCTGTGAGGTAGCTCGAGTGAATGTGATGATTCATTTTAAGTTAAAGCCTGCGGAAAATTCACTGTGTCCTCTTTAAAGAGGAAAAAAAAAACAGACGTGTCTGCAGCTTACAGAGAAAATTCACGTCTGGTGATGTCAGGAGAAAGTGTAACAGATATTCTAAAGCTCATCTCTTAGCTCGGGCTCTTGGCACTCGCCGCTGCCTCTCAGCGTTTTTGCTTGATTAAAAAGCACCCAGGAGTTTGTAAGCGCGTGGTAGGTGCGAGCGCACACCCTGACAGCTTAACATACTGATTATTCAAGCCTCTTAGGCTAAGCCACGGCACTCGAGTGATGAACGTCAACTCCCCTCCCTCCCTCACACAGGCTCCATTTCTCCCTCTCTCTCTTTTATTCTTCATTTGAAAGAGTGGAAAGCCAGTGACAGCTTGCAGAAGGCAAACCTGTTGTCTGGGAAGCAGAGGGGATCAGTGACACAGTGATTCATACACTGCTGCGGCTTTATTTAGACATAATCCACACAGTGCAGGGTCCGCGCTCACAACTTCTTGTATGGATGTTGCCGGCTATAGTCAGGCTGTGTGTTGTCCTGCACTGCGGACCACAGGGAGAGTCCCACAGGAGAGGTTTAGTGCATTAATGGCCGTCTGATGTCCTCCAGGAGGGGGTCAAAATATCACAGACCGGCAAAGTGCTGTTTTTGTCCACACAGCAGATTCCATCATGCTTTTTCTGTGTTCAGGGAGCCGTCTGAAGTATGTTTTTCTGCATTTAGCCACGTCCTTTTCTGCCCTGTGCACTGTGTTAGCATTACAACTTCCACTTCACTACTCATGATCATTTACTGCTATGTTCAAAGCTATCCTAACGTGTCCACTAAGCTTATTAAGGATGTTTGTTTCCATTTTAATGCCATAAAAATATCATTAATACTGATCAGCCACAAAGAGTGGCTGGGTTTGTCGTTAGCCAGACTGAGCGTGCTCCCTCCCGGCTGGTGAGGCTTTGACTGTTTCCACTGAGCCACACCTGACCGACAGATTGGTCCCTGCTGGAGGCTGAGGGAGGAACAGACACAGCAGACACTCACCTAGAGATTTGGCCGACATCACCGATATGTACAGAGAAAGAGGACATAAAATTCCACTTTATCTGACGTGTTCATGACCAGACTTTGGTATCGATTAAGCTTTAGTTTTTTTAAATACTATTAAATCCCTAAATGCCAAAACACACCTAATTTATGATTCTATAAGATTTCCTTGTAATTACGTCAATATTTAGATTTACTTTCATTCTTTAAAGGTAAATCACGGCACAGTAAAGTTTACATTAAAGCCACTATTTGTGTTTCCACAGCAGACTGTACCATATCCTGGTATATATATATATCCTGTGCTTCATGCAGGATGCATGTTGGCCCCCTGTGTAAATCTCCCTTACATGCACACTGAAAATAAAGCCATTTACAGACACACAGCAGCCAACATGCTTCCTGTATATCCTGGAATGGCTTGATTTCTGGTGAGCGTGTAAACACGTTAAACTATTTACTCTGCAGGTGTGAGAGGCGCATCTTATCCAAGCCGCACCGATCTCATTTACAAATACACAGAAGAATAATAAACTGAGGGTTGTGTTCACTTTATATCATGTTCCTGTCACAAGCATGAAAATGTCTTTTGTTTAAAGTAATAATCATGATGCACTGATCAAATAAATCGAAATAGAAAATATATAAATCGTAACATTTCCTCCCTCCCCGTCTTCCTTCTCTTTTATTGTAGTTTAGGGTCTGATCGGCTGTTGGTGCCCCTACAGAGGGGTGCTAAAAGAGTGAGGTGGATCAGTTATTTGTTTTCAAAAAGCAAAAACTACAGCACACTGTAAAGGTAAACTACTTTCACTAAACTGCTCTATCAGTAGGTGGCAGGATACAATCCATCATGACACACAGAGACAGAAAGCACAACCACAAGCTGAGCAGACAGTTGACATGATTTCACCAGAGTGGATGTTTCCCTCTGTTTCAAGACAAGACAGCACTGTTAAAACTTGCATAACATGTTACTGTAAGTAAGCCAAGAGAAAGAAAGGACTCCCCAAGTTTGGCCACAAACACTAAGAAACAGGAAGCACCAAACAAGGGCGCTCTGTAGTGCTGATTGAACAGGTGTTTGAGAACTGCAGAAGCATGCTCAGTTCAACAGCACAGGGGTTTAAAAGGGATAGTCCAGCGTAAAATTAATGTAGGGTCAAACACACCGTAACACTGAGTTAGACACCCCGTCGAGAGATGAATGTTGCCGACCGCTTGCATCTCTAGTTATACCAACTTTAGTAACAATCGCAGGATAGCGATACAAAGCGTTCTCAGGAGCCATAAACAAACCTTAACCAAAATGCCACTCTATAGCCACAAATAATGCTCAGCATTATTATCAGCACCTAACTTCATCAACAGTACAGGGTCCCATCCACAGTACTAGCTATCAAACATCTTTTTAAATTTGCCTAATTTCTTTAGCAAAGACACTAAACACAACTTACTTATTCTCTTCCAGCAGCCGCTTGTTTGTAGCGAGACCTCTCGGCTTGGTTTCAGTTACCAAGTCAGAAATGCAAAATCGGAGGCCTGAAAAGAGATGGCTTCATCCACGAGAGTGATTTTAGCGCTTGCCTTATATTCGGACAAGGCAAGCGCTAAAATAACTTTCGTAGTTGTACCCATCTTCTTTCCCCCCCGATTTTGCTTTGTTTGCGAATTGGTAACTGAAACGCTGGGAACTCAGGTGTGACGTCATTTTCCATCCATTTAAAAAATAGAAAAAAAAACAAACTTCTCAGTTTGGACTTTGTCTTTATCAGTCAACCGTAGCTGCAGTAGAGTACTGTGGCAAGATCTAACTGTATAAGGTTGGTAAGTTGTTGACCATGCTGGTAATTTACAGGCAGGCCTTGTTATCCGTGGTCATGTCCTCTCATCTGTGTCTTCCTTTCATTCAACCCTCCTATCTTAGAGGAGAGAAGGTACAGCTGTGCTTCCTGTTTCCCTGACACACTTTTCCTGACGTCGTCTTTATTTTTTTATTTTTGTACTTCTTTTTTTTTTTCGGTGCCGCTCCCGAAACATTCTGCAGGAGAGGTTGCTAAGTCAGCGAGAACGCAGCCGGGTGTGCTTAAGCAGATGTAGAAAAGGAGGCGAGTGCTTCAGGAGCTTGAGAAAACACTTCCCCGGGTTGCTGCTGCCGCTGGCGTGTGCTCGCTCTGAGTCTTAGGCGGTGGGTCTGACGTGGGAGAGCTGCTGTAATGAAAGGGGGCAGGTCTGAAAAAAAGAGAGCTTAAAATCCCATTAGCCCTTGCTGCACTTTTCCACCTCCCCATATGTACAACCTAATTCATTAATCACTAAAAATTTCAGAGCCCCCCGCAGGGGACCCATTTAAGAATCCCATCATGTACTATTAAAAGTAACACTTATGGACGCACCAAATGACGCTAAAGTGTGTATTTGCCAACTAACAAACACGTCACCTACAGTGAAGCATTACTGGACACTCCTTTTTCTCCTATCTTTCTCTCGATCCACATTAGGGAAAGGGAAATGCTCTTAACCCTCCCTTCTTCCTCCATTATTCATTTAATGGAATACTGAAACTGTGTCAGTGCAACTGCTCAGATATTGTACCAGACCTGCTGTGCAACCCTCCTCCCTCTGAGTCTTAGCTTTCCCGCGTGCACGCCCCCTGCCTTGTCGTCTTATCTCCTCTCTCATGTTTTGTCACCTGAAGACTTCACATGACATTTTGGGGTCTAATAAAGACACACACCGAGTGTTTAAGATCTGCACAACAACCCAAACTGATGCAGTGAAGCGTTGTCCAACTTTTATAATAGCTTGTTTATCAACACAGCAGCATGCATCTTCTGTGTACTGATATTGTCATGCTAATTTGAGCCCAATCTCTGCAACATGTTCCCTTGATTTTCAAACATGTTGCAGAGATTTCCCTGTTTCCCCTGCAGGCGAATCCAAAGTGGAGGCAGATTACTTAACCAGCATGGTGTGATCTCTGCACACACAGATTTGATAGAACTTGATCCATCAGCTAATTCGCTTTTGTCGCTCGGTGAGAGGGAGGGCTGCATGACATCATGATTACCCCCCGCAGTCTCTCCACCACACACGAGCATACCGCTGTTGTCATGTGCAGTCTGTCTAACTCCGAACCGTGGAGAGAATTTCTGCACATTTACATGCAATGAGAAAAAAAAAAACCTTTGAAATGTTGTTTGGGTTAATCCCAAATGCATGGATGTTTGGCTACAAAAACACTGTGTGCTACATGTTGTAAACACGTACTGTATATTTGTGTGCAGAGAGTAGAAAACTACAGAAAAACAGCTCTGAAAGGAGGTTCTTCATTTTTTCACCCCTCCTGGGATTAAGTGGTCAAAGACTGAAACATCAAAGAGTGTCTGTGTCGTCTCCATGTTCGGGAAAAGCTCTTACGCTGAAGGTGTGACGACGTCAAACGCTGTTAACTCTGCACAATGTAAGGCTTCCCCGACACAAACGCACATTTTCACATTTAAGAATTAAGCCTATACATCATTTATGATTGGCTCTTTTAGCGTGGGGAGAATATAATTGCTTATTTCTCGACCTGCAGAATTAATTCATGGGTGGGATGCAAAGCATGAAGGTTTGGGGGATTTGAACAATTTAGCTTTGATGTGCGTTTCCATTCATTTCCATTTAGATCAGAGCACTGGGGCTGTTGAAAGGTCTTCAGAGCCACTGACCTCATTAATGCGCTTAGATCAAACACTCTTTTTATCGCGTTTATCTGCCATTTAGTAACAGGGTTCTCCGTCGCAGGGTCATAAAGCTACAGGAGGCTGCAAGGCTATTTCAGTGTGCCTTATAAAACAAGAGGAAAACTACCTTGTTGTGCAACATTTGGCCAACTTAAGGCGTAACACAGTTGTACTTTGCTGTCTGTTTTGAATGTTTGCAAGAAAAATTGAAGAAGTTTTTGAAATCTCAGTTTTAGGGAGCCTTTAAAACAGATTAATCAGATCACTAATTAGTCCCTGCTCTCTGCTTAGAGGTAAGGTAATCAGTGAAATCACCAGGTGGAGTTTTGAGTTGGAAAGAAAACCTGCAGCCTCTCGGCCCTCTATGGCACATGATTGCCCACCCCTGCTTTAAGATATTTGCATTGAATTGTCATTTTAGTCGCAGATCCAAGAAATCCATTTACGGTATTTCCAGACTATAAGTCACACTTTTTTTCACAGTTTGGCTGGGTTTGCGACTTCTACTCAGGTGCGACTTATTAAAATATATAATTTCACATATAGTCTGACGACAGTCACGCAGAGGAGGAAGTGGCGCTTCGTTCACCTGTGGAGTTGGCAGAGTTGTTCAGAAGTCACACCAAGGATGAAGAATTCGATGGATTTAGTTCTTTGGAGTGAGATTGAGAGTTTGGTAAACTTGTTTTGTTATGTTTTTTATAATTTAGCTATCTGAATAACTGTTAATATGTCACATTAACATACCAGACACCTATTGAGTTTGTTGTTTATGCTTCATGTAGCTGAATAAACATCAGCATGTTATGTAAGCATACTGTACACCTATTCAGCCTGTTGTTCTCTATTCTACTGTTATTATTAGAACTTGCCTGTCAAGATGAAATGTCTGGTCTTGGTCTTGGATTTTGTGAAATGAATTTCCCCCCAAAAATGCGACTTATACCGGTCTCTGTTTTTTCTTCTTCATTATGCATTTTTTGGCTGGTGCGACTTATCCTTCAAAGCGACTTACAGTCCGAAAAATACAGTACTTTTTTCACATCTGTTTTGAGGAATCCTCCAGTGTTGTTTTAGTGCATACTCTTGCACTGCTTTAGAGGAACTCTTAAGTGTATATTCGAGGTACAATTAACTTTCTGTTTGGAGAGATCTCCTGAGGTTGTATTAAGTTCTGCTTCAGTCTCTGTTTCGTTTTAGCCTCTGACTTTATCTTTTAGCACCTGTCTCAACATCTGTCTGTAAAGCCAAGGATAAAGGCCACATTTCCAAAATAAAGAAACATGTTTTCAAGGACAGAGCGATAAACTCATGAGAGTAACGTTTCATGTGTTCATTAAATTAAATGTAAACGTAGGGCTTCAATCTCATAAACGTATGAGCTTTATGTTGCACTTCACATGATTAAAAAAGTTTACAGGAGAAAAGTGTTACATCTGAGACTTTAATCTTGTTAATTTATGGGGATTAATGTACTTTCTGAGACTACAGCTGTAAATTTATGTTAGAGAAGCCGTAAATTTACAATTTCAGTCTCATTAGTTTATGAGATATGGATTAGAGTTGGACTTAATGTGATCAGAGTCATAACTAAAAAGAATAAAGTTGCACATTTATGAGAGGGAAAGGTGCAGTAACAGGCTTTGGTTAGTTTAATGTTGACATTTAATGTCAAAAAAGGAGGATGTGAAGAATCAGCCAGCTGCCTGCACTAAACTATGAACAGCTGAAGGCTCCTATTTCTGATCTGAATAACACAGACGAGCTGAGGACTGAAATTATGATTATTTTTCTCATATATTGAAAACTTGATTTAATTCATCAACACCTCTAATTGGTCAGGTTTTCTTCTTTCTTTACTTTCTCTTTACGTCTGACTTCCTTCCTCTCAGGTTGCAGGTGGAGAGACACTTATGTTGCCTCTGAAAATAGCATGTAATGCGGGTTTCTGACTTTAAAGTAAAGGTCTGGAAGTGTGCAAAACGAAGCATATATTGATGTTATAGTTGACCTTTCTCAGAATTGGCTGAATTCGTCCAGCTGACTTCATCTGCAGTGGTTGATAACTTAGCTTCTCTTTGCTGGCTTGTATGTCTTAAAGGTGGGGTAGGCAGGATCTGAGGAGGGGTCAAGTTTTGGGAGAAATCTTGAATGTAAAATCTACGCCTCCCAACTAGTTTTCCCCTCAAAAGGGGAAAACTGAAAGGTTTTTAGCAGAACTGACGCTGCTGTGTGCATCAGCTTTAGTTTGTCCGTAAAGATCAAGCTCTTAATTGCTAGTGAGGAAAGCATCTCAACTCGTAATCACAGCCTTGCTCCTCAGACACTATTTTAGAACAATGGCTCTTTTGTGTGCTTTTATTTACACGAGCGAAAGAGAAGAAAACTCAACAAAGCACCCAACTGTCTTCACTTTGACAAAAAAAGAGAGCAGAGTTAGTTCAACATCATAAACTCTGTTACTCTGCACCTTGGGGAGCAATCAGGCTCCATTTGCAGCACGTCCTCACAAAAAGACGGAAAATCAGGTAACACAGCCTGTCAGAAAAATTGACTGGTCAACAGTTTGCTGCTGGTAATTTATCAGGTTTATTAAATCTGGCACTTTTCATCTGCAGAAAAATTGTACTAGTAAGGGGAAAAGCAGCTGTGCAGTTTCCATGCACATAAGGCAGCGTGTCTCGCGATGCGTGAAACTCATTTGGCTGACTGTGTATTTATAGAGAAGTGGGATCTGTTGGACAGCTTAATAAAGCACATTATAGATCTGCACTTTCCAGTAATAAGAAATATAAGGAAGCAAAGAGGGATACTTGTGCTGGACATTAGCGGAGCGATGAAGACATTTGCTTCTTTCCTCCTAGAGCAGGATTGATAAGGCTCATATTCTCTATTGGAGGCGGTAAATTAATGTTTCTAATGTGGCAATGAGGAATAAGTTTAACTATAATTAGATTATTCTAATGATTTACATAAATTTGTGTCTTGGTGTTGAGGAAAAACTCTCCTCGGTCCATTCAGATGAAACTGCGCTTCAGGAGGAAGAAAAGTGATAATTCTGGTCTGTATCAGAGTACAGATACAGAGTTTAAGCGATGAATCAACACAAAATGACACTAAAAGGGCAAATTTCCATTAAGAAATCTGTTTCCACGTAAAGCATTCTGCTCGCAGGTTACATATCACACAGTTAGAAACAGACTTGAGCCTGTAAATCTGAGAAACGCTCATAAAATTGATTTAGCGGGCCGTGATAGGATGTCGATCTTGGAATAAATTGGTTGTGGAACTTTATTTATTAAACGAGATGCTTGTCACAGCTGATCACACCAAACCCTCGGTGCGGCTCGCAGGAAACAGTAAGCTGCTGGTGACCCCCAACTGCTGCAGAGGGAAACTGCACTCACTTTAAAAACTGGGAATAGAAGATGAATAAATTTAAAAGGTCAGAAAATAAATATAGGAATAATAAAATCAGATCTTTATTGTATTTTGATACCAGACAGTATGCAGCCGAACCATGAGGGTTTTTGTATTTGACCCGGTTTGATAAAGGAGTTTGATTGTTGTCAGTTTGTCAGAGGAATACAAACACATTTATTCCCATCACTATGTAGGAATGTGTGATTTGTATTCAGAGCTCTGTGTTTCGCTGCTCATTCACACAGATGTCACACAGGATGACCTGATTTGAATAAACAGTGAAAGAAGTGATTGATCTGACAGCCCATAAAGCGATTCAGACAGGCCTCAGTTTGAACATTTATTCATCTCCACATTTGTTTTTGTTTATCCAGGGGACATTCAAGTCGTATTTGCACAAAACCCTTCAACATTATTTCTATAAATGTTGTTTGAAAATCAAGTGATGAACATGACATTATCTCTAGATTAGCTCCAAACTTTGAATATCTACATGTCAAAATAAAGAGACTTACAATCATTTTGGGATTTAAGCAGGAACTCAGAGACTTTTAGTTAAAGCTGCAGTGTTAAGTTTTTATCTGGTTATAAAATAGTCTGAACTTCGATGCTGACGCTTTCATATGAGCTACAACAGCAAACCAGAACATCAGCACAATGATCGACTCTTTCTGTGACGCTATTGTAAAAAGCTAGTGAGGGTACCTGTTGTAGTGATTCCTATCAAAACAGCCTTTTTCAACTTGCTAGAAACTTCATTAAGTTTCTTGTTTATCTATTTAAATAGACGAGTTATGATGTGGTGATGGTGCGACTGAAAAGATATAATTAAACGACTGCTGAGGGGACAACAGGCACTGCACTGCCCTGCCAACAGGGGGCGCTAAAATCCCCCACAGTGTTTATATCACTGGTCCAAATGTTTTTGTTTTTACAATTTTTTCAGTTCTTCTTTTAACTTTTACTTCTGTTACCCTTTAAATTATTTTCCACCTTTGTTTATTGTTTTATTCTTTATTTGTATGTCTGAGTTATAATATGGCTCTAGCTTTGTCTACCTACCTATACCAACTGTATCTACCTATGGCCGACTATTTTTATTATTATTTTAAATATTGTTCTGAAAAATATCATTTTATCATATAGAGGTATATTTAAAAATCATCATTATTATTATGATTATTATTATAGCCACAGAACTGCCTTCTCAGGATCCTTATGAGGGGAAAAAAGTGTGGACAATGAAAAATATACTCTTTTTAATAAGTTTTGAGTCACTTCATCACATTACTAAGAGCTGATTTAAAGTGAGGGATTATGAACTTGAGTATAGTAAAAAAGTCCAGTTCTCTATGAACCACAGAGTTGTCAAACGCTGCTTTCATGCTGTTTTTTTTTTCACCCTCAACCACAGGCCTAACAAAGATTTGCTGGATTTAGTAATGTAGCAGAATTATTCAAATTGGTTTGACTTGTAGGTGTACTTCAGTCTCAATTGTGCCTCATCTTCTCACTGTTAAGAATTGTACATAATAATAAGTATATTATCAGTGTGAGAGTGTTTCATACTCTTGTGGTGGTTTTATACACATGCTGGCCTTTCCATTTTCAAACAAACCTGTGTATAATGAGTGCTAACACTGTGTCTTCCCTTCTTGCATTTTGGCAGAGTTGATATTCTCTGTGTTGCCAGATTTTTTCGACGCCCTCCTGTTTCAGTGCCAGTGTGTGGTCACTGTATGGATACAGACTGTAGCTTCTGTTGCTCTCAGTTTCGAGTCGCTGTGCCAAGATAACGGGTCTTGTTTTTACAGCTTGTGTACTAAAACCCCAGAATAAAAGTAGTTTTAGGTTACAGACAGCATCTTTGCAGACACTAAATTACTGGTAGGGGCTGCTGGATACTGGAATTTATCTTATCAATCTTTGCTCATTGTGAAAACTGTGTAGGACTTATCATAAAATGCAAAACGTTCATTTAATTGGCATATTTTGCCTTAAAATTCTAGACTTATATGAGTGTTTTGCGTGGCATACTTTGGCATAAACTGTGCTTTTGATTTTGCAAATTCAAATCTGACGATAATATCAGCCACACTGCACAAGACCCCTGAAACACAGGTCAAAGCACACACATGAACAACACTGGTGAACATTAAACACGTACACATACACAGGGCCTTGTCTCTCTAACACATGCCCACAGCAGACCAAGCGTACACACACACACACACTCACACTCCCCCACCCCCCGACATTCGCTGTGATGAGCAGGCAGGAAGAAGGGCCTCTCTGGGTATAAATATGTCCAGCGTCAAGATATACAACTGGCAATTCCATCTCCAGTTGAAGCCTCGTCGATTGCTTTTTGCCCCTTCCCTGCAACTCACGCAGGCATGCAATACACACAAACAGAGCTGCGGCCTTGCACAGGTGCACGCGCCGCACAGGCACGTAATACACACACAAAAGCAGAGGGTCAAAGATGGGATATCTGTGAAATGAAGTATGCAAACAAGGCCATCTATTCTGCGCAGATGTTTTTTGTGCAGTGGAGCAGCAATGCACAACCAAGGAAGAAGGGTGATCTGGAGCCATAGTCCTCTGTGATCACTTTGAACAGAAATTCATTATATGCATCACTATAAACACACTTAAATAAAAAAGAACAACAAAGGTCGTGAGATGAATACTTTTTAGGGACAAAGTTCAGAGCGAGAGTTCTTGAAGCTACCGTGTTTTGGTGAAACATTAAAATACCAAAGAGTTTCTGTTGTCAGATTTCAGGTTCAGGTTCAGGTTCAGGTTACTTTATTAATACCCGAAGGTAGATTTGTTCTGCAGTGAAATAAAGTGATGACGTCCATTTATACAAGTTACAGTACAAATATAAAACAACCACAAAACAGAGCACATGATAAAAGCACCCCAAGGCTCCCCAGTCAGGACACAAGAGAGGGAGAAAAACGTCAATACATAAAGAAAAGCAAATAAATAACCCAAATAAACAACCAACATAAATAACTAAGTAAATAATACCTCCGCAGTATGTGCTAATTGTGCAAAATCTCTACAACTTGTTCACTTCAATAATAGCAGCAGGAACAAAGCTGTTTCTGTAACGTTTAGTTCTGCATTTGGGGACTAGAAACCTCCGTCCAGAGGGAAGAAGCTGGAACGCTTTACGCTGTGTAAAGGTTGGGAGTCGTCATTTAGAATAGAGGAAGCTATCCGTTGTAACTGTTTGGTGTACAGGGATGCCTGGAAACACGTGAATGTACGCTGCTGTTCTCTGTTTGCTCGGTTATCTCTGTGCTGCTGAGAGCAGCAGGTTGATTGATGAGTTGGCATTATTGATTTGAAGTGGCTGGGTCAATCCGACCACACCTCATTGATTTTATTACAGGAAGAAAAATATTATGCAGAGAAATTACCCCGTCGCAGCGAGAATACTCCTCCTGCCTCCGCTATGAAACAGACTAACTAAACTGTTGTAAAGTTGTAAGACTGTTTGTGAGGACCTGACTCATTGGGCAGAATTGTTGAGTGTGCATTCACTGAAAATGATTTTGGAGTAACATCACTCTCACAGGCGCCTCTGCTCGCTATATTACCATCGACTATGCTAAAACAATAACACACAAACCTAAATAATAGACATTCACTCCTCTGTCATTTGTCCCTGCAGGTGGTTTTGCTTTAATACTCCACGTTTAAGAATTTGACGACAGTACAAATCAAAGTTTCAGAAACTTCAGCTCTTTATCATAATGTATGTAGAGTTTTCTTAAGGCTCGAGTTTTTCTACATTGTTTTTTTTAAAGTGTCAGTGTGCAGTAACTGCCAAAAAGAAAAAAAAAACACTCCTGAAGCAGAAATCCTTGAAACGCAGCAGTCAAGACAGCTGATGCGCCCTCTCCAATAAACGTAGCGTTACTAATCCCTCCCTCACACATGACAAGGCCTCGTCGTCTTACTCACAATGAGCGGTCTCCCTCTAAACGACTTCAAAGCGGAGCGTTCGCCGCCACGCAGACTTGACTGATGGAGCTACGTTTCTGTCAGAAGCGGACGGGGTTAACTAAACAAGCAATTTCCACACGGCAGCGTTTGCTAAAAGGCTCGCCGGGGCCAGCTAAGCTCCTGTGATTGGCCTTTGTGTGTGAAAGTGACCACTTAAGTGCTGTGCAGCCCCTCCTGACTGCGTTTGGAGGAATAAGCATTTCCTCCGACTTTCTGCATGCTCACACTCTCGGTTTGTGTGTGTCCTTGAAAACATGTTGGTGTGTGCCTGCTCGCCCGCTGGTGCATTTGTTGTTTTCTTTTTGCTGTGTGTGCATGTGTGTATGAAAAGTTGGCTTCTTTGTGATGTGGTTAGGTATGTTTGGATTATTACTTCGCAAAGAGGGAAAACTGACTGAGTTACAGGGACAATTTCTTAGCTCAGATGGTTTTTATAACAACACACGATGATCGTCTTCATGTAACTTTATTTACATTCATGTTTTATTATTCTAGGGGTATATGATCAAAAAAATAACTAATATAATATTCATAGGTTTGGTAAAATTTGCAATAATCACCTGATTACAAAATTGGTTTTGTTTTTATTAAGTTAGAATGACCAGGTGTTAAAATCTAGACAAATGGAAGATCATCACAGGAGCTTCTTGTCCTCTGAGGCCACCGTTCCTTCCCTAACAGCAGGGTTGAGCAAGGGAGTGTTTCAATGTGGAGTCACACTGTTAAATACTGCTAAATATTTCAGTTTATACACACTTTATCTTTAAGGTTATGTGGTCTAAAAGAATGAACAACTTTTCTAGAGTTTTCTTTTCTATTCTTACATGTTCAATTATATTTCTACACGTTAAAAAGTCACTTAAAAAGTGATTTAACCTGCTGCTAGTTTGGGATAAACTACCTCAGTGATGGATTTTAGTTTGAACTTTAATACAATTTATTACAAATCATTTGAAATCTTTATGTTTGCCAAACTACCATCCCCCTGAGTTTGTTTTTTTCTTTTTTCATGTTAGAAAACAGCTGATTTCATTGTCGTTTAAGCTGAAAATTAAAATCTTACAAACCAACTCGTATACAAGAAAGAAAACATTCTTCCTCAAACCCTAACACTCAACATTTTACACCTCAACTTTGAATGTTATTGTTGCAAATGCAGTCAGTTGTAAACATTGACTTGCAGGAATCTAAAGGGGCACTCCTGATCCACAAACTCCATGAGAAAGTCTGCTGTTAAACATGAATAAATAACAGGATGTTTTGCACAGGGAGGACTGCTGAAGTCATTTTTGGTAAAAGCTGCTACGTGAGCACAGAGACCGAATTACCATCACCTGCTTACTCATGTGACTCACCCGCATTCATGTCTGTGTTTGGGTGAGTCCTGTCACGCACCAGAATGGCACAAAAGTACCATCCAATATCGACTTTGTGACTTTTAAACAAATATAGGCTCACTGGTGAGTCACAGATTATCCGGGCAGATTTCATCTCGTTTAATTTGACTAATTTGTTTATTTTTTTAGAGCTTATGAGATCAGATTTTCAGTTTATGATCATGTACACAGACGTTTTATTTTATTTATGCTCTGTATTAATCAAAAGACTGTGTCATTAAAAATACTAATTTACATATTAATATTTCAATATAAGGGCCTCTGCTGCCTTCCTGCTAATACATCTTAAATTTGACGTTAATCTTCAGTGTGAGAGTTTCTGCTGGAGAGAGAAAAAGAGGAAGAGGGGGAGAGAGAGAGAGAGAGAGAGAGAGAGAGGCGCTTCTACCCCCAGAAAGGGGCGAGTCCTTCAGTAGCCGGGGTCAGCGCTCTAATCTGAGGAGGTGAGGATATTGTGTGAGGATATTTAATGAGAGGATAAAAGCGGAAGGGGAGGATGAGTATTAGCCTTTTTAGATATCATTAAACATTGATAGTGTCAGGGGACTGGAGCACGCTGGGGTCTTTTCATTGACTTTCATGCTGCGTGCTAATACAGTTTCACCTCTGGGGACCTCCAACCCCCTCCTCCAAGTTCCCGGTCCTCAGTGCAGCGCTGCTGAGGCTATAGAGAAGATCAGATCTTCACCCCGCTTCTGAGGATAAGATTAGTGCTTCTGCTAGTGTGTGCTAGTGTGTGTTAGTGTGTGTGTGTTGCAGATTATATGAGGTCACGCACTCTCCCTCACTCCCTTTCCGTCTATGGCTCATGATGTATGATACACGTACATTAGAACTGTGATAAAGCTATCAGAGGCTCGCAGAGACTTGCATATTTTAATCCTATACTTAATCCTAAAAGGCACTTCAAACACTTAAATGTTATTACTTAGCTGTTAGAATTCTAGTGCAATATTTGACGTAATTTAGACCGGAGTTACCTTTGCTCTTTATTCAACCTTTAGAGCGCTAAATGTTCTCAAATTATGAGATAAATTTAGCATCACCCTGACATTTTCTATTGTGTGAGTCGGTTTGAGAACAGTTTGGGGATAACAGACTAAAAGAGCACTGCGACCATTATTTGTACCGCTAATTATTCTGCTCAAAGTTTTCTCAGTTCATTATTTTGTCCTCGAAATGTCAGTGAGAGCCACAGTTTACCGAAGCTCAATACAACACTGACGAGCTTCTTTTCTTAAATTGACAAAAGAAATCTTAAATATTCAGTGCTCTTATGAAAACAGATCAAATTGAGCCATTTAGGAGCTGTAATCACAATTCAACATGACCTCCTGTCAAAATAATAACTCAAGCCTGTAATTGGAAAGGGAAAATCAGGCTGTATCTGCATGTATGGTGATGCACCAACAGAGGGCAGTCAAGCCTCACTGAAGGAAAGATGCTGAACGGCACATGAGAGCTCCAACCCTGAGTGTAACTGTGTGAGTGTGTACGTGTGTGTGTGTTTACTGCACAGCAGGGTGTGGCGGGGGGTCACTTACTCAGCATGTTTTAGGCAGATGGTGATGGAGGGCGCTGTTGCCGTGGAAACCTGAAGTGATATGCTCCAAAAATTCACAGTTTCGTCTCATTCACAGGAACTTGTCTCCTCGCCTTCCCCCCCTGGAGTTAGCCAACAACTCACCTGCACAATGTAAGAAGCAAAGTCAGACACACACACACACACTCACACTCATTTTGGCCTCATTAAAAATCAGCCCCTGATGCTTTAATGTCATGCTGTGTGATATTGTAATGATTCATGTAACAGCAGAGAAAAGAACAGTGTGCTTTCACATACTCAGCATATTCTTTCTCCTTTCTCGAACAGATCGACTGAACTTTCTACCTTCTGCAATTTATTACATCATAAGGCTTCTGCTGGCCAGGTGCAGCCGAGTAAGTATTACATTTATTTCAGTGCAGCCTCTAATAGATACAACCTTTATTCCTAAGTTAGGAAAGTTCACGTCTTTTAAGAGTTTCTGCATAATTTGGCACATAATAGGGCTGTCAGAAAGTTTAAACTACAGATTGAAGTTGATATTGAGTGTATTAATTTATGCACAGTGTAGATATTACAACAGATGTACAGACTATCAAAGCACAAATAGGAGTAAAGTTTGCTGTTGAAGGGCCACCAGCTTGTGTTTCCAGCAGGACAAGTTCACAGCTTTCTGTGCGCGACTCTAATCATGTCAGGCTGAGCCGTGTTGAGCGTAAATGTTTACTCTCAGCAGGAGTTAAAGACGTCGTTTTGACAGCGACAGCAGGAGACTTAATATCTGTACATCAGTAGCAGCTCTGATATCATTATAACTGACAGCTGGTAGTGTTGGCAGTGGTTATAAAGAAGTGCTGAGGCAAACAGGGTTTGGTTTAGTTTGACTGCTGTAGCTTTGGTTTGTAACAGAATCTGTAGACGTCCACTCGGACCATCAACAGTCTCAAACGCTGACTGCAGATGCAGATTCAGCCAGAGGCATCCATGTTTTTATTTTAATTGCTGAGGAGAAAATGACTGCTTTTGTTACTTTAATGTTGAATGATATTTTATTTATGGCCTCGAGAGGTGGCTGATTTTAAGATTTTAGTTAACAAACAACCTCCTTTCTTATTTTGAAGATAAAGACAAACTCAAATCTACTGTTTGATGTTGATTTTAACTGAGTTTTAAAATCACCCTACACGATTAATATTTATATTTTCATCTTTTTTAGTGACTAACATGCCGGCTTGTTTTATACAAAGATCATATTAATTAATTAAACTCATTCATTATTTTTTTTACTCAATTTTATCTTTGGCTCCCAGTTAATTTTCATGGACTATCTTTTAAGGCCTTATTACATTTTTTTACTTTATTTGATTTTAATATTTATTACCATTTATTTCTAATGTTCTAGTTTCCATCACTTCTAGTTTAATCTCTTTATTTTATCTCAATTAAAAGCTTTTCCTCAATTCCTCTGCTCCTGTTTTGACTAAATCTTGATTTATAAAATGTTCTTTACCTTATATGGATTGTGGGCGGGGCTTGTATATGTGGGTGTATTTTATTATTGTTTATGTACAACACTCTATGTTACTGCACTATATATCAATCCCAATGTGCATTATAATGAAAGTATAACTGACTTAGAGCTCCTTGTTTCAGATGTGTGGTCTGTAAATTTATGTTAAAGGTCCAGTAAGGATTTTTGGACATTCATACAACAGACTAAAATTCAAACTAACGGCTCTCTAAGCAAACAAGAACACAAGTGATATGATTGATGAGTTTCGGCACATGAAGGACATAGCACGCAGTCTTCATTTATCTGTTGATACCGCGCCGTATCTCCTAGATTCAGCTGCTTTCAAGCTTTACAAAGACGCTGCTATATTCCTTTGCTTTCACATCTTATTCCTCTGATCTATTCAGGTGTACGAGCCAGACGTTCAATCTCCCCTTTCTGCTGGAAGGCTGCCAGCCACAGGTCACATGACCTGGAAGAAAAAACCTAGGAGACTTTTTGGATCCCTCTTCGGTGAGACAATCCTTCTTCTTCTTTTTATTAATACTCACACAAAGTTTGAGCAACATGATCGATGGTTTGCTTCGAAATGTACAGACCCCGCAGGAACGTACTTATTCAGAAAGACCTGCTGAAAGTCTCTTTGTATGCTGTGCTTCAAGCTCTATTCAAATGCCCACTATCTGTCTCTGGGCTTTAGCGTGGGCTGGCTCTCGACCTGAAGGGAAGTCCAAAGGCTGATGAACTGACGTTGCTCTGGTGTCCTATATGCCCTGAGAACACAACCAGCGCTAACCTGGTGAGTAACGACGCTCATTTGATCTGTCGATAGTAAACTGATGGGATTCACTGGCTTTCATTACAGAGAGCTTTAAAGAGGCAGGTGTCCTTGCTCGAACTCTACCCTCGATGATAGCTGATGCACGCTCTAGCCTGGCCTTCCATTCATGCAATTTAATTTGGTTGAAAGGCAAAGCAACCCATCAATGTGGAAAAACACCAACCATAAACAGAGAGATGTTCATCATTCATGGCTACAAATCGAATAATCAAACAGCTGCTCATTTCTCCCATGTTCTCCTATCTCTTCTGTGGAGCTGAAACTGAACCACCAACCTTCAGATTGAGAGGAACAACTTTGCTGTAGAGATAAAAAAACTATTGTTCAGGTAAAATATTCCCAGAAGGCCCTAGGGGAAATGTTTATTCAGAGAGAGAGAGAAAAAAATAACACAACTACCATAAAACTGGGTGTACAGTGTGCAAGGAATGCTGGATACAAGGCAGATCACTCAAGTGGTGCTAGTTTTTGATTCTTCTTTCCCTCTGTAGGTCATAATCTAGCATTTAAAGGAAACACTGACACACTGTTGTGTAAATAAACCATAAGGAGTGCCGGTCATATCAAAGAGACACTTCATTTAAGGGCAACAAATGATCAGCAAAGCTAAAACTAAAGCAGCTTAGCAGGGTAGCAGTAATGGACTTAGAATGTACTACACACTTACATGAAAATTGCACATTGCTGAACACAATAACAATCCTCAGGCAAAAACATTATTGAAATATTTTCCTCTGGAAGAAATTCAGGGGCACAATAAAAATCAACCACATAATGTGTGTCTTATTGGTGGACATAAGTTATATTATTTGAAATCAATTTTAGGTCAATTGGTCAAATGACATGGAAGCTATTGAAGGAAAACAGCCTTTTCTGAGAACATCAACCGGTAATTTATTGATGGTCCCTTATTCAACACCCGACATTGACAGCGAGGAGATTTAACCGTGCTGCTGTTGCTTCTCGGTTATGGAGAGTGAGAAGACACCGGTAGATCCTCAGTGAATGTCCGTCGGATATCCAACCTAAAATTAATTTCACTGCGGTATTACATAAAAAAAAAAATTGTTGCCTCAGCTAATTTTTTTTCTATGTGCACATGTGCCCCTAAATACATTATACAATTTGCACACATCTATTTTTAGTCGCAAACGCGAGTGAAATGGTCGCACTGTCGCGCCCTGATATACTCCTGCAACTTTTACTCTGACTTTGAAGGGTTAATTACAATCAGACTCAGTCCCATAAGCGGCTATTTTAGCTCTGTGGATGGATGTGAATCCCTTGCTCCACTCTCTTCCCAGTTACCCACTCCATCCTCTGTCCTCGTCATAAAATAAAAGGCACAAAAATAATCTTAAAGGTTACAAAGCACCACACCATAACCATGAATCATATTTGAAGTTCTCTCCACGGTTTGGCTTCATTTACTTTGGGTCAGTAACTCAATATAACAAACAAAAACACTTCAGGAATAATAACTGGAGGCTGTTTGTATTTGTTGAAATAAGATCTACTGCAACAGGAAGGACGTTTATTCATTTATATCAAGTCAAGGCGAGGCCGGTGTGATCTGTGTGCATTTGAAGGATTCAAGACGTGCTGAGAACTAAAACCAACCCTCCTCCAGTCTCCTGTTTTAACCAAACAGACATAATTACTCCCTCTCAGTGAGAGCACGTGTGTGTGCTGCTCAAAACAAGCCACTTGAAAAGTAACACACACACTCAGATAAAATAAAAGCTGACACTTCACCTGCTGCTTCATGCGGTTCAGGGACGAGCTAACAGTTTGTTTCCTATAAACAATTTAGGACATGAGTGATGTCCAAAGAAAGATGAGGCTGCCCTTCTTCTTATGTAACAGTCCTTCACCCGGCAGAGTGTGAAAAAAGAATTTATGGAGGCAGATTTCTTTCTGTCAGTGTAACAGCTTTAGCAATTTCCCCTGGGGTCAAAGGTTACCGAGGCATGACTGAAAGAGTAGAGTGCTGGCTCAAGATGAAACGGATAAAACATCAAAATAAACTCAAAACACATTCATTTAAGGGCTTATTTCTTACAGTTGTGAAGCCTGTGAAGTTTTTTTTTCCAAAAGGACCAAAGAAAAATCGGCTTCACCTGAACTTCCTCTCTGAATACACAGTCTGGCCTTGAAGAGTTCAGAACAGCGGTGGATTAGTGCTGTCCTAGTCAAAGTGTTCGGTCAAAAGTTTCTCCGCATACTTCAAACTCAGTTATGTAAAAGCAAAAGTAAAGTCCAACAACACTATGAGCTTCTATGTTTCACTGCAACAAAAGACGTGTAAGTTAAACACCACAAAAGAAGAAGAAAAACAGTAATATACTGCAATGTTGTGTTATTTCTTGATAGCTGCTCTGGTGCAGCTCTGTTTACACCTGCAGACTCCAGTGGACTTACTTTAATATATCAATCTGCAGAGAGGAGTCTGGTTAACTTGTTTTATTTGTGGTAGGAGAGAGGGAAAGAAATGAAAACAGCAAAGAATAAAGCGGGAAAGGTTGAAGACACAAACTAAAGGCTACAACAGAAAAATCTACAACATTGATAAGGCGCGTGGCGTAAACACTAATCAGAGCTTGGCGAGATAAGGTGACATTTAGGGATTGATAAATGGGAAAGAAAATGTCACAGACTGACCGTGACAAGGCCGTAAGAAAAACAAAAGAGGTACAGCGCTGATTCATGCAGACTTTTTCACCTCGGTTTATGTCACCATCAGTGGAATTGTTCCGTTTTCAAAGCGAGGATAGCTCACTATAAAACAGCTTTACAGTCAACTACTTCTGATGCAGCTTTAACTATGAGAGCTCTAACTTTCTAGTTTCATCTGTTTCTGATTTACAGAGTTTGTTAGCTCAACTACATCAGTTGAAATCCGACTTCTGTGATTTAGACGTTGGGATTTGGTCACTTCACCATCGACCTCTGGTGTTGATTATCTTTTGCACACATAGCAAACGGCTGAACTTTTATATGAGTCATTAGTTGTGCGGACATTGAGCTTCTGAGTTTTGCATTATTACAGACACAGCTAACTTGACTTTCAGCTAAAACCGGCTGGATCGGGAATGGCGGGAATGGCTTGCGCAGTGCAGCATGAGCAGCAGCGGACGTTATATGCGGCTACAGAGTAAAATATCAAGTTAATTTTCAAAATAAAATAAAGTCTATCCATTTAACTTTTCTTCATGTGATAATAGGAGAGGCTAGGGTTGTGGGATTTGGGTGTTTATATACATCGCCGTTTATGCACCGATCTCATTCAATGTCTTACGGGGAATCACGCGAGATCTCGTCCAGTCTTGCGAGAAATATCTGTAATATCATGCGCGCTGCTCCTCTGATCCGGTGGGCGCTATATGCTTGTGTATTTGATCCACCGTTCTGGATCCAGTGGAATCCCTGGGTGAGACGCTTTGCCTCTTGATGGATCTACAAAAAGAATGTATCAGTTGGTATTTCCAGTCACCCACACCTACGAGTAATTGAAAAATAAATAAATAAAACCAGCCCTGATAGTAGACGATGATTTCAGCTCCATTAACCATGGTAATGGCCTAATGATGGTGAAAAGCTGTTAAAAAGTGATGTGACCAGCCTGTTCTGCATTACCATTCACCTCTGCAAGCTTCACAAAGACAAGTGGCTGATTCTGTCTCACCAGATGTATATTTTTTTCTTATCTTTTATTTCAAACATTAGTCAACCAAGTAATTGTCAGGACCAAGGACATGTCTGTTGCTTTTAAACACAACACTGTGCCACATCGCAACACCTGATTGCAAATGTCAGGAATCTTAGCACTGAACAGCTTCAAACAGTAACTGTGCATACATGCATGTGTAACAATAGCAGCATATCACCACGACTACTATCTCACTCTTTGAATTCAGCTCCCTCTGCAGAAACCAGCATTAGTGCAGAAGCAATATGTATTCCCTTAACTAACACCGCATCGCTTAAACTCCCTTTTCAAGTTCACATCTGCTGTCAGAGGAGCAGCACTGTGTTATTTGAAGGTTGGAAACATCAATAAAGTGAGGAGGAAGAAAGAAGAAAAGTGCACTTTCATGTTTTTTTCTGCATGGGCATGTTGGTCAGTCGCTCGGCCTGTTTGAATCCGAATCCTTTGAGCGTGTTTGTACGTGCCCGCTCGCAGACATGCACGTGTGTTTTGACTGTTAACTACTCGGAGCAAAGCTTTAAAGATTGACCCTCTGAAAAAATATCTAAGCCCTGCTTTGGACTGATAGGACCGAGTCAGCAAATACTGCCCGTCTTCTCATTTCATTAAAAGGGAAGAAGACTATGCTTCTGCAACCTCTGGCCGTAATATTGAGTCTGTTTTATGCACCTTTCAGACGGATAAACTAGAGACAAGCTCACAGGAGGTTTAACACATTTGCACGTACAGCTCAGACAACTTTCTTTTGAAAAACCTCGACCTTGTTAACAGCTGAATACAGAAAACAAGCAGGCATCCTGAATCACAAACCTGTATTTACTGTTGATTTGATGTGCATCTCGCTTTTGTTCTATCAGAATTCAGACAAATGAGAATAACATGAAGAGGCTTAACTCAGAAAACATCCCGACAGTGAGCGCAGCAGGATCTGGGATCCTCTGGGACTTGAACAAGATTATATCTGATTGATGGCCGGATTAATCTGAACCTATTCCACAAAGTGCACACATCAAGCGTAATACTACAGCATGAGTTTAGTGATAGCTTAATATAAAAGCACTCAGCCACGTTCATTTCGCGATGGTTTTACAGGACACACTCACTCTCAGCAATTTCATGCTTCACTTTGATACACCTGCTCACATTGTAACCTGAAATGGCCTGTGAGGCTGCTGCGGTTGCTACGAGGGTGAAGTGAAGAGAGGCGCGGTGAAGTTTTTGTGGGTCTTTAACAGAATGAATCTAATCCTGCAGAAAACTATGTTTCCACAGGAGTCGGTGGGTAATAAGGGGTCGTGGTGCATTCAGAATTTTTTCTTTTTGATGAAACATTTGAGCATATTCAGATTTCATTGTAAAGCATGTAGGTGTATTCAAGGAGTGTATATTAGGGACGAACAGTCTAGCATTCACTTCAGGCGTATAACAAAGTGTGTGGCACGCAAATGAGCTCATGGAAACCTGAGGAATCCACACTTAGTGAACCGACCTGACAAACTACTGGCAGCAAATTAGCAGCCATCACTGAGCTGTGGCATCTGCCTTTAATATCTGTGTGCTGGGATACAAGTTGGTCTCAGGAATGATCTGAGTTTTCAAGATAACTTTGACATAACTTTACTTATGACAACAATGTGTAAGCATCATGTGGAATTTTAGCTTTAACTTTTAATAAGACTAAAGTCCCCCTGCATGAGAGCAGAGGGTTAAATATCAGTATTACTGATTTTACCTTTTTCTGAGTGACCTGTTGACGGCATTTTGTTCTTCGCCAACACGCGATCAATGACAAAATCTCAGAAACAACGATCTTCTGCGAGCCAGCTAGCTAATCAAGAAGCTGCATGTTATCATAAAGGTCCGGCTGCAATTAAAAATGTGATAATGACAACGTGGATGCCAATGTACTTGGAGTGTTATGCTTAAATGCGGCTGTAAATTGATAAATGTAACTAGGATGGAAGAATAATCTTACATTACTGCACTTCCTATGCAGCACATATGGTGTATTCTTCTCTCTATTTCTGCATATGGAATCAGGCTATTGTTATAACTGTTGTCTAATTTGTAATTATAGATAAGGCTGAGATGATCTGATTAAGGTACCTTCACCAGCAGCTGTCTAAAATAATCAATCTTGCTCTCAATACTGCTGTCAGAGTCATCAGGTGCTCACAGTAATAAATGTCTTTCTATCTACAGTAGCAGAGTAAGCTTATAATAATATACGAGAACATGGTGCAACTCCGCCTCTTTATTTTTTGGTTTGCTGAATCCTCTTTAATCACTTCTTTACTGTCCAAAGGGGACTACGAAAACTGCATCAGCAGAATTTGAGTAAACTCATTATTCAATTCTCAAGTCTTGTAAAGGGAGTTTCCCTAAAGCCAAATACGAGCTTAAAGGCCACCTACTCAACTCTGACTGATGGGATACATCAACCACAAAGAGCCTTCAAAATAAGGGGTTTCTCAAATTTACTGTTTGCTTCTCTTGTCTCTTGAAGTTGATTTCAGGAAAAAAGAAACAAAAGCCAACAGTTACAGCTGCTGCAGGTCACGCGATGCTAAAGTCTAAAACATCATCCCAAACCTAAGGTCGCTTTCACACCAGAGCTGCTTGGTCCACTTTAAACGGACCAGAGTTTGTTTCCTTGGATAGTCTGCTTCCTTTGGGCAGGTGTGAAAGCTGATAACTGATAACAAACTGATAACTTCCGTTTTAGTGAGAATGTATAGATCTTTAATCTCCTCAGGATTTGATTTGTTCACATCTATTGTGAGACCGCTTTTGTCTCTGATCAGACTCAAGTTTAACCCACATCTGTTGCACGATGAGACACTTGCTGTCTGTCAAAAGACGCACAGACTGGATGAGTCACGATGACAGAGGACGCCATCTGCGAACAGAGGCTGGGTTATTTCAATTCAGGCGGGGTTCAAATGTGTTAAAATTGCAGCTTTTGTTGCAAACTGACAGATGTCACTGTGGGCTGACATGCATCAAAACACAGCCAGTGTGGGTGCTTACATGGGAAACAAAGGACGTCATGTGGAACAGCGTGTGTCGTCTTTAATTTTGTATAAAATGGTCCCGCTTGGAGAGTGAGCCATGGCTGTGTAAAGGCACGTACTGTACCATTAGATCTCATATTGTGCATTGTTGAGTGCAATCACCAGTGTGCATGTCTTCATTTTCAGTACAGTAGAGAGAGATTACTTTTTCTCCTCGTATAAAAACAGTTTCGTTTGAACAGGGTCATGCAACATCTTGGTGATAGCCTCCTGCTGTCATTTCTCGCCTCCCCCTCTTTCAAATTAACTAAGACTCTCTTGTTCCCACACCGGGTACTGTAAGGTTGAACTAATTAAAGTAGTTCAGCTGTCGTTTGGAGCAGAGTGAACTTTGGTGAACTTACTGCCATCTTACACTCTTCCTTTTCGAGCTCGGACTCGATATGTTGCTTTGCGTCATACATATAACTAGACAGGATGAAGAAAAACTCTGACCACAATGTCAAACTGCTGACAGTTTGTAAAATAAACAACTGCAGACTGTTTAATTACTCAAAAAGACCGAGTGTGGCTGATTTCTCTTCACTTTTATCCCTCTGACGATTCAGAGTTTAATGAAACAGCGGTATCTAATAGTTTGATACTCCCTAGATTCAATAAGATGAACTGAATTAAATATTCAAATCCCGCCTTCTTATCAGCTGCCAGGAAAAAACGCATCCAAAGAAAAAGAAAAAACAAACTTTTTCTGCTTACTTCCTCCTATTAGTTCCCTTTCATATTAACATCAGAGACCAGTCAGTGCGGCCAACATGATGTGACACGGCTCCGGGTTTTGAAGTTAAACTCTTTCAAACGTTTACCTTCTGCTGTCAAAATAGCTTCAAAGTAGATATTAAAAGGGCAGAGGCTGTCACTTACATGGTTACTTACGTATTATCGCCCACAACACATTTTCCAGTGTATCAGAGAAAAAACAGGTGAAGAGAGAAGCATCTGCCAAAAGCAAGCATCTACTGCCATGTGTTCCTGCTTTTTATATACATCACAGAGACATTTTTAAACCTTTTTGGACTAACTAAGGGAATAAAATCTGTAACGAAGTCGAAGCCAACAACATCATTCGCCTGTTTGCTTAATGGTAAAAACAACGACGCAACACATTCCCAGACTGGTCTGGCATTTTGTTTGCATTCGTATACAAATCCGAGTTTAAAAATAAAAGGAAAATGAACAAATGCAATAGTATGGTTATTTTTAAGCCATTAATTGAATTTACAGGGGGGAGAAAACATATAGTGATATATAAAATTCCTCATACTGTGATATAAGATTTTAGTTATACCGCCCAACACGACATAGGAATAAACAATGTTTGTATTTACCTTTGAGAAAACTTCCCCAGTATGAAACCTGAACACCCAGCTCTCGCTCGGTCTCAGTCTTGACACAGTCATCGCCTTTAGATGACTGTTCCCACAAACTCAAAGACCTTTTAAGATGTTTAAAAGGCTACATGCTTCTTCGTTTATTAGTACTTTTCAAATTTACTGGCCTGATGTTACCTCTTTTCTTTCTTTATTAACCAATACTTACTGTCAGGCTTTGTCTGATAAAGTCAAGGTCCTGACAGCTCTGTTTTACAGCAGCAGACTTCAGGCTAGAATCAAGGACGATTCCCTTTTTAAAAGCTTGGCAGAGGGGAGAATCTGAATCCTCAATACGACTTTATTTCATCTCTTCCTGTATTCTCTCTGAGTGCTTCTTCAGCCTGCCCTCTGTTAGACCAATAAAACTGAGCGCCTTGAAACATTCCTTCAGTTTTTCTACTTCACAATTTTTCTGGAGAAAATCGATGCCTCTATATCGACTTAAGTTGACAGCAGCTAATGTCAGACTTAGCAAATAAACTCATGTTATTTCGGTTTCTGACCCAGTTGGTGCAAACTCCCTCAAAACAATATGTACCCATCAGAGCCAATAAAAATACTTTCAGGAAATATTCAGAGAGCAGTAGACCAAAAGGCGTGGTTGCATATGCTACTCGCTGTGTTTCTGTCTCTGACGTCTTTTAGTTCCAGGATTTAAATCAGCTTTTAAAGGTGTGATGTTCAGACAGAGCTGTGAGCAGAAGGATGGTGCTCTGGGTGAAGTATTTTATTTTGGAGTCTAATACCTGAGCTCTGTTTGTCTTTGTTCCACCTGCTGATACCATCTATTGTCAGTAAACATCATTAAATTTTGTTTAAAACTTAGTCATGGAGAAAATGTTTCCATCTCACTGAAATTAGACTCACTGCCTGAAGGTTATTTGTTGCTTATATCTCACTTGATTGCAAATTTGTGTTGGGTTTGATAAAAAAATCTTACCACAGATTATATTTGTATATTTAAGTTCTGCTTCATCTTTTCAAACTCACATGCTGGTGGAAACATGAGCAAACATATATTTTTAATTCATGATAAAACTAAACCAGAACATTCTGGAAGAAGCAGAAAATCAAACAGCTACCATCCCAAAGACCTCTGCACTCCTCCATCACTCCGGCTGTCAAAATAAAACTTCAATAAACTGGGTTTTATTCTGTATGGACAGACACCTCACTGTGGTTAGCACAACACTTAACTTTTCCTGAAAAGCTCAAAGTTCAGGGGGATACTGCACCGACCCTGTATGTGAGGTTAATGGTTTGTTCCTGAGAGGCCATGAGGGTTGAGAAAACACATTATACACCAGAAGGTATAGGAACATACAGTACAAAAACATAGAGGTTACTTCTGTCCTTCTGTCTGTGATACTAAACTGTAAACATTTACAGTGTGGACAACGTTACTCCACCCTGTCCTGGTCCACAAAAGTGGAGTGAAATCATGGTGACATTTTTTTAAAAATTAAAAATTACTAAAAAAAAACACCTGAATAAAGTCCAATAAATGATAAAAATGTCCTCTTGTAGTTTTATCAGTTTCCAAAAACATCTAATGTACCAATCGAGATAAATAAATATATTTATTAAATTTAAGGACATTTTGATTTTTTTGGTTTTCAGTAATAAGAGAAATAAACATTTCAGCTCAAAAAAACAGGAATTTTTTGGCCATATTTTGTGGTGTCAGGCATTAAAGAACTACCTTTTTTGGACTCATTTGTTTAGGAATGCTGTTTTGGGATACTTTGGTACTTTTGTCCAAGTGTAGAAAGATTTTGTATCTAACCAAGCTCCTATACACTGCCTTCTTCGAGAGGTTACATAAAAAGCTGCTTGGACTAAACCATTTTACTCTACATATACAGTATGAGCTCAACTCACAGGGAGGTTAACAGACAACCTGAAGCCATTCCCCGTCTATTATACATATCTGTTGTTTGCACGTCTTTTCTTCTATTTGGAGAGACATACGATAGAAACATATAAAAAAGGATTCATTAAGTATGCAAGGTCCCAATCAGAATACTATGGCTTTAAGATTTTGATAGCAATTAGCAAAGGCAGAATTACTGACAATTAACGAGTCGGACATTATAACAGCATGACACTATTACAAAAAGTTTCTAAGCGTTGTTATTGACTTTAAAGTAGTTATGAAACTGTTACCAGTCAATTAAAAATCATGCTGAAGGGTGTCTGTTTCCTTAGGCACTGGAATAATTCAGATGTGTACACTGAGGAGCCTGCCAGTTTCTCTAAACAGGCACTTTTATCTATTTAGGAGGGTAATCAGCACAGTAATTCAGTCTGTAAACTATTAGATCCAGCCATGGAAATGAGCGTAATCTTGAGTTTAATGTGTACAAATGAAGTGGGGAAAAAGTTGAATAGATTAGGAGCTCATCATAACCAGACACAACATTTCCTTTCAAATCAGCATTATGAGGCGCAATGCAAAAACCCGGCCATGGCGGCAGAGAAGCTAGGAGCAGCATTGAGCTAGCATGTCTCACAGCTACACTGAAATGTCACTCAGAATAGCCGAGCACCCATTTCATTTGTTTGTCACCTCAAACCTCCTCAGAGCCCTAAAGGCGTTGTAATCTGGGGCGCCCATTGCTGCTGCGACAAACACTCGCCCGTGTGATGGTCAAGGCGTGATGACACGGCTAGACAGCTCAAGCCTTTCACCAAACTGGGTATTTTCGGGTTGGACGCCAAAGGCGGTGTCACGAGTTGTGACGTTTCGCCCACGTGACTCTGTGTCCTAGCCAATGATGCTCCAGTATTTTCTCTAGACTTAGTCATTGGGAGATATATCGCCTTTCAATTCCATTTTAGTTTATCTTTTATCAGCTGAAGTGGTGATCGGCTGCGAGGAGCTGCAAAGAGGTAAATCCTATTTTGGTAATTGTGAATAATATGATGCATTAGATCTACACATATGTAGTTAAAGACTGAAATTCTCAGAACTGAAGTCTGATAAAGTTGTTTTCTGCTTGGCGACATTTCCTTTGCATATACAACGCTGAACCATTGAGAGGATGTTAATCCAAGCAGACAATCTATTTAAACTTTTCCAGCGAATCACCCTGATTGGATTAGATGCTGTGTTCTCAGTTTCTGACATGACTCGCTGTAATGACGAATATACTGTCTGGGAGATTCGGAGTCGACGTTTGTTAAGGTTTAATTATAGAAAGGTCTTGAACAAATGAGGTGCTACCTTTAAATCTTTTTAGCTAACATGCAACTGATTTTAATGTTAACTGTGCAGACTACAATGCCAGTTGAGTTTTGCAGCGTGGGTGTGGACTGCACAGACGCTGATTCCTTCAAAATGTCTAACATGCAACCGTTCATAATGAAATTTCTATTCCAATTAAAACAAGAAAGACACTTATTCGTGTGTTTGGTCAAAATGTTTGTAATAAATCTTGTAGTTTGCAGTTTTCCATCTGCAAACAGCATCAAGAAAAATATGCAATGTCTTTTTATTATCATTTATGGACGGGCGGGTGACAAAGGGAAACTACACTGACTGAAAACTAAGAGTTTTATTCGCAAACACGCATCAATACACTATTTTAGCGCTCCAAGATAATGCTACGTGGCAGGGGAACAATGCACGGAGCTGAGAGCTCATGACTGTAATTCAGGGTGAGATCTCAACTAGGCCAGCTGATTAAAGATGACAGGTTTACAGACTGCTTATAGGGGGTAATGGCTGTGGCAGAACGGCTGCATGCAGACAGGAACAAAAGGCGTCCTCACATGTGTGTCTGCGTGTCTCTTCAACCTTTCTTTTCTCCTCCTCTTTGACTAGTTATTCCCAAATACATAAGGGTTGGTTGTGGCTGAGAGACCATTCTGAGTCTTACAAATTTCCCCTTCAAAAGGCGGCGAACGCTAATTAGCCTCGGCGGTTAGCGGGTGATGTTTAACCCAAACAAAAGTGTGACACTTATTCCTCTAGGTTAACATCCCAAGATGTTCAAGGCAGAGAAACGCACCTAATTGGTCCTCAGCTATATGAAACACAGCATGCTCGGCTGGCAGAAATATGATGTCATCTCAACTGTGATTTTGTACATGAACTGCTAACCTCTACAAGACAAAGCCTGTCTTTAAGCTCTTGGACTATCATGTGCTCATCTGCGTTCGCCTCTCAAATTTCCTAACTGAGGTTTTTACTCTTGAATCTGTGAATTTTAGCCAAAAATGATCAATTTTGTTCTTGGTGGATGGAAATAAAGGGTCAAAATTGTATTAAAAAGACAAAGGGGTTTCATTTGGACGTCTGCTTTGTAAACTGGTTTCTGTGACAATAGAGTGTACAATCATGTCTGGTGTTTTAACTGACCGCAGGAGGGGGGGGGTTGACAGCTGGCTTTTCGAAGGAAATCAAACTAAGAACCAGAAATGGATTGGGCTGCAAGAGGGCGCAATATACTGCGTTTTTGACTGTGAATATTTCATGACACGCTTATGGACATTTTGCAGAGGCAGACATTTCTTGCAGGTGGAATTTTTTCTTCTAAATCAGAGGACGCAAACACAAAAAAAATGCAATAACTTGTCCAACACATAAGGCAGGCATGTCATTATCAATCAAAATCTAGAAATCAAGATAATTATAGAAATTTTCCTGATTTTACAGAGTAAGCATCATGTCTCTGCTTTTGGGCTTCTCAGAATAAAAGATACAAAAGAATAATTGCATCCCGTAAATGTTGGTTGTCCAGAGAAACATGACAAATGAACACTGAGAACAGTCAATTGGACACTCCATACTCATTCTGAAAGTGAGCACAATTTTCATTAAAGCTGTTTCAGATTTCTGTTGTCGAAAATCAACACGTAAAAGCGACAAATTAATAAAAAGAAGCGGAGAGACAACGTGACGCACAAGTTAAACTGATTGAGTGCCAAGTTACCTCCACCCAAAAAAGATTTGACACAACAGCGTGTGAGAGGGTTATAGCTACATGTTGAGTGAATCATTTGTGTTAACTGTTTTGGTAAAAGGACAGAGTCTAATGATCATTTACGCTGACAAGAAAACACTATCTCTTGACAATCAATAACCGCAGCTTTGAAAGGAGCTAAATTAAGTGTTTGGGTTTTTTTTTCTTCTCTAAAGCAATTACAACCGACAGATCCAAAGTCCTGACCCCCTTAGTAACAGCTTCACAAAAAGAAGCTGCTTAGCAACAGCTGTTTCACTGCGATAGTTAATATTTTAAAACAGCTATTTTTAAATGTACATTATAGACAGGATTATCTTAGCCAGAGACATGTTTCAGATAGAATTTGAATTAATTGTTAAAATAGAAAAGTACATTTGGTTATGCTATAGATTTCAGAACATGACATGCTTATGTCAGAGGCAATATTAATCTGCAGTATACTGTACAATATAACAAAATATACATCCAACACCTGTCAGTAAGTGTTAGATGCAATATGATGTAATTTAGGATAGAAAAAGCAGATTATTTAAGGTGGTGTTGACATTGCTTAGCAGCTGCCTGCAGTGTCTGCAAACATAATTGATGTTTTTTCAATCAGTATCAAATACTGGCTGATTATCTCTGATCTCTGAAGCAGAAATATCATGTCATAGTAAAGTATCAGCATGGCTCAACAAATAATCTTAAAACAGAGTGTAAAGACTTTCCTGGCTCGGTCCAAAGGAATTAATATTCACCTGGCAGCATCTGTTAGCTCATTAATATTAACATAACACCTTTCATCCATGAAAAAACAATTGGTGAACATACATAATTGAATTTTTAAAGACATCATGTGCCAGATTATTTCACGGCTGATTGAGGGAGTTTTTGTCGTCACTGTTTCATCATTATTTCTGAGCAACGAGCATGAAAATCACCATGTACTCAATCAGTGCCCCATAAAATGTTGTATGCTGGATTTTAAAACACTTTGAGCTGCTTGCAGAGGCTTACACAACCAGAACTAAAGATTAAAAGTAGTAATAATAAGAACACCACAAAGCATGAGACATCAACCTACTGCATATAGCAATTGACATAACCATGTACACAATTGCTGTACAATTGCTGTACTTTTCATTGTTTTCTTTGGTTTGCAGGAAAACTTTGTCTAGTCTTCATAAGAAAATTACAATATAATATGCCTTTCCATTCATTTTTAACCTAACATGCACAAATCCAATCCCAATCCACGAAACCATCCTTCTCCACATATCTCTAGGTCTTTAACGTCTATTTTTCAGTCATTTCTTCATATTGACAGCCCTGTATTTTTGTAAAAGCAGGTTACCCATTTTGGGTCTTAAAAAAAGTCGGCCGATCGATGGATTGATATTTATGAGCTCAGAAATGAAAGAAAATTACATCTACATATTACAAACTACCTTTACACTGAAAACGAGTCCAGTGTCTGAAGTTTGGGTGTATTTCCTGCAGAAAGGGGAGGTCACAACTTAAGCGCATCAGGTAAACAAAACACCGAAGAGCCGTTTAACTAAAGGGATTCATTTACTCACCCTGTTAGGATGACGGGCTTTCTCTGGCTCTTCCGGACGGTCAGTTGTTGTCGTTTTTGTTTAAAGTAGTTATTTTTCCAGCTGAAGAGTCGCTGCAGACCTGTCACCGGATGTTCACTTGCCGTTAGCGCGACTTCCTGCGTTCCAACCGTTAGCTAACGCCGCCAAACAAACACCCGTTAGCTTTCTTTCGCGTTCCGTTTCATCGACGACTTGCGGCGTTTTGTTCCCTCAAAGTACAAAAAAGATGATAGATCCTCTCAGTAATTACTTAAAGGCGATACCTTTGCCTGGCTTTCCTCTGAAAATCGCTTTATCTATAATTATTTGGTCCAATGTAGCAAGTAGGATATCTTTAACGGCTAAGGCAGTACGGAAGCCTGTAGAGAACACACAGACATATTTCCATTCTTTCTTCTTTGGTTTTGGCCGAATAGACGCATCCGAGGTTTCCATTCGTTTTCCTCACGGTTTTGTACTTTTTCCCCCGAGGTTACAAAGGTGGTTGACAGGTGGCCAAAAAAATATGTTTTAATTTTTTCATTTCAAAATCATTTTCTCAAAAAAGCAAAGTCTCAGCAAAATCAATCCCTCACAAGAATAAAGCCAAAATCAAACCTTTAGAACAAAGTGATGACAAGATCATAATATTGCAAGAATAAAATTATAATTTTGAGAGAATAAAGTAGAGATTAAAGGGATATGCTGGCGTTAAATCAATCAAGGGTCAAAAGAAATTAGGCAAAGTTAAAACGTTTGGTGTCTAGTACTATGGCTGGGACCCTATATGTCCTGTTGATGAAGTTAGGCGCTGTTCTGAGCATTATTTGTGGCTATAGAGTGGCGTTTTGGTTGAGGTTTGTTTATGGCTCCTCAGACCGCTGTGTATTGCTATTGTGCGGTCATTACTAAAGTTGGTATAACTAGAGAAGCAAGCGGTCGGCAACATTCATCTCTCGAGGGGGTGTCTACCTCGGTGTCACGGTGTGTTTGACCCTAAATTAATTTTACGCCAGAATATCCCTTTAATTTACCCTCCTTTTTCTGTCTGTCAAGGTTTTGGCTCCTTACACTTAAAAAGATGTGTCATATCTCCCGTCAAAACAGGATCATGTGGCTGATTCATTGACTGAATGAATAGCTTTGGATAAGATTTTTCTCCAATTCATGATGTCCTCTCCGGGCTTTTATAAAATCAAACAGATGTACCTTGTAAAACAAAATAGATTCGTCTTTTGGATCAAAATGCTTTCTTTTCTTTTTCTTTTCTTTGTTTGGAGTTTTAACTCAGAATTATTCATAAGTGCAAACAGTGCCTGGAGTGTAGGCTATATTTTGAGATACAAAAGGAAAGGGGGGGCCATGTGTTTTTTTTTTTTCTTTCTACCAGCCCAAAAACAACAATAGCCTAAGGTCGCGTCTGGCAGAAAATTAGCATTTGCTTTTGGACTTGAAGCCACACAAGCCACTGAAAATATCCAACCAGCTGCAGCAAAGATTAGTTGACAGGGAAAGAGATTGGTGAGAAAACCCTGTGGCCATTAAATGAGTATGCAATTGATGAAGACAAAAATAGATCTATTGCTGGCTTGAAATTACTGTCTGAGCAAAATGGCAATAATCAAATGGTATAAAGCATTGTTTGTAACCGAGGAGATAGAAAATCAATCCACTAAGAGGTAATAGAAAACTAATTTAGTTTCTGTTTCACACTGTACAGAAAATATTTTCATTAATAGTAGATAGAAATAATATATCTTGAGCCAGAATCCCATCTTGTATAAATATTCACAACTTTGCACAGTGTAATGTAGGTCCAGCTCCAGTGGTGTTGTCTTGGATGCCGCTGTATTCCATTAAACATCAAAAATAGTCTCTCTGGTGCATGTGAATGTGAAAAAAAGGTAGAACTATACTGGTCTGACTGGAAACCATCAAGAATCGATTTCTTTTTCGAGTCATTTGCCATTTTCTCTGGCATCACTTCATCAAAATACAAATACGACAATGAAAAGTACACTTTATTTTTTGTTTTTTAACTTTTTGGCTCAGTGTCACTGAATTCTCACTGTCCTATTCTCTTTGCCATAGTAGCAAAGTCACAGGGGAGCCAAAGTTGTCTTACCAACTGTGATGAGGGCACAGTGGGAAAAGTTTAATGTCTGACTCATAGAACAAAGGTGTTATTGAAGACCTTGCTTCTGTGGATTCTGCGAGTCATTCTGCTGCAGTGTCAAAGGAAACTCACATTCAAATATTTATTTAAGGAGAAGTATTGATCTGTGTTTCATCGCTATTTAATCTCATAGCAGTATAGTGTCTTCTTGTGTTGCATACTGCACAGTCTAAGAAAAAACAAACTGATTTGATATAGTCTTCTCTGCACAGACATGTTTGAGTCAGAGCAAACATTGCATTGGGATTTCATAAAAGTGATGCTTGGCTATGCTGTGTGAGACTCTCTTCTTCAGGGGGTAATATGTATCCAATGGTTTTGAAGCAGATAGATGTACTAAAGGTGACCAAGAGGGTCTGAAAAATTTGGTGCAAGTTTTGATAAAGTTGTTGATAATGCATTTTAGACATACATAAACGTATTCTGAACAACTGCAGTATAAGGGTATGTTTTTTGTCTTCGGTAGGTGACTGGCTGGCTGGAAAACCACCCCACTCCTTCTCCTTCCGAGGACACCCCATTCCAGGACGGTGTTTTGCTGTCACTTCACCCCATCATGGAGCCCACCAAAGTCCAGTCAGAAGGTGGCCTCAATGTCACCCTCACCATCCGCCTCCTAATGCACGGGAAAGTGAGTAAATCTCCTATATTTCTTTTGCAGTCAGTTACGTCTGCGAAGATTTATCTCAGCTGCACTCAAAATTAACTCAAGATGATTATACAACTGCGTTTCTGCAATAACTGTCCACTAAATTGGTTTTACTGACAGATTCATATTCACATAAGAGACTTCCAAACACTCCACCAGCTGTTTACTTGTTGCAGCCGAACCCAACAGCCACTTTCATTCTGAGAGGCCAACATGAAAAATGAGACTTAAATGGCCTTATGTTATCTCCTTGGTGTGACAGTGCCCTCCTGCCCCGGCCTCACTATGACGACAGGCTTTGCGCAACATGTGACACCCACCTGGGAGTAAAAAATAACCCTGTCTGTAAGATTGAAGGGGCTGGGCTTTGACTTTTAGCTCTGCTTGGCCTGTAAAAAGTTTGCACGGTGTTCAGCCCATGATGCAGAATGACAGAAAATGTGCAGAGGTTCAATTTACAGCAGTTTTTTTTTACTCATATTAAGATCTTAGCAGCTGGCTCGCAGCTGTTTGCATCTTCCAAACAGCTATCCTGCTAATAACAGGACAAGCGAATCTGAAATGTTATTTGCAAGTTGCGAAAAAGCAGATTACTTCTCTACTTGGAGAATAGTGGACTTCTCCCAGCGCTCCCCTTCATGTCACCCTATTGGTCCTTTTTACGAGGGCATTTCCTTCTGTGTTCACCTAGTTCATTAGGATGGACGAGGTGGATTACAAGTAATGAACGAGGGTCAGATTGAGTTGTAGTAGTAAGGAGAAGGAGAAGGAGGAAAGTAGAGAGAAAGTGCAGAGGCATGAGACAACAGGAGAGAGATGCATACTATCTAGGTTTGCATTGGTAACTTAATTACCACAACAGAGGTACGGTCCTGTTTCTGAACATTTGTGCCGCAAACCAACAGCTGCTTGCAGTGTATCGTTACAATAAGATGCAATAGTTTTACAGGGCTGTAGCGAAGAGCTGCATCCAGTACAACTAATTTGATCTAGCTGCAGAATGCATCGAAGCAACGAGGAAAGCTGTCCCATAGCATCAACCTCTGGACTTAAAAAGGATGGATAAAAGTCCTTGAGAGAGCAAAAAGGTTAAAAGGATTACAGAGGAGGCGGTTAAATCCATCACTCTGGACAACCGGCCCATCTCTGTGGTAGAAAGTGCAGGTTTTTGCCATCTATTGAAGCTTGTAGAAGTTAGTCAACGTATGAAGACAGTTAAAACACAATATGACTGCTGTTAGTTTCAAACAGATATTTAGATAAGTCTAACTACACAATAAATTGACTCCTCTACTCTTGAGTTTACAGTGTTACATGCCCACCAGTTTTATGGGTCTCACATGGCAGTGCATGTTAAGTTTTGCATGCATGTGATGTGCAACAATCCGAACTAGATGAGGTGAAACGAAATGAGCTGAGGACATTTTTTAATTATCTTGTTTGAAAATAGTGCAACTCTGTTTTCTATGCAAACGCAAGTGTTGGCAGATACCCAATCAGAAAATCAGATTGGGGTCAGGGGCCCAAAAAGCTGATTGGAACATCCCTTTCATGGCAGCAAAATAAGTCTCTATCTCATGCATCAGTATTGTGTTGAGGAACAGTGTCCATGATTGAATTGTCTAGCTGTGACGCCTCCACTTCTCAACAAGTTTGATGTTATTTGTTTACGGTAGAAGCTGTAGGGACATTTGGCCTCGGTCTGCAGGGCTCTGGGTGACCCACTGCCAGGGGAGAACTTCTTAACGTTGATCTTCAGTGTTTAAAGCTTTGCTGAGTCACCTTCTTGGCATGGACGCAGGTTTATCTTACCTCAGAGCTGTCTAAATTCACATCTTATTTGATGAAGTTACTGATGTAACTCTTGGCCTTGAAGAAAAACTGATTACACTAAGTATGATTTATTGAAAATCAAAAAATAAATGGCAACAACTGAGTATCCCTACTATAACACTTCACAAAACACTTAATTAGTATTCTACGAATGCTCAGGGAAGAAGCTGACACTGAGAGGGAAGTGGCCTACAGCGTTAACGTCACAGCAGATGTAACCTTCTCAGTCACTGAGAGAGGCGCCGACTCTGCCCTTCTGCCCTAAACCCCACAGTGCCACTCTGAGCTCATGAAGAGTGATTACGTGCGTACGGAGAGTGTGGCCCTCAACACCATCACACAGCTGTGAAACCTCTGCATGTCCCTGTAGTGTCTGCTCCGTGTCCGAGCTGTTAGAGCTGATTTATTTGATTTAATGCTGGCTGAAGTTACACTAAGGAGGACTAGCAGGAAGATGGCGTTACAACAAGGGAGCATAAGAGTCCTTTAAGTCGACGTGTTAAAAGCAGGACTAATAGGCAAGCGTAAGCATATGAGCTCCTTTGATTCTGACAGCGAGACAACTGGGTCAGAGCAGCTCTTGTTCGCTCTGCAGTGGTCAGAACCTTAAGTGGTTCTAGGAAGGAAAACCAGCAACCCAACCAGAACTCACTAATCCGAGTCAGACAAGATCCCTCTTTGCAACTTACAGCAATTAAAGGATCTGCTGCTGATGTCTGTGCGAGATACTTCCCACCTTTAGAGGTCTCGTGTCGCTTCAGATCTGACATTTGTGACCCTGACCTGATCAGAGGGGGACCTACACTCTGTTAGGCAGGTGACGTCTGGGCGTATGTTCTTAATACAACTTGTTCAAGCCTTACACGTTCATCTAGAAGCTTTGTTTTGGATTCACACCTCTCCTGTTTTGTTTTGCAGGAAGTTGGGAGCATAATTGGAAAGGTAAGTTAATGTGCATACTTGAATAAATGGAAAAACTAGGTGTTGAACAATGTTCTGGATTTCTATAATATATGATTTGATCTCTTTCCTTACAGAAAGGGGAAACAGTAAAAAAGATGCGAGAAGAGGTAGGTTTAAGTCTAAAAAAGTCACATCATTTTTCAATCAATACATTTAGTTTGGAATAAACGGCAGGCTTGTGTGATTCATTATTTCCTTCAGTGCTTTCTGGTAATAAATAGTGAGGAGATTATTCAAATTACGAGGAATCTATTCTTGGATTGAGGTCTCAGAGCTGTATTGACTCTATTGACAGCGCGTGTGTGTGTGTTGTTTTGTTTTTTTTATTTTTCAGAGCGGAGCCCGAATCAATATTTCCGAGGGCAACTGTCCTGAGAGGATTGTCACCATTACTGGACCAACAGACACCATCTTTAAGGCTTTTGCCATGATTGCCTACAAATTTGAGGAGGTATGATAAGATTGTATAAAAATGAAATCACTTTTTTAAAGGAAAAGATTCAAACTTTGCCAAATACATCCATAGATATAGGATGGATCTGCACTATAATCTGTGTTTGGATATTCTGTTATTGCACGACTTCAAAATCCTGCCTTATTGTGTTAGATAGCCAGCAGGGGGCAACATCACCGATTAATAAAGTTGCAAACACTTCCCTCGTTTGACATATTGCATAACAAATCAAAATGAGTGACGTATTTATTCTAAAGGTCCCCGGCCCTGTCTGTGTAATGCATTATTCGGTATATAGAGCATTACAAAGAACAGTCCTTCATTGGCTTTAATAGGTGAATTAAATCTGCGTCCTTTCAGCTTTCTCCTCTTTTGATTCTGTCTTTGATATAATTAATCTGAATAGATGTACTAAAGCTCTGTGACTGGAACCAAAGAGAAGCCTCACCGCCGTGTCCTCACTGACCAGAGTCAGATACGATCTCTCAGATCAAATCCTTTGTTTCTCACAGACAGAGCACAGCAGATAAGAAAGGTCGACCGAAACCTGTGTTTTCATGACTCATTTTACTGACCTTTTGCTCACCTGAGCTGATGTGAAAGGATAGTCGTCGCCAACAGAAGGAAATTACTTCTTTTTGGTCACAATGAGTAAATATTAGTGCTTCAAAGAGTAACATAAGGTCTTGTTTTTGCAGGACATAATCAATTCCATGAGCAACAGCCCAGCAACCAGCAAGCCTCCAGTCACCTTAAGGCTTGTAGTTCCTGCCAGCCAGTGTGGCTCCCTCATCGGTAAAGGAGGCTCCAAAATAAAAGAGATGAGAGAGGTATGACATGATGCAGACATCCAGCTTTGACTTCTTTGTTTGAATCCATTAAAAAATAACTGAAGAAGAAGAAATAGAGATACTTTAATACCAAAAACTATAATAAAATATATTAAGATGACCAAGGATCACTGGGAAAAACAACTAAAAAATAAATTTTCATATGTTGTTCTGCAGAATTGTAATCTTGTCAGAGCTCTTGGACTCCAGGATTTCTTCAGACTTTATTTTGTCTTGGCTGTCAAGCTACTCAAAGTCTCCCACTCTCCTCCAGTCCACAGGGGCCCAGGTCCAGGTGGCAGGAGACATGCTGCCCAACTCCACAGAGCGTGCAGTGACAATCTCTGGGACCCCAGAAGCCATCATCCAGTGTGTCAAACAAATCTGTGTGGTCATGCTGGAGGTAGAGTATGTCGTGATTCAAAGGTGTATTTTCGTTTTGTTACAGAGCTCGCAAAATTCGGATTTGGAGTAGAAACTTTGATTGTGCTGAACCTGTGCACTTTTGATATGTAAACAGTACCATATTTGTTTTCAGAGCACCAGGGTATCCAAAATATAAATGAAACATGATGTTAGATTTTTTTATGATGGCAAAAGCAAGGTTTCATAATCTTTAATATTATGGCAGTAATAATTCAAGGCTGAACTGCATCACTAATCTAACAAAAACACACAAGCCTCCAGCTGTTTGTCAGAATTTATGAGAAATTTTTGGTCCTGCCAAAAATCTCACTGCCACCTCTCATCTGTCTTTGTTTATATCCAAGTATTATTATTATTTTATTATAATTAAATACCATGTTGTTATATTATAGCATTATAGAACGTTAGCAGTAACTATTAGGGCGGGGACGATATGCTTTTGTCCCGATTCATTCCTCTACGTTTTTTTTTATGCTGATTCATTTTAAATTGTGATTCTACGATATTGTCGATTTTCTCTATCTTTAGTCTGAATTTTTAACACCAGTGAAACAGTTGAAGGATTATGATTGTCTACTGACTAGGAACCATATTTCCTTAAAAAATACATATCGCGTGTAAGTAAGTTTTTAAGATTTATTTGTTAATTTAAAAAAAAAAACAATTTTTTAACACAAAAAAAAATTGATTTAAAGATTGTAAAACAAAAAATTGCGATAATATTGTGAATCGATTTTTTCTCCCATCCCTGGTAGCTTTTAACCAGAGCTACAGCCCCAGATAGTGGCCGCACTTCAGCTCAGATACAACATACAACCAATATTTTGGGTTTAGAAATAAGAGTACTTCCAAATTTAAGTGCAGAGTGAGAATGTCTGTTGGACTATAAGAGCTCATCCCTCACCTGAACCCAAACTCTGCACGTCACTGACATTATCGACAGACAATGTCGTATTTTATAGCATTTTGACAGAAGATTTTCCTTTTTCCCCTCTCTGACCTTTCCTTTCTCCTTTCCTGCCCTTTCTGTCCCTTATTATCAGTCATTTACATTTTCATTCACCTTTGCTCCTTGTGTCTTGATTTCCGACATTGCATAGACAGATTGATTTGCAGGGTCACGGGAGAGTAATAACAGTCTGTACCACTGCATCACTTTCTTATATAGAAAGTCTTTAGATGACTCCTGGACTGTGTGACCTCTAATCAGATAGACTGTTCCAGCACCAAGTGGGCAGCAGCCAGCAGGTCCTTTTTTTTTTTCTCTCTCTAGTATTTTCACCACATTGCCTGTGGTGTCCTTGCAGCCAACTAGGTGGGCCGACCCATCTGGCATTTGTCTGGATTGCCAAAATGCCAGTCTTGCTTCTGTTGGAGTTAGTCATATTTGTAAAATATGAGCTCCTTGTTTTGGCATGTTTACTTTACTCTAATCAGGGTAAAGAAAAAAGGATCAGGTATGAAAATATGAAGGAAAGGGAGCCCTGAGACCCTCATGGGGGGTTGGGTCAGAGAGGGAGGAGGAGAGCTGAGAGAGACGATGAGAGCTGTGTTGAATTTCCAACTAGACGCGCTTTGTCTCGAGGAGTTATCACCTTCACTGACGGCGGTGGGGAATGCATTTCCTCAGAAACAGATGTTTTTGAATGGTGCTAATTTTTCAGGGAAATGTCACATGAGATATAAGGTGCACTTTCTGGGGCAGAGCCTCCCAGTTATTGTTGTCTGTAAATGTCATCTAGACAAGCAATCTTCCTGGTAATAGAAGGAAATTTGTGTCTTGCTCCACACTTTGATTGCTACAGACGCAGGGCTTATTAATATACTATAACACTAATGAATAGACTCATCTTATTAATGTTTAGATGCAGCGTTTTAGAAATTTCACTAGAGGCAATCTAGCTGGCCTGTGATGAAAACCCAAACTTCTCCACCATTAATATGGGAAATCTTATTCTCCATCTTAATGTTGTGTTAAAGCACACGCCTAAGTGGATACACTTTCCCTGTCAGTGCAGCAGCTACAGAGGAAATCTGATTAAACCCTCTCAACAGCCCTGTTGCTGTGGTGCAGCATAATTCAATATTTCTAAGTCGGTCTTGTGAGTTTGCAAACTGTATCTCCCCTGCCGTCTAATCAAAACAACCTCCCTGCTGTCGGAGAAAAATTGCATGCAAAACTGGAGACATGGCAGTGCATTTAATCTGTGATCCTCAGAGTGAACAAGTGCCAGGTCTTTGTGATTTTCTAATCTCCATGAGTAGAGACTACTAATACCTCTGAGCTTCAGGGCTTCTTATTGTTTCCATGAACATGCTCGCATCTTAAGAGCAATTAAAAACACCTCTCACAGTAGAAACATCCACGTACAGTATTACCGCAGAGTGATTCTCCTGCTGTTACTCTGCTGTTACCTGATTCAAGAGGCTTAGGAAGTTTAATCATTAAAACATAAGATGCTTTTATCCAAGTGTATTAAAGTCATATTTTAAAATGTTGAGGAAAGTGAAATCATCTGCTTTTTTCTATGCATTTCAACCAGTGGCGATTGCTCTAAGACTGCAAGGGAAGCTTAGCTTCCCTTAAAATGTCACCCCCCCAAAAAAAGAAAAAGTGGTGAAATACGTACGGCTGTGTGTACATTTCATTAACTAAATACGCACTAGAAAGCCTTCAACTTTTGTTCAGACACTGTGATAAGAAGCTGATAATCACAGGTAACCGGCATAACTTCGTTCTCATTCATCCTCGCAGCGCCTCAGCGCTTCAAACAGTCGGACGCTGGGCTTCTGCTGACTTCAATGTGGAAGCTTAAAGTGGGTTGTTCCAGCAGCGAAACTAGACGCTCATTGGATAAATGCTGGGCTTTGTCCCGCCCAATGGAAGCTAAGCTTCACTGGAGTTCTATGGCGAGAGGGCGGTCCCGACTTTCTCCCGGACTCCAAGCTTCTGCATTCATGATTGGATGAGCTGTCTGAGGCGAAATCCTTTTTTGATTGACAGCTAAACAAGCGAATCAGCGATCTTGAAGAATAAAACATCTACCAGAGCATTTTCCAAGTCATTCATTCCGTTGTTCTTAACTGCTCCAGAGACTTTACCGATCCTCAGCGACTTTTGTCTTTGTTAAAAATGACTGCCGTTGTGTTTGGCGACTCTGTTCTGTTACATACTAATAAACAAATACAATTATGATGTAGGCCAGAAAAATGAGCTTCCCCTCCTTGAAAGACCAGCAGCCGCCACTGATTTCAACACACATGGAATAAAATAGCAAACAGCAAGTTGACTCAAGTCGGCATAAATACTTGATTATGTGGAAAACTGCTCCATCTTTAGTTGACAAAATCTGCAAACGTGTACATGGAAAGCTCACAGATAACTGTTTCTGGTCAAGAAGTAGTCAATCCCTTTTAAAAACGCACTTTTACTCCTTGGCTTTCAACACATTGTAATGTTATTTTGTTTGTTATCATCATAGCACTTGCCGTGAGCCTGCTTATTTCTTTATCTATTGTTGCATTTATGTATTCTTGTTTGCTTTATTTTGTTCTTTGCTTGTTTTATTTGTTTTTATGTCTCAATGTACAGCACTTTGGCTACCCCCGTGTTTCTTTTTAAATGTGCTATAGAAATAAAGTTGATTGATTGATTGATTGAAACACATAATGCCCATTTAGAAATTGCATACTGGTGCTTTTTGAGATTCTCTTCTTGGACAGTCTTTTGGCCTGACTGTTAAACAAGATTCAACATATTTGTGAGATTTTTGTGCAAGAATATGTTCTTTAATGCTATACTGACATATTTTTCCAAACGAGGGAGTTAAATTGTCTCAGCCTTTTAAAAATATTGAACTACTTCTATTAAATTTATCCTTAAAGAAAACTGACTAAGAACATGCTGACTGCTTCTCTTCCTTCTTCTCTTTTCCTTCCTCTCAGTCTCCACCTAAAGGTGCCACCATCCCTTATCGCCCAAAGCCCGCCTCCACCCCCGTCATTTTTTCTGGTGGCCAGGTAAGAGCTGAGCTGGTTTCTTCTTCTTCATTTGCAACCATCTTAAATGCAGTATCAGCTTCTGCTTGTTACTTCTGGAGGGTTTTTACTTTTCGTTTGCTGTCCTCATTAGAAAATTTACTGCTTTAGTTGATAGTTTAAGCACTGAGGTGAAATTATCCTTCATGTGTGGATAAATTAGGGCCTGTGTACAGTGACAGCATTTTCCTCCAGGCGGTAACTGTTGCTAGGTCAGTAAAAGTTCCTTTAAAGCACTTTTGTTTCTTTTCTAACTGACTGTTTTAAAAAGTATGCATATGTACATTTCATATTTGCTTTGGTTAAAGGAAAATGTTTTGTGTTATCGCATTAACAGCAGCTCAAAAAGATGTAGTGATAAGAGAAGTCCAGCCTCTTCTTGATTTTTCTAACTGGAAGTGCTTTGGGCCTGTAAACAAACAAAAAACAATGACCCACAATGGTTTTGTGAACAAAGTAGACACTCCAAGAATAAAGAAATGTTGTAAGTGGACACAGGCCCTTATGCTTCCTCAGTTATGGGCTTACTGTTGTGCAATCATGTCGTGATTTATAATTATTATTTTAAGAGCACAATTAAAAGCACATTACCCATTTAATGAGTTTTACAGACAAACAAAAACATGGTTAAAAGACAGCAGAAGTCACACATGTACGCAAACAGAGGTTAGTCATAAAAGCAATAACACGATTGCATTAAGATGCAAATTGCATCTTAATGTTTAATTCAACAATAACAACATTAGCGTCTGCAATAAAGGTAATGCAATGCAAAAAAAAAAAAAAAAGGATTATCATGTTGGGGATTTGGATTTAGAGCTGTTAAAAGCATTTGGACATTCAGCAAATGAGAGAGAATAATCACAACACAGCTCATTGGTACTTGTAATGAATCCAATTAAGAGGATTTGCTTTTGTCTGAAGATTTTAACTGGTGGACTTTTAATTGAATGTAAGACACAATCCAAGCCTGTAGGCAAGAAAATGCAGGAGTCTGTGTCTGCATAACTTTGGGAGATTGAGCAAACTTACACAAAAGTGGCGACACAAAACTATCCTAATAGAGGACATCTGCATTACAACAACCATCAAGAGTTAGATATACAAGGAAAGGTCGGGATGATGTCCGAATATGGTGAAACAACTGACTTCCTGAATGTTACGTTGATATTAAATATTACATCTGCTGTTTTTTGTGTCTTCCCAGGCCTACACAATTCAGGGACAGTACGCCATACCCCATCCAGATGTGAGTTTTGACTCTGTTTCTCATTCAGTGAAGACCCGCATCACAATCACATACAATTTCAAAAAAAAAAGCTGCAAACATCTAATGACATGTACAGGCCAGCTCTCTGAAGTTATTTAGAGAGTCATCAATCACAACTCCCAAAATACCCATCCTAATGGACAGGTGGAATGAAGCTTTATCAGATGTGGTTGATAACAAAACACTGCTGGTGATGATGATAAAGGAAAAGAGAGTAATGGCGGATTTGGATGTAGACACCCCTTTGATTTCAATGGACCATATAGTCTCCATCAATAATCTTCTTTCATCCGTCCTTGTCGTGAGAGCATCTCTAAAGCTACCTTGTGTCCGATCCACTAATTCAAAGTTAAGCTGTGATTGATGCCGCTGGAGGTGCTGGTTGACGGTACAATCACTCAAGTACAGGCTTGACACTTTCTTCCACCCTCATTAAAACTCCTCTTTAAAAGAGAAGAGGACGTGTGAGCATCCGTCTCTCTCCATTCCTGATGGAAATGATACACAGCAGGGGACAGGCATAATGTGACCACGTCAGGTGGAGAACGAGTTCTCGGACGGGCATGTAGAGCTAAAGGTTCTCCACCTCTGAGTCATAGGTGCTGGTTAGAAAGACACATGATAAACGATGGGGCAAAATGGTGCAGATTTACATTTTCACAGGAGTGGAGTTATTCATCTCTCGGGTTTATAAAGTCAAATTTGAAGGATGTTAAAAATTGCAAGGACACGCGTACATCCCAAGTCTCTTCCTCTCACTTGCATCTCTTCTTTTAGTGAGGGATACATGAAGAGAAGCAAGTAAAGAAGAGAGGAGTAGAGGATATATTAGAGACGCAGCGATCCATTTGTTTCCGATCCAATCCGATACCAATACCTGGGCTGAGCATATCGGCCAATATCCGATACCAATCCAATATTACTGTTGAATGAATGAACTGTATACCTTGCGCTGTGAGTGAAGGCATCAGGATTGACATTAGCCTTGTTAAAAAAAAAAAAAGGTAACAAATGAATACAGATATAAATTTACTTAATATTTATTAACAAGTAAGTTGCACATTAGCGCACAGCAAAGATTTTGAAAAAAAATTAATTAAAAGAAAAACAAAGACTGGATCCGAATGCCAGATCGGCATCATTGATCCAATATCCGATTTAGTTAATTTGTCAATATCGGAGCAGATATCTGATCCAAATATTGGATTGGTGCATCCCTAAGATTTATGTTTCTGTTAGTGAAGGGGTAGTTGCAAGGACAGACTTTTAGTAAAATGATGAATCTAAAAAAACATGAAAATCGGAAGTGATGGCGTCACAGAAGCACAAAAGGTACAACACTTTGATAGGCAGTAGGGCTGGGCGATATGGCCTCAAATCAATATCACGATATATTGAGGAGTTCGGCTTGATAACGATAAAAGGATGATAACTACTCCACAAGCTGCTCACCCCCTCACACATTAACTTCGTCTACTTCAGCCGTTACAACTTTTGAACCGTCCTCCATCTCCTCACCTGTCTTTCCCTCTTTGTTACGGACTGGATGGGGTGGAGTCACGTCTCTGACGTAGGACAGTGTCTTAAAGGGACATGAGACCATAGCCTACCGACACACATCCAAAACCAACTTTTATTTATTTATTTATTTATTTGACACCCAATATATCGATATGGGCAAAATTACGTCAGTCATTGTCGTAGATTTCGACATCGATAAATTGTTGGTTTATCGCCCAGCTCTATTAGGCAATACCCTTTAATACACACAGTCTCATTTGGATCACAAGTGGACAGCCTGAACTACAGGTGGTACCACATCATAACGCAGCCTCAAGACAGATTGAGATCCCAAACCGCCTCCATCTGTGCTCTGCTTCATGATTGGTCTGACAGGATGTAGACTCATATCCTGGAACGCAATACTGGCCGCCCAGTTTTTAGTCTAATGGGGCTGAATCAAGCTCAGTCAGAAGTGAGCGGGAAGGCGAGATCTGATCTTAAGTGGTCACTGAAAAAAACCTAATGGACGCTTGTGCTCAGAGCTGTTTGCTTGTGGTCCGATAACTGAAAACACATGAGTAAACCGGGTCAACACTAGAGCGCTGTTCACGCCTCTGTTATGCCAATGTCTGTTTAAAAGTCTATGATCATCCTCTCTCCAGTATGATTCTTGGATCAGCTGCAGCAACCAATCAATAAGTGATTAAGTGATATCCACTGAGAGGACATGGTCCAGATTTCCTCCTCTTGTGTATCCTCATCCTCGAGCACAGAGATAAGAGCTTTGAGTCTGGAAACGACGTCTATTTTGAGCGAGAAGCGAGGAAATATCAAACAGGAGACTTGGGTTGTACCTCCAGTTAGAAAAACTACCTTTAAATCTGCATCTTAATGACAGGCAGTCACTCTCTCTTTCTCTCTCTCTTTCTCTTTCTCTCTTACTTTTTGTCCTCCACCTCCCTGTGTCATGACCTTCCTCTCCTCACTGTCTCTTCACTCTAGTTTTGTTTGGCTTCATTTCTCGGTGTGTCCTGTGTAACAGTAACCTCTTAGTTCTACTTTCCCTCCTAACCCTTCAGCAGTTGACCAAGCTCCACCAGTTGGCTATGCAGCAAACCCCTTTTACCCCTCTCGGACAGACCACCCCTGCTTTCCCTGGTACGTACCCACGAGTCCCTTTAGATAAACTCCTTCTTTCATCCAGAGAAACTTCTTTTCTCTTTCCCTACCTTCCACCTTATCTCTCTCTTTTTTGGCACAGCATGACTTGGTCCCTGTGGTTTCTCTCCTTCTTTTTAATTTTTCATGTATATTTTTTCCTCTTGGCTCTGTCTGATTTTATTCGAGTGAAAAGGCAACGGAAAGTGACACTGGGCTTCATAGTTAAAACTATGCATTCAAAACTGCATTATCACTTGGCGACAGGATGCATCCTTCCTCTGACGCAGATATTTAGCTTTCCATTAAGGCGAAAACTGTCAGACTTGCCATATTGTATTATGTTGACCTACTTAATGTCCCCTACGTCTGAACTGAACAACAGATCCAGTTTGAAAAAAGTTGGGATGCTGTGCATAAGGATGATAAAACCAGATTTTGATGGTTTAAAAGATGTGTCTGATTAATACTAGTGCAAAAACATGCTATTAAATGTTCAAACTGAACATGTTGGCTTTTTGTCGCATTCTTGCAGCTGCACAACAGTTCAGGGTCTCCTCTTTCCCATACAATGAGCCCCTATACATCCACACACCATAAGGGAGACTGGCTTTTAAACTGAGAAATAACAACAAGCGAGCAAGACGAACCTCCTCCAAGATCTAAGCGTCCATGATCTTCAAAAACAATGTCCAACTTTGATCCCACAGACCAAAGGACAGCTTCTCCTTTCTTGATCATGTTAATATTTGGTTTCTGCAACAACAAACTGTGTTTCCTGACTGTGGTTTTTGGAGATGAGTTAAAGCCCATGTGGTGATTTCCACTACAGAATTATGCCTGTTGACAGCCACCCAGTATTGGTTTCTGGCCTTGTCCCTTTTGTACAGAGATTACTCCTGATTCTTTGACTCTTTATTCGGGGTGTCCCTTGACTTCTAATACGATACCGATATTGTAGCTTTCAGTATCAGCCAACTTAAACAACAAATACTGCCTCTTACTCCTTTGTTTGTACTTTAGTACACACTGTTGTTGTGATGTTGTTGGCTCTACATGCTAAATCTGGGCGCTGCTAGCTAAAGGTGTCAGAGTGGAGTCTGGAATGGACTGCTTGTATCAGAGTGCTGATATCGGGGGTTTTAGATGCAGGCTGATATAATCTGATATTTGTTTTTTTTGCTGATATCGGATATCAATATCATACCGGGACATCCCTACTCTTTATATAATGTGCTGTAGATGATACAGTCCTCACATTCTGGGAAGTTTCACATTTTCAAATCTTTATTTCTGAGAATAAGTTTTCTTACTAACATGTTGCAGTATCACTGACCTAAATTTTGTTAAATGTGTCGCTAGTATCAACTATAAAATGGTCAAATATTATTCATAAAACAACAGAAATAATCAGTTTCAACATTTGATATGCTGTATTTGCACCATTTTAATGATTTATAAACCATCAAATGCTGTTTTTTTAGATACTCCACTCAGTGTCCCAACTTTTTTGGATTTTTTTATGGTCTTTGGCAAATCTCTGTGTCATACTCTTGTGTTCATTGTAAAATATCAGCTGGGAATCGAGTAAACAAGCAGATTTGAATCTTTTCCCCACCAGTTTCATGTAAAACAATACGGATTTATACATTTACTGTTTACTGTAACAGAAGGCCACATTGTGACAGTTTCTACACCCCTCATTTCAGGCGTCTGCCCAAAGTAATGTGAGCAGCAGGACTGTAGCTGGAAGACGAGACAGAAAGACATTATTTAAAATGATAAACAAGTGTATTGATGCGCATAATTGCTGCTGACTGTATCCAGCTCTCTTTCTCTGCCATCCCTTCTGAAACCAGCTCTTTAGCTTCTCCTATATGTCTGTGAAACGTTGTGAAAACTCCCGTCATGTGCGATGAGAACATACAGGAGAGCAGTCAGGGAGACAGAGCGGCAGGTCGGCTGCTGAATCATTTCATTCAGGTTGAATTATACAGTTGGATAAGCTCACAGAGTCAGGGCACAATGTGTCATAACCGTGAGGACCTGAGGGAGCATGTGCCAAGATACGAGGCTGAAATGTTGCGAAAATAACCCGCAACAAGCAGAAGTGTTAGATTTCACGACACAGATCATCCTATTTTTGGAGAGATGGTGAGAGATTGAGAACGTTTACACTCAAACAAGCTAATGAGACAAAGCAGATATAAAAAGGATCAGGCCTTGCGTAGCTTCTCCTCACTCTTTTGGTTTTGTTTTGTCCTACAAAATAAACGTCTAAATCCAGCAGCTCAATCATTTTTCTGCTGATGTCGTACATTTTCCCCTTTTTCTTCCACTTTCCTCTCGAAGGCTCAATTTATTTTCGTGTGGAAATAGTGATGTATCCCACCATATGGTGGGTTTTAGGCACTTAAGTGTTTTGTCAGCGGCAGAAATGGATGAAGGGACACCTTCACACCACATGAATTAAACTGAGAGCCATGAGCTGTTTCCCCCTCTGTGGTAGATGGGCTTTAATTGACTTAATCTGTATCTATTACAAGCTGGCAACAATTAGGGGAAGATCTTTTTGTGCTGTCATTTGATTTTTCATCAGTTAGTTATGGTGCTTAGAAAATGTGGCCCCTAGTTAATTATTTTTTAATCAACTTTTCTCACATCAAATGAAATAACGGTGAATAAATCCTGCAAAGTGATAAATCTGAGTATTAAAAGAGGGAAAAAAACTCTTTACTTTAACACTTTATTTGACGCCTATCTTTATAACTCATAATAAATATATTTATAATGAGTTATAATCATGTTATAGCACTGTATGACTAAAGTTATAAACACTCATAAATGATCATAATTCTTTATAACAATAATCAGAACACATTATAAAGCATTTTATCATGACTTACAAGGTCAGGTATTATAATGTGTTATAACTGTTAACAACAGTTGCACTAACAGTTATAACACATTATAAAACCTGGCCTTGAAAGTCATGATAAAATGCTTTATAATGGGTTATGATTATTGTTAAAACGCATTATGATCATTTATGAGTGTTTATAACTTGTTAAACAGTGCTATAACGTGATTATAACGCATTTTACATATATTTATAATGGGTTATAGAGATAACGCGTCAAATAAAGTGTTACCAAACTCTTAATTTTTATACAACGGTTAACTCAGCCTTCACAAAGAAAAAGTGGATTCTTCGTTTGCCTGGTATGAATCTTCCTGGCTAATTCTGAGACTTGAGCAAGCAAGACTTGAGTTCATGAAACAGGGCGACAATATCTGCCTTATGTTTGAAATAGCCTTTAAATATGAGAGCAGATTTGATCCTGTTATTCTTGTTTTTTTGTATTGAAATGAAAAAGCCAGTCTCCCCAAAATGTCAAAATTAGGTATTGACAGGTCTTGATCGTGATAAAGTAACCTTTAAAAGTCAGATCTGTCTTTTGTCGTTGCTCCCAATTCAGGTTTGGATGCCAGTCCACCAGCCAGCACCCATGAACTCACCATTCCTAACGATGTAAGTAGAGCTTAATTGAGACGGCTGACTTCTGGATATACAGAATTTCAACTGTGTTTCTATTACCTGCCATTTAATTGATATATTTGAGTCACTGAAAGGTTGTAGTTTACATCAGGATGTAATACCTTCATTTTTCAAACTTGAGTCGTAGAGAGCACTGATCCAATTAAGTCCGATTTTAAGGGTGGCTGTCATTTAATTAACTGATAACAGAAACATTTGCACAAAGGATCCCACACTTGGATAATCCTGTCCTTTAAACTCATTTAACGCCGTAAGAACAAATGATTGATACCATTTACACCCATGATCCTGCAAATTTCTTCTCTTACCGTCGGCACGGCAGGAAAAACCATCTCTGCCGATCGACTGACCGTGCTATCATCAATCAAACTTAATTTCCTGCAGGATGGGATTTAAATTAAAACTCGACCATTTCATAAGCCATTAAACTGCCTTTGTAATACTAAATGTATTACAATGGGTATTAAATATACTAAGTCATGCTTCCCTCAGGTTCAAAGACTTCTCCTCCCTTTTTCCAGCTAATAGGCTGTATTATTGGACGCCAGGGAACCAAAATAAATGAGATTCGACAGATGTCTGGGGCGCAGATCAAAATTGCAAACGCGATGGAGGGCTCGTCGGAGCGCCAGATCACCATCACAGGGACCCCCGCTAACATCAGCTTGGCACAGTATCTCATCAATGCCAGGTAACCTCTTAACTCTTGCAGCAGGGATCTAGCATAAAAGCAACTCTTGAACGTCCAAGAAAAACCTCAACAGCGATTGTTCTGATTGGGAAAAAAAAAGAAAAATCCCTCCAGTTTAGTTTTGACAGTCCTGACACTAATACTTTGATGAGTTGCCAGAAATTGCACAGTGTCTGTCAGGGTTTGACGAGAGGCAGATATGCCCATGAATAATGTGGATATTCGTGTTATTCTTGTTCCTTTTTTTGACTTTTGCCACTTATTTCCATCCAAGTGCAGACATTAAAATGCATTATGTTTGAGCCAGTACGCTCTTTGTGAATAAGTGCCTCACAGGAGCGATGCCAACTTCTAAAACATGCGGCATCTTTGAACAGAACCTGCAGATTAGATAACTCAGTTATTCCTTTGTAAGTATTTCAGTGTTAAATCTGCCTTATTTTGAAAGGTGACGGCCAAAATATTCATGATAATTGTGTAAAGTGGCACAAAAGGTCATGTCAAGTATAGAAGGCTTAACTGAGAGCTGAAATTTTTGCAGAAAGCCATTCGTTTTATTTATTTAAAAGCTAAGAGAGGAAATATGTGGAGTCCAAAGCAACATAAACAAGAGCAGAGGGTGAAAAAAAACATTAATATATGAAGGAATATATTTTCTATAGGAATTCTTCTCACTGCACTGCCTATTTTCTCCCATATCCTCTGAAATTTATCATGAGTGAGAATAAATGCATCGTCTAGAGCTGTGAGGGAACCGAGCCTCACTGATGTCCACACATACCTCCACCTCAAAGTCAAATGTTATCGGTGTGAGAGCGGCTGAACCCGCACGCTCCTCAAACAGGGACTTCATATCTGCGACTTCAGTCAGGAAGTTTCAGGCAGCGCTCCTCTGAGAAACTAATGGCTGATGCTTTCCCCCCCACAATCCCACTGGCAGGTTCAGGGACGTGGCTGCCATGTGGAATGACCCCTCGGCCATGACTACATCCTGAAGTCAGCCCAAATCTGGTTCTGTTCACTGAAAGCTAACATCCAAACCAACGCTTCACAAATACCCTAATGTGTTCCCCAATGACAGTGGCCCCCAGAAGCCTTTTGTTTTGTAAAAACCCCTCAGTGTTAATCTGTGGGAGACCTTCAGTTAAAGTCAGATTAATAAGTACACTGGGATTTATTTGACATGGATGTAGCCGGTGTTTGATTTCAGGAATAGTTTGACATGATGTTTGATTTGCTCGGAGTAAGATGTGAAGATGAAGTTTGGGCTGGAAGATGGTCAACTCAGTTTAGCTAATCCTTAAAGGGATTGTTTATCCTGTGTTTGCAACTTTGAGTATAGTCAATTTGTGTTCCATATCATTCCCTGGGATCGGTTTCATCTATTTCATGGTTGTTGGGAAGTGGTTGGATCGACCTTTTCTGATGTAGTTGGGTAAGCAGGCCCACCTCTGATAGGATTTGATGCTCAAGTTGAAGTTTAATCCTCAGAGGTTCCCAAACTCTTCAACCTGCAACCCCCAAAATAACGAAGCTGAGGATTCTTGACCCCCCTACCATGATTGCCACTAGACATTAAAACAACACAGAAGAACAATACAGCTTATTACTTTATAAAATTACATCTTATTTTAATTTTAAATCTTTATCTTATTTTATAGTAACTTAAAGGCTGGTGAGCAGGAGATCTTTGAGATCTGGTGTGTTAGCTGAACCTGCCCACTGAACATTTTTTGGTCTAAAAGAGGACTTATAGACGCTAAAATGTAGCCTAGATGCCCGTTTCAAAATCAGGCTACGACAGGTCTAAAAATGAAAGTTTTTCAAATGTCTAACATGACCAAGTTTAGACCAAGTCGAAAGGTCCTAACACACAGGGAATGACGCAAATTTACGAAAAAAAACACTCCCAGTGTGTAGGGACCTTAAATCTGGGCAGTATCTATACTACACTTTATATTGCTCAACAGCTTATTTTGGTTTAGTACTTGGAGATCAGTTATGCAACTCACAGTTGCTTTTTGAAATAAATAGTTATTGAAAAATGGGTTAAAGTGCAACGTCTAAATTAGGTCTAAAAGAAAAAAAACTAGACGTCTAATCACCGTCTCTTGCTCAGTGGGTGCATGAGGATATCCATTTATCGAAGTAAATAAACAGACTGTTAAAGCCTCTCAGATATTCATCTTCTCATCTCACTCTCTCCAATCCTATTTTCATTCATGTCAAACTATTCCAGTAAGTATTTAATTAGCATGCCTCATTCTGAGATTAATAATGTTACTGTCATAAATACTATATTAGATATTTGCCTATTGAGTCCTTTTGTTTCCTCGTCTGCAAAGAATAAAACTCTTAAAAAATGTAAAACGACCAAAAAAGGAAAAGAAAAAATAAACACACGCCGCCACTCAAGCAATGCTTTTTGGATGAAGAGTCATGTGATGACTCTGTCTCTGCAGGGAAACGCTGCAGTTTTACATCAGTTCACCTTTATTCTTTTCACTGCATGGCTTCATAAGGAGTGCATGGATATGTGACCATATTTTTTAAATGTATTTGTTTACGCTGAAGGAGACAGTAAAAAAAATATGGTGTCAAATCTGAGGTTAGAGGAATGAAAACCACAGGTGTCAGCCATAAAGGAGCACAAAGCCAGCCATCGCAGCATTACTCTCACTTTAGTGGGAAAGTTCAGTTTCACAGCTGTTTTATTTTCTCTGTCTACCCCTCCTTCCTCCTCCTCCTCCTCCTCTTCCCTCCACCTTCCCTGAACTGTTTTAGGCTGACGTCTGAAGTCACTGGAATGGGCACTCTCTAGTTTCTACCCATCTTCCCTCAGTGCATCACATGACCCTTGAGCAAATGGCATTGCACCTAGTTTATTCTTTTCTCTGTGTTTGACTGTCCTGATATTTGAGTGGTTTTAACTTGTATCATTTATAGAGTTTACTGTAAACCTGTGTATCTGCACAGTTAATGGGATTCCTCACATTTATTCAAAAAACTCTGTTGGTTCTGTTCCTGAAGGGTTGCTTTAGGTTTTTTTTGACTCTCTAGTACCTTCCACGTCATCTCACACACCATGACGCTTTCGTTCCCCCTCATGTTTTATCACTCTACCTTTATTTTTTGCACTGCAGGCACTTGAAAGTTAATGCAAAGACTGCAAGGCTTTTTTATGTTATTGACACATTTTGTCATACATATTAAAACTCCTACAAAATCTGCACACAAGATTCAAATGTCATCTCTAAAATGATGTCCTACACTGATGTCATACTTCCACCAGAGCTCAACTGTGTGCCTGAGTGTCTTAACGTTGTATGTTCACGAGAGATTTGTCTGCATGACACAAGAAACCGTCGGAATTCTTGAATTTACTTTCATATCAGCAGGTCGAAGCTGAAACTGAACGCTAGATTAAAACGTAACATGCCGTAAACAGTCAATTAGGAGTGTCACTGTGGCTCCAATTTCAAATGACCTCAGAGGTGCGAGTCAATAAACACTCACTGCGGCGCATACATATCAGCCTTTTATACAAGTGGACACACAGATTGGGTGGGGAAATGAAAAATAAGCGAAGCGGCAAGGAGGGAATTTCAAAATGCATGCTCTAAATGAACTCCACTGTACTCACCTATACTGCACCAAGATGTAATCATAATATTCATACTGCCACCTCATCGCAAAAAGGCCTGAGAGAAACGTCTGCGAATCGACTCGTGTATATTCGCCGTCACATGCAGCCTATTTAAGTTTCTCCATGTACGTCAAGACGACTAAAGACCCCTGGGAAGCAAGACTCTCGTTAGTCGCTAATGTATGTTTTTCTGCTCCCTCCCTGCAGACGTCACACACGTACCGCAGTTTCGTAGCATCAAGCCCTTTTAAAAATACTCTGTGTTTCATGTTCGCATGTATACCATCACTGGAAGCGTATGTTTTCATGTACGTATCCACAGTCTGAACTTGTTTTTGCAGGTTTTAACAGCCAATCCAGCTACATGAAAGCCTTACATATATATGTTATGACCCTCTCTGCAGTTGTCATGTCATACAGCATCTCCTTGGTTACATCACATACCTGTTAAAGCTGTTGGCCCGAGTTACTAACGCACGCACAGATAACAAACCTGTGTCTGTGTTCTAATTAAAGCTGAATGTATTACATAAACGCGCTTCAAATGCAAACATCTACTCGATTAAAAACACTTTTCAGGGGGTCTTTGCAATCACACTAAATTTAAGTCGTACATGACAAGGCAGGAGAGTTAATTCAGGGGAGAAAAATGCTTCTTTAATACAGAGTCTGAATTTTTTAATGTCGAGCAGGTAGCTGTGGGTCTTCTACTCATGACCTAGTTTCTTTTAGTGATCCACATTTTGCATACTATGGTTTGTGATTAATGGATAGCCATAAAAGTCTCTGGGGATATTAAAAAAGTTGACTTTACAGTAAGAAAAACGATAAATACTTATCTTTTACACTCTAACAGGCATCATAATACAATAAAATATGATGGTTTACTTCTATTGAAGTCAGGGAGCTTCTATTTTTTACTGTAATGTTTGCGCGCATTACTTTCAAAGCATCTACATGCAGAAGTTCAAGAGACAACAATAAAAATGGAGATATAATTTCTCTTTACAATCTAATGCGCTCGTTCTTAGCACTCATCTACATAAAGGTTAGGATTTAATTGTACGTTAATGTTTAAACATGGCTGATTTACATTCACACAATGACTTTTTAGGCATGGACACATTGCATCACATTTACATTGCGAATGTAAATCTGCACATCAGTGCACCTCGAGCTGCATCCAGATGTGCTTTGAATCATTAAACCGAGTATAAGCTGATCGAGGGGTTGAATTAAAACGCCCATTTACAGGATCTTTTTATCGAAGTAGCAGATATTTGTTTGTTTTTGTGAACAATAATAAAAATCCACTTCTCAGTATGTTGCTTTGTCATCTCACTTCTACATGAACACGTTTTGTTTCTGTGCTAGAGCAGCAAAAAAATAAAGTTAAGCACTATTTGATGCTGTTTGAGAAAATATGTCTGGTTATGTTTCAGTTTTATTGGTTGCCTTTTGGAGGTCTGTATCTTGGTTTATTATTTATTGAGGTTGATTCTGAGATGTTTTGTAAAAAGAAGAGAATAAAGTTTGTGTTTTTCCCTGGACGTGTGCCTGGACTTTTATTCATACAAGTTATACATGTAATTCGCAACGTATTCAACATGCAGCTCGCTTCATTTGCTTAATCATGAGAGTTCAAATCTGAGCACCACCATAGCCAGTCAGCACAGAGATTACCTGGTGACGTATATCAACAACAGTTTAGTGGAAGTTCATTCATCTGGATAAACTGATCGTGGCGGTACAAGGCTAACTGAGCTTTAGGGAGCTTCTTGTTTTAATTATCAAGACAGAATGAAAAGGAGTGAGGAGGTCAGATCATGTGGCTAGTTTAAAAACACCAAAAAAATCTACAGCGTTATTAAGACCTACTCCAATGAAAATCATGTTTTTCATTGTTTTTTACATGTTCAAATGGCATTTTTCTGAAGTTACAGGACATAATGGGAGAAAAACAAATGCAAAGTTCTAATTCTTCATTCAAATCGCTGTGAATCTCTGGCAAACCCAAACGGCAGGTTCAGACACAGTGAGATTTCCTATGGAGTAAATCCAAGCTCTGCCCCCTGAACCCCTCTACGCAGGTCAAACTCAGAGAAATAGAGAGGATGATCGCATAACAAGTGTGTGCGTTAGCAGATTTCAATGCTTGTAAGAAAGCTAATTATGATATGAACTTTCATCATGTCCCTGAAGACATTAGTGTCTGAGAGCTGAAAAGCTCCTACATTACCCTCCTTGCTTCTTCTACTACACCAGCAATGTTAGGCTGCAAGCTAATGCAAGGAGAAGTGTGCAGAGCAGTGCTGTCTCCGCCCACGTCTCAGAGGTGAGTTGCTAATGAGCTACTGGAGTTCTGCAGAAGGACAGCTCCTGAAAATTACACAGGTAATGCAATTTTGGCTAAAAAAGTCATAACTTAAAGACCACTAAGAACACTTAAGTAGTAAAAAACAAACAATCGGAGTGGGACTTTAAACTCAACCTAACCCATGATTGATATATAGACTAAAATGACATCAAGAAGCTCTTCCTGTCCTGCATTAATCCGTGTGTTTAGTCTCTCCCTCAGACGTGTTATGTGACATAAATGGAGATTGTCATTTACATGAATAAATAAAGTACAGTACAGGAAACGACTGTTGTGAATTGGCGCTATATAAATAAAGTTTGATTGATTGATTGAAGTACGCACACAACTGTCAGTCCTTCAAATGCATGCACAACTTCATTTAAGTTCAGTGTGAGTACTAATGTTCACTGACTGTGATGTAGAAAGATTTAGAGCTCCCCCTACTGACTGCCTGTGAAATAGGTCATAAACTCTGCCTCCTTCATTTTTGCAGATGGAACATATGCTGTGATTTAAACATGGTTTCTACCATTATAATAAAGTCTTGTGCTGATTTTTATCCAAGTCTCTATTTTAATAAACTGTTTGAAATCAGAAGATGAGTGGTGACAGCTTCATTGTAGTGTTCTGTACGAGACTGACAGAGTAGAGGAAGGACAGTGGGAGAAAAACTAACAAACACGAACACGTGAGTTATTCAACTTTTCATCATCATCATGCGTGTTCGCTTCAGAACGACACAAGACCCCGGTTTGCTGAGGACTGAAGGATCTTCTACATTTTATGGGTAAGTTAAATGCATGTTTGTATAATGCACATGGCTGCAGAGGTGGGTTGGTATGTTAATTAAAGATGTTGCAAAATTCACATCATTCTTAAAAGCAAATGAACAACATGCGGGCACAGAGACCAAGCTGAATACTCAAATCCAATCAGGATTAGGGTTATATTTTTCAAAGAAAGCTGAACATTGACCCGACTAATAAAAGTGGAAACATAATACAGAGAAACATTCAAATTTAAGGCTACATACTTTAATTATCTTCACTAATTATCCCTTTAAAAGCTGCAGGATTATAAAACTGGAAACGTGCTTAAAGAATGTTCCCGTTTTCCCATTTTTCTATCGACTGCAAAGCAAAATAAAAATCCCGCGCTCACCTTCTCTCTCAATCAAACAAGGTCACACACGTGCTCAAAAACCAAACCGGGTCCAAGCTGCAGCTACCACAAACCTCCTCCTCTGCTGCTCTCTGAAAGCTTTGATTCAGATAAAGGATTGTTGCCGTCATGGACTTTGTCAGAGAAAAGTGATTTGCAATATTCAGCTTGTGAAAAGCTGCACAAGGACGTTGGTGTCTTTTGTAGATAAAATGGGATGAAAATGGAAAAAAAAGGGAAGCTTTGAAAGCATTCACAGCAGATGGTAAACAAAGAGCGAAAGAGGGATCAAACCTTGACTGAGTAACATTCAAATCCAAACTAAAGTTATTCAATGATCGGTGATTCATTGTGACTCTCCGTGCTTTCTTAGTCGTGCACTCTCCCCGACTGAATAGCAGGGTGGCATTACATTCAGTTTAGATTCTATATAAATGGAGGCTGTTATTGTAATGAATCCTGCCCCAGATAGAAAGATCTGCAACACCAGGTGTGATTCATTTTGAGTAAGAGCAGCATCTCACTCCAGGAGGTCTGTTCGTTATTACTTACACACAGCTTAATGGCCGTAAAGAGGAGAAAATAGCAACACTACATCTCTGAAACCCAATTTACAGACGGGCTTTATGGCAATTAGAAGGGTGAGAGATATTTG